TCTCTCTCTCTCTCTTTCTTGCGCACGCCACTGCGTTGCAACCAGTGATACGGTTTTTGAAAATATTTTCGTTACGATGAAAAAACTCGTTGGCCAATATAGCTTCGATCTCGTAACGTAAAAAGTTTCGTAAACCTCATACGCCTGAATTCAAGGGTGTGACGTCCCCGGATGATCGTTTACACATGGTTCTTCTTCTGTTCAACATTGTTTCGTCGGAACGTAAGGTATGACGAAATGTACACATACACGAGGCCGTAGTCGTTATGAGTCGCGTAACACCGATTTTTTCAACAAGGTTCTATAGAACTTGGAGTCATTTTCCGGCAATTCTTCTTTTGGAGAAATAAACTTCCGTCTGGAAAGTGCTGTAGCCTTTTCTTCTTTAATTAAGGGTCGGTAAATCGCTGTCAATTTTAGTGTTTTATTACCACGATTCTCGGAAAAGCCCGTGTCGCGGGGGGAGGGGGATGACCCGCAGGCGTGTCACATTTACGATCACCTCCGATCCTAGGCTGTTTTATTGATCATATATCGCCTTAAATGCTCTTATTTGCTTATTCCTTCGTACGAACCATCTGTGTATGTGCTTATGTGTGTGTGTGCCCCTTCTCCCCTCTGTGCACCGTTTCATTTGAATACTTTCCCTGCTTTCTTTCGCGAGACCCCGCTTACGTTACACCACTGTTGTCGGGCTGGATGGCCCGCGTTCTGAATGTTTTTCGATTCCCTCTATTGCCACTTGATCTTTTTAACATACTTTTTAGCTTCACGTCGAACCCAATATTTTTCATACTACATATATATTATTCCCTTGCGTAATTATATCCAATCGGACGACGCGTTATCTAGGGTACACGGATAATAAATGGTGTTCCACGTATCATTTATAATATGCAATTCGATCCGGTCATCAATCTGAATTACGTCTATCCCACGCATCTCCAGGGTTCGAAGTTGGCGTCCCGAGCGCGCGAAACTATGTTTCGTACTGCGTATATGTATCTGAAAATTCATATTTTAGACCCGGGCAAAAACAACCGTGCTGACCGGAAAACTTTTCCGCGACATATTCGTGTTGTCGCGATTCGACGTCAACTCCGTTTTTATCGGGAATTAAAAATTCATGGTACACTACCGTGCTCCTCTCGGGGCCACCGTCCTCTTCAAAGGAACAAGGAGAAACGGAGGGAGACAGAAAGACAGAGATAGAGACCCCACGAGACCCCAGCGGCTCGTAATCGCCAAGAAAGAAGCCACTCGTCCATCTTCGTTCCCGACACTCTCATTTTCTTCCAGGCTCGCTATCTCTCGGTACACTGAAACACACAGAGGATTTATTATCTGTTACGTCGGTGCAACGTCTTTTGAGGCAGGTTAGGGTGCTTAAGCCGACATTAGGCCCCGTCCGAGGTCTTACCCCCTAGGGGCGGCCCCCAGCGTTTCTATCGCCCGTCCAGCCAAGAGAAATCGGTTGATGTCGCGACGCGCGAAATCCAACCATCTCGTGTACTGTCCGGTAAATCACTAATTGAGCATTAACTGTTCGCCAGTGTTCACTGCTAGGCTTCGATATACCCGTTTCATTACGTTTTCATACGTAAGGGAAGGTTGCCGAATTGGGACCATCGCCTAAGTTGGACCACTACTGTAACTTGTGTGTAAGTAATTCAGGCCTTGTGATATCACCACTGTCATACACATATTGTCTATCATAAGGCCCAAATTGCTTACGCATGACAAGTTACAGAAGTGGTCTAACCTAAACGATGGTAAAAAATCAGCAACCGTACCCTAACGCACAAAAGAACAAAGAACGTATAATCGCGTCGAATCCGCGCGCCACGGTTCCAAAACACAAAATTCAGCTACGCTGCGACGCGAACGTTTAGAGAAATCTCGGGAAAGGGTGGCGACACGCGCGAGCACGCGAACTGATATCGTTTTCAAGGTTGTGAATGGATGTTTTAAACGACCTACATGTGGGCCAGTGGGTCAAGTCGAGCACATTAGCGAGGACACGAAGTAGATCGACCGTGTCGAAATTGTACTCCGCGAGTACGCGCCTCGTGTTCAACGGGGCCCGGCCGCCCGATGTGTCGTACACACTTGGGCGCAGCAATTAAAAGTCCGATAAGACCGTGGTTTAGATGTCGAACCTCGGTTTTTTTTCCTCGCTATCGGCAGAGATAAGTCCACGGGACCCAGACATCAAGATTAGATTTACCCCGCTGCACCGATCATTATCGTTTCAGTGTCGTAGTCGCGAATTATATATGTATACCTAGATCACAAGACGGGACACACGCGATGTCTGAATATAGTGCGCCGTTCACTGTACGGTAGGTAGGTAGCTTTCCCTTTTACGGTCAGATCAGACGAGAAAAAAAAACAATCTACTTGCCCGGCACTTTCTTCCTAGCCTGGTTAAGTAATGACTATTAATGGGGATCAAGTATACCGGCGAATTAATACCGACTACTGATCGACGAATGGCTTGTTATTTCATCCATTAATTCGTAATTGGACGGGAAACGAATATACAAAAATGACTTATAAAAAAGTTTCTACGCGGCAGGGACGTCCCGATAGAAAACGAAACGAGTACCTACCACCCTTTCAATTTTTCCCACCGAAATGATAATGATCGATCGCAACGATACCAACGACGTGCGCACGTTGGATAGAATCACACGAAGCTGTAGGATAATCCCAACAGACGATTCCATTCCACCGTGAACGGGTAAGATTTATGCGTCTAATATGACCGGTATTAATTCATAAATCCGTACGGGGTATTACCATCTACGAAACTACGCGCGATTCATAAATCCCGAGATTTATGCGCGCAACACGCTAAGCACTCGAGATGGAAAACGCTCGCTTGCTGGCGCGCGCGCTCGGTCTGCACAAGTTAAATTAACCTTGAAGCGATTCAATTGCTCGAATAAAATTGCAAATCTTTCGTTACTTTTAACCCGTTGCCCGTTGTTATTAAATTCCGAGCCGTGCGCTTCGGCCGCGTCCCGATGAAATCGCGAAAAACGTATCGCGTTCGGACGGCAGGGGGATAGGGCCGGAACGTAAGATCGGTGAACGAGTTGGATGAAAAATTTTACCAGGGCAACCCGTCGTCAACGGTCACTCTCCTCCCTAACGGGCGAAGAGCGTATTCGGAGGAAGGAAAAGAAAGAAAAAAGAAAAGAAAAAGAAGAAAAAGAAAACAATTTGCAATTCCACTGTGACATCAGAGACGAAGATCTTTTAGCCGTGGAGGAGACCGGAGAGGTCGTCGCTAGAGGAGGAGGTGGCGGAGAAAGAGAAAGAGAGGAGGTGGAGGAGGAGGCACACACCACGGGTTCGCTTTTGCCTGAGCGTACCCGTTCGTTCACCCTAGCGGGGGCACCAACCTGGCTTTACTTCAGTTACACGCCGAGAGAGCCGGCCGCCTCTATATAGGTATATAATACATTCTCGCGTGTACTTACACCTAGTATAGGTAGGTATACGGAGTGTACAGAGAGTGTCCCGGTCGAGCATGATGCGGTTCCACGGCCCTTTACAAGCGAGGCGGGGTACCGACTTGCCCCGTTCTCCAAAGAGAAAGATCGAGACGCGCCCGGAGAGAAAGAGAGAGAGATAGAGAGAGAAAGGGACAAGGGGCAAGCCCTTGGTGTTCGATCGCTTTCGACGAGCAACGGATCGCTACTTTCGAAGGAAATTTTATATACCTCCTCACCATCCCCCTCACGCCTTCGATACCCCGCGACCATATGATATCGACCGCGCACGATGAGCAACAATTTCTTCATTAATATTTTCTTTTTCTTCGTGTTTTTTTGTTTAGGTTCGACTTCGGAGCCCCGATCAACAGCGATGGCCTGTTGAAACTATGGCGGGAACGCGCCACGTTTCATTTTTTGCATAATTTTCACGATGATGCAGAATTTTGCTGTATTCGGCTGCTTGTTCGTTTGTTCGTGCTTGTGGAAGGGGTCCTTGACCGAACCCGCGGCGATTCGAAAACGCTGACTACTCATAATAATGATGACGCTTACTTGTACTCGCGAGGGAATCGCTCGAGTGGCTGAATTCATTGGGTTTTCATCGTACGTATAATTATTTATTCATTTATATGTAGACTTAACTCTTTAACGTTGTATAAATAAATTATTAAACTTAAACGTCGATATATGTATGATATATCGGTTGCGAAGCATTTAATGTATATAGGGTTGAAAATCGGTAGTGATCGTATAAGATAGTTCAAGGGTATCGACCGGTATGTGTGCTGACCATTCTGATGGACACTGGTTCTGTCACTGTATCGGTTGGACTGGATCTCTGCTGCTGATGGGAGTAGCTCACTTCCATACCAATTTCGTCCAAATCTTCTTCCTCTTCTTCATGGGTATCCGATTCCTCCTCCTCCTCCCCTTCTCCCTCTTCTTCCTCCTCCTCTTCTTCCTCTTCCACGGATCCTCTGAACTGTTCATAATTGTTAATATGTACTTCGGTCCTTAATTTACTTCCGAGGATGCAATAATATAGGAAACTTATTTATCTCGTATCTTGTACAGCAATATTTTTCAACCGCACGGCTGTTTTCCAATCCGACAGTCGGTAACAACGTTATGCAGAAATTAACGATCACAGCATATGGTAAAAGTTATTTTTTCTCGAACACAATATTATTTTATAGTACAATGTGCTTTGTTTTACCGAAGAATGCATTAATTTGTAAGAATATGTCATAAAATATTATCAAATACATAAACAAAGAGTGAGATATATAACGAAAGCGGAAGTGAGGTTAACTTACGTCGCTGACTGTCTTGCCAATAGGAATATGATCGTATCCTTGTATTCGAACGTGTTCTCTCTAGAAACATTAAAATATAAGAAATACAGAAAATTATCCATTTAATATTTACAACTGATGCGTGTCAATTGACATGACACTAACCCATGCTTGGTGTTCTGCTTCGAGTGCAGCTACCTCGCTTTCATCGTCACATGGCCTATCGGCGTTAAACCACAACGGATCCGTGGCTCTGGGTTGTAAATGTGGCCATAATGGCATAATCGACATGTTGAAATTTAATATTACACGCAATATTTAACAATGCACGAAGGATCGATCTTTCACTTGCCAAATTACGAAACATACACAAACATTCTGGGCGTGCGCACGAACTTTGGCGCGTATCATTCAGACTTCAAATGCAGCCTTATTGCAACTAACGGAACATGTATTTATGCAACTGTTTCAGCTACAAACAATTGTATTTACTGTTCCGTACCATTCGTTAACTTTCATTGATTAAAACACAGACTTTACTTTATGTACTTCCATATTAACCACAAAACATTAAAGACAGGTTATAGTTCATTGTGGCGTCACTATCAACGTGTGTTCAAAGTACAAAGAACAAACAATCTGGGAATAGTAATGGCACTATTTGCGTTTAAATTAATAATATATAATATTCGCAATGTGTAGAAAAATGTTTGCGACAATGAAATTCAAAATATTCTACTAAACCGAGTAAACTAAAGGCGTATCACGCACTGTCACAATACCTTAAAGCTAGTCCATAAACCTAACTCGACTGTGGCGCTTCTCGTTGGTACACGCGTTCACTACATCGTCAGATCTACAGTGCCATCTGTTAGCGTATTTTGGAAATTATCCCACCACATTTTAGTGTTCCGTGTTTACCCGCGAAAACCATCATGCTTAGTCTTCGTCATTTTACGTCCACGGCGATGGAGGAAACCGAGAAAGTTGCGTGCAGTTTATTAATGGATCTCTGAGAGGTTGCTTGTTCCGTTCACGCAGAAAAATCTGCGAACGTGTTCATTTAATTTATCATAATCGCATTCGAGCAATCTCATTAGATAAAAACCGTATTCATCGCGTGACATAACCTCGCAAAGGTGAGCAAAGGTGAGTGATACAATTGATTATTTTGTGCGCGTCAGATTAAAAGAATGCGCTGTGAGATTATCTTAAATTGACAGAATTTTTCTTATATAGACGGTATTCTTTATACTTTATATTCTCTTGTTTATTCTCCTTTATGATTCTCGATGTAGAAATTAAAGGCAAAGTCGATCGACCTACATTGACAGCTGCAATCACGTTACTAGAATGCAGTAAGAAAGTCCTATGCGTCCTATGTAATAGAACTTTCACCTACTTTTATCTGAATGTAATCCCTTCACTTTTCGAAGATTCTTAATATGACGTCGATAATTTTTCATTCAGTGTTGTAATTTAGAAAGTGAATAGTCATCCGGGAGTTCTAAGACAATAAAAACCACAATATTCGTTCTTTAGAAATTTATATAAACGACATATGTTACGGGTACATGACGCAAAGATAGTTGAAACGATAAGAACTGAATGCATCGTTAAAGTCTACGTATACATATACTTTATCGCAACGTGTTCTGTCGAATCGAATTTTACATTCATAAATTCTCCACGTAAATCACGGGGTCGACGTTTCTATCTCGCGTTAATTACCCACAATTAAGTGTCATCGATTCAATTGAAACCAATATCGCCCGCTCCCGGTCATTCAATTTTGCATTACCTAACGGCACTTGCGATATCCACTGATTGTAGGATGCTCGAAGCAACAACACATTTCCGCGATTAACGCGACAAAAGCGTTCATAATGTTACTGGCATGCTCCTTTGTCTCGTTTTTAACAAGTCGATGTGTTCCTTCGTCTTCCGTGAATTAATCGATAATGGGAACATGTTCTTCCGGGAAAATTATAATACGTATTCTTTCTCGCGTGGAATCCTGGAATTTCAATATAAGAATTCCAGAGCAACGGCAAATTGTCGGTCGGCGTAGGACTTCGTAGGTCATCCTTCTCTATTTTTGTTAATTCATTTCGCACACGAAAGCGAATTATTAAAGCTGCTTAAATTCAAGTTATAAAACCATGATTGGTGTTCGAGACACGAGTTCCTGTTTTTCAACGGTGTCGCTCATCCCTATCATCACTTCTAATCGCGCGTGGTTAATGCGGTGAAATTGTTAACCGCGGGTAATAATCGTGTGTCATTTTATCACGCAAAAACCTACATTGCTTTGAATATTCTACTTCAGCAAGGTTTTTTTCAGCTAACGTTCCCGCGTGAACATTTCCAACTTTCGGAAATTGATCGATTTCTGTATTTTTTTTTTCTTTGTTACTGATCGAAGCGCGGACAATAGTGTTTGTTCAACTTCTCAAGGATATCAAACTACAAGGTGTAATTATCCGATACATACTAATCGTCGTTTCAAAATACGCAGAACAGCCGTATTTCCGTTACCGCTGAAATCGTTTCACCAGTAAAATAACGATACGCGCCGAGATGGTGTTTCTTCGCCGACAGAACTAGATGAATTGTTTGTAAACATTTCGTTGCATTCGACGTAACTATTATTCAACGGCTTAAGTGTATCGATTAGGCTAAACATAATCAGTCGACCGAGCAACAAAAAAAATGTTCATTCCGAAAAGATAAGTTAGGGCACACTTACGAGGCAGCGTCAGTCTAGTGTGTTGCACGATTATTTTTTCACCTTTACAAACAGAATTCATTATCAATTTTTTTTATCTGAACAGTACGCAAATAACCGCGATTTTTCTTGCAAATAGTCGAAGATAAACTTTTCACCAGTTGTTGTTTTCCGAAGCATATCTTCGCGAACGATACTGGTCTCGTATAAACATAATGCCACCCTGACGATTGTTGCGCGTGACGTATTTTCGCGAACTGTAGTTTCTTTTTTTCTCTTGAAACATATTATGTTTCATTTCCACGATACGCAAGTAGATAGAGTTCTGTTGTAGCGTCGCGTTCAAAACTACTTATGGCTTTTTTATCGATCTTTATTTATTTCGCCAAATCTGAACGCGCGGTTTGGCCAGACCATTCTTCGTTCCTGCAGATATTTATTTAACAGGCAGAGATATTTCCAAAGTAACTCGTCGGCATGTTTGCCATTCGCGCACCTGTAACGCCAAAACTTACGTTATTACATACGTATTTACTACTTTCATACGTAAACGGCGCTCATTGGTCCGGTGAATCTTTGGCCTTTTACTTATCAAGGTCCTGGGGTCTCATCGATACCGTTGCCGCTTGCAATGAATGTGAAAAGTAGACGCGTTATATTATCGTTCGCCGACACTTTTATATCAAGCTTTTGAAATTCGCAGAATCTGCGAGAACATAACGTACGAACGATTTTAGTTGATTCTACCTGAGAGCTTCTTGGTCCGTTGCTCGGGAAAGGATACGCCAAGGCCGGCTTAAGATCTTTAAACGCCCTAAGCATTTAGAAGATCGTGGTATCTCAAATTTAGAAGATTGTGGTATCTCTATATACGTATACTGGCTGCCAAATGTTTTCGGCCAAACTGTAATTTCCATCATACCTGTGTCATAACTTTTGTCAGTCCCGTATTTGTTAGAAACAGGAGAACAGATTATTTTTACAGAAAAAAATGTTGAGTATCACTAAATCTAAAGAAACAATGTATCCTCAATATGGGTGTATCAAGAGTTTATTCGTATTGTATATTTTTTTTTTTAAATACGTTGAAATTACTCCATGGTAAATCTAGCAATTGAATGTTTCTGTGGTGCCCCCCTTCCTTTGATGCCCTAGCAATGTGTTTAGTTTGCTTAATGTAATAAATTCAGCCCTGGGATAAACGCCCTCGGTGTACAAGTATGAACGCTAGTAAGGAACGTTAGTCGCGCTACATCGGCCCGCTGAATCTATACCCGAAGAAATCCGCTTTAGAAAGTCCGTCGACTCGTGTTTTTCTTTTTTTATTGTTGCTCTATCTCTTTGTTCTCTCGGGCCGACCGACAGTCATGAACTCATTTCTTCTGGTACTTACTTCTGTTCCAAACTCGTTCACGGCTAGCCTGGCAAGCTGCCGAACGGGAACGAATGACTTCACTAAAAACGACAATGTTAATTAAGAATGAGGCAAACAAAAACAGTGCACGATCGTCGGTAGGATTTTATGAATCGTATAAAAACCGAACGTGGTAACGGTTTTCCAAATAACCGGTGGAATATTCTGCGATCGCCTTCAAATTACGTAATAGATTCTCGTTCGGTAGCTGTACGGAGACGACGGTTTGCAGAGGAATCGAAGTGGTAGACATTTAAATTGAATGTAAATGTTCCTTGTAAGACTTTGCGGTCTTTCGCTGTTGGACAGTTATATTTTGATTCGCGGTGAATATCAGATTCTTCATTCTACTCGGCATCGATTACATCTCGCGCGCGCAAATACGGTAAAATACTGTGTATAGGTACGACACGTAATTCGAACGGGGCGATGAAGCGTGCAACAGGTGTCTTCCAGTACGGTAGCGAATTTCGTTCTGTTTGTCGGTACTGAAAAAACTTGATTCGCTGGTTAACGTGCTCGGAAACAATATTTTATCGCATCATGATCCCCCGTTCCTTTCCCACCGCTTATCGTGCCAATAATGATCAGTGGTAGTAGGCCTGTATATAAACGGGTACCTCGGTGGAATTGGAGAAGCGTCTGTCACCGATCACTGTTCGGTACTAGATATTTGTTCGACCTTCGAGCAGAACAACATGACATCGTCGTGTACCGAACACCCGGAAAAATGTTAATGTATACCGGCGTTGTGAGAATTGTTGTCCACGGAACAAGGACAAGCGCCGATAAGTTCTCGATGACGGTTAAAGCCTTACAATTATCCTCCGTCATTCACGAAGGTCTTTCAATTTCGTTGCCTTCGAGCGTTTTTAAAACGGAAGGGAATTTTCTTCTTTTTTTTTTTTTGTTGCGTAGATGTCTCATAATCACATGGCGCACATGATGAATAATGCTTCGGGGGGACATACGTCTCATGACGCTGACATGTCTCATGCAGGCATAGATCACTCGAACATGCACGGTGGTATGGGACACGATTCAATGGATCACGATCATATGTCGCATGGAACTATGGATCATAATGATCACGCTGGACACACTGTTGCCACCGCCACAGAAGCATGTGCAAACATGGGGATGCACGGTATGTCGGTACGTATCTCATCTATGGGCCGCCCATGGACACAAATTGCAGAGCATGAAACGATGGTCACATTCGCAGATGACATTCCACGGGGGATATTGCGAAAAAGTATTATTTGAATCCTGGAATATCTCCTCGGTCGGTGGCCTCGTTGGATCCATGATCGGTATCATGATCATGGCCGCGCTCTACGAGGGTTTGAAGTATTATCGGGAGTACCTATTTTGGAAGACGTATAATGCCCTACAATATAGAAGCGTCACGATGCCAGCAGAAAAGAATGTTGTGGCCGAGGATAATCGAGTCGTACAGTAAGTTTCGTACTCTTTCTCAGTCCATTCAAAAATTCGTTACATCCTCCAAGATCCGCAGAGACCTGGTACTCATTGTTCAACTTGATTTTATTTTTTCTTTTTTTAGTATGGTTGGAGAAGTAATTCACAAACAACCGTAAGTAAATGGAAACGAAAATTATATTTGTTTATTTAATGATTTTTTTTTATTTCAATAGAGCTTGTTTGTGAAACTATATTCTTTACGATTTTTATGTCTTTGTGCATGCGGAATATTGTACATTTCCTTTTTATAATTGGAAATCAATTTTATTCTTTCTTTATACATACATACTTTACATGCTTGTTCTTTTTGGGGCAACTCTTCTTTCCTGTTTATGCATTTTAACATGGCACAGTAGCTCTATATCTTATTATTTCAATGGATCCAAATTCGATTAGAAATTAATTGATTTCATATAAATTTGTGCAGGCCCACAATGTTGTCATGGATGCATACATTTCAAACATTCTTACACATAGTGCAAATCGTGCTGTCATATTTCCTCATGCTGATCTTCATGACTTACAATGTCTGGTTGGGCTTTGCTGTAGTACTTGGTGCAGCAATTGGTTACTTCTTGTTTGGATGGAAAAAATCTGTTATTGTAGATGTTACAGAACATTGTCATTAGCCGTTTATATAATTACAATGTAATATTGTATTATCATGTCAAAAATGTACATATCTGTACATTGTCATAAAGTTCATACTGATCAAAGGAACTGTGGAAGAATTAATTTTATGCAGTAAGCATCTACAAAAAGTATAATTCCTTCAAATTTATGATGTTTACAGAAATATACAAACGAAAAGTTTTTAGTTTAAGTTTATTCTCATGCATAAATATTTTATGCATACAGAATGCAATGTTCAGTTGTTTGTTGAAAAAGATAGTATTGTTTAATTATTATCGATTAGAAAATATCTATAAAAGGCAAATTCGTATACAAAAATACTGGAAGATTGATCTCTGATATGGACGACTGTAGCACATTTAATTTGTAAATACTGTTAAAAAATTTTAATAAGAAAAGTATCGTAAGATACGCGCATCCATTTCTCCAAACTTTAACACTCTTAATCCTAATTTTTTATAGTAACATTTTATACACGTTTATTATTCGATCGAGTGTAATGTTTGGAAAAAAGCGTGCAGTGGCATTTTGAATATTGCATACACCATGATGTATCATTACAATATAACATTATTGATGACTGTGTTATTAAAAATTAATTTAAAACTATTGTTATTCGTAAAATATAAAATAATATAAATACATATTCACTTGTGTGATTAAAAATCTAAGTGAGGTATCAAAGACACTTTTGCTAATATATTTTATCAATTTGAAATAAGCACAGAATATCTTTATTTTTTTCTTGCAAAATTGATTTTCAGGATATAAAATTTATAAAGTGTAAACGCACATTAAGTCATATTATTAAATTCTTGGAATAAATAATGTGTACTATAATAAATGCAACATATACTGTACAGAGGTGATTTTTGTAAAATTATTAATGAAATGTTTATAAAATTATTAATGAAATTCACAACGGATGATACAAAATGTATTTAGTTATTGCAGAATTTTCACCTTGATATGATTAAACTTCATATGTAGTTCGCATTTGAACCACCGCATTATTCAATATGATGCTAGAAATTTATATATCCCACATGTAGCTATACAAAAAGCACCAGCATGCACGTCACATATATAATTAATGCGAGCTTTGTCATTGGAAACCATCTTTAAATTACAATGACGTTACATACTCCTTATTGTTAGTATGTAAAGCATTACTAAAGCATTAGGTAGCTTTTAAATGAGTTACATTACTTTAGAAATGCATTTCATACATACAGTATTGTACAAAAAGCTTTGTCAGTTTTGTAACATTATTAATTTCGTAGGAAAATCTTTAAACACCAACTGCAGAACATTCCAAGAGCAGTAGAGTATGCTTTAGTGTATATATATATACATATATATATATTTCAAAATCATACATATATGATATAAACATAATAATTTAAAGGATTTTCTGGTAAATATATATTACACCACTGCCCTTAGTTTGCACTGCAAGGATAAGGCAAATTTAGATTACAAAGCTAAATTACAATTTATATCTATTCCTTATTTATAAAGCTGTTGATGATAATGATTATTACTATTGTTTTATCACAAGCCAATGGTGTACGAAACACTTAAAATACTGTCTGTAGCTCGTGAGCTGCACAAAGCGTGATACGAGTAGGACGTTCAATTTGACCTTACACTTTACAGTCGCATTCTGGAAAGATCAATCATAAAATATTATCTTTCCCGTACAATCTTGTAACTTTAATTCAAGTATTTTTAAAGAACTGAAAAAATTCAACTCAACAGAAGTAGACGAATCCGTCCAGTTTGTAAATGTATCGTATGGACGTTGTGTTCATTGGCAACATAAAAAGTACTGATTGCTACTAATAATTAAACACCATAAAGAAAAATATATGAATGCACAGACAGAAAATTATTTTTAATAATAAAAATCACCTTATTGTGATGAAAGTATTGCAGACAGGTAAGATATCTCTTCAAATTATTTTGTTAGACCTAGAAGAAGAACTGTGTTATGTGTAGAATTCCCACTCCCATGGTAATATTAAAGATTACCTTCATATCAAATTAATACATACATACATAGTTGTATATGTAAAGGGTTTAGATTTTTTCTAATAATGTTGCCAATGGTTCCACTTAGTTTTTAAGAAATAGTTAATTTGTTAAAACAGAAGCAAAATTTCATGTAGGTCAAAGAAAAGAGAATAAAATCCTTATACTTATGTAATGTAATGTCCATATCTGTCCTAAATACAATAATCACTTGCAAAAGTTGGTTCAATTTCTATCATAGTGTACTCTTTACAAGTATAAACAAATTTCATACGTCCATTCCAAGAATGCAAGTTTGCATTACAAGGATTATTTGTAGTGTTTATTTCCTTACCACACCTTTCAATTACCTGATCATAATTGGAATCTTTAGAATTGTATTTCATGCATTATGTTATGGAAACATAAAAAATATTTAAAATCTTTTATCTGTAACCTACTCAGCACCAGATATTGGCATACAACAACTCGAACGATGAGGAGACTGTTGCTTTGAAAGGTCAACTGTGTCTTCTACCAATGGACGTTCTAATCTAGCTTCTAGTTGTGCCCAAGCAGCAACAGCTACACCAAATGCAGCTTCAACATTGGTTGCATCTTTTGCAGATGTTTCTACCAATGGAGGATCTCCATTTTCTGTACACCAAGCTTTAGCTTCTTCTGTGGAGACTTGTTTCTCAGAATCTGGAACATCCACCTACAAAAGTTACTTCATTAAATATCACTATTAATTGTATTTATTCCTTCTTCAATAATTCTGCTTACTTTATTTCCAACAACTATGAAGGGAAATGTAGATTCTTCTTGAACATCAGCATAATAAAGAAATTCAGATCTCCAGAGGGCTAAATTTTTAAAGCTTGTCCTATCATCGACTGCATAAGTCAACAGACAAATATCAGAGCCTCTATAAAATGGGGTTCTAAGAGTTTTAAATCTCTCTTGTCCAGCTGTATCCCATATCTGAAGTGTGTATGCCTCTCCATTGATCTTAATGTCTTTGTTTAAAAATTCTACTCCAATGGTATGAAAACTATGTTCATCAAAGTGATTTGACACAAATCTGTTCATAAGGCATGACTTGCCTACACCACCATCACCCAGAATCACTACTTTTAAAAGTGTTGATCTTTGAGAATTACGATTTTGCAGATTTCCACCTCTTGGTGTACCTACTGTGTTCGAACTGTTTGCTGACATTTTTAATTCTTCACTTTTTTAATATAATACAAAGACTATACATTCAAAAATACAATATATGTTTGCCTTTCTCATATGTCAATATTCTTAATACTAAATAATCCAATCCTTCGTTTCTCGAACGTCGATCGTATTCGATGATTTCCTGTCAATGTAGAAATCAGCTGATTATGATGCTAAATAAATTAATTCACTTTCCTTACACCACATACATTTTGCGTCTGTAGACTGGCACTAACAATTCGTAAGCTTTTTGTTCTTCATACACGGTCAACAATCACACCATTTTAAGTATTTTAATACTGTGATCTTTGTTTCACAACGGAGCATAACCTTCTCATTTTATACTAGAACTTGAACGACTATTTAAAAATACAATTTTAATTTTGACCAATGAGATCGTAATTTAGAATTTTGCCGAGGCTGTGTACATTTTCTTCTTAGATTTTAATTTAACTAATCATACCAAGTCAAATACCTGATAAAGATGCCCTTTGATATCGAGTCACAATCATCGCCAAATTAAATTGCAGTTTCTCCGATTGGATATGTGTTGTTTGTTTACTCAAAAACATTTGATTATTGTAAATAATAGAACCGATCCTTTGATCTGTTCAAATAACTAAAATCTGTCACTGTCCCTGAACATTTTTGTTGAGCGCAAAGCATTTGACACTTTGCAGACGACGAAAGAAACGCCCATGTTGGATGTTGAATGCATAAGACAAAACATGGCTACCTGAAATTATAAATAATATCAATCTCGTGCACGTGGGACAATACTGCATACAACAACTGACTAATAATAACTTTCACGATAGTAACAGTAAATATAACATTCTACTGTCGCACATAATTTCAATCATGAATTGTCATAAACGTGGGGGTATACATTACTTGAATTATTTTTAAATGGTAATTCACAAAAGTATCTGGAAAATTATATCACCATTATAAAGTAGCACATACTACTTATAAAATTGGCATTCCTTGCCGAATAAAACACATAAAACAGAATTATTTCAGTAAGGAAAATGATTCTATATACATTTTAATCGATCGCATGTTACTGTTCACTATATTAATATATTTATTGAATTAGTAAAAACACTTTTTGCATAAAGTGTAGAATTACATGTGCCCTATGTGTGTAGAAATTATATATAATTATTTATTATTGGTTGACTATCTTTCAATAATTTGAATTATGTTTCACTTCAAATCGGAAGATGGCACTTTGGCGTTTCAAAGATTATTTCTCATACCTTTAGATGTCGTACCCGTCCATCGCGATGTAGAGTAATGTTCTAACAGGACCGTAATTTTAATTCTGAACAAATGTTTAAAAGTAGTTGGAGGACGATTACCTTTACGTTATTGTATTTATTTTCATAGTTAAATTTAATATCTAAATTCCATCACACTGAAGAAAATCGAACATTGTAAGAATACATATACATCCTTACAAAGCTTCATAAGCATTATGCATTTTGTTTTGTATTCGTATCAATAAATAATGGGAACGAATTTATTCCTTTCTTTATTTGATATACGATTTTCAGCTACAATATTTTTTATAGAAAATGGCAAATCCTCCTTCAAATGTTGACCAATCCTATTTTTGGAATTCAGGAGTTTCTCAACCACAAAACATGGGGTATTATTCTGTACCACCTCCAAATTTTCCACCTCCAAACTTTAGGCAACCTCCACCATCTTATAATATACCTATTCCCACTATACCTGAAAATAAACCAACCAATTTTATGTCTTCCTACCCACCTACGACAACATGTTACCAAAGTGAAGTTCCAAATTCTTACCCTGATGTATCTTATCAAAATCAAACCCAGCCACAATGTAGCAATCAGAGCTATGGATTTTCTGGTTATTCTCAACCAGTAGTGGAAAATGTTAATTCAAATTGGAATGATGGAACTGCATATCATAATAATACCAACAATGAATGGAATACGAACGTCTATTCGTGTGATTGGAGTAAGTCCCAAGATAATAAAAGTTCTTGGTATGAAACAAATAAAGTACAAGGAGATGACAGGAAGTCTACATCTGATAAATATAATGATGGCTCCAAAAATAAGAGATCTGAATGGAAGTACAGAGATAAGGCATCTTCCAATAGTCATACAAGCAGTAGAAAACGTTCTAGAAGCCCTGAGAATAGATCAAGATCCAGTAGATCACCATACAGATCAAGATATGATTCTCAGAGAGATAGACATTCAAAGTATCATAGAAATAAATCAACTTCTAGAGAGCGGTCGCACAATGAAGACTCTACTGATAGAAGATCATCCTACAGAAGAAATTCTGCACATGTGTCACGCTCTAAAAGATTATACACAAGTCACAGAAGCAGGAAGAGATCAAGATCTCAAGAATCTTACACATCTAGAGCTGCTACCCCAAATAATTGTTCCTCTAGTAAAAAAGACCCAACTGAAAGGGAATTGCTTCTTGAAAAATATAGGTAATATAGGCCTTTGAAGTTACTTTTATAAAAATACTAGTTGCTATCGTAGAATTCTTTACAGGCAGGATTATTGTGCAACCAGTAAAGATATGGAAAGGAAAATGGATGAATTGTCTGCAATGGGACCTGAAGGTATAATGGAAAATGCAAGAAAAGTTTGGACACGTACAGCACCAGCAGATTTATATTATAGTAGAGACGATATTAATCCAAAAGTAATGAGAGGCACACCAAAGTTGCATGAATTGTGTGAATTGTTCAGAAAAGTGTTGATGGATAGAGCTACAGCTGCAAGAGCCTTGCAGGTACATTTATTGTCATAAATATAACTAGAAATTCATGCAGATTCAAAATTGTTTCCAATTTCGTACGTGCAGCCTCCTTATGATCCACCTCCAAGAAAAACCAGAGCTCGTCTATGTAGACACAAATCAGAAGTCTGTAGCAGCAGCTCCTCTTCTGATAGTGATAGTTCAATGGATGAAGATGATAGAACAATGGAAGAACTAATGGCAAAGAAACAGCACCCACAAAGATTACATCCTGAAATGTGGTTCAATGATCCAGGAGAGGTAAGTACACCTCTTTTAATGTCAGATGATATTCAGTTGCATAAATAGTACATTATAATATTGAGGATTTTTCAGATGAATGATGGACCATTATGTAGATGTAGTGCAAAATCAAGGAGGTCTGGAATTCGTCACGGTATTTATGCTGGAGAAGGTGCAATAAACAAGTGTAACTTAAATTCAAACAATGCAGATAGTTTGTATCATTATCGAATAACTATTAGCCCACCAACGAATTTTCTTACTAAAACTCCGACAATTATCAAGCACGACGAACATGAATTTATATTTGAAGGATTTTCTATGCTCTCTCATTTTCCACTTGTAAAATTGCCAACGTGCAAAGTGATAAGATTTAATATAGAATATACAATTTTGTACATAGACGAAAAGTTACCAGAAAATTTTACCATTCAAGAACTGGATTTTTTTCGTAAGCCCCATTTTACTGTATTTGATCGATTATTTTCGATTGTGTTTATGTAGTTAGTAAAGATTATTTTAATTTTCAGAAACTTACTTATTTAAGGAAATATTAGAGCTTGTTGACTTCGACCTACAGGCAGCGCAAGATAAATCTGGCTGTGGACAGTTTCATTTTATGCCTCGATTCGTACGCGATTTAGCGGATAATGGACAAGAAATCTTATCCATGAATGAGGTTCTAAATTATTTAATAAAAAGTAGTAAATTGTTAATAGATCCAAATGATCTACCTAGGTTGGTAGAGGTGCCACAATATAAATGGCAAAATTTTGCTGACGAAGTGAAGGGTATGATTGTTACATACCCTGGAAAAAAGCCATGTAGCGTTCGTGTAGATCAATTGGACAGGAATCAAACTGATCAGTCTCCTAGTATAATCGCCTACCCTGAAATTGTTCATTTTGGAATCAGACCACCTCAGCTTAGCTATGCAGGAAATGCGGAGTAAGTAATGTTTCTTGTAAAATGATTTGTCAAATGAAACAGTGTCTAAATTTTTTTATTTCTTATTTCAGTTACCAAAAAGCATGGAGGGATTACGTAAAATTTCGTCACTTATTAGCCAACATGCCGAAACCATCGTTTGAGGATAAGCGAAAATTGGAGGCGAAAGAGAATAAACTCCAAGAATTGAGGACTCAAAGTAAAATGAAACGCGATGTTACCGTGGATGTTAGCTCTGAAGGATTTTACAGAACTGGAATAATGTGTGATATAGTGCAGCATGCTATGTTAATTCCTGTACTTGTTTGTCATCTACGGTTCCATAAATCTCTGGACAATTTAGAACATACATTAGGTTATGAATTTAAGAATAGATATCTTCTTCAACTAGCGTTAACGCATCCCAGTTACCGTGAAAACTTTGGTACAAATCCAGACCACGCCCGAAATTCTTTGACCAATTGTGGAATAAGACAGCCCGAGTACGGGGACCGGCGAATACATTACATGAACACACGTAAACGTGGTATTAATACATTGATCAATATAATGTCAAGATTCGGTGCGAGAACGGAAACGGAATCCTCGATAGCGCACAATGAAAGATTGGAATTCTTGGGAGATGCGGTCGTTGAGTTTCTTACATCCATTCACTTGTTTCATATGTTTCCTAATTTGGAAGAAGGAGGTTTAGCAACATATAGAGCAGCAATTGTTCAGAATCAACATCTCGCTGTACTAGCAAAGAAATTGAATTTAGAAGAATACATGCTCTATGCGCATGGTAGTGATCTTTGCCATGACTTGGAATTGAGACATGCGATGGCTAATTGTTTTGAGGCATTGATGGGTTCATTGTTCCTCGATGGGGGCATAGAAGTAGCTGATCGAGTATTTGGAGAAACGTTGTTTAAAGATGAGGAAGATCTTATGAAAGTTTGGGTGAATTATCCTAAACATCCTTTGCAAGAGCAAGAACCAACAGGTGACAGGCAATGGATACCGAGTTTTGAATTGTTACAGGTAGGTCTATATGCGATAAGTATTTGGCACTATCGGAATTCTATTATAAAATATTAACGTTTTATTTCTTCGTATAGAAATTAACAAAATTTGAAGAATCCATTGGCATTGAGTTCACTCACATTCGTCTTCTAGCAAGAGCTTTTACTGACCGTAGTATAGGATACACGAACTTAACGTTGGGTTCTAATCAACGCTTAGAATTTTTAGGGGATACTGTATTACAACTTATAGTTTCAGAATATTTATACAAATATTTCCCGGAACATCATGAGGGTCATTTATCTGTAAGTATTATAACGATATTTTTTTCATGAATTGTAACATAACTTTTTTTTTATATTTTACAGCTTTTACGAAGTTCTCTTGTAAATAATAAAACGCAAGCCGTTGTCTGTGATGACTTAGGAATGACTCAGTATGCACTTTACGGTAATCCAAAGGCCGAGTTGAAAACAAAAGACCGAGCTGACTTGCTCGAAGCATTTTTAGGAGCGCTTTATGTTGATAAAGGTTTAGAACATTGTCATGTGTTCTGCGACGTATGCTTCTTTCCACGTTTACAAGATTTTATCATGAATCAAGATTGGAATGATCCAAAGAGTAAACTACAACAGTGTTGTTTAACATTAAGAACAATGGATGGCGGGGAACCTGATATTCCTGTGTACAAGTAAGTTGTAGTAAGGTTTCAAATTAAAGTACAGTATCAAAAAATAATAATTGCTGTTTTATTACAGAGTAATTGAATGTAAAGGTCCGACAAATACGAGAGTATATACTGTTGCTGTATATTTCCAAGGAAAACGATTGGCAAAAGCGTCAGGTCATAGTATACAAGAAGCAGAAATGAATTCAGCCAAAGAAGCTTTAGAAAAATCACAAGGTACAAAGTTAATTAGTATCAAGACTGAAATTTGGAAATATAATTTATACTCGGCTAATATTCTCTTTACAGATTTGTTCCCACAGTTGGATCACCAAAAACGCGTTATAGCTAAAAGTATGAAAATGCAGCAGTGGCCAAACAAACACAAATCTCGGGGACGATCTATGAAACCCACAGATAAACACGATGATTCAGAGTTCAGTCAGCGGTCCAAACGAAGTCGTAGTGAAACGTAACTACTCATTAAAATGAATGTATCATAATATATTGTAATAGTGGATGCAATAAAGCTTGAACAATTATGTTACAATCATTTTATTTTTTTTAACTAAAAATTTGATATTGAGAAACATGTATATTCAAATTTGTGAAGACTCTTTTTTAAATGGTATGAATTTAGATGTAGAATCGTATTCTACTAATGTGGGACTCTGCTGATATAACAAATCTTTATTCTCTGCAAGAATCTTGTCACTTACTGAGATACTAGACAGAATAGACACCAGATCCCAGTGTTTCGTTAAGAGTGCATGGTCTAACGTAAATAAACCATCTTGAATGCAAAGTATTTGAGTACAAGTGGCTGTACTACGAAGTTGCATTCCTACATCATGAACAATGGTTTTTAGGTACATTTCGTACTCATTTATACAAACAATTTCTAAAAAAAAATTAAGTAAATGTATAAAAGTGTAACTGGTTACAGATTCTGTTATCAGACTTATGGTTACTAGAAATGCCTTACCCAATGTAAATTCTGGAGGAGAAAAATGTACACACCTAATTGTATATATCATAGGTATATTAGGATCTGATGGTCGTAATAGACCTTTTACTGCCAATTCATATGCAGCTTGACTTTGCATATCTATTCCACATAATCTGCAAATATGTAAAAGGATATTTGTTATTAAGTCCTGATGGTATCAAGCACTGTTAAATGCATATTAACGTCCCACATACTCAAACATTTTTCTTTGGTGAGAAGATTGCATTGAACTACACACTCTGTCAATGTGACCATGTTTCACATGCTTATAGGTAGATTTTTCTACTATTTTTCCAGTATAAAAATAATTATCTGTTGCTTGACCTAATATTCCTTTTACTTTGTAAAACCTTGTGCACTTGGCATTTCGTAGTTTAAAAGCCAATTTATTGCCATCATTAATGCCACAGACCATAACACCAGAAGTATCCATGCCTGTCAATTTTGTGGCTGATAATCTAAAGTCATTCGGTTGATATCTAGGTCCAACTACCAATGGATTATCTGCATAACTCTCGCGTACAACAACTTTCATAAACTGATTTGTTGGTCCTTCTATAGCTACATGTTGCATTGGAGGTCTCACACGTTGATTATTTAGATCTAGAGACACCAGTGTAAGTAATCAAAATATACTTGTATAGGACTTTATAGTGAAGATGGTAAATATTGTTACCTATGCATAACTTAGAAATCACTGTTGCTTTCATTTGTGAAAAGCTGGAACTTGTGGGCTTATAAAGGATAAATATTCCGTTTAATGCTTGGTACAACTTTCTTGCATCCTGTACGTATTTTTGCACTGTATTTGACATGTTAATATAATTTCTAGCATCCCTAGGAGGCCACTATATAATAATGATTGTATGTACAAATAAACTCAACTGTCCATGATGATATAACTTTAATATATAGTATACATAACGTAACGACAGCCTAGACACTTTGTATCAATATTATTAATATCAATTAATATTAATTAACATGTATTTAGTATTTAGTATTTAATGAATTGGATCTCAAAACATACCATGAGGATTCAGTTCCAGTTTCCACTACTAGGTGGTTACCATAATTTTGAACATTTTTCGAGTTCGCAATTTTTCTGCGCTATTTTAAAAACTTTCTGAATTTATTGTTTTTATTTAGCGAGAGTGGAAGAGCGAGCCGCTTATGTACTGTGATTTATTGCATTATAATTTATATGTATATATGTATATTCCAATAAACATTCGTCAGGTAATATAAGCTTCATTTCATCGAATTGTCTTAAATATAACTGAATAAATATTGTGCAATCCTATACTAATTACAGTTGTCTGGTTCAACAGGTTACTATAGAATATATTGTAAAATCATGTATGTAAGTAGTACTTAAGGCAATTGTTGTTAAATTTATAGAAAGTCATAAAACCTCTGGTGTAGGCGCCAGAGACCCCGTGTGGTGAGAACGTGGGGTCACAGAACCCCCGCAGGTGGCGCCAGTGACCCGTGTGGCGAGAACGTGGGGTCACAGAACCCCCGCAAGGCAGCGCGAGAGACCTGTGGGGTGAGATCGTGGGGTCACAGAACCCCGCAAAGGTGGCGCCACAGACCCGTGTGGTGCGAACGGGGGGTCACCGAACCCCCGCAAGGTGGCGCCACAGACACCGTGTGATGATAACGTGGGGTCACAGGACCCCCCTGCAGGAGGCGCAGTCATCCTAGTCCGCTTCAGCTTAGATACGCATATGTTGGCATGTATCAACAAACCCTGCCCTTTGAATTGTAAATTACGAGTTATAAAACTGATAATTGTTGCAGTTTTATTGAGTCTTTGTTAAAACACTTATCGAATTTCCATGATGACCTTTATGACGTTTGTAATACGGTATGTATATGTGAATACATACATATTTTGATAATGGTAACCTGTAATTGCATGTAGAATATTTTGTTTTGACTTTAAATCTGTGCATCGATAGAAGTAAATAGAAATATATGTAATAGAAAACGATAACTTTTACATTAATGCCACTTATAGTTTGGTATAATTACAATTGCAATCGCAACTTGTTTTTTGCGTACATGTTTCCGATAAATTGATGTCATAGATAATTAAAATTGAGAATATCTAATATAAAGTGTTCTGAACCAAGTAAGCTTGACCAAATAAATTAGAAAACTTGGTTTTTGTTAGTTCACAGTAACTTTTAATCTCTACTAAAATTAAAATAGAAACGATTTGAGTCAACGAAGATAAGTTGAAACTGTAGGGATCTTGCGAAATGAAATTGAAAAAGTATTATCACAATCACGATTTTTCTCTTCATTTAATTATCAATGCTTATTTATTATAGATCCTACATATGTTCTTTGAAAACAAGAGGAATGCAATTATAACACAAAGATAAACAACTAAAGTAAACAAAACAAGGAGAATAAAAACAAAAATAATTTTAAATAGTTAAAATTTATCAATCAATATGGTTAACCCAGATTTATTAGAGACTCCAGTACCTTTGAAAAACATACAACAATATTTGAAAATTGCAGCCACTCATGACCAACGAGATCCTGTTGTTAGCTACTGGTGTATGTAATTGGTCATGCGATAATATTCTTCAATATACATCAATGCAAATTATTGCATGTCACAACAATTTAATTGTGTATTACGATTATAGGTCGACTATATGCTCTTCAAACTGGATTAAAACTTTCAACCAAGACAAGCGAAGAAACTAATTTTCTGTTAAAATTAATGGACTGGTTGGAAACTACTAAAAAGGAATCACGAGAAAATGAAGCTATTACAAATGAAGTAGCTGCGCAAGCACATTTAGAAAATTGGGCACTCAAGCTTTTTCTTTATGCTGATAAAAATGATAGAGCTGCTAACTTTAACAAGAACATTGTTCAGAGTTATTTCACAGCAGGTCTCTTGTATGATGTCTTGACTGTATTTGGTGAACTAACCGAGGAGGCCACACAAAACAGGAAATATGCTAAATGGAGAGCAACCTATATTCATACTTGTTTAAAGAATGGAGAAACACCTGTACCTGGACCTGCAGAGGATAATGCTGAAGATATTGATAGTGGTAATAGTTTGGACATGGACGTATCAATTGTTATTACAAATATATAACTGTCAAAATAGTGATATTTCTTTCTTTTTTTTTTTAAGTCGAAGCAGATGATGATACTAGTACAGGAAAATCAAAAGAAGGAGAAGCAGCATTAAATTTAAACAGAGCAAGCGACGTGCCTAACACTGACTCGTTCGATGCAATGAAAAGTGCATCTAACAAAGAGAGTATTGGAGAATGGTCTTCCACAGTGAAAGATGACTACTGCCCGACGACGGGAACAGAAGGTAAAGCGCAAAAAACTAACTCGTTCAATTTGTGTGCGATTACTTGAACGTTAAGTATCCGTATGCTTTAGGAGGAGTTGAATTGTCGGTGGAGCAAATGAGCAAGGCACAGAAATGTATTAAGTGGGCTGGAAGCGCTTTAAATTACGATGATATACCTACAGCTGTGTTAAACCTGCGAAAAGCTATACATATTTTAACCACTGGACAAGAGCTCGAATAAACTGGATTAGTTGGTCTTCGCACTAGAATCGGCAATTGCTTTGATGTTGCAATCGTTATGTTGACAGTAATATAAACATATATGTTTACAGTTTAATTGCCACATAAGTAAAAATAATAAGTTATTTATTATTATTACATTAATACAACCATGCCGAATATGATGGTTGCTTCTCTCATTTTCTCTTTGGTTTAATATACTTATCCTTGTACACGTACGAAATCGTAAATTGAAATGATGGTGGCATTTAACTTGGTTATTATAAAATACGGTCAATCTAAGTGTTACGATGCACGGAATACGTTGATAATATTTCATATTGCGTCGTAAATATAAATCAATGAATTTCTTAATACCTTTTTCGTTTTCGTTCTCATGGGAGGAAAGGAAAGTATTGTAAAGGTTGGATTCCACTGAGGCAACATTCTGGCAACATTATGTATACTACATAGCTGTATAGGAGAGTCGCGTTCAAACTCGGTGGACATCGCAGCGGCAAACACATATTTGTGGAATAGAAAAAACGCCTTATAACATGTCACATGCAGCAACGGTGTTGCCGTATCGTATCGTCTCGTTAGAAATTGCATTAAACATTCGTGTCAAAAGTCTCGTCGGTCGCATACCACCAGCATATATGTTGCCATGCGTGTGCTCCGATCGAATCGAGCCTTAATGAATATCGGTAAAAACAGAAAGAACTGATATTGAGCAGATTTTTTCTTTGTAAATATGATACATTTACGCGTTTATACGTTGAGCTGTTTAACCCCGCGTCTGTGTGCTTTATAAGAAGTGTAAAATTCGTAAATAAAGTTACGTATGTATATAATACGATACCGTAATTATGGTTTTCTCGCATTGAAAATATTTTGTGCTGTTCTTACGCGCTAAAAAGTACTGATCATTTTCGAGAACAAACAGTATTCTTGATTAATTCAATATTTTTCTAGGGATTGTAAGATGCCGATGCATTAGTAATTACAGGACAAAACGTGCTGTACCCTTATTTTCACATTATTTCCTCGATGTAACCTCGAGTTGGAATATTAACAATATACACAATCTCAACGAAATCTGAAATCGAGAACACGCGTCGCCTTGGTTATCGTAGCAATGAATAACGATCCCGTGGTAACTGAACGCGTTTTATTTTGGTCGATCGTCATTTTCGCACTATTTAACAATAATTAGTTGGTGTTCGTTCATACGTTTCTATCAACTTGAAGGAGTTGCATAAACGGAAAAACAAGAAAACAATAGGTGCAATATATTGCCGACATTAATTCTCATTTAAGGACATTGTACATCTTAATACGATATCGCGAAGAACACATTAAGTCGAATGGCAGTTAAATACCTTGTGTTTGAGCTAATGTTTTGTGTCACACCCTTCGTGAGTAAATATATCAAAATCGGTGGTTGTGTGGTCATCAATCGAAACACGATACTTTTGCTCTTTCGAACTTGAAATTTCAGATTCCAAAATCGAATATTTCAGATAACGCGGGTTTCGCGGTCTTTAGGTGTTTGACACCTTTTTTTCTTCGGGAAAGGAACTTGCCAGAACAGAGGAAAGATGGGTGGTGTTAGCATAAGAATGCTTCGAAAGAGCATGCTTCGCGAGCCGAACGAATTACGCCGAAACACAATTGTTATCTCGTGTAGGCACTCGCAGAGAATCGATCGGTTTTCGTTCGGTTCACAGAAAATGGAAGATCGTCTGGCTCGCTCGCTTTCTCTGTTAACGATAATTTTTAACGCGACTGTCGAGATTATTGGTACCGTGCGCGTAATAAAACTGCCACGGTAACCAAAATTTCGCGTTGACGCGTACGCGTTAAACAATTCTCTGTGTTCAATCCTGCTTTTTGGTTTTATCGTCCACACCGTTGGCTGTTACGGACTGTGCATCCTCCCGCCTAAGTTGCCAATCTATCACTAGGCGTCCCGTCAGCATGAAGAAAAATACCTGTGAAAGAACGGTCAAATTATGAAAGTAACTTCGTCTATTTAATATTTAATAGTTGGAAATTTCACTGCATCTCTCTCTGCTCTTACCAAAGCTGGGGCGATCCTCTCGAATTTATCGTTGACCATGTAATGAGAATACACGGCCATTAACATCAATAAAAGCAACACCGCGTTCGATGCATTCTTTACCTTGTCTGAAAAGATCGGAATAAAAAGTGGGCGAAAATGGTATTTGAAAAAAATATTCCTAGTATGTTTATACAACACGTAACCTTCATATATAATATATACTTATATACAATAAAGGGGAAAAAGTAACGGACGCAGAGGGCGCGCGGTAAACAACGGAAGAGGAAAAGAAAATGTTTTCTTACGGCTAGGTACGATCGCCATTGCGAGGCCACAGATGATCTCGAGCGAACCGACAACTCTTCTGTACCATTTGCTCGGTACTTTGAAGTTCAGGGTCTCGGACAGAGGAAATACTTTCGCGTACTTGACGTACTCCTTCCTCTGGGAACATAGGAACGCAATCGGCTAATGAAACGCTGCAGCTGTAAAAAAAAAGAGGGCCAGCGGGCGAATACAAGGAGTAAGGTACTCGTCGAACGGTTTACGATGAAAATTATCACAATTGCTGGCTGGTAAACACCGAACTCTGGCACTTGCGATATTTGGCGCGTCACCAAAACGATCATGGTTTACTATAACTTTGGGCATTGAGTAACAACATGAGACGAAAATAATCTTTTCACGAGTCACACCCGAACAAGCCGAATTACATTAATATTTAATCGTGGATTTAAGAGAAATCAGATATTTAAATTTGAACGGGGACGACTTGCAGAAAGAAACAAAACTCAAAGCCTCGGAACAACCGTTTTAATTCCGATTATGTTTCTTTTTTCGTTTAGTATGGTCGGCTTCATATTTTTTTTCGCGTAGGTTTCCTTAAAGTATTTAACAGCATAGAAAAAGAGATGACTAACGAAAAGCGGAGCAGAGAATCGCATCGTAGAATATTTTTCTTTTTCAAACGAAATCAATGGTTCAACAACTCGTGGGAAACGCAATTACGATAAACAAAACAAAAATACGTGCAATGTGGTGAGAAATGCATTGTCGAAGCGACGTAAAAAAAGAAAGGAATGATTGACAAAATCGACGGCGCGCGATCGCGGATACATGCTTACGATAATAGACGTTTCGAGTAGGACGGAGAAGAGACAGAGCGGAATAGCCACAACAGTCGACTACGACGTGGGAAAAGGTAGAGAAGGAAGGACAGCCGGTGCGAGACGATGATAACAAGGCGAGGTCGACATTAATACATACAGAGAAACACGAACGAGGAGGGAATCGCGGTGAAACTGGCGGGGCCTCGTTATGATGGGGTGAATAACTGTTACATAATTATACTCCCAAGAGTGAGCTCTGACTCACCAGATCCTTGTGAAGATCCTTGCTGATGTGCGAGGTCAGCTTCATGGTGCCGACGAAAACAAAAAATATTCCAAGAAGAACCGAGAGCGATTTTACGACGATCGAGCCCATATTTCGGGAACGCGAGGCTGTTAGCGACACGAACGGTGGGTAGTACGGAAGAATCGATTCGGAATCTGGACTGGACGAACGACGAGATGCAGCCGCGATTCAGGGTAATGCGCGACGTAGGGACGCTCGGTAGACCTGACCGCCCCTTAGCTATACATATCGATGGATTTTCGAAACTTATTTTCACCAGCGCTCTGTAGAATTATTCAAATCTTACAAAACGACAGCTATGTACACGATATATCGGTGTTCATACTTCCTCCTGTCTCTTTTTCCCATTCTCTTTCTCTTTCTGTCTCGGTTTTGCTCGGTCTATTCCGACTGCGACAGCGCAGACCGCGCGCAACGCTAGGACGGTCTGCGTCGCGTTGCGTTACCTTGTTGCCCTGTAACCTAATTGGTGGGGTTTCTAGAGTCCGAGTTCATTGCACGCAAAGGTCTATTAAGTTTTGCCCGTAATGTGGATCTCGTTTACGTCGTGTTATTTTATTAATCTTTATTGCCTATTCTGGTAACGCATCAGCCGACCGCCCGTGAATTCATTTCAGAGGGTTCATTTAGAGAAACACACAATAGATCTAGGTGGTCGAGAGCGCACGTTTTGCCAAAAGCACGAGTCAGAAATTTATATTTCATTAACGGTTCAACAAAATACTGCTGTTGGTCGTTTTATTTTAAATAAACGATTTACACGCATGATCGCATCGCATCCAGTACGGTGCTATACCAATTTGCCCCTGAATACTATACATATACACAACGTATTTACAATATTTCATTAAAGTACTGATCAGCGCGAGCATTTTAGCGTGAGCAAGTAAGGTTTCATTCTAACGAATTGCAAATGCGAAAAATTCCAGTTCAAGGCATATCTCTGTTATTGCTGTTCTCGTAGAAACATAATAACATTGACGCGCGCCCTCCTCCTGCATCAACGAACCAGTATAGAGCGGCGTTCATCACGGTCGCCTGCACACATTTTTACATTATTATATTTACATTACAGAATTCCATTCCATTTTGTAACTAACGTCTGGTCAGCTATTATTAACACTGCGATTATTATTTATAAGAACAGTCATGTCCGCGTTACTGTTTGCTAAGCACACGGGTTTCCTGCGTCGTCGTGCAAACATAATTATTTTGCCCTGAACGTTCACAGACGTGGCCTTTCCGTTCGTACTATTCACTTTATCCGCCGACCTAATTGACTCATTTAGTAATTTCTGTTCTCTTACCGTACCTTTACCAAATTCGTTCTCATCCCCTGTTTTCTGATCTAAATTGCCTTTAACATTGTTTTCTTTCACCTTCTCTTCTTCACTAGCGATCTTACAGTCATTACTAATAGTTTTGCCGTCGATGTCGTCGCTATTACTCTTATTGTAATTATTGTGGTTACACCTACCATTAGTCTTATCACCATCTGAATCTTTGGAAGTGCTTACACTAAAGTTTTCATCGTTACCGTTACTTTCTTTTTCCCCAGACTGGATGGCATCACTTTGAGGAGTATTATCTGACTGGGTACTTCCTAAAAGACCTTCCGTTCTCAAGCTAACCGATGTTTTAGCGATTGCGAGATCAATCAAGAAATTATTTTCTAATACACTGACGTCAGTGTGCAATGCACAATTACTCTGCACCGCAAAGCCGTTCGTATTTTCCACGGCTGTTGTCACTGTTTGATTTTCGATACAATCGTTCCCGACAGAATCTTTGGGAACTTGTTGAAACGCATCCCTCAATTCGACTACTGTGTCCACCTTTTTATCTGCATGATGTACTTCAAGTGGCAAAGATTTCTCCACATTCGATTCGGTGAAGTTCGTCGAGCTAGGCTCCTCGAGTGTAATTTTGTACGTAAAATCATCATTTACTGATGTGTGTACCTTTGTACCGGCGAAGATGTGTTTTTTCTCTAGATCTTTGTCTAGATCTTCACTGCCAGGGGCGTAATCACGAATGAATTTTTCTATATTTTCTACGTTTTCCGTATTTTCGCTGTTTTCAATATTCGCAATATTCTCGACAATCTGGATATTCTCAACATTCTGGATATTCACGACATTCTCGACATTCGGGATATTCTCGACATTTTCGACATTCTCGATGTCCTCGATATTCTCAATGTTTTCATGACACTGTTCGCCCAACGATGTAACAACCGTGACCTGTTGTAAAACATCGCTATAAAGTGGCTGTAATTCATGAACCGATTCAGTTTTGACACTTTCGTCAATTTCCGAGTTCTTGTTTGCTATATCAAGCGAAACGGAGGATGCTGCTTCATCGATGCTCCTCCGAGAATCTTTTGATCTTCCGCGTTTCTTGTTTATGTTATTATTGCTGCTAATTGTATCGTCTCCTTCCTCGATCTTTTTCGAATCTTGTTTCTGGCGTTTCCGTAATTCACGATACACTTTCGAGGGGTTTTCGTTTTCCGTGAATTCGCGTTGATCCACTAGTCGGTCGATTTTCTTCAAGCAGTTGTTAGTTTCAGCGCTCCTTCCGCGTTTTGAGGTTTCCAAATGACGCGTACGTTCGGTGAGTTTTTCTGTGATAGAGTTTCGATGTGACGAGTACACATTGGACTCGTCTAACCTCTTGTCGCCCCGTTTCGTTAATTTATCCACAGGCTTAAATCTTCGAGATTCATAATTGTCGTACCGATCGCTGATGTATGCGTTGTCTGTGTTCCGCTCAGTCGTGGAACGTTTGGCTGAGACACGAGAATCGTACCATTCTTTCTTCATTGCTTTCGATTTGTCCACGCAATCGTAACGCTTCTCTATTTTTTCCCCGTGATCGGTGTACTTGTTGCATTTGTCTCTGGCGTACTTTTCCTCCCGGTATTTGGAGTACGAAGATTTATTTCCACGTGATCGATGATCCTTCGTTTCATTGACACGGCGATCCTCTTTTTGCTTGATTCGATGATATTCAATACTGCTAATCCGATAATCGTCTTTCCTCGATACCTCGGAGCTGCGATGGCTTGCATTCCTATCATCTAATGTACACGTTGAGCTTCCGGTCGGCTCGTAATGTCGTTTTGAGAAATATTCGTTAAGTTGCTTTTTATTGTAAAATGCATCGTTTTCGTCCTTTGTACTTCTTCTTTCACCGTTCTTAATTGGATCAATGGGACGACGGCTACGTTTCTCACTTTTTATACTAGAATTGTAAACATGTTCTCCATCTGAATGTGCAGTACGTCGCAACGCACAAGATTTATTGAAAGACTCAAATTTGTTATTGTTCGTGAAATCACGCTTTTCATTGGACATGTCAATAGTATCTTTACGAGTATCTACATCTTTTGACTCTGGTATATATTCCTCACTATCGGATTTAATGCGTTTCGCACCCACCCTTCCATTCTCGTTAACAATTTCATCGATTCTTCTCTTACCCGTGTAATTTCTATTGTCACATGGAAAATTTGTAGCAGTGTAATGTTCATCCTCAGAATATTGCTTTAGAGTGGGAGACTGCAGTTCTCTTGGAATGGGGGAATTAATCTTGCGTAGAGAACCATTTTCTTTATCACTTTCAGTTACGTATCCTTCAGTGGACACAACATTATTATTGTTACTGAATATGCTCGTTTGTTTATCTATTCTTTCCAAATTCTGCTCTTCCACCATTCTTTTACGCAGTCGTTCGCCAAACACTGTGAGGGGCTTTAAAGTGGGTGCGGTTATATTACAATCTTTGGGTAGATTATATGATACATCTGTTTCGAACAATGCATGATTATCTTGATTCAATGGTAAAGAAGTCTTGGCGGGCTTGCAACGAGTGCCTGCATTGATGTCACGAAATGTCGATTTACGGATAATGTGATCATTCGTTTTGATATACGCGCCCTTCCTGAATGTAAAATCGTCAACCCTGTAACAATTGTTTCAGGTTACGAAAATATCGTTAGGGTGACATAAGAAAAACTTCTTACTTACTTTCTTCTCAAATCATCGATCATCTTGTCCTTTCGTGCAATTTCTGCTTTTGCAGTCTTCAATAACGACGACAAATTGGTCTCCAAATTTTCGTTAACCTTTCGAAAATCTTCTAACTTTATTGTAAGTTCAGCAACGTGTTTCTTTAATTCTGCGTATTCGCGCGTAATATTTTCCTGTGTGCTTATTTCGGGTACGGACTATGGTGTCATATGAATTCAAGATGTGAAACATAACCTAACTTTAGAAAGAAAAGAAGAAAGTGCTGCACCTAGGATACTCACAGTTTCGTCAAACTTCGTATTGAAACTCGGTAAATCTTCATAAATATCTATATCATCCTCCATCTTTTTTTATTCTCCAATGCATGAAGTTGATCGAAAGGCATTCATCCTGCCGCTCCGGAATTATCGTCCATGCGAAGTATCGCGCCAATACTTCTATTCGTATGCACATGTGATGTACGTGAATACGAGCCACAAGCTTGTACAAAAGGACAAGGTATATTTATGTAGCATCATTCTTGACCTTTGTTGTAGTCGAATACGGCCGAGTACGTAAACTTATAATAAAGAATTATTTCGTTAATGTACGCCTTCTTACATAATTGTCGAGTATTTTAAAAATCATGTTTAAAAGTAACCAAAACGAATGAAACATACAGTAAATACATTAGATAACCATAGGTATTAACGTCCCATGAATATTATCAATACAATTGTATTAATCATTACAGTTGCTTTATACGTTTTTTTGTTCTACACCTTTATTTATTATCCTTCCCAGGATGGATAGAATCAACTATTGTAAGTAAAGAAATTTTTCCAAATGCAAAAATACGGGGAATATACACGGTGACCATCAACTATAAGAACAACAGATAGAGTTTCGTTGAACGATGCGACGAGTGTATACTCGATTACGGCATTACAGAGCATGGTAACGTTTTTCCTGGTAGAAGACACGTTCGCGCAGGCGCGTTTCGTATTTAGTCAGTGGTTCTCTGACCGGTTTCACTGAGCGTGACTGAGCGTGACAGTAAGCGACATGCAGTGGTTTTAACGGTACGTTTCAAGTGTGTCGCGTTGCAACATACAAATTGTTTCTAAGCCGGGTATGATATCAAGAAATAGATCAAGGCCCGCTTGCATGCAAGAATCGCGTGATTTGTGTATATTCGTAGATCGAAAACAATGAGATAGGAAACGCTGTAGTCGCTTACGGAAAGATGTTGACACGAGTGGTTTAAGATGGAACGACAGCGACCGACGCGACGGTATCGAGATGATCTGTGCTGTGGGTCCGGCTTGAGTAACTCAAGTATCTATACGTGTGAACGCGCGTGCGCTTGCGCGTGTGTGTAGGCTGGTATTCGCGCGAGCATAAGCGCGCTCGCGCTTGCGCGCACACTATGTACTCTGTACGGCCGTTGGATCGCGATGCTTACACATTTATGCTTAGATTATTGTGACCGAAATCTCGTGGTTTGTTAATTCTGTGATGATTTATATACGCTTGCACCGATGCAGTGATTGGTGATGCTAAATTCAGGATGCGTGATGTTTCTGGAATGGAAAGTGTAGAATGTGCGTCGTTGGAGCAGTTTTCCCCGATGTCAACTGAGTCGCGGCCACGAGGAGTGGAGTAGTCGCCAAAAGTGTGTCCCACATTCAAGAAAAAAAAGAACGACCAATTCTACAGAGGTTCGTACGTCTCGATGAACCGGTGATAATGAATATCTGTTTTAAATAAGCGTACTAAAAACGTAGGACAAAAGTAAATGGTCTTTGTTGTCTCTGCGATATAGTATATTGTGGTAAGCGCTCTCGCTTTGCTACACGTCTTTGATACGTGTATACGTAGGATATACACGTATGTACATACATTTATACATATACTTGTATCAACACCTGTGGTCAGTACGGTTTCTTAAACGTTCAGAACGTCAGCTTCCGAATTTTCTACGTGCATACTAATCTGCTAGTGATGGACGTTATCAGTAGCGCGTACATCTGCAGCTTTATGTTTTCGAAGATTTAGAAATTTGCGCATTATCTTTTGACGGGTTGACGCATCGAGTGAAAGTTGTAACCGAACGGCAAGGATTGGTTTTCATATCTGGTCGATCGAGACTATACTATAATTGCAAACGACCGAAAATCGTAACACAGTAATAGTTATGGATTAAACGTTATATCTCGTAAGCAAATAAAAGGAAAAAAGGCGAGACAATATCGCGCGTAAGAATGGTCTCGCTAAAGGCTTTCTGCGTCTTTTATAAATTTTTCGTGAGCTCATTCCCGCGATACTGCTCGAAGAAGAGCTCTTTTGAAAGATGTTCCAAAAGATTGCTGAATAATGAAACGAACCATCACGATTCATTTCTTTGACGTACGGGCTTGCGGGAAGAAGCTTGGGAGGAAAAAAGTGAAGGCTTTTCGAAAGAACGAACTGTGGGTACGTACAAACTTTGCAGTGGCTTATGCGTTCGTTCAACAAACTCGAACGAAGTAAGCAGGAAGCGGTTACTTAAGGGCAATAAACAGACTACCTCGTTCGAACATTTACTCTCGACTTGGATCTTCGGCAACTCGGATGCCGTAACTTTATTGTATATTTATAAATGCGATAAGCTTGCACGGTGATCATTTCTCACGGTTAAACTCACAATTTCCGTAGATCTCTACCAAATTGCTGTTTTGCCGCTCACCGGTTGCTTATACCGTGGAACACGAAGGGTCTGTTCGGTGTCTACGGTTGTAATGCCTAACGAAGTTACGGAAGAAGCCCTAAAATGAAAATGAGATTCGTTTCTCTAGTATTACGATGCCGTGACAACAAATGATATTTTATATTCATGTGAAAACTAGAGTAAAAACGTTTTTTGTGTTCTTGTAGATAATTCAAGTTGTAAGTATTATATAGTCGGTACTAATGGTAATAATAATCACAATAGGAGTAATAATGATCATAGTTTGCTATAAAAAATGTTGTTCATTAATTAGATGAACAAGCCGGGATTAGATAACAATCTGAACATTCGCTAATGATCCAAGAGAATTTCACTTTTTAATGCGACTGTACGGTAACGTAATAATCCGTGATGGATTGTCAAGGTTGTACCTCGGCTTGCTTTTTTATTTGTAATCATTCCGCGAAGGTATTTTGAGGTGATTTCGCAAAGACATTTTAATATCTATTAGAAACGTGTGTAAAACGACGACATTTACAAGGAACATTAAACCATATGATATACACGAGATGAAACGGAGAGTGAGGGAACGGATGAGATGAGACGAAACGGAACGAGACGAAACGGAGCGCAGCGAAGCTATCAGAGACGGCGGATCGGAGCAAACTATATCGTGCGGGATGACCAGAGGACAGGACAGAATAACCAGAGAATCGGAGGAAAAGAAAGAGAAGGGGAAAGAGAAAGTAGGGATAGAGAAGGAACGATGGGGGAAGGGGAACTACGGTGGGATTAAGAATGGTGGGGATACGGTGAAGCGAGAGAAGCGTGTTCTCCCACTCTTGAGGCCCAAGCATTTCCGAGTCCGTTCGCGTCGGCCAGTTGGTTGGTAATTACGCGACGAGAAATACGTTGGTAGTATTATGCGTAAAACTCGCTCGACTCGAAAGAGGACCGGAAAAATATTTCGTGTTTTTGGTAGAAAGAACAGATCGGGAAGGTATGGGATCGCGGGTCGATGGAAGTTCGCGAAATCGACGGTGTTTTCGGTAACAAGCCCCCACCCGTAACACCAAGCACGTTGAACGGTTACTATTTTCCCAAGGTAGAGAAAAATGTTCGCTCGCGACGATATTCAAGAGATATTTTTTCACGTTATCGAGTCGGTTCTACCAGATGATCGATCGACCTTATGGATCGTTCAGACGTGTATATTGTGTAAAAATTGCGCGTGGAGTGATCGTTGACGACTTCCATGAGTATAATATAGATTTAAAGCGCATTCGCAGTACATACGCGCAAAGATACTTTGGCGTTTCGCGATACGAATTACTGTCTTATTTTCAAGCTGAAAAATCTGTGCTTTCTTTCTTCGTTTCTTTTTTAATTATTATTATTATTCTTTCGCGGCATCAAGTTCAATTTGGATCAGCGTATTCGCATGTTTTGTGTCCACAGCGTTTACCTCGACCGCATTACGGGAATGACAGTCTCGGAAGAGTAAGTACGATGACGCACCTACCTGCTTTCCGTCTTTCTTCTTTCCTCTTTTTTTTTTTCCCTTGACGAAGCGTCTACCTAGAATCTTTGATCGCGTTCATTGCACAAATCTACCTCGTTTCACGCGTCTACGAATCTGCGTATATGTATTTTCTTGCATGCATGTTCGACTGCGCATAAATTGATTGTATATCTCTATTTTTCCCGTCGAATGCTACACGCTTTTTCGTGAACGTAAGTAACGGCTTGAGAACGTTCTCTGTCGAAAATTGTGCAGAGTAACAATCCTACACTTTCGTTCTCCCCGTTGATTATGCAAGTGTGACAGATAAGTAGCTGATTGCGAAGTTAGATATCGGGGGCTGATATTGGCGAGAAATTGGCACTTTAAAGAAATCGGAGGGAAAGGAGGACGTTCATTCTGGGAAATCGAAGAATCGAATGTAACGATGACCGTGAAATTATTATCGGTCAATGAATGGTTTAAGATCTGAAATATATTGTTTTTCAGAGAAGGGAGGGGGAATGTTTGTCTCGACGATAAAACGTAAGAAAATTATTGGATCGTCGTTGTCGGCATCGGCGGCGGCGGCGGCTCGTGAAAAAGTTCGCTCGTGGGAGATATTGGGTGGGGAGGAAAACGGGAATTGGTTCAGTCGGTGTTTGAAAGAATCGCGATCACGGTGCCGAGGGTGGTTCTACATGCTGCGTGGAGGGTACTCGAGCGTGTTCGAGTTACTCAAGCGCGCTTTTAAGGTTTTAAAACCGGGCACAGTCGGAGAAGAGATAGGAATGCATGGTATGCGGACTCGCTCGTGGACAGCGTACCGCTCCCGAGCTGGCCCGATTCGATTCGACGAGGATTCCCGAGGAACGTCGAGCCGGGTCGATCGTATCCGATCCGAACCGATTCCTTGCACCTCGGCACGTCTGTATATACCTCCGAGTGTCCCTTCGGCATCGCTTCTCCGTCGCTTTGGGTTAACTACATATACACTCAATCGTGGATTTTCGAACGGTTCGCGATTATCGATTTATCGAACGTTGCGAAAATGGGTTCACACCGGGGATTCACGACTTTTCTCCTTGTTTCAACCCTGATCCAAATAAGCGAATGCGCTTTGTCACGGTTCTTCTACCGATTAACGCCGGCAGTATCGGAAAGAGAAGGAAAAAGAGACAACAAGTAGTTGTGACGCTTGGACAAGATAACAGGTGGCGTAACGAGAAATATTAGTCATTTCGAAAAGTAGCTCTGACAACTCGCAAAACGAGAGATGCGAAACACGTGATTCTGTCCACGGTTTACGTACCAGAGAAACTGAATGTGGGCAACACTAGAATTGTACAAAAAGTATATGGATTTCTCTGTTGTTTTTTTCTTTTCGTTCGATAATTGATTCGCGGTTGTGTTTTGTTCTTTTCCGCAGGATGGCCACAGAGCTGGCGAATAAAAAAGCCGAGCGGGAGGCTCTGCGGGGCGTGATTCAACAGTGGAATGCGAATCGGTTGGATTTGTTCGAGCTTTCGGAACCGAACGAGGTGAGTATCCGATTATTTATGGAGGGTACAACATAGAAATCACACGTGTGCAAATTTTCGAACGTTCACCGGATGATTTTCTTCGCAGGACTTGGAGTTTCACGGGGTGATGCGATTTTACTTTCAAGATAGCGGTCAGAAGGTCGCGACCAAATGCATTAGAGTAGCATCGGACGCAACGAGTCAAGCGGTGATCGAAACGCTTATCGAGAAATTTCGACCGGACATGCGAATGCTCTCGGTTCCGGAGTACGCTCTGTATGAGATTCACGAGAACGGTGGTAAGTGTCTGTGTGATGTCGGCAGAAAACCCTTTTGCTTCATTCCCGTTCGACACACGTACCGATCGCAACATTACATATTCGCTTGTAGAGGAACGGAAGCTTGGCCTCGACGAGAAACCTTTACTGGTCCAATTGAACTGGCACATCGACGATCGCGAGGGACGTTTCCTTCTGCGACGAATCGACGACAAGACAAACGCCCAGGGCGTTGGTTTCTCGTCCGCGGACGGATCCAGCTTCCGTAGGAAACTAAGCAAACGTGAGAAGAAACAGATGAAGAAGCAAGAGAAGCTCAGCCGGCTGAAGAGCGTGGAACAGGACGAAAACGCGGCGCCTGCCGATCAGAACGGCGTGGCGGAGAAACTTTACACGGGTAAGCGGATAAAGTCAGGTTATTAGATTTTAGGGCGTTCGATTCTACGTACATATGTCGATGCGTCGTTGTAAACTTGTCGGTGATGTGTTAGCGGTCTTATTCTTGAGCCAGACTTATTTACGTCGATGCCAGTTATGCGCTTCGTTATTACCGTTCCAATATCGACGATCGGCGGCACCTTTCCGAGACAATCATGGTTCAGAAACATATACTAATTATTTAATATACATTCTATGTACGTGAAATACGCGGGAGGTTCACGAGCGATAAGGATTTAATGTGTATATATATGTGTGTAACACCGTCGAGTTGCACAAGTTTGTTCGATGAAACTATTTGAACGGGTATTACCGCCGGTGTACGTCTGCGAGCGATAGAACGTTATCGACGTGTCGATATCGTTGCGATTCCAACGTATATTTTATGACTTATTCGCACGATAAACTGTAAGGTCCGTGGGTGTTTTTAGAGAGGGAAGAGATGCGAAACAGGGTGAAACGGAACCAGGCACCAGCCGTCCGTCCGCGTGTGTGTATGTGTGTATACGTGTAACGATTTAAACATGGGTATCCTGGAAGGATAATAAGGACAGCTCCGTTGTCGTTTTCAGAATTGCCGGAAACAAGCTTTACGAGAAGCATCTCGAATCCGGAAGCGGTAATGCGAAGACGACGCCAGCAGAAACTGGAAAGAAAATTACAGCAGTTTCGCAGCAAAGACGGCGGCCCGGACACAGGCGGAACATTGAAGATATACGGGGAGGCGCTCTGCAAGGACGTCCCGTATAAAACGTTGCTTCTGAGCGTACGGGACTCGGCTGTTCAGGTTGTACGGGAGATGCTCTCCAAGTACGGATTGGAAAAGGTCGATCCGCAGCAGTATTGTCTGGTGCAGGTCAGCTAATAATTCGTTAATTAAGTTGCTTTTACGCTGCTCGAAACAATTAGGGGATCGCCTAACAAATAGAATTTCTAGAAAGAAACAAACGAAGAGAATGCTATACCTATATAATGCCAGTATGATTTAGTTTTGATTTTATAAACAATCATCCTAGAATTCTACGCCGTATATCTGCGATATACGATCCTCTAAATTCTTTCGACCAGTATACATATTTCTGTTCCGTAATCCGTTTCCATGATCGATCGTTCACATTTGACTTAATGGCTCAGGTGAACAGCGAGAACACCGGCGGTGGAACGCAACAGGAATATATTTTGGACGACGACGAATGCCCTCTCGCCATTCTTATGAATCATCCTTCGGCACGCGGTAAGCTGGATTTTATTATATCCGGAAAAATCTTTCACGGGACCGTTGACGACCAATGATTCCCGAGGATCGATTTGTCGATGTTTGGGTACTAATTTGAAAAAGTCTGGTAGCCGTCTGATAGTGGATTGCGATTCGAGATCGGATATTAAAAATACGGGGAAGAACCCTGATGAAAATCAATCAACGAAGGGAACGGAAGAAAACACCGTGTGACGGACGACGCCCGATACACACGGATACCTCGCGTTAGGTTGCTTTTATTAGTTCGTTTGTACCGAGTTGCGCTGGTCGGTGACGACTGACGGGGTCGACGAGTCGACGGACGAGAACGCATGCGCTTTGACCCTTCTCTCCGTTCGTTCGTTTGTTCGTGCGACGAACCAACGATCGCCCGCACACACACGATACACGCTTCGTCTCCACCAATGTTCAAGTTCAGTCGCGCTAAACGCTCACGCGGTTCAACTTCGTGTTCCGGTTTCGTCGTTCTCCTGGACGCCCCGGAACCATAGAGTGTCGGGACCAACCTCCGTGAACGACACGGAGAACGAACTGACGACGCTAAAGGATCCGTTCCCCCTCGAAAGGATCGATACACGATTTTCGTTTCCAAATATACACAAGTTTCGGTGGAACGTATAACATACACAAGTAACGATGAAACGAAATCGTTTGGCCGATGATACGCGACACCGTGCGTTATCGACCGCGAAGCAGTATCGTTGCGAGAAAGTTTGGACGGATGGTACGCGGTAAAGCCCGTCGAGAAACCGTGTGTTTTCGGTTCTCCGCACGATACGGAATACGCCACTACGAAAATGGGGTGATCGTGTGAACACCGCCGCGTCGATCCAAGTGCAACCTGCCCGGATGTGAAAACGCGCGCGGCGTGTGTGTATATGTGTACGTGTGTCTGTTATCGGAATCTTTTTTTTCCGGGAATCTGGAAGTTTACCTTTCGATCCGCGCCGATACTTATGACTTTGAATCGAAGCATGTAAGATAACGAAAGAAGAAGGGGGAGCGAGATAGCATTCCGGGTAGCGGCGGGGGGCCGCCGAAATTTCATGCGATAATCGTACAGAGACGAGAAATGAAGAAGGGACCTGATGAAACGTAGAGGACCAACATTTTAATAAATTATCGTCGACTGTTAAAAAGGGGACCAGGGAGGAAACTATTTAGGGACCATTGCACCTAGAATCGGTGCTATTTTTTACGCAACATGATGGATTGGGGAATTAGACGTAAGATTTATTACCTTGTTCTTACGGTTGCCCCTGTTTTCGTAATTGTAGACCAGACCTTCGTACACCAGTTGTGATCGATTTCTGTGTAACCTTTGCACGGAGTTTATCGACTTGATGCAGCCCCCAGCCACGTATATACCGTGTTCGTTTACGATAGAATCGAAGTTTCTATATCGCGTGAAAAATTCGCTCGTCACGATTGCGCCAACCTCGATCTGACTTCGATTAAGATACTTAAACATTATCCGTGAACAGATTTCCAAATTGATCTTTCGTTCGTATTGTAAATTCTTCGTTCTTGTCTTCGTCACGTTTCTCTAGGCATCAGTTCGATCCGTATTTGTTTTCGTGAAGCTTCCGATGTTTCAACAGTGACGTTGTTTTAACCGTGTCGACGCACGTGGACGAACTATGTAGGTCAGCTGGACACGCGACACCCAAAGACATCAGAAATCGGCGTCGATATTTAGCGACAACGATAAAACACGCACGATTCTTGTCGTTTCAATCCTGCGTGACTGAATTGCGTTTGTTTCGAGTATATCCTGTGGTGTCGAAGAACCATGGATGAGAATATCAGTCAGAAAAAACTTCTTTTTCATTTTCCGTTCCCGTTTTCGCATCCGATCGAGCGTCTCTTAAAATTTAGATGAAGAACAACTCGTGAAGCTACCATGTTACTTTCACGAATACAATTTGCGACATTTGATTCAAATTCCTGCCCAATCTTTGTTGTACAAACATAAAAATAGAATGTACAGTAAATCATTGATGAGTGTTCGAAGGTTCCACGGCACTGAACGTTTAGACATCATCCCCACCAATGGGAGCTTGACTGGTTCTACGGTACCTCCTCTCCCCAGTGGTGGGGATGTCGTTTGAAGATTCAGTGCCGTGGAGTCTTCGAACACTCGTTAATGATTTACTATAATGTCTTGTTTATCGATGTTCCATTCCCCTTGCTAGGTTAATTAGTCCCTTAACTCATAGGAGTTAACGTGTACACAGGAACACTGTATCTCGTATTTGTATACATATATATAGATGTACATAACAACGCGTTTTTTTTTCTGGCATGGTTTTTAGGTTCAATTATGTTCCATGTACGGAGAAGACCGGCGGATTACGTGCCCCGGAAGCGAAAGAAAAAACCTAACGGCAAATGGAACGAGCTCGATCACAGGTTCGTGAAAGGATAATACGCGTTAATGTACTCTCACGAGCAAACTCTGCCTCCTTTAGGGGAAAAAGCAATATAGGGATAAGGGCTACCTACCGCTTGATAAATTTATTTCAAATACTGAAATATTGGCATAAATTTCAGTAACTCCGAAACCAAGTGGTGGGACATCTTTCCCTTATGTCACTTTTTTCCTTTAGAGGAAACCGTGTTTGTTCGTCAGTGTATGTAGTGCACAGAGACCCGTCAGATTAAATATAAGAACAGAGGAGGACACAAGCGAGCGTTGTGTAGTAAATTTCCGGAATTCGACATCCGTAGGTACGAGGACGAGAGATTACCGTTCTTGTTGGAATTGAATCCGGACGGTAGCGATATTCCCCACGGGACCGGAGCCAGACACCGGTTGCAGCCCAACGTGACAGAGGTGGGTTCGGAAAGGCCGATAGGTCCGCAGGCGGTTCAAGCACAAACACTCACGTTGACTGGGCCCACTGTGATGCCGCGACACTGTGTCATAGCTTTCACCGAGAATATCGTCACTCTGACACCTTGCTCCAGAGACGCCCACACGTACGTTAACAATCAGAGGATCCATCAGACAACGATACTTCAGGTAATGTGTGTCACGTGATAATGTTTCGACGATTTTCTTTTTGCGTGTAGTGTTGTTCGTTTTCTCTAACAAAATAACACATCCACGTTCGTAGAATGGCGCGATCGTGAAATTCGGCAGACTACACACCTTTCGATTCATCGATCCAGCGCCCGAGGATCGTATCAGGCAACGTCATGATTCCGGAAGGCAGATCGAGTACGGCTACGAACGGTAAGGGATCATTGAAATCAACGAAACACGGTTGTGCTTGTTCCCCGTTGTTCCCCCGCTTGTAATCCGATATACACACGGACACGCGTGACTCGAGGCATGAGACAGAGAGAGAAAGAACGATGGTTACTGAACGAATAGACACGCAGTGAGTCTGGGTAAGTGAGTCGATACGGATGCGTACGGGATCGGGAAGAGCAAGCGAATTAGTCTTGGTCACGGCACACGAGATCACGTTCAAGAGGATACAAGGTGAGAGTAGATGTGAATGTAGTAGTCGAGTAGAGAGGAAAAGAACAAGTACAAGTTCAAACAGAGAAAAGAGTACTGGTGCCCCAGAGTGTGTTTTGTATATGTTGTTTTTTTTTTGTATAAACACGGAATGTTACTGTTCCTGTATTCGAGTCTTTTTTTTGTTGTTTTTCTTTTTTTTTTTTTTCACTTGGTTTCTTTTGTTGGACTTTCGCTTCTCCCCGTTGGGTTTTTCTTTTCCTGCACGCGGCCTGCTTTTGTACCGTAGACGATCCCCAGAGTTGACCATTCAAGAGACGAGCATGGAAAGATACGGTTCTTCTGTGCCCGGCACACCGAACGGCGGGCAACAGATGAACCAGGCGCAAGGCCAACGGAGCCAGGATCAAACTTCCCATATGTCTAGTCAGAGCAAGTCAACGCCCCTCACCGGCACTGTTGTTTGCCATCCCCGAAGCCCGAACCATGGTGCAGAATCCACGCACAATTACGAGACCACCTTCGATCTGGACGGGAATGTCGAGACTGCGAGTCTGACCAGCAGCAGGGATGGTAACAGGTAACAGGCTGCTTTACCATCAAGGGACCAAACAAAAAAATCAAAAAACATGAGAAAAAACTGTGGGTATAGGGATACGCAAGAGGGTGTGTGTATAGGTGTAGGTGGTAGAGCGGGCGCGCGTGCGTGGAAACCTTTTGTCGAGTTTCGATCATTCTTCCGCGGCTCTGTGTAACAAGAGAAACACCACCTCGGGAACTGCGCGCGACGACGACGACGACGACGGCGTCACGCGGTTACGACTTAAACATTGTTAACGGGGACACACTTTTCTGTCTCGACAGGACATTGCAAAACGATCGACAACAACCACGTGGAACGGATCCGATACTGCCGGCGGTGCTGGAGTTTCTCGAGGAAACAGAGGAGACGTTTTTCCACGCGGTGATCACGGACGTGGAACCGTCCGCGCCGCAGTTTAAGCTCGCCCCGACGTATACGCTCTATTTGGCGGCGCGATACCGCGCGAGCACCCATTACAGGCCGGAATTACAGCCCACGGAGAGAGCGCATAGATTAACGGTGATGTTAAGTAATGTCGCCGGTATGATACACCGGGTGATCCAGGTGAAAATTGCGCCAAATGGTTGGAAAACGCGCCAAATGGTAAATCACGGGTCTGATAACAATTGTTGTCTCGTCGACAGGAACGGTACATGGACGCGTCATCGCTGGCTCTGTGGTTAGCAAACGGTTCGGAGTTGTTGCACATGCTGAAGAACGATCGTCACGTCGGTGCGTTCTCGACCAGGGCCCAGGATATCCTGACGGAGGCGGTTCACGAGGCGTTCGCGTCGTTGGTACGTTGTATCTCGCTCGAGCTAGCGCCGGCGATGTCACAGTTCATGGCCGACGCCGACGAACCCGCCAAGGAGGCCGGCGTATTGCAGATCTTCTCGAGTACGATGGCACTGTTGAGGCGGTGCCGTGTGAACGCCGCCCTGACCATTCAGTTGTTCAGTCATCTATTTCACACGATAAACGCGACCGCATTCAATGCGCTGGTCTCGAACGCGAATCTGTGCGTGAGGTGGTTCGGTCGCCGACTGAAAGCCAGATTGAACGCTCTCGAGACATGGGCGGAGAGGCAGGGACTCGAGCTGGCGAGTCAATGTCATCTGGCGACGATCATGCAGGCCACCCATCTGCTGCAAGCGCCGAAATACAACGCGGAGGAATTGGCGACGTTGAGCTCGACCTGTTTCAAGCTAAATTCCCTTCAGGTTAGGGCGTTGTTGCAGAAATATCAGCCGGCCGCGGATGAGCCGAGACTTCCCGCGGAGCTGATCGAAAATGTAGTCAGAGTAAGTGGGGATCGATGAATGATGGTCGTTGACTGTCTTTTCCTCGACTCGTCCTGTTACATTGCGTTTGAATATTCAGGTGACGGAAGGTGTGGCCGACACGCTCGCGCGCGCCGATGGCAGGGAGATTCGACTCGAGGAAGAATCCACTCTCGGCCTGGCTCTTCTTCTTCCCGAGGATGGATACAGTTGCGAGGTGATCCGAGGTGTGCCGCCGGGCCTCGCGGAATTTTTAGCACCCTTACAACGGGACGGTTTGTGTCGAATGGCGGCGCAGCCGACGAGCAGCGGATACTGGACCATATATATGATAGATCATCATAACAACGTGAGTCCTTTCGTTCGATCCTTTCAGGGGAGACTCTGTCGATGATCGTCGACGGGACGCTTTAATGAAACATTTGAGTTTTTGTCGCAGTTTCGCAGTCCCAGCGCGATGAGCAACCGGTCTGGAAGCTATTCCTGTAACGTCGGACCTAATCCGGTTCAGCCGGAGATTCACGTGATAAAGTTACACAAATCAACCAACGGAATGGGCTTGAGTATCGTCGCGGCGAAAGTATGCTATCATTCATCTTGTCTCCCACACATGTTTGTCAGTGTTTCGCGTTATATATTTTATTAGAAAATATGATCGTGATTCTGATTGCGTTTTACAGGGTGCCGGTCAAGATAGACTCGGAATATACATCAAAAGCGTTGTCGCGGGCGGTGCCGCCGATGCTGTGAGTACCGATTAGTGCCATAATAATCACACGAATTAATTATAATATACCATAGCCAATATTCTCTGAACTTCCTTTCACGATTGTGTCGCGACGATATTCGCAGGACGGTAGATTAACGGCTGGCGATCAGTTGCTGAAGGTGGACGGTCAGAGCCTGGTTGGAATCACGCAAGAAAAGTGAGTGCAGATTATTCGCCGACGAGTCAACGATATATTTATTTTTTTTTGTCGTAATATGCAGCCACACTTTACATTTTCCTCAGAGCTGCCGAGTACTTGGTGCGTACCGGTCCCATAGTGACCCTCGAAGTTGCCAAACAAGGTGCCATATACCATGGACTGGCCACTCTGTTATCCCAACCCTCGCCAGTCATGACCAGAGGTACGAATGTTCATCCTCTTGTACGTCTTATTCCGCTTTTTCTCTCATGCATACCTACCCACCACACAGATATTCTACTTCATTCGACGAGACTTTGGCGGTTTCGGGTTTGCCTCTGCCAACAACTGTCCGTAATAACCTTCAAAGCTCCCATCGAGAAACGTAGTATCGCGAGGCGAGCAAACGGATCTCTTTTTGTCGTATCGATCGCGAATCAGCTTCGTTCCTCGATTGACCGTTATGGAAAAAATATTCCACGATGCTTTGACGCTTCACTAAACGACCGTGATTCTCGCCTCCGCGCGTTACGCGTCTCAACCCGGCTCGTGCGTTAAACTCTTAGCCCAGTAACGCAATTCCGAATAACGCTTCACTAACGCTTCACTAACTCATTATTCTCAAGCAGTGCACAAGGTTCGACCCAAGTCCGAGCACTTGGACGCTTCTTCGATGGTACAGGAAACGAACGGACAGCCATCCACGTCGCATTCGATGGGTAATTTGTTGACCGTGCCAAGACGCTCGATAGACTCAGGGACACGTACGATCCACGACCAAATACCACCAGCACCAGGTGCGAATCTATCTCCGAGTCCTCAGGGGCGAACTTCCTACGGTTACGATTCCGTGTGCGATCCTTCCCGCGTCTCGAACAGAACGGACGACCCGTGTCGTCGCGTTTCACTGAATGATTTTGAATTGTGTGTTCCACACGGCGATAAGTCGACGCCTCGATGTATCGACCCGACAATCGAGGCTGACGACCACGACGCCGCGACGATACACGTGAAATGTCCGTTGCGGATGGAAAGAGACGAAGCTGCTCTCGTCACGGTTCCGTGGTCCACGCAAGACACTCCGTCTTGGCGTGCACGAGGAGCCGGTCCTCCTCCGTTCTCACACGATAATTCGCAGGATTTGATCGATTCGAGCGTCCGTCAGCTCTGTCCGCCCGTTCACTCCCGGATCAGTGTTCCGAGCACGACGACCGCGACCAGCATGCCCGCGCGTGACACTCCGGAATTTTCCACCGCGGTGAACAACACTCTCGACAAAAGCTTGTCTCTCGACTCTATACCGTATATCGATCAAACCCCCGAAATTCTGCCGCACGAGCCGACGGTCGAATCTGACGAATTCGACGAATTAGTCGAACTGGACGAATTGAACATGTTGGACGAACTGGACGAACGTTTGTCGAACGGTCACGAGGGTGGCACCACAATCTCGCGAGTCTGTTCTATGGACTCGCTTCGCCGATTCGAGTCGATTGTCATCGGCGAGACTGAGAAAAAATGTAAATCAACAATGAAGAAAGACAGACAGCGATTAGCGAAGGAAGAATATCTCGAACCTGAATGTCCAATTGTACGAGAACGAAACGTCGATGGCAAGTCAGAGAACGATGACGGTGATAGGATGAAAAAATCGACAAATCGTGGAGCGAGAATTGGGAAACAAGTTGTGACTCCCAAGAAATTTACCACGATCCCGGAATTGAATCTCGACCTGTCCGGCCTAGACAGCGACACTTCGAGCGACGTGTCGAGCTTCGACAAGTGTTGGAAATCACCGGAAGATGTACGCCTCGGGTGCGGTAGAGTGGCGGCTCTGGCGAAACATTTTTCGAAGCTCGCCAACGCGAACACGATCGGGGCAGTCGGGCTGGCTGGTGCGTACCGGAAATGTGCGTCCGAACCGAACTTCGTCTCGCGTGAAGTGTACGAGATACGGTCGAGGCATCGTTTTCCGGCGGTCGACAAAGAGTATCTGTCCGAATTGAATTTAAGACGAAGGATGTCTTCGATTCGTGGTGACAACGACCGTGATTCACGGTCTGCTCGTCGTGGATCGGAGGAAAACCGAACGAGCAGCAGAGACAGGCTGTCGTTGTCGGAACAACGACGGATCATAGAACAGCTCGAGAAAATGTCGAATCTCGACGACGCGAGCGGTCCATGGCCATCTTGCCAATCGAGCGAAAACATCGTCGTGTCCTCGACTAACCTCGTCGGACTCGATTCGACGATCGACAGTAGATTGTCGAGGCAATTTTCTAGTTCCTATCCAGTAGCCCTGGAGAAGTCAGGCCTGCCACCAGACGGGACCAATTTACAACGACGTTCACAAAGTTCCTTCGCCCAGGATGCATCCTCACACGTAAACGTTAATAGCGCAGGGGATAAGATTCGTGCGGGATTTTCTTTGGTTGCTTGTCAATGGAACGACGCTTCAGTCGACGAATCAGGACGGAGTAAACGACAGAACGATAAAACTCGGCCACGTGTTGACGAAGAGGTAATTTCGTGTAAGGACATTGACGTCTCGCGACACCACCGCACCGAGGATACCTCAAGGTGTCTTGTTCTTGTCGACAACAATTTGTCACGGAGCACGAGACAAGGTGTTCCAGAAACGAACAATTGTCGATCGAATAATTTCAGCCGAATCGAAAATAAAATAACGAACAACGACGAGGACCAAGAGAACGCGTCGCCCGATCCGATCGACGAGACAAAGGCGAATGGGTCGAACTTGTATCGACGGAAGTTGAGCGATCGGACAATACGCACGAGACTAGATCGAAGCTCTGTGCAGGTCGATTTAATTTTACGTAAGCAACCGAAAGAATGCTCGAGTTTCTTGAATTTCTTTGACGTGCCTGCCGCGGAAATTTGAACGTCATAGACGGCCCACGCTTGTGAATATTCACCTATATACGTATAGAGAAACTGAGAAAGCTCGGTGCCGAGCTTTACACGCCAATTCGTCCAACTATTCACCACGCATGATAAAAAAATCCGTGTCGTTGAACGATGATTTCGTTTGTTTTCGTTAATTTTCCGTTGTTCCCGTGCGTAACAAGATTCGAGCGATAGAACGGCTGAATGCAAAGCAAAACTGCAAAAAATGCTGACCCGTTCACTGTTTCACCGTAGACGCTGTCTGTCGCCTATATACGTACTATTTATTTTCCTTTAAAGGTTATTTTTATCAATCTCACGAACGTATTATAGTTGGTTTTCTTGACTTTGTCGAGACGTTGTTCGAATGAATGCTGCACTATGCCAACAGACTAAACGTTGTCAATGCACGAGAATACCTCTCCACAGTGACGGGCTAATAACCAATTGGACAATACGAGAATGTGATCCAGCTTAATTTCGTGCACAATTGTGTCTTACTTATCGTTGTTCGTTTAACGCACTATCGCTTTCGTTTACGTCTATTCGGGCGGTTCACACGAGTGCTTTTGTCGTAGGTGCACGTCGCATGCTGCCCGTTTGCACATTCATGCTTGTTTTATCTGTCTGTCTGTTTTTCTTTCTATCGTCTCGTACGAGTTCGATCGCGGAGCTGAAACAAACGTATTTTCTGCATCTTGTGCTTATCGCAGGGCCTCGTCGCATGAGTGAACGAGACTTACCTTCACGGCTTGGACGCGACACAACTGCTCCGCAGCAACAAATTCATACCAGCAAGTCCGTGCCAGCGTTGCACAGTAAGTAATTTCACGGCGACCTAATCTCACCCAACCAACGTGTCCCCCTCTTTCTTTCTCGAACACTCTATCTCTTTTTATATCGCACTCTTCGTTACATTTGTATTCGATTGACGAATATGTTTAACTTGAACGTTTCGAAGCTATCATTTGATGATTAAACAGTTCCGTTATAAAATTACTCTGGGCGTCGATATTTAGATAACAGATTATGTTGTATTCTGTAGAGTAGAGCTGGGCAATTGCTGCCCCGAGAGCGGAATTCTCTCTCCCTGGTTACTCCCAGTGTGGTCCTCTGCCGCAACTCGAAGGAGCCACCGGAGGGACCATAGTGGAGATAACCCTAGAGGAGGAATTTTGCTCTCGGAGCAGTAATTGCCCAGTTCGCTGCTCTAGAGTATTTATTTGTTACTTCAAATAAAGAACAGGTAGAAGGAAGGGGAAAATCTTATGGATTAATTACTTGTATGCAGATGTGGGCACCGAAGGAAAGCAGCAACACGAGGTATTCAATCCTGGTTACAGTAGAACGTCGTCCAGTAACAGCGTCACTCCACCAGTTGCTCAACCGCCTTCAATATCAGCGATCAACGGCACGACATCGCTACGTTCTCGGTAAATATCGTTTTCATTTTTTTTTCTTCTAATTTGTTACACTTTCACTCTTGGACCGCATAACGATATTTCCTCGTCTTTGTTTCGCAATAGCTCGAGTCATAACCTGAATGACCCGATAAGAATCGGAACGTTGCCACCGAGCGGTCTCGTGAGTAGACAACAATCATCGCCAAATTTGAATCCCTGTCCTCCGACTACCGGGAGTAGCAACAGTACGAACGCGCTCGGAATCGCCCCTCCGAATGCTTTGCACACCAACGAAGCCGAGAGGTTTTACCAGAATCTGAGCGTGTACAGAAGTCAAGACGCATTGGCGAAACAACGATGCAGCCCGTCGCAACATTTGGAGGAAAGGTACTGAAATCTCGTTCACGTTCGTTTTGCTGCCGAAACTATGCGATTAATGATCTTTCAACAAGGCCGAACGTTTTTCTCGTTTTTCTAGAAACCCTTTGCAATTGCAAAAGAGTTCGAGGGGTTCTCAGAGTTCGTTGAATCGGCCAGGCACGTTCGAAACGAACCAGCCAAGAGACAGACCGATATCCGCCTATGTCTCTCAAGTCCAGCAACAGTCTTATCTCGGTAACCAATCGCAGCAGCAAGGCACCGGACCGCCTCCGAGGTCGCAGTCCTCGCGAGACATAATACGACAAGAGGCGAAGCTTCAGGAAATGCAAGAGGAGGTGAGAAGGCGGGAATTGCGTGGCAATGTACCAGCTCCGGTTCCGGTCTCGGTCCCGATGCCCGTCCCGAGTCTGGGCCCGACCGCTCAGTATCGTCCTGCTGCGTACAACGTAAAATCACCGGTTAACCCTCAGTCCACGAATTCGGTGGTGAGACCGATAAAATCGATCGGTTCTTCGCCGAACGCGGGAGCGAATCCATCGGTGACCGCATCCGCTGCGATCATAGCACCGACATCTGGCCATACAGCTAGACAAACGCCCGGTACGAATTACGGCTACATGGACTCGCAATATGGCCATTACGTGGTTCAGTACGGAAAGTCTCCGCCGTCCCATCAGCATCAGCATTTACATCAACACCAGTATCAGCATCAACACCAGCATCAGCATCAGCTACAGTCACCAGGTCAGCTTCAGCCTCAACATATGCATCAACACCAACACCAACATCAGCATCAGCATCAGAGCATGCAGCAACCGAGTCTGGGACACGTTCAATATAGCGCGCCACCGTCCAGGGGAAAAGCTGACACGACGCGTTTGCAGCCAAACGGCGGGATGCCGGAATACACGGATCCGAATCGACATTTTACCATCGGATCGCAATATTACTTGAATGGCAGCTCTGACCTACGAAACGATCAGTATTCCTGCGAAACTGGCATGAACAGAACGCAAACGATGCCGGAACCAGTCAATTCCGTTCAGCCCAATGAAATCACGCCGATACGACCAGCCCTCCCGGAAGAAACTTTCAGGGAGAGCCCTCCGCCACCACCCCCGAACACGTCCACGCATCCCCTTTACCAGAAGCAGTCGGACACGAGGTACAGTTCCTTGATACGCTTTTAGCCTTTGCGATCAGAGGAAAACGCCGGCACGTTTAATGACCAGTTGTTTTCTCGGCCAACAGGTACAACGCGAGTATGCAAGACCCACCCCGAGGGGGATACTATACAGCGAATGGAACCGCGGGAACGATGTTGCAGCCGCGACAGTATCAGTATAGCGCCACGAACCCATGGCAGCGAGAAGAAAAGGAGAAGGTACGATAGACTAGTAAGAATCACATAAAATAGAAACAGCTTCATTGATAAGCACAAAGAGAAAAACAAAACGGACGACACGCGTTGGTACGTGCGGCGAGCTTGTCAAACTTGTTGATACTGTACGTTTACGAACGGTCAAAGGTAAACAAAAAAAAATGTTATCTTTGTAAAATTATTTAGGAACAAGCGCTCAGAAGAGAAGCCGCGAGGCAGTGGCGGGATCAACAAATAGCCGATCTGAGCGCGTTACCTCACAGAACCTCGCAACAGGACGAGCAACTTCGGGCTCTTCAGTTAGAAAGAGATTTCCAAAAGAGAGCCGAGGAAGCTGCCAATCAACAGGACGACGACGAAGAAAGCAACGATCTGGATGCCGAGAGTCTACAGCGAGTTCACGGTTTGCTTCGCGCGGCGAACATTCAGGACCGGAATAATTTGCAGGAACAGCAGAATCCAAGTTTGTCCAGGGCGAATGTTACCAGTCAACCCGTACGAGGAACTCATGCTCTGCAAACACTTAACGTTGCGCCTCCCACTGGGACTCAGCAATCGTCCCAGAATGTTTCAAACATTCCCATGTCACAGCAAGAGAATTCGGCGGCGTTGCATCTGTCGCAAAATCTTCAACGCGAGCAACCTAACCAAATGCAAAACAACGTTGGACAAATGCCGATGTCCTCTTTGATTCACATGGCTGTTTCTCAGAAGTCCTCTTTGCCTGCTTCCTCTCAGTCTACACACGAGGACAAAGAAGCGCAGCGTAGACAAGATGAACTTAAACGAAAACAAATGGAATTTGACGAAACTCTGAAGAAGAAAGAAGAAGAAGCTAAACAGCAGCAGCAACAGCCACATCCACAAGCATATCAGCAACAGCAGCAGCCGCAATCCCAACACAAAAATCAACAGCAACCATTGCACCCTAGTATATTGCGATTAGAGAACTTGGTTATCAATGGGCCTAATGTATCTTGTAAGTAAAATCTACGATGCGATCGATGGAAATAAAAAGAAATAAAGGGAGACCTATTTATACATGTACTTTCTAGCAAGTCAAAATGGGAACAACGAAGCACCTTTGCCACCGGAACGGGGTTCCAGTTACGCGGTTATGTCGCAACAGGGTGCTCTCAGATCGAGTAACATAAATGCGTCTAGTATAATGCAATTGACCCATACCCAACAACCAACGTCCATTAAGAGGGTCTCATTCCACGACTCAAACGCAAACATGGAATCGATGCAGCGAAACGTTCCGTCTGGAAATTTAATCGGCACCGCTCCATCCACGATCATGGACATTATCGCAGAGGATCCAAATGTAAGATCCGCCGATTCTAATGTGTTCCTATTTTTACTGCGTCAAAAGATTCATTTCGTATGATTTCAATCCCATGGTTTTAGAATTTCATCAGCGATGCAGAAAGTTTACTGGCATCCCCAAAGACACCAGAGGGATCCAGCATGCCGCTTCAGGGTAACACGCCCGGTGTAATAGGCGCTCAGGAGGTTTACAAGTAACGTTATGTCGTTCCTATCGCATTGTCGCTTTTACCGTTTGTTGATTACTGTCCGATACACGATTGAAGGTCTTTATCGTTCAATTGGTCTGTTCAGGGATCCAAGACAGAGACGATTGGCAGAGAAGCAAAAACTACAGCAGAATGCCCCAGTTGGACCCGTCCCTGAAAAACTCAGTTTCAAAGAAAAAATGAAAATGTTTGCTATGGAAACCGGCGAGGATGGAACACCGCGGGACAAAGTAAAAATTTCCCGTGCTCAGCGCGAGATCGATAACATAGGAAACTCGACCACTTTAAACAGCAATAAGAATAATAACAACAACAATAACGGAGGCAGTAATCCTACGACCGTCAGTAACAACAACCACAACAATAGAAATTAAGACTGAAAATCTAAATCAGTTTTCGTCACGAATGCTTGGTTTTTATCATATACCACACCTGGTAGAGACAAAGCACGATCCACCTTCGAATATCAAACTGTCGAGGATGACATCAGAGAGCATTCACGTGTGTTTTGCCTTCCTCTACGATTACGTTACTCGACATGACACGCGAGGTTTCATGTATATACGTCGTTCCATATATCGTTCGCAACCGTCCTTAACTGCAACAAATTCCGGCCGAGAATGCGAACGAGACTAAATAGCGATAGAATTATTAAGGATAAAGGTGTTCGCACAGCTTAATCGTTCCTCGATTTCGCCAATGGTCGATACAACACTCGACGTACTCGATTTGTCTCGTTGTTTTCTACTTCTTCACGCTTTACTTCTTCTTGTTTGGACTATTGATTCCATGAACGTAACGAAGCTGTGCCCAACGAATGCAATTCATGCGAGAAAATATCGTTCTGAGGCTCAGAACTTTTGTGTACGTCCACTTTATCTATGGCAGCAAACAATAGAAAGAGAGTAGAGTATTTTACGAATGTACATAGGTAGTATTAACTTAACTTTTAAAACTACTTGTTGTTTACGATGTTGCTTCGTATTTATATTCGATACCGCATTTACCGTACCTAAGTGATACGGAGTTTCTTGGCGTTACGCATACATACATGTAGGTTTTTCGTTATCGAGTCACAAGGCAATATAGCTTTAACGCGATAGAACGTGCTTAAACGGACTCATCGAACCCGGCAGCTTTAAAGTAGAGAAAATATGTATGATGCGCGTCCAGTCTAAGGAAATGCACGTATCTATCTTTGAGTGCGGTCATATATTATTGCATTTATAGACCTAACTACTCGATAACTATACCTTTTCCATTTTCGTATCGTTTCGGTTCAGTTCACGCTGTCGGTGGTCGTGCGACATTCCATTTTGTGCCTTTTAATATTAACTACGAGTAACCAGACAAGTAATATTTTTCCTTCGAATGATTTAAGGAAAAATTATTCAAGCCTAGAAAACGACCAACTGTGACATTGTTTTCGGTACCCCTGTTCGTTAAATTGTTTTTCGCCAACAGAACGAGCATTTGGAGGATTGGAGAACTCGCGCATATAGTTTCGTCGAACCGTCGAGAAGACGACAAAACAAACATAGAATATATGTAGAAAGTAAAGAAAATTGTCCTTGTTGTGTATAGCAAACGTATAATATATCTGCACTATATTTTTTGCTAATGTGTATTTTCACGTTTCGTCGAGGCGAAATCAATTCGTTGATGACTTATAAAAGAAAGAAAAATGAAACGAGTACTCTACGATTGTAAATCCTTCGCAGGTATCGTTGCAATTTATTCTATACGTTACTGATAATGCGTTTAGAGATCGTATATTTTCTGATTATTGTAAACGAAAATAGGATGTGAATAAGAGATATGAAAAACAAGTCACTTGTAATTCTAATAGTAATCGTGAAAAAAAAATAATGCTAGGCAAAATTGAAACTTCAGAATGGAAAATATAATTTCTGTTATTAACTTAGAGAAGAAAAAAAAGTATTCCCGGCGTAGTTGATAAGCTACGAAAATTTGTGGAAAATATAGCGTACGAATAAATTTAATTTGTCTCTAGTAAAGTACTTATTCGAAGTTCTAAGGCTACCTCCTGTAGCTTCGCGACAATTGCTCGCTGGAAACTGAAGCATGTTCAAGAGATCGATTGGTGCCCTCCCCCCAAGAACATGTTGCCAATGAAACAATGTTTTTTCGGTATATGTATATACCTATATACTGACGTTTGTCGCGATAGCTGGAAGCGGTTCGCGTTCAATAGAGAGCGCAGACGCGCGTTACGGTTTAGCTGACATTGACTGGAAATTTGCCGAGGGAGGCGGCATCGTCGCGTCAGTCAGCACGAAGAATTTCTTAGTGTTCGCGGTGTTCCCTCGATTCGTGAGGTAGAATCTGCTGTCTTGATCCAAATTTAGTTAAGTCGCAGCAGTTGAGTCGACTGGATCGCAATCGGCTCCACAGTCTTCTTCGAACTTCTTACTTATTACAGTGCCGAACTCTGTTAGTCCGAATTCACTTTGAACAAGTTCACGGTACCGTTTCAGAAGAATCGATTCAGGTAAAGGAGGAATCGGCCGAAACGCGTGTGTCTACACACAACATTTCACGAAAGAAAGTAAAAGAATAATCGACCAAACGAAAACGGAAGAAAAAAGTTCACGTGCGATTTCCATCACCAATATACCACACAGAAAGACAGGTAAGTGGATTTCTCTCATTTGAATCGAGATGTTTGATTTTATGGTGGTCTTACTCAAAGAATTTCACATTCAATACGAATTGAACTTCAGCCAGTTTGAATTTTCTCGAAAATATTTAACTCGTAGATGCTACAACAGAAGGCAACGTTTGGGTTGCTTCGGAATTCTATTTTCACGATAGATAAAGAGTTTCTTAAGTCAATTTGTATTGGTCCGTCGTCGTCGTCGTCGAAGAGACGTGCAAGGAAAGTAACCATAGGTATATTCTGAACGCGTGTGTCTACGAACAAGCAAAGGAACGTACAGATTTCATTTGTACCGAATAGTTTTGCAAATGTTATATGCGACCACTGTATACGTGGCATCTACGTGGGTAGCTTGATCTTCTGTAATTTGGAGTTACGATGAATTTTACTTGACTCTTCGTGTGTGTTCCTCCTCTCTCTCTCTCTCTCTCTCTCTCTCTCTCTCTCTCTCTCTCTCGCATTCAACCAACCTATGCGATCGATACGTTCACATGGCTCGTTTGTTAAGCAACCATCTTTTTTGTGCATTGCAAATGCATAAGGCATGGTCCCAATTTTACCGTGACTTCGTGTTGTTAATTTAACAGAAATCATTAAATTCCAACACTCATAAATCCTGCTCTAGCCGAGACTCTGCCTCAATTAGTAGGAATGTAAGGTCCATTCATGTTTCGTGCATCGATCAAATTTTGGGAACGAATAGGCGAACACGAGCGGTATAATCATTCAATCAGTTCTCTATTACACCGATGTGTATCTTGAGGATTATACACTTTCCACCGGAATTCCCGTCTCCCGTTATCGGATCTTTATCGTTAAAATTAATATTCTTTAAGTGTTCCGAGATAATTACATTGTCAAAGGTCGTATGGCGATTGAAAATCTTTAAACGAATAAAGTTGTTTATATTTTACAAACGGGTAACTAAATGTTTTTAGTGATAAACGTGAACGTTGCATGGTATAGAGGCTCCACGTTTCAGAAGGAGAACACAAGTGTGTGCTTCTTTTCATAGTCGTAAGAAAGATTTATGCATTATTCTCAATGGTATGTAAACGCAACGGGTATTCTTGGTCTCTGCGTTTCTCAGCAGAACTGCATTCAAATTCCATGTCAGGCGGGGGGGGGACATCGGAAATGTCTGATACGGAGGAATCGACTAGACGGTATATTAACGCATTCCCCCGGCGCGGCATCGTTATCAATGACTTTCGTGTTGCCGAAATAGAAATGTATTTTAAGGGAAACCGAGTGTTTTCCAGGTCCTATTGGCGCTTTGGCATCGAACCAAATATTGTCGCCAGCGAAGCCTATGTACGAAGGCGAGTTGCCGAGCAGACGGAAAATATGTCCTATGTCCTATAAGAATCGATCGGTCCTTGAAATCTGCTGTTTTCAGCATACCAGTGTTTCTTTTTGAGCATCGAACAGTGTGGCTTCACTTGACCAAATCTCACGAAGCAAAATCAGTGTACCATTATTATTATTAATATTATTATTTTGTACATTAAGAAAATAAAACTATATGTTATTGTGTCGAATCACTCGTATCCTAAGATCGAGAAAAGAATGTTCGGTCCATGATTCGTCGCACTATAGGCATCCAGTGATCGAAAAACCTTTGTGTAGGTGGTTCTGGATTTGTGCAATGTAAAATTTCATTCTCCTAAAAAAAAAGTCACCAAATTCGTTCGTAATGGTTACATCGAGTCACGTAATTCGACGCGACGCGTATCAGTATGCATTTGCTAATTACTCTTATCGCATAACTGCAACCACAGATAAATCGTTTCCGCGGAAAACTAGATTCTCGGTCGCTAGATATAAAATGATAATTGGTCTGTCACGATTCAGTGGATATGTAAATTATGTATATATCAATCGTTCGAAAGTCCGAAACAAGAGTGTCTAGTAAACGTTCAACTTGTTTTATATTTATCGTTTCTGGTTTCGATATTTTTTTTACTTTTCTTTTTTTTTTTGCACGGCGGATGAATTATAAATTTTACTTGGTGCAATAACTGGTTATGCTCTTGGGTAGGTATTGCGTAATCTTCGATCTGATTTCGTATTTCGTCGCATACAGTTTATCATCGAAACGAAATTATACTCGTAGATAAGCACAGCGACACAACGTAGTCGATTCAAAACGGTCTGAACCCGTCAAAACAGAAAGTAATGAAACGGTTTTCCATCGATTAGTGGCGTATGACTCGCGGTTTGTTATTCTGTTGGATCCACTTTTTTTTCTTTACGAATTTGAATCGAGCAAAGCATTGGGAGATGAAATAGCGTGGTGTGATTGATAGAAACGGGTTGAAGGGATAGATGGCAGGTCAAAGAGACAGAGGGGAATCTAACGCATCATCCGGATAGGTACCATGAAACGCCGTGGGGGCAGGGCATTCGTACGGAGTTAAAACTCATTCCTCCGGTGATGCGTAGCTAACTGAACAAATTAAGGCGAGAAGTTGAGCACAGTCGGAACGGGAGAAGCGATACGACATGCCGCTGCCGCAACGAGACACGACGAGGGGACATGGATGTGCGTAGAGCCACAGTCAAGTTAACCAGTGGGGGGACAAACGCGATGCGAAACGTGAAAAAAAAATTGAACTGCGTGCAACAGTGTGCATGCAGGGAGTATGAAAACGGCAGAAGGGGAAGGGATGAGGAAGGACAGAAAGGGTAGGGTAAGGAGGGGTAAGGACGAGAAAACGATACGCGAACGAGAAGAAACGACGATTGCATGCCGGAAGAGCCTTCGTAGCCAAAGGGTTAGGAAGTCAGACAACGTTTGAGATTGCGGGCAAGAGCTGTCTTTCCAAAGGAGTTAACTTACAATCGAACAAACACCATTCAAACGAAAATAGACCGTACGTCGTTGCGCTTCAAGCATTTCTGGGGTAAGCACGCTCGATTATCATACCGTGACAGTCATATTTCCTGTCGAGACGGCGCGCCATCACGCAAAACGTGCTGCATTGTGAGCCTATTCTAAGAGAAAACTGACAGCCATCTTCCTAAAAACAAAAAATCGACGTCTTCATAAAAGATTTTCGATTCTTCACACGTTCTATCGATCTTGTTGGATCGAGCTTTTTTTCCTTTAGAAAACCGGTCTCAAACCAAAGACGGAAATATATCTGTAAAGAACGACGTGGAAAGACACGACACGTTACTTGTATCGGCAAAAGAGAAATTCGTTTATTCATTAAGAATAAGAATCTATAGCACACCACTGTTTGTAACGAGATTTGCTAGACGTAGTGTGCGAACGATAGTTTAACTGTGAAGGTATAGATGGCGCTGAGATATCTTATCTGTAAAATTCGAAACGTTCGAATAAAAGTAATGGTGGCTGTGTTTTTCGTTTCTAGTCCTACAGTTTTCATGAAGTAAAAGCTTTCTGAATCTCCTTTTATTTGAGTATGTTCGCAGACGTTTCGTCCTCGGTTTTTGTGTTAAGTCCTTTAACTATCTTACTAGTCGTCTGTGTTACGACGGTTTCATAATGGAGAGGGTGAAAGAAGTACACATGTGAAGGTAATACAGAATAAATGGGTAGATCATACATAGTTTTTATAATCGTGGAATGAGAAGCGATTCAAAGAATATAAGGGGCTTAATACAATACATATGACGAAGAATCTCATTCGATCGCTAAGTATGCATGTATACTTGACTGCGGTCGACCAATTCGACGGAGATTTTTCAACAGTGCTCGAAACGCGCAATATCTAAATGCAATCCTTCGCGTTTTCTTTTGTAAAGCATGTAATGTACACACGAGTGGGGCTACAGATTACTTGAAATTCGATCACAAAGGTGACCTCCGATGTCAACTATATCGATTGTTTTCCGGATCGTATTCGCGGTGCATCGTATTTCGCAGCACGCACTAAGCATAGAGAGAGAGAGAGAGAGAGAGAGTGATAGGTTAAGGCAAACAATAAAGTATATAATTGATTACAGGAAATCTGCAGTTCCCTCAAATTTTCTACGCAGTATTCAGTTTCTTGTCACAGTTTGTTTCCGAAGGCCGTTGCTTTGAAAAACGTGAAATCTCTATGTGAAATCGTGCTTAGAGCGTGATATGTAACCTACGCTACGTGACGTTTTAATTTGAGCCCCCCCCCCTTCCCAATTAGCTTCTTTGCGGTCTCCCTCTCCGTGGATATGGTTTATCTATTGCATTAAGCGTTCCAAGTATGCGTACAACTTTACGTAATGATCAACGATATATCTATATGCATATATACATATATATACCGGCGTTCAGTCGATCAATCGTCCCCTGCTCGCCGCGGCGATCTATAAAGCATATTATCTCGACCGTTGAGAACGATTTGCTGCGTATTGCTGTTTTGTGTGTTGCTCCGAACAGCGCCACGGTTGTTGTGTCTGGTGGAAACGGAACGGGACTACTGATTAGGAAGTCGGCCCGGTCAGCCCGGCTCGACTCGAACATCGGTTTTCAGATTGAAAGTATGAACGGAGCTGAGCCTTGGTCCTACCCTCCGAAACAAGCTTTGTACGACCCATCCCTCGAGAAAGATGCTTGCGGTGTTGGATTCATCGTGGCTATAGATGGAAAGAAATCGCACAAGGTAACTGTTTTTTTCGAGTACACTTTCTTGTCATGGTGTCTGCAAAGACAAAAGAGAAATTCCCGATAATGCCAAGTAAAAGAACGGTTGTTGTTCGTTGGGTCAAGTTTTACATTTTTTTTCTCTTGTTCTGTCGCGGCGTCGTTCACCATTTTGTTTAAGGTACCACAATCTAATTGGAGCAATCCTTTGCAATGTGTTTGCAGATCGTCCGCGATGCGGAGATTCTATCAGCGCGCATGAACCATCGCGGTGCGTGTGCCTGCGATAACGACACCGGAGACGGTGCCGGTGTACTTTGCGCAATTCCGCACGAGTATTACGCCGATGAAGTTCGGTAAGAGAGATAACTTGGATTCATGGTCCCCGATCCTTTTTTTTTTTTTTTTTATCGGTTTATCGCTGTCTGACGTGCATACCGCCATCACCAGCAGTCCACGGTTCAGTTTCATCATCGTCCGTCGCGAGTTCACGGCAGCGTAATTTGTAGGTTATCACCGCGTTACATCTATACATCGAAGGGGATTATTACGTGTTTACATTCTTATCCAATTACTGTGTGTTCGTCCATCGTTCCGCATCGTTACTGAACAATATCCGCCCCGACAAGACCATTATGTACACTCTGTTCTGTTCGTTTTCCATTTTCAATAATTTATTCATTCTTGTCGGATATGCGTCTCGTGTCTCGTTTTCTTGTGTCCATCTTGTATTTGCTGTCACGTTCACGGCCAACTTTGCTCGTTTAACGTATATCAGTGGGGTTCTTATTCGTAATAACTCTAATACTTTTCATTTTCTGAACAATATTGTTGGCCGACAAGCAAAAATGGAGAGTATACGGAAGAGATTACTTGACACGAGATGTACATATTATACATATGTATATTCCATACCGGATATCAATCTCATCGATAAGGAAGAGAACTGAGAACTACATGGTTGTTTCCACTTACCGCGATAATATTCCACCAATTCAAGATCTCTGCGCCGATAAACGATTCCGACTATCATTTATGTGCTGTTGCACACAGAAACGTCCGTTACTTTCGACGTTTACGGTGGATAAACCAATACCAAAAATAACATGTTATTCGCGACTGTACCCTTTGAATAAGAATCTGTTTGTTTCTTCCAGTGAAAAGGAAAATGTCGAGTTACCCCCGTTCGGCCGTTATGCCACTGGTATACTGTTTCTGGACAAAAATACCCACGAAGAAACGGAGGCAGCTTTTGAAAAGTTAACCGAAGAATGCGGTTTAAGGGTATGAAAATATTCAAGTTTCTGTACTTTATCCCGTTTGTGTTCGTACGTGCGTATATTACTCATCGAATGCTTCGTTCTCCAGGTAATTTCTTGGCGTGACGTTCCAACCGATAACTCACGGATTGGTCAAGTGGCCCGAAAATGCGAGCCGTATATGCGCCAAGTTTTTGTTACCGGTGATCAGGATGATAGTACCCTGGAACGTCAGGTAAAAAAAACAATTGTAAAATAATAAATTTCAGTTTTTTGTCACGAGTATGGCAGAGGTTGTTGTGTCATTAACGACGATGCTTTTAAGTAAGAAATCGCTCAGAAATAAATACTGTAGCATTTGCAAAGTTCGGTTGATTCTCCAAGAGACATAGATATAACCAGGTGTTCCTCTGAATTACAGGTTTTCATTCTGAGAAAAAGATCCTCTCATTCCATACCACGACCGGGAATTAGATATTACATATGCTCACTCTCTATACGAACGATTGTATACAAAGGCCAACTGACGGCCGATCAACTGTGGCTTTATTTTTTGGATTTGATGGTGAATATAAAGAGACATTATACGTGAACTATGGTTGCAATGGTATTCGTGAAATATTGATTTATTTGTTTCCATTTCAGTCCCCGAAATTCGAGACGTATTTAGCATTGGTTCACACAAGGTTCTCCACGAACACGTTTCCTAGTTGGGAAAGGGCCCATCCTCTTCGGTAAGCGATTACACCAATGAAACTTGTGTTCATATATCCTACCGGTTGCCATCGATCGAACGAACGAAGAAGTAACGCTTGTTTCGCGTTTCCCATAGATTGTTGGCGCACAACGGTGAAATCAACACGTTAAGGGGAAACGTAAACTTCATGAAGGCCCGAGAAGGAGTGATGAGTAGTAAGTTGTACGGTGAGCAATTGAAACAGCTGTATCCTGTGGTGGAACCGAATTTGTCGGATTCCGGAGCTGCTGATTGCGTTCTGGAATTCCTGGTGATGGTTGGGCAACGATCGTTGCCGGAGGTATGAAACAGACGCGTTACGTACACGTACATATTTGCGGTATCCAAGGATCGAGCTAACCGTGAGATAATATCGTCTTCAGGCTGTGATGACAATGGTCCCGGAAGCTTGGCAGAACGATCTGACGATGGCGACCGAGAAACGGGACTTTTATCATTGGGCTGCTTGCGCGATGGAACCTTGGGATGGACCTGCCCTCTTGACCTTCACCGACGGACGTTACGTCGGAGCTATTCTCGACAGGTAGAAACTAACGTTTTTTTTCACCACGATACGGTTCAAAGAGACATCCGCCTTCTGCGTATTTGCTTCACTCGGCTCGAGCACGCAGAACTCCTTGATCGGTGTTTTCTGCTGGAGCTTTATCGAAATGAAATCGTGAAATTGCTATGTTAAGCTCACCAGTGGTACAGGGAGCTGAAGGATGCGCCACCAACGCTATATACATATGTATATATGTACATATATATATATATTCGCATCGAAATTAACGCGCGCGATAATTTAATAGCGAGATGCCTTTAAGTCTCGACGACGAAACTGGAGAAAAGTAGAAGATATCATTGGGAAGGGATAAATAGGATAGATAGACGCGTGTTTATACATATATTGCGTAATATGTATACATATATTGATCATACATGTATACATAACATATAAACGAGTGCTAACAGGAAGGCAATGCGAGAAAACGAACAAGAATATAGTCACAGTCGATAGTAACACGCGACACTGAGGTGGTAATACAAAAGACTTTTTTGAATTTTTGTTTGGCAGAAACGGCCTGCGCCCGTCGCGCTTCTACGTCACTAAGGATAACATGATGGTGATGGCGTCCGAAGTGGGCGTCTATGATACTCCGCCCAGCAATGTAATCCTGAAGGTAAAACGAGGAAGTAAAACACGTGTCACACTGGACAGGCCTACATTCCGGAGAAGTTCTCCAGTCGAATTTTACTTGGCGAGCGTTCACATCCACGCGCTCTCTTATACATGTTCCTTCTCTATTCTGTACGACATACAACATATTTCAGCTTTAGGGGGAAGACCATGCAAGGAGGGAACGTTTCTTAACTTGCGGATCGATTTTGGATCGAGTCGCGGGGAACGCGTAATCGAAGGAAGCGGGGCTCGTCTGTTTTTAGATAACCGATACCAGAAAAACGACAATTTTTTGCTTATCTTATGATCTGTTTAACCGCCTCTAACACTACGGTCACGCACACCTCTTTGTTGTTCACGATCCTTTCCTCTTTCATCCCCCTCCCCCCTTGCTTTCATACCACCCTTCTTACCTTTTTAAGAAGTTCGCGCGCGCGACCGATTCGGCGCGTACAATGACGCAATTGTACGATCCAGAGGACAGTTGATCGTTCGTGAATAAATCAACAGCAAGATCTACCCATGAAAAATCGGTCTCGCGCGTATATCTGTCCACGTTTCACCTGCTTGTCGAATTAATCTTACAGGGGAGAAGTATACTGTCGGTAAATAACGGACGGATTCTCCTCACTGTTCAATTTAGCTACGTCCCCGGTCCGTCATGACTCGTTCTACATTATCGCTTTAGTATTTTCGCAATTAGAGGATCATATTGTATTTTATTTATTTTTTAAACATGTCATATTGTGATGTATAATTTGTCATTTAGGAAGTAGGTTTGTATAGTCCGTAGGGTCGTCATCGAGTGCCGTCGTTGTGACCATTGAATTCGTGTGGTACATGCTGTTCAACGATGAATTTATTTGCATCTCGTTTTATTTACAGAGCCGCTTGAAGCCCGGCCGTATGCTGTTGGTAGACACGCACGAGAAAAGGATCATACAAGACGTCGAACTGAAGCTGCATATCGCTAGAAACAGACCCCATTCGAAGTGGCTAAAAGAGCAGGTATACCCCAACATATGTTGTTTTCGTTTTGTTGTGCGATTAAAAATATTTCCTCGATTCAGACGAACCCATATTGAAGGCTGTGACGTTCCCTTTAATCGGTCTCTAACCTTCCCAACCCCCTTGTTCACAATCTGTTCCGATCACTCTAATACAAAAGGATATTCTTTGTGTTCTTTTTTACTGCAAACCTCCTTACACACGGCGAATTGTGCCACGTTAATGGCATGTAGATGGTAAGTTCCGTATTCATCACTTTCTTCGTTCACATTCATTGCATACGTAGCGTTCTTCTTCGTATAGATCAGCGGTTCTCAACGTCTTTCCACTTACGTACCACTTGGCAGCCAATTTCCTTAAATTGTACCCCATGATATTAGAAAAGGGATTGTATAATTTTGTGCATACTTCTGTGTTATTCAATTTGTGTTTTTCGTGTACCCCAGGTTGGGAACCGCTGGTATAGATGGTTGTTTACGATTGTTCGAACAAACGTTCTCCATGGAGCAGCATTATATATTTATATCGGTGAACTTTTTGTTTCCGTTCGCGGACAGATCACAATGGAGGAATTACGGGCGGCTGACGTGGTCGATGCGAACCTCGCAAAAGAAAAAGCGGCATTGGAGCAATCGATCGGAATAAACAACGCCACGAACGACGCGAATCCGATATCCGCTGTGAATCGTGTGTGGGGAGGCGACAAGAGGCTCTCCCTGTATGGATATACGCTAGAAACAATTAACATGCTACTGCTACCGATGATGCAATCCAAGTATGTAGTTTTTTTCTCTTATCGCGGAATTTTCTTCGTCGACCAAGAGATCTCTTGTACTCTTGTCGCGGATTTCGCCGCACATGTTAAGCAACCATGTTGACATTATTGTTCAGGAAAGAAGCATTGGGCTCGATGGGTAATGATGCGCCGCTCGCTTGTCTTTCGCAGTTTCAACCGCTCATTTACGAGTATTTCAAGCAACTGTTCGCCCAGGTATAATCGCCTCTTACTCGTTTCACGGCTTCATGTTGTTCGTTTCAACGTCGTCGATTTTATCATTATCATATAAAAAATCATCTCTTCAGGTTACGAATCCTCCCATCGATCCGTTCCGAGAGAAAATCGTTATGTCCATGCTCTGTCCGATCGGCCCCGAGAGCAACATCTTGGAACCGAACGAACGGCAAGTTCACAGGTTATTTTTGCCGCAACCGATACTGTCTTTGGCAGACTTAGAGGTAATCAAGCGAACCAAGTTTCGCGGATGGAAAAGCCGAACGATCGACACCACATACCCCGTGGAAGACGGCCCGTACGCCTTGCTCGGCACTTTGGACCGTATCAGCCGGGAAGCAGATCTGGCCGCGAAAGAAGGCTATCAGTTTCTCATTCTGTCCGATCGACAGGGAGGGCCGGACAGGTGAGCGAGAATTCAGGGTTTGGTGTGTACACGTGTACCCTGAGCAATTTCAAATATACAGGGTGAGGCACCTAAAACTGGACAGACACCTCGCCTAAATATCTTGGCTGTTTACTGGCGATAGACATAAATATGTTGGAGCAAACTTAAATGGTATCAAGGCGCACATAATTTGATGTAGATAATTTCTTGATAGGTGAACGCGTAGAGGTCATATGAAGGTCAACTTCGTTTTTTTAAATAGAAAGACATGTTGTTTTACGTACCATCTAATAGAGCGTTCTAAACTACGTAAAATGACTTTATTTATGAACTCAAATGTATTTATGACGTCTATACTAATGGTTAAGCATGCATCTACAATTCTCTGTTGTATAGCTGGCAGTAAAATAATTTGAGCTGATCATATTTCGTGGTTCACCCTGTATATATACATATGTATATGTTGATTTTGATTGGCATCGTGGGATGTATTCGCAGAGTGCCTGTGAGCAGCCTTCTGGCTCTAGGTGCGGTGCATCACCATTTAATCGAAGAACGACAGCGCATGAAGGTTGGCCTGATCCTCGAGACCGGCGAGGCGAGGGAAGTGCACCACGTTTGTTTGCTGCTCGGTTACGGAGCGGACGCGATCTGTCCATACGTTGTATTCGAAATGGCGAGAAATCTTCGAGCGGACGGTGTACTTGACTCGTCGTTAACCGACAATGCTTTAAGCGCGGTAAGCACCCAGAGTGTTTCCATTCTCGGTGTATTCATAGACACCCAGCCAACAGATGGTCGTTGTTTGCGTTGGACTTTGTTTGATCTTCTTTTAAAATTTCATTTGTAGAACTACGCGGAAGCGATGGAGAGAGGCATAGCGAAGGTAATGGCCAAAATGGGAATCTCCACGTTACAGTCGTACAAAGGAGCTCAAATCTTCGAAGCTGTCGGTCTGTCCGACGAGGTGATAGAGAAATGTTTCAAGGTAGGTTGATCCAGCTTCAAAAGAAATATCATTTATGTTCCGTTGAACCCGTAGTGATCGATGGAAAATACGATAAAAGGGTACATATGATTAGAAATTGGATCCAATTAATGAAAAATGGTTCGTGATTATAAATATTTTCGATGATGTTCAATGTTCGTCGTACCGGTTCGATTTCGACTCGACGAATAACGATCTGTTCTCTAAGCTACGTTTAATTTCTCACAGGGTACACAGTCTCGGATCGGTGGGGTCACCTTCGATATTTTGGCGAAAGAAGCGTTCGAGAGGCATCAGATTACATATTGCAAAAATCCAATGGATCTGCTTGTCATTCGAAATCCAGGAATTTATCATTGGCGATCCGGTGGAGAGAAACACATAAATGACCCGGACAGCATCGCCAATTTACAGGTACGTTTTGATTGGATGCGCGCATAGAATTAAGTGATTTAAGTTTTTCAATCCACACTCCACGTTCTTTTCGTTGGATTTTTTCTAGGATTATGTCAGTTCGAAGAATCAGAATGCTTATGGAAAATACAAAAGCACGACAATGGAAATGGTGAGGGCTTGCACGCTGCGTGGTCAGTTGGAATTCGTGGAAACGCCGGAAAACGTTATACCCATTGAACAAGTTGAACCCGCGTCCGAAATCGTGAAGCGATTCGCAACCGGTGCAATGAGCTTTGGTAGTATCTCAATAGAGGCGCATACAACACTGGCGATCGCGATGAATCGTATCGGTGGCAAATCGAATACCGGCGAAGGGGGCGAGAACGCCGACAGGTAAGAGAAAGCTTTAAACAACAGAATATAAATATACAGCGAGAGTCCAAACTAAGTATACACCTTTCAGAGGTGAGATTCGTATAATACTTCTGTAGTATCCTACTATTGCAAGATCATGGCAGTAATACAGTTGGTTATGATTTCCTTAACGTTTTCGGGATGAATAGGTAGCCAAAAAATTCGAAGATATGTTATGATTTGAGTTAGCAAGGCAGCAGATGGTTTTTATTCATAGAGCTATGGACAAATTTGGATGTTTAAATATTTTATAATCAAATTCAGCTGCGAGTGTATTCATGGGTCTTTTAGTAAGTCCTCCTTTACAGCCACCAGATCTCAATGTAACAGAGCATCTATGCGACATATTAGATTCTAAATAGAGAGGAATAAATATTAATTAATCAAATATTTTTAAAGTATATACTCACTTTTGACTCTCGCTGTACATGCACGTGAAATAAATAAGGGAAGAGGATCTGTGCCGCTTTCAGATACCTCGATCAAGATCCAAAATTCAATAAACGATCAGCCATTAAGCAAGTCGCCAGCGGTCGTTTCGGTGTAACCTCGAGCTATTTAGCGAACGCCGACGATCTCCAAATTAAAATGGCGCAAGGAGCGAAGCCGGGAGAAGGTGGTGAACTGCCTGGCTACAAGGTAAGGGAGAAGGATGGGTTGTAGTGAATGATACCGTGGAGACTGACCATATTAAGACAAGGGTTTCATGTATATCGAACTTGTTGCGCGCAGGTGACCGCTGAAATAGCTGCAACCAGACACTCGGTGCCCGGCGTGGGACTAATCTCGCCACCGCCTCATCACGATATCTATTCAATCGAGGATCTGGCAGAACTAATTTATGATTTGAAGTGCGCCAATCCTAAGGCTCGTATTTCCGTCAAGCTGGTATCCGAAGTAGGAGTGGGCGTTGTCGCAGCAGGCGTGGCAAAGGTAACATTGTCGGATATCCTCGACATCGAATTCTCTCGGTTACTATTTTCTTGCTTTACTTTTGTTACGTCTCTTTGTCAATTTTTTGGAATACCTCTGTATAATCTTCGTTGTCTTCTTCTGGTTGTGACGAAAATAGGGAAAAGCTGAACATATCGTAATATCCGGTCACGATGGTGGAACTGGTGCGAGCAGTTGGACAGGAATAAAATCCGCCGGTTTACCATGGGAATTAGGAGTCGCCGAAACCCATCAGGTCTTAACCTTGAACAATCTTCGCTCCCGAGTTGTCGTTCAAGCGGATGGACAGTTGCGCACAGGATTCGACATCGTGGTGGCGGCTCTGTTGGGCGCGGACGAGTTTGGTTTCAGCACGGCGCCATTGATCTCCATGGGTTGTACCATGATGAGGAAATGTCATCTGAACACATGCCCCGTGGGTATCGCGACGCAAGATCCCGTGCTCCGAAAGAAATTCGAGGGAAACCCGGAACATGTTATCAACTTTTTCTTTGCCTTGGCGGAAGAGGTATGGTATTAACTAAATTAAATCGTACGAGATTGAAGATATAAGGATTTCTTCAACGATAATCATAAAGCAGAATAAGAAAATTATTCCTTGTTCGTACGTGCCTAGGTACGCTCATACATGGCCAGCTTGGGAATTCGTAAGTTTCAAGATCTAATTGGACGTACAGATCTCTTGAGGGTTCGGAAAAATCTCACAATTGAGAAAGCTAAAACGCTAAATCTCGACAATATTCTGCGCAGTGCGCTTGAACTCCGACCAGGAGTCAACATTAAAGGCGGATCCGTGAAGCAAGACTTTCAGCTGGAAAACAGACTGGACAATCGTGTGATCCACTTGGCGAGGGACGTGTTGAGTGGAAAACAGAGTCACGTCGATATCGAGTTGACCATCAACAACGAAAGCCGGGCGTTCGCATCAACTTTAAGCTATCACATTTCAAAGTAAACAGGCTATTTCACTTCCACTAGATCCCGTTGTCCTCAACGATCACGAATAATTTGGGTATTATTAATCAGTGTCTCGGTCGTAGGTTGTACGGTGAGGATGGTCTTCCCAAGGGTAGTATAAACATAAAAATGAAGGGTTCTGCGGGACAGAGTTTTTGCGCTTTCATGACCAAAGGTGTCCACGTTACTCTAGAAGGGGACGCGAACGACTACGTTGGAAAGGTGAGACAATTCATTCCTCTCGAAACAATAATGTATGGCAAGTCCGTCGATCACACGGCAAGCGTAATTGCAACCTTTTTTTAGGGTCTTTGCGGGGGAGAAATCATCATATATCCACCAAAGGAATCGAGTTTTGCATCCGGGGGAAATGTAATCGTTGGCAATGTTTGCCTTTACGGTGCAACTTCCGGAAGAGCATATTTTCGGGGAATCGCTGCCGAGAGGTTTAGTGTTCGGAACAGTGGAGCGACAGTTGTGGTAGAGGGTGTGGGTGATCACGGATGCGAATATATGACCGGAGGGTGCGCGGTCATACTGGGGCTTACCGGAAGAAATTTCGCTGCCGGGATGTCCGGAGGAATAGCATACGTACTGGATGAGGATGGATCTTTCAGAAGGTATCCTCGTGGTCACTTAGATGAATTTGATTATCCTTCCCTATCTCGACTACGCTCAAGTTCTGCTGTTTTAGTAAATGCAATCCAGAAATGGTGGAGTTGGTTCCGTTGACTAAGCCAGAAGATATAAATTACGTAAAAGGTCTTCTCGAAGAATTTGTTGAAAAGACCGGTTCCCTGATCGCGAAGGATCTGTTAATAATGTGGCCCGAAACGACCGCGCGATTTGTCAAGGTGAGGTACACACGCTAGCTTTTGAAAACAATCCGTACGACAATGGTCACCATATGGGTAAGCGTTGCAAAACAGCTGTCATTGAATATTTTCTTTCCTCCCCAAGGTATTTCCCTACGAGTATCAACGTGCGTTGAAGCAACAACTTGAAGAAGAGAAAGAAACACAACCAATTATGAACGGAAATTCTCAGGTGTCGAAAACCCAAGTGAAGGATATAGAGGATGCCGTCGTGGATGTTGACATGGAGCAACGGAAATTAGACAAAATAAAGTAGGTGCACCGAGAAAGGGTTGAAATAGATCGACAAGAAACAAGAGATCGTTTTTTAGTAGATTTCCTATCCGATCGTACCATTGTGTGTGACTCTTGTAATATCATTCTTAGGGGATTTATGAAGTATAAGAGACACACGGGGATGTATCGACCCGTTGAAAGCCGATTAGTCGACTGGGACGAAATCTACAATTTCCCAGGAGTTCGCAAAGGGCTACGAGTTCAAGCAGCGAGATGCATGGAATGCGGGGTGCCATTCTGTCAGAGTAGTCACGGTTGCCCATTAGGAAACATTATTCCAAAATGGAACGATCTTATTTTCCAGTCGAACTGGAAGGAAGCTTTGAATCAGTTGCTACAGACCAATAACTTTCCAGGTTGGTGCGAAAAATGTATATTATTCTTCTGTTCGATATTGTTCGAACGATTTCGACAATATTAATTGACCGCGACGCGGTTGTTTTACCAAGGTGATCGAAAAAAAAAAACTAACGAATCGAAATGGCACTAGAATTCACAGGCAGAGTTTGCCCCGCTCCGTGCGAAGGTGCCTGCGTTCTGGGGATATCGGAACCGCCCGTCACTATAAAGAATATTGAGTGTGCGATAATTGATCATGCGTTCGAGCAAGGCTGGATTGTACCACATCCACCTAAAACGAGATCCGGCCGACGAGTTGCCGTGGTTGGTTCTGGTCCGGCTGGCTTAGCCGCAGCCCATCAGTTGAACAAGGCAGGCCATCTGGTAACAGTGTTCGAGAGGAACGATCGAATAGGTGGTCTATTGCAATATGGAATACCAACTATGAAGTTGTCGAAACAGGTAGTACAAAGAAGAGTGTCCCTTTTAGCCGCGGAGGGGATCACCTTCAAAACAGGCATCGATGTTGGAAAGGATATTTCCGCCAAGGTTAGACGAATTTAAATTTACCGTCGATTCAATCACAATCTAATATTATCTTCCCGCTTTTTTTTTATTGTGTCCATTTACCCGTTTGTAATATCGTTCATACTTTTGTTCACATCGCAGGAATTACGCGAACAGTATGACGCGTTGTTGCTCTGCACCGGCGCGACGTGGCCAAGAGACTTACCGATACCCGGTCGACAACTCGACGGTATTCACTTCGCCGTGAGCTTCTTGGAGCACTGGCAGAAAAAACAAATGGGAAACGATGCACCGCTTGATATGCGTCTAATGGCTAAAGAGAAAGACGTTATCATAATAGGTGGCGGTGACACCGGTTGCGACTGTATAGCCACGTCATTGCGACAGGTATGATTTTTGTCATATTTTGTAACCCTCGAAAATATAACAAAATGATCGATTAACTTGTCTCTCTCGTAGGGTGCCAAAACGATCACAACCTTTGAAATTTTACCGGAACCACCGAGTAAGAGAGCGTCAGATAATCCGTGGCCCCAGTTTCCTCGTGTGTTCAAGGTAGATTATGGCCATGAAGAGGTTTCACTCAAGTTCGGACGGGATCCGCGTCAATTCAGTACTTTAAGTAAAGTAAGTACAGAAGTAAGAGTAACAAAGAAATTTCTCGATCACGATGCAAATTCGCCACGAACGGAAATCGCGTTGTGTGTAAAAAATACGTTTCGCACATTTCCAACAGGAATTCCTAGACGATGGAAATGGCCACGTGAGTGGTATCAAGACAGTCTCAGTTTCGTGGACAATGGAAAACGGCCGTTGGAAGATGGAAGAGGTTGCTGGCACGGAAAAGGTAAAAATCGCTATGTCGAATTTATTCGACTCTTGACTCGAGAGTTCGATAATCTTCCATCTTCTTCTCATGTTCGTTCTCTTTTTTAATCGGGTCTCCTTTCTAGGTATATAAATGCGATTTAGTGTTACTTGCAATGGGATTTTTGGGCCCTGAAAAGTACGTCGCGACGGAACTAGAAACGTCTATGGACGAAAGGGGGAATTATAAAACACCGATTGGTAAATACGAAACAAATTCCCCTGGAACGTACGCAGCTGGAGGTAAGCTTCATCCGTTTTTTCTCGTGAGAATAGCTGACAATTCACTCGGTTAGGAAATGCTAATGTGAACTTCACGTTACGAATCCTACACAGATTGCCGACGTGGACAATCGTTGGTTGTTTGGGCAATCACAGAGGGCAGACATGCTGCGAGGGAGATAGATCTGGCCTTGATGGGGTCGACCGGGCTGCCCGTAGCTGGTGGCGTTATAACCAGCGTTGTGGCCTGAACGGGCTACTGCTTGTCACACGGACGATCAGAGTCTGTCATCTTGTTTCTCTTTCCATTCCTTCTTAACCCTCCGAATAACGACCCTCTGCGATTGCGATGCGGGCGGGTACCGTTGAACGAGCAAGGGAGAAAAACGGTCTACGCGGGAACCAGTCGAGATCAGTATTATCGTCGTATGTTATTCACGGATGTTCGAACGCGACATATCAGAGATGCTGCGGATATTAATTGTAACGATCATTCCGTTGACCGGTCGTTTATTATCGAAAGAAAAAAAAAAGAAATATATATATATATATGTACCGACTGTTTGCCGCTACGTTCGCCGTGTAATCGTATGTAATTAGCGTTCCAATCTGTCGAGAGGAAATACTCGTAGATGTATTACGAAATCTACCTCGTATCGTCGTTTACGTTGAATTATTTTCTTTCATGAGGTAACAGAAATTCCTCCAAGCTTAATAATATGGCCTTTCGTCGAGCTATGCGATCGTACGAAGAGTAATCGTTTTCATCGAGACGATCAATTTCTGCGAATCCACATTCGAAAAAAGTTCAAACGTTGTACTTTGAGGCTGACATCGAACTGCGTCACGCAAAACGCGAACGTTACCGTTTTCACGTGTCGCATTAGATCTTCTGATTTTTTTGTAATTTTTTGTAGTTTAGTACATCGGTAGTGTACTGTAACGCGGTATACGCGTACACTCACCCAGTTAAAACAAATCTCTGTCCTATGGTATTTATTTGTGAAAGCGCAATCACGCGCCCGTCTAGAGATTTTGTAACCGTGTACAAATGCTTCATGTACCAACGAAGTAACTAGATCCGTTTCTTGCGCGCATCATTGTAAAGTATACGCAACAGAAGAAACACATTATGACAATAAATTAAGTAAATAAATAAAGAAACGCTGCGATCAGAAAAAATTTCTCCATAGAGACATTCTCTAGGTCCTAGGTAGGTAAACACGGAACACTAACAATCCGAGTGAATTTGTCTAAATAATAGTTTTGTTTCGAAAGAGTTTGCTGATAATTTCAAATGAAACGAACGAGACGCGCGAAAAATGATTCGTCCGAGTTTTGAAGTAAACGCTATTACACGTTATGTTCCTTCGGGATTTCCACAATCTAAATGGAAAGAATTTGTATGGGAGGAGCAGATCGAGCACCTGATCACTTCGATTTGCGACGAAATAGTGAACAGAGCAGCGAGTGTGATCCGTGAACATAACCTACAAAGAACGTCGTTTAAATTTACAAGTAGATGCCTTCGTGTGCTTTGGCTGCGTATATTTGATGCAAGTATCGATCTAACAATAAATGAAATCACTAAACGCCGAAACACGATCCAGATTATTTTTCAACTCGAATATCCATTTATTTCATAGTGGTTGTCTCCGTTTTGTTTGGACCTTTATCCGAAACTAAACGATATCTCTGAAAAATCGTCGTATCTACTAGCTGCTGTTGACATTCAACCGCAACCATCCTCAATAGATTGCTGGATATTCGATGGAGCATCGAAACTTTCCCTCATTGAGTCATCGCATTTTCATAGAGACAGTGATATTCGAGTGTCATCCTCAACAACAGATACTAATGTTGTTCCTTTACGAAATGAATTTTACAAAGAAGCAAAGCAAACAAGTAATATTAAAAATACAAGATTGAGTTACTATGTGGCAAGAACATCCACCTCGAGGAGGAAGAGAAAGAAAAGTACGAAGGTTTAAAACGTTTTAAGAGACACAAGCATCAGATAATCCTGAAAAGAAAAAGTCAGTAAAAAGTTAATTTTAGAAGTTTTGTGATTTTCCTGTTCATACGTAAAATTTATGTACTCTTCGTGAAGAAATGGGAAAATTATGGATCGAATGGAAATTAATCGAATACATAGCGAAGTTATCCGTTGTATCATTTCTATTTTCTGTGAACGTTCACACAATTGAAACGATTACACATCTTGGTAAGAATCTCAGAAATATAGCGTTGCCATATATTAAAACTTTCGAAACTTTTTATTTCCTCTTATTTATTAGTAAGATCACAATTTAAAATCAACATCACATATAGGCGGCAAAGAGTTCAAGAAAAAAGCAAACACCTTGCAACATTAAATATTTGAACGAAGGTACGGTATAAACTGTATTACTCAATTCAAAATAGGACGTGAACAAAACTCCCTTTCAAAAAAAAAAAAAAAAAAAAATAGAAAGACGAATTACAGGTCATGAATAAGCAAGCATCTTCAAAAGTTGGCCCAACTCGCGATTTTTTTTCTGGTCACCTTTCCGCCTTGTTTCTAAGCAAGCACTACCTAACGATAATAACATATATATCGATATATATATATATATGTATATATATAAAAAAATTAAATATTCTATGCGATATATTTCTACTGTCTTTACGTTATTTCTAATTTGTTTTACCGAAGTACAAAATATACGTAACAGTATTTCGTATTCTGTTTCCTACGTAATCGATAATAACCATACAAACACTACTTATGTCTCTCTTTCTTGTTTCCCTCCAAATCAACTGAGAAAATCATTTCGCTCGACGACTTGAGATCCCCACGGTTCATAAAGCGATTAATTCGATTTTTCAGCACCTTATCGGTATTCTCGTTGTTTCAAAGATAAACGCACGCGCAACTCCTCCACTACGAAAACTTATTCTGCAATGTTCAATATTTTTATTATCTATCGCTGATCAGTCTTGTAAATTCATAAGAGCACACGTGTACGTGCGCCTGGACGCGACACGTGCACACTTACACACACAGACACACACACATAGAGATGTACATACAATTCATGTAATATAATTAAATTTTATCTCGTGCGCGCATTAACTGTATTTGTGGAAGACCACTGTAATTTTTCTTCGAATGCAACTTTCGATTTTCGAAAGAAATACTTTCACTCGAAACAATCAACTATATAATAGTCTGTTTAAACAGCAAATGCACGCAATATTTTCCGTACAAAACATTGTCCCGTCGATATTGTCGTAATACAAACGTAATTGCATTGAACAAAATTATCCATCGAGATGTCGGAACGACAAAGATAACGAAAAGCGCAGCACATGGTATAAGAACAACTTGGACGAATCGTACAAAGAAATTTTTCAGGGTTAAAATTTCGCGCGTCGTCTGTTCGTCGATCAACAATACAAGTTTCCCTGTTTAACGAGAATACGTTTTCACTTTGAGATTCCGAAAGCATCAAGTTACGTGAATATTCCGTTTCACCAAGCGAAACACTTGGGTATTAAATACTGAATTATTAATTCGTTAAGAATGAATTGATGGTTGACTACAGAGTAATTGCATTTCGAAATGATGCAACTGCTTCCAGCATGTGAAACCCCATTATTTTCAAAGTTCCGGCCGATGTACAAAGTAAAGAAATTGCGCGTTGAAACGGTTTTCACCTTGAACGTTTCTGAAATTCGTATTTCGTTTTACCTATCACAATAGTCGAAACGCGTAAGGTCTAGTCTCTTTAAACCGATTGCGACGTTAACGGCTAAAACCACAGCCAAATTGCACGATCCTCCTTCACAGGCATCGCAGGACAGAGAAATTGCGACGACGACGGTACAATTTCCAAACTTATTTCCCATCAATTTTATGTGCATTCATCGTGACTTACACACATTCTGGGATCCAGATCCAGATCCCCAGGACCCAGCCGCGCGCTAACCGGATGGTGGCCCTTAAAACGGCCTCGCTTGGTCACGATGTCCGGTGATTCGAAACCGCGTAACTGCGTTTAAAGCAAAAGCCATGGGCTTCAGTATAATCGTGTTTACCGATAGAAATTGAATGACACGGAATTACACGCCCGACGAATCGCTCATTGCGCTTGCTGGTATGATCTGTACAATTTCTTTTTTTCCAATGTAAAATCCCTACTGATCATAACGGTGCCCCCTCTGGTGAGATTTCTAGACAGAAAGACAGATTGAAATTGAGAATCGATTCGGTACAGAGAAATATCTGTGTACGTTTCTGAACATTTTTGTCACTCCTCTATTATTATCGTATCGGGGCGAGCCAAACTTACTTTAAAAATTGAGGTAAAAGGATATGCCAAGACGTGTGATCCTGTTTCAGCGTCAGGTAAAGTTCAAAAGTGGACACCGCGTTCGGATCGCATTGTATTTTCGATAGTTTCCGGCACACACTGTCCGTTTCGAAACTGATGAACAGGGTGCAGCCTCTGTGATGGACAAATACAAAAATTGAAAGTGACACGAAGTTAAATCGAGCGAAAAAAAAAAAATAGCAACCGCACGACGTACCTGAGGCCGCAAGGTTCATTCTCAGCCATACTGAGGACCTCTCTGGCTATCCTGGACAAGAGATCAGCAGGTAGAAGAACTTCTCCGCACGCCAGCTGAGCATGTTTTGCCCTTCTCAACTCGACTTCGAGTCGTTTCGCCAAAGCCTGGCAAGCTCCGTCCAATTCGTCGGTCGCTGTTTCAACTGCAATCGACCAATAAATAACCGATTACGATTTCCCGTGATTTATGATGTCCGTTAAAAGATTTCCATCGTCTAGCCTCAGGGGCGAGAGACTCCCTGTACACGCAGTGTAAGTTTGCAGTTTGTAGTCAGCCAAGGAACACTTACCACCGGCAAGGAAACTGTCAAGTAAGTAGTGTTACGTGAAAACAAAGGAAAAATCATAACACCCTGAATTGGAGTCGTAGGTCTCCATAACAACGGGGGAGAGCAGAGTGGGGGAGAAGCTGAACTACTCATGAGCGCTCGTGTGTGGACAGCCTACTGCTGATCTCTACTTAGTTAGTGCGCCTATGAGGAACGCACACTACATCACACTACACAGAATACAAGCAGGGACACAGCGACGTGTCTCTATACGGTGTATCTGTAGATAGAACCAGCGGTTAAGTGCTCCCTGCCGTGCTATTCGACATCACCCAACGCCGCGTATGTAACACGTATACATATATGTATACATGCCGGTGAATAGAATCGAGTTGCGCTCCACAAGAGACTATAGCTTTCGCGTTATTGCGCTACCGTACTCGTCGAAAATCCACTGACATTCTACCAGAAAGTTAGAATGCTCTGAACAAACATTTTTCTTTCCAGTTTGTACGTTTTCTTGACTATTGTTTTTCTTAACTCAATAAACTTTTCACAATTATGACTTTTCACCCTCGCCTGGGGGAAGTTTGGAAATCCTTATATTATTGGAATTTAAAGAAACGAACAGGACAATTATCAAAGCCTGATAACAAGAAACAAAAGCCGAACGAAATCGTGATTCTATCATCGTAGAAAATCAGCTGATACGAACGCAGTTCGCACCGGGAGACTATCGGTTACGGTTATATTATCCATCTTGTCGAATAACGCGCACGCAATTTGTCTTTCAGAAGAAAACGAAAAAAAGACAAACAAATGGAAATATTTATTTACCTCTTGTGTTGCTGAAATTTACGTTCACGGGACACGGCAGAACCTCCATATTCGAAAAACGTTACACGGAACACGATTAACGTCGATCTTTCTCGAGTACGACACAGAGAACACTGTTTCTCTCGAGGTTACGAGTTCGTTTCGGTTCTTTCCGCGATATCAGTTTTGCGGCAGACTTTGCAAAATTCTAACCGCAACAGAATCACTTTTTTCTAAACATTTAAATGCAAAGAATATCTTTTACCCTTCGACTTTCACTCTGATCATACACTTTCATTGAACGACACGGAAGCAGTAACCTTCGCGACTTTTATTCGAACAACTGATTCACCGGCTCCGATGACGCGTTATATATGGACAGTCCCCCACTCCCTAGATTTCTCCCTTCCACCGGCCTCCGACAAGCCGCCTAGCAACACCGGCTACGTGCTGTTTCTCACTACCTCCACTTCGGCTGTTTCCGCTTCTTCTCGTTCGGTTATCTTCGGCTCTTAATACCGTTTCCCCTTGCCATCACCAACCCAACAAGTTAGCTCGTTTCAATTTGACCGCAAGTTGCTTACTACCGGCGTTCTCGATTTTCGTTTACCTTTTTCCCATTTCCCCCCATTTTCCCATTTCTCTACTACGCTCGAGGACTTTCTCTTGTTGGTTCTAATTTACCAATTTGACGATCATTTTCGTTTAGTACAATCTTAAATGCACAGGTATACGAAACTTGACTAAAATGAACGATGACGTGAAACTCGAACTGTATTTCATATTCCTGCGAGTATTCGTGATCAATTAGTACGTTTCATACACTAGTCTGCTCTTATTGGTAGCTTCGTAAAATCATTTACAATTTCGTCGTGGAATATGTATGGTAAAAAACCATTTACGAGTTATGGTTTCTTTGTCTTGCCCTTCCCCCCCTCCTTTCCAGCGTTCCCCTCCATCCTCCGTGCTCTTTTCTTTACCTCACTCTCAACCTACTGTTTTCTCTGTCTCATCTTTATTCGTTGCTCTCTTTGCCGGATGACTTGTTCTTTACTTGTTCTGCCTTATTTTGTTCTCGGTCTGGTTTATCGGCGGTAGCTGGAATCAAGAACCACCAGCAAACATATATTGTGCATGTATATGTATATATATATCATCATGTTTATACACTGAGTGGATCCTTTGAAAGTAATATATGAAATCCATATTCGTACATTTAACAGTCTAGAAAACGTTGAAGCACTTTTTCTTGGGCTACTAAGTTTTCTAAATTATTGCTTCAATACGCACGGAGGAGTATGGGTAAATGAAAAGTTACTGAAGCTGAAATTACACAATTCAAGTAACGTAAGACCGTCCAAGGTACGAGTAACGTGTGAGGTGAATAATGTGTAACAATGAGTAAATGAAAATCGAGATTTATACGGTAAAACGGTTAGGTTAGGACACGACAATGGAAATAGAACGCGATAGATTGAGAAAGAATCGTGAAAGGAAATATTAAAATACACAGTCGAATCTCAATGTACGTAAATTCAGCCGGTCGTTTATCTTTGACAGCGTGTTTAGAAATATATACAGGGAAATGATTTTACCACCGCTAAAAATGAATGCATAGATATATTACATAAGTGGCCGATGAAAATTTACTTGTACTCGATATTACGCGACACTCATCCATATTTCCGAGCGTTTCGTTTCTCTCATTTCTTTAGTCCTTAAGCTGTTTACAAAAATAGAACTGACATCGGCGCGATACGACTGTTATTATCGCGTGCATTATTCTACTAATACACATTGTTTATGCATACGTTTATAGAAAAGAAACAACATCCCTTTTCAATGGTTACATTTGATATAATTAATTGTGTAGTTTATTCGTTGAGTGCAATCGATGCTTCGATGACACATTGGTTTAGTTAACGAATATGTAGATATATATGTCTATAAATGTAATACCGTCTACTCAGTTTTGTAACAATTTTTCGGTATTACGTATTGCTACTACAGTACTACATGTATTGCATATACGTACGTACACATATAAGTTTATTTTCACAACAGGTCAAATAAAAATTCAGTATTTTCTGTTCTTATGTATGATGCAATATTGGCAGAGGTTGATTGGGCTATTCCTTCGTTGAATACATCCAAACACATTGTTTTCGATTATTGCATCATTTTTATAGCTCCGTATACGTAAGCATGATTTTGTCTTTATGCATCTGCACTTGACGTAAAGTGCTTATTTTTACACTGTACTGTTGGATCAATTTTGGTATTATCTTTACAATGATATAAATAAGTGTGTATATGTATATGTGTAAGTAATACTGTCCTTCTAGCTGTAAAGTCAGATGTATGATTTGCTTGATTTTGCTTGATAACAAAGTTTACCACATTTTTTGTCGGAAGTAGATTTATTAAAGATTATGTTCAAAAGAAACCGGTTACGATTATACGGATATGTTTGGTTTGGTTCTTCGACTTATCAGGTTGAAGTGTACTTTTATCATGAAAAGACGATCGTATTTTGAAATATTCTTTGATGGACAGATTACAAATAAATGATTTCTTTATTGTAGTGTTACTACTCGTTATTGCAAAAATAAATGATAAACCAAAGAAATTCAATGACATAGATATCTTATTGAAACGTTGAAGATGCAATCGAGAGCAAAACTGTACGTAAACTGGTACGTAAACTGCCTCTTATGCGAAACGTTCGAGCGCGTTCGAGGTTGCATTATAAACTTTTGTTCTTACCGCGCCATCTACTAACCATCGATTATTGTGTTAACTTCGGATAACCGAAAATGTCGACGACAGCGTGTGACGTGTAGTTTACGGTTGTTAGATTGTTAACAAAATGGAATACTTTAAAAGTAGCTTAAAATCTGTTTTAGGCTCTACTCCCGTGGAAAATGAACCATCGGGCGCAGACACGGTATATTCGTTTTTTTAATCGATAATTGCTTTTATATTTTAATCTCGTAGGCGTATCGCATAAGAGTTTGAAATGATTAGATATCTAATAAAGAATGAAGTATTCGTTTGTTATTTGGTTGCAGTACTTTTAGAAAACGTTGAAATCTTTATTGTTTCTTTCCTTTTTTTTTCTCAGAACTCTTTATTTCATTTGGAACAATTGATGCAGGTGGAACGCTTGGTAGACAGGTTACAGTCTTCAACACTGTTAAACGACAGACGTGATGCTTGTCGAGCACTTAAAGCTCTTTCACGTACTTATCGTGTTGAGGTAGGAGCACAGGGCATGGATGCATTGAGACAAACATTAGAAGTTGATAGAACCGATTGTGAAATTATTGGTCTTGCATTGGATACACTTTGCAATATAACTAATCCCAGAACATTTGATGAAGAAGGTGATGAACATAATGGAAAAGATACATGTGTTTATATAAGTTACATTTCATTTCATAGTTGTCCTTTTCAGTGGACAAACATGGACCTACAAACAAAGTCGGGGAACAATTTACAGAAATATTTATCAAAAACTCTGACAGCATTGGATTAGTACTGACACTTTTAGAAGAATTCGACTTTAATGTTAGATGGCCAGCATTGAAGTTACTGATGCACTTGTTGACCAACAGACCAAAGGATATACAAGAAATAATTTTAGTCAGTCCTATGGGTGTTTCAAAATTAATGGATCTTCTGGGAGATAGCAGAGAAGTCATACGTAACGATGTATATTTTCATAAAACTAAAATATACAAAACATTTCTACATTTCCATAATTTGTCACATACATAAATGATAAGAAAGAAAATTGTTATAGGTATTACTGCTTCTCATTCAGTTAACAAAAGCCAATGCAAACATACAAAAAATTGTGGCTTTTGAGAATGCATTTGACAGAATTTTTGATGTTATTGCACAAGAGGGTAATGCAGAAGGTGGTATTGTAGTGGAAGATTGTTTGTTGCTGATGTTGAACCTTTTAAGGGGTAACGTCAGTAACCAAAATTTTTTTAAAGAAGGTAATACAAATAAAATGAAACGATACAACTGGTATATATTTGTTTGGTGTAAGTTTTTGTTAGTGCAAGCAATGACAGTATCCTTATTGTCTTATCATAGGTAGTTATATCCAGAAACTGATACCGATGTTTCAAATACCACCCGAAACAGAAGATAATCCTTTGGGTGGATGGAGTTCACAGAAGGTATCGAATGTTCATTGCATGGTACAAGTGGTTCGTGCATTGGTAGCACCAAGTGGACCTGCTCAGGTAGTTACCATAACCAGTATAAGTCTGTGCACATCCTTTTCATTTTCTTGGGAGTAATTCTTACCGCAAAATACGTTTGAAGGCGGTAGCAAGTTGTCAACGAATCATGAGAGCGTGCGGATTACTGCAAGCTTTATGCAACATATTGATGGCCAGTGGTGTGCCCGCGGACGTGTTAACAGAGACAATTAATACAGTCGCCGAAGTTATCCGAGGAAACGCCAGTAATCAAGAATTTCTAGCTGGAGTAATGGCACCTAGTAGTCCTCCCAGGTACAATTCTGCTGAAAGATGTGTCCGTATGCATCGTGTTAAGATTTTACGATTCTTTGTAAAGATGTCTCGATTTCTAGACCTGCGATCGTTGTTTTACTTATGTCGATGGTAAACGAGAAGCAACCGTTCGTGCTGAGATGTTCCGTTCTCTATTGTTTCCAGTGTTTTTTATATAAAAATGAGATGGGACAAAGTCAGTTGATTCAGACGTTATTGCCGCAGGGTAATGAGATGCCATCTTTGACAACAGGTTTGTCAGCAGCTACATTATTCCTGCTTACATATCGACTATTTTCGCTATAACGCATAACAGATGTGAAATATTTGATGAATTTAATATTGCTAGGACAGTTGTTGTGCGGAGGTTTATTCTCCCCCGATTCTTTGTCAAATTGGTTTTCCGCCGTGGCGTTATCGCATGCATTGATCGACGATGGCACGCAGAAGGAACAGTTACTCCGTGTACTTCTTGCGACTAATATCGGAAAGCCACCAGTGACCCTAATGCAACAATGCGTCATGTTGCTGCAACAAGGCAACAAAACGCAATGCAAATTAGGGCTTTTAATGCTACTTTGCAGGTGGACCGCGCACTGTCCAGCAGCGGTGAAATCATTTTTACTTATCGATTCTTCTGTAGCTTATTTAACTGCGTTATTGTCGTCACAGGAGAATAACGATGATTTACAAGAAACATTGTTGCAAAGTATGTGCGCCATATTGATTGGATTGTGCATACATTTTAATGATAACAGTGTTTCGAATTACACAAAGGTATTATCACATAAAATTTCAAAGTACGTAATAAAAATGTGGTAGTTGGACATGTATAACTTAATGTTGTATTTTCAGGAAAAACTGTGCGATTTAGTTGAAAATCGAATTGGATTAGAAAGGTTTCAGGATGCAATCGGTGGCCTGGCTAGACACGAGGTATATTCAAGAACGTTAAAACATCCTCAACCTTCGGCGAAAAATCCTTCGGAACTTTTATTGGACCATGAATTCTGTAGACTGTCGAAAGCATTAGAAGGTAGTTACCATTAACTTCCACCGGATTCAGAAAATAACTTTGTTTTCCTTGGATCCAACCGCATGATGTATTTTTTAGGTATGATAACAAAGTCAGTTGTAGATACGAGCAGTTTGCATCATAGAAATCAAATTACAACACCGCTACCGCCAGACTCTGTACTGGTAGCTCAGTATAAGGAAGTTATTCGAGAACAAGATTTACAAATACAAAAACTGAATCACATTACGGAATCACTTGCCAAGGAAAAGCACGAACTCGAAGTACGGTACAGTAACTTTTTGCAACACAGCACTCACATATGAAATTTCAATAAATGTGAACCAATTTTGTAACAGTTCGATCACTTCCTACCTTTACAGTTACAAATACATGATCTTCGGTCTACCATTCATCACTTGAAAGATCAAAATTTAGTGTTGCGAGTAGCACAAACTAACATGTTGTCGGAAGGAACAGAATCTACCGACGCAGTGGCTAATGTAGATTCCGCGAAGGAGCTAGAGAAAAGCAGAAACGTTATTAAAGAGTTGGAAAATCACTTGACAGAGTATGCTTCTACGATAAAGGACTATAAACAGAGACTCGAAGAAAAAGACGAGACTGGTATTGAACAGAAATTAAAAGAAAAATCTGAAGAATTGGAGAAGTTGAAAAAGGATCAAGAAGATCTTTTCGAACTTTTAACGGATCAAGATAGTAAAATTACGCTATACAAGGAAAGGTTGATCGCATTAGGAGAAAAGGTATCTTTACTAAAACACATTTTCTTAACTATTTTCAGCATTTCATGCAACTTTTCATATTAATGTACTTTTTGTTAGGTTGATACAGATGAAAGTTCAGTAGAACTTGATACTGACGATCAACCAGAATCAACCAATTCGATAGATCGAATCAATTAATATGATCCTGAGAATTCACACTTATTATAATAATAATGGAAATGAACAGATTTTTATTTCAGTGGTACCGTTTTATCTCTCATTCTCCTAATTTTCCTGATTACTCTAGAAAGGTTATTTTGTTGTTGCGCTATGATAATAACGCCAAATGACAAGCATTAAAAATAGAATATGTACATGTATTGATGGTCAAAATAGGTGTCCACTAGAGTAACGTTACGGGCGGGTTTGATCAGTCTTTTTCCATTCCTTAGCTGGCTATTTTATACCATGATATTGAATTATATTATATCGAAAAATACAGAACATTGGCACAAATTACAACCACATTACATTTTTTCCTATCAGTGGTTGCAGTGTTTGTGATGAATATACATATAATTTTACAATATGTAATTACAAGTGTTAGATCATTAATATAATGTCCATATACATTATATTAACAAATCTAAAAGCAGTAACGAGCATGTAATTATATATCTATAGATTAATTTTGTCATTCACATGTCCACTTATTTTTATTGATACTAAGAGATGTTATTAATACTGGTAGTTTACTGTGATAAAATGTAGGACTTCAGATCGGGATAAAGATCTGTAGCCTAATAATGATAAATTATAAGTATGGAAGTATTTTTACCTACATAGGTATTAGCAAAGATTTCCTCTCTGGTATTGCTAATTACATGTATTAGTGAAATGGTATCACGTTTCCGCGACACGGCGCCACTGTACTAGTTAAATTACCCCTCCATTTTTATGAATTCAATGTTTACTTACACTTTACAGAACAAACATTTTCCCGTAGAAGTTTTTAAGTACCGCGTTATTAATTATTGACGGACTAATAACAACAACAAAACAGTGTCAGGAGTGTATACGTTGTACAAAAATCTAGAATTTCATTTCGAGTCGGATGGACAATAATTTTGTAACCTATTTCGTACGATGAGAAATGGGTTCATTTAAGCGATCCAAATTAAAAAGTAAATCAAAGTTAGTTGAGAAATCACGTAAGATAATTCGTAAAGAGAGTAGGAGGCAAAAGAAAATTAATAAAGCAAGTTATTTCAATAAGAAAAAAGAGTCACGTAGTGAACGTTCACATACTAACGAACGTGTAAACGATGATAATGTTGTCGACAAGATCAACATCGATTCACAGACGAAATCTCCGAAAGAGCAAAAACAACTGAAACTTGAGCGCAAAAAGAAGAATCAGAAAAAGAAACTACTTAAAGAAGCAAACCTAAGTGAAGATAAAGTCATTAAAAGATTAGAAAAACAATTAAAGCTGAATAAAAAAAAGAAGGAATCAATCCCCAAATCTTTTGCAGCAGACGGTTTAGATTGTATCCTTTTTTATTTCGTTTCATAAGTTACTTTGTATTTTATATGTTTTAAAATCAGTCTTTATATTTTATTCCTTTTATAATCTTAATCATTACTCCTAGCTAAAGTGGTATCTATCTAATCCTTAATATGTATATAGATCTTTTGGATTTTTGCTTACAAAAGGATAGAAAATGTATGGTGGAAACAGAGAAACATCTTTTAGAAGATGAATTTGATAATGATTTTAAAACAGATTTGTCTGTTGTTCTTGAGGAAAGGACCAAGGAAAATGTTCACAAAAATGAGGAGGAAAGCGATCTAGAAAATGAAAATGAAAACACAAGAGAACATTGTTCACTAAATACAGAAGATTTAGAAATATTTGATACTAATAAACCAGAGTTTGAAGTTAGGCAGAATAAAAAGTATAACAATGTTAGCAATAAAAATGATAATGCTTGGGAAGATATTTATGGTAGGAAAAGAGATAGCGAAGGTAATGTTATACATGAGTCAACTAAGTATATACCTCCTGCTGCACGAGTTAATGCAGATAATGCAGTTAGGGATGATGAAAAATTACTTTCTTTAAAGAGGAAGTTAAAAGGCTGTTTGAATAGAGTAGCAGAACATAATATGCATACTATAGCTAATCAGGTAATAGTACATTTGAACACAAAATATAAATGTTAAAACAGCAACTTTGTTCTGTAATAAAATTATAATGTTTTACAGATAGAAGAAATGTATATGACTAACAGTCGCAATAATATGAACTATTTGTTTACGAATCTAACGTTTGAAGCTGTAGTTACAGAAACACTTGCTCCAAATCGTCTAGTTTGTGAACATATGATGTTAATTGCCATTTTACATGCTAATATCGGAGTTGAAATTGGTGCTCATTTCTTGGAAAACCTTGTAAAAAGATTCATTGAAATGACGAATGCGCCACAGGATGTAGAAAACAAAAAATTGGATAATGTGACATTAATGATTTCACATCTATATAATTTTAAAGTACAGAAACTGTGCAGATTAATTATCAACTAAAACCGACATGATACTAAAACTATACTTAAATGAATACTTCTGACTTGTTTAATTTTAATGCAGGTGTATGGACACAAGCTTCTCTATCAGATACTCGATAGACTTACAACTAAATTTACAGAGAAAGAGATCGAGTTGATATTGCTTATTTTGAAAACTGTAGGGTTTGCACTTAGGAAAGATGATCCAATTGCTCTAAAAGAATTCATACAAAGTTTACAACAAACAGCTAGTCATAGACATGAACAGAGGTAAGTTTTATATGATGATCGATTTGAAATTGTACAAACATTTAATTGAAAGCACATTGTCACTTCACAGTTCAAGAGTTAGATTTATGTTGGACGTTTTGTTAGCGATAAAGAATAATAACGTTAGTAAAATACCCCAATACGATCCTTCGCATGTGGAGCATTTAAAAAAGGTTATAAAAAATGTAATACGCAAAGGCAATACTATATCGCAATTCAATGTTTCGTTGGAGGATTTGTTGAACGGTAATCTTGTTTATTTCTTCATAATTACGATAGTATGGACAAAAAAACAATTTCAGAAAAGTTTTACTTATGTGGTTTTTACTGTAGCCCATGAAAACGGAAAATGGTGGGTTGTTGGTTCTGCATGGTCTGGATCAAATAGTACAGCTAATCAAAAAATTATAAAAAGTCAAAAACAGCTTCGTTTTGGTAAAAAAATACTAGAATTGGCAGAAAAACAAAGAATGAACACGGATACAAGAAGAAATATCTTTTGTATTCTTATGACAGCCGAAGACTACTTAGATGCTTTTGAAAAGCTTCATCATCTTGGCTTGAAAGATCAAGAAGAAGACGAAATTGTACACGTTTTAATACATTGTTGCTTACAAGAAAACAAATTTAATCCCTACTATGCTGTATTAGCGCAAAAATTTTGTGAATATAATCGAAAATATCAGGTACAGTGTTACTATTTATACACATAGATATAGAATATAGAAATATTTAACTTAGTTATAATGTTTTAGCTCACGATACAATACGCTGTATGGGATAAACTGAAAATTCTAGAAACACACGAAGCAAAACAGTTAAGCAATCTGGCCCGATTCTTAACTCATTTATTGATTGAAAAGTCTCTTGCTTTATCAGTTTTAAAAGTAATTATTGTGCATTACATTACATCTTATTTACACTGCGGAATACAAAGTGATATTTGTAATTTGATTTTTTGCAGATTGTACAGTTCACAGAATTAGACAAACATACCATGAAACTACTCAGACAAATAGTACTAGGCGTTCTTCTACACAAAAATGAACAAACTTGTCTAGAAGTGTTCGAAAAAATATCAATCTCCCCTCGATTACAACCTTTCAGAGAAGGCCTTCGTTTATTCATAAATTATTTTGTAATAAAAAACATAGATTCAGCAAGCATGTTAGAAGAGAAGAAAATAATATTAAAAAGAAGAGTTGAAATGGCAGATAAAATACTGAGTTTACACGGATCAAAAGTGAAATTTTGAAATAATTACTTAATAAATCAATAACATAATAAATCTTCTCTATAAAGTAAATATCGTAAAACCGTATTTGGAACTTGCATTGGTATGTATGCGTGTGCGTTCGCGTGCAACACGAGTGTTCGTATGATAATACTATGTCAATAAGTAAAATATTAGATGTTACTAAGCACTTTATTATGTTATTTTGAAAATTTAATTTTTAATAATATAAATTCATGGAGTACAGTTTTAGAATAGAATTTTCACATTGCATCGTTTATGAATCGAGGTTCCTAAGCGTTTCCTTGCAACGTTTGAACGTGTCCTCGTATTTCGCATCCAAAGGACCAGTACATCCGTAGCCACCCAACCGATGAATACGAAGATAGTCGTCGCAATTAATCACACCATCTCCGTTGCAATCCTATGAATGAAAAAAAAACGGTCAATGGAAATAACGGATGCTTGTGCACTAATTGCGTATCCTATTTACTTTTCTCGAGAAAATACCTGAGCAAATTTATCCATATAGCCTTGTACTGTGCGAACCGCACAGTGTGGATTGTTTACGCATTGAGGGTATGCTGTACAAAAAAATGTGATTTAATCGTATTGAGTGTTGTATAAAAATTATTCCGATTACGTGAATCGACGGTATGTATTTTGTACCAACCCTCACTGTCCGGACTTCCATCGAGTTTTAGCTTGCCCCCATCGGCCCAATAGCTCCACGTTATGCGATATGGTCCACAGACAGGACCATCGCAACCTGATGTAAGATTACATCCCGAAGCAGCTTCACATATACATCTGAAGCAATTGTCGAAGATTACAACACCTTGTGCTTCTGAAACCTGTTGTCCTAATGAAAGATAATCGTGTTATTTAAAACTTCCAATCGTGATACTTATTGAATATTGTATGAGTACAAGAGAAAGAGAACAAGAAAGAAATAATGAAACATTGCAAATTTAGCAAGGATTATGAATAATCAAAGGTATGCCAATGTTTATAAGAAAACAAATATGATTATTTTTAGGATTTCGTGTGTATTAACTTGAACTTGTCGGAAGTTACACCTTACAAGAATCGGTTGGAAGTAATGCTGGCCGTAATGTAATGCATACATATACATATATACATACATGTATACGGAACCGGATTCCAACCCAACAAAATTCTATATTCCATAAAAGGTAAAGTTTGACTTAAATTTTGTTATGCTCTTAATGTTCTTTTCTTGAAAATTGACAACGTTTTTTCAGCTGTTTAGAGCATTTAAAGAATTCAAATATTTTTATAGAAAATGTCGAAAATTATTAAATGTTTACGTCTTAAAATATAGTGTTTCAAAATACAAACGATGTGTTAGGCAAACATATACAATGACCAAAAAATCTTAACGATGAATCGGTGGATTGATCACTTGTAAATCGAACTATTCGAACGAATACTGTCATAGCGAAATTTTGTTTTTTACGTTCTAATTGTCAAAAATACTTGATATTCACTTACCATAAATTAGTAATACAGACAAAATTGTTGCAATCGACATACTAGATGAGGGTACCATTTTTCTAGGACGTTCGTTTCGTCGCTCTTTGTCAGAGTTAAAGAATATCCTTGACACCGTATGTATTTCGAAATTCCCTGTCAATGTTTGAAACAGCACTGACGTGATACTACGTCGTTCCGTTCTTTTATATACAACAGAGTTGTAGCGGATGGCGGCAAGCCGGCGGTGAACGTATGTTAACGACTGCAGAAGTGGGGACTTGAACAGAGGTCAGTGGCAAGGACTGCTGTCCTCTGGGAACGATTGTCACTGAAAAACGAGGATTGGTACCTTTTGGAATTCAAGTCGTCGCGGCATCGAGGTACAAGAGAAAGAACAAAAATGAAACTGGTATCCATCTAGTTGCGTACAGGTTTCAAATCGGCGAGAAAGAAGGAACGGCCAACATTTCTAATTTCGTCGTACATCCTCATTCCGTGATTCCGTAACAAAGAACTGCTGCTTGCTCATTTTGTTTCTGAAACTAGAAGTCATGTGTGTACGTATATCCGTAGGCAGCCTAATACATATGAGTCATCTTAGAATCATTCAGTAAAAATCATCACTTCATCCGTAGATGACTAATCACGAATCCTTTCCGATTTGCGCCTTTGCAATTTTTTGTTTTTAGATAGAAATATTTCCAAAATGTTGCGCATTAAACAGATACGATTTCATTTTACAATACTCCAATGAATATTCTTCACGCCCATCTCGGTTGCGTCCTCCCTATATGTATATACACATATTCATACATACATATATAGGGATAGGGACTATATATGGGCTGATATAAGCATGTTGCTCGGGTCGGAGAACTCAGAGAACCTATGTTAAAACCGGATTTTGAGTTCGAGCAAGGTAATACTGTCGAATGCACGAAGAAGTTCATCGATTCTACAACGCTTCGCTTAAACCCCCTATGTTCGTGCCTCATCTCTATTCAACACAGTGGTGCAAAATGTTTTTCTTTTTGTTTTCGGTGTAGCGAACACGTATGGAACACAAACGATATGGAAGTATATAGTAAATTTCGGGTATTCACATGGAAAATATTAATACTTTCGGCTGTATGTAATAAGATCGTAGAACGTATAAACATAATAAATTATGTCGTGGATATTTTCTCAATTTGTATGGTCGTTGTTTCATTTTGTTAGAATCCAATCTCAATTTTCTATTTTTTCAAAAAGTTTTTATTATGAATTGTTTATATCGTACCGCTGTTGATCGCGTAATGGAAAACACATATCTCGAGCATGTAATTGTAAAAATAATAAATAAATAATTGCATGACAATGACGTGTTTACGCTTATACGCATTGGTTCTGCAGGAAGTAATTAAAATTCTGATGAAAATAGTCTATACGCTTTCCAACACAGAATAAGTACAAATATTAGTAGTTCATACAGCTACTGCACCACTACTAATTCGTGTACTATTATTGACAGTAAGCACTTATACATTTTGAAACAGATACAACATATATATGTAAATTTGAAACAGGTTTGTAATGTCGATATTAACCCTCGCCCAGCCGATATCGGGTCATTTTGGCCCAGGTTTACGTCTTCAGTGTAACAGAGAGAATTCACAAAATGATAACAATGATGTATCATTGGATGGAGATACTATATCAGGTCGTGATACATAATTTTACGTAAACAATGTATATAAATAAATGATATTTATAAAATATTTACATAGCTTAACACATTCCCTAAAGTATGTATAATGAAAGTTCTGCTATGGACCAAAATGACTCGGTATCAGCCTGCCGCGTCGCTGTTTCGATCGGCCGTTCGAGGGTTAAGGTAGTAGAATTCAAATAAACACTCCATTTAAAGCTTTGTTAATATATTACCATTGAAGTAGCATTAGCAGTTCTTCAGGATCATTCAATAACAAATTATATATACAAACAATGGTTATTATTTATTAAGTTTATATTAAAAGTAACGGACACAAATAGTTGCTTATATTTTATTGAATGACTCAATGTCGACGGATTGAACTAAATCTTCAAAACTTTCGATTTGTTCTACCAGTAAATCCACAGACACCTTGTCATCCTCAATGACGCACATTATTCTGAATTTATGAATACCATAACCCACAGCGACTAGTTTAGCTGAAAACACAAAATCATAATAGGCATGGGAAGAGCTAATGAAAGTACTACAATTAAATTCAAATCAAGAGGCATCAACTCACAAGCTCCCCAAACTAGCCCATCCATCTGTATAGATCTAACAGCATCCTCCATGGCTTTCATGTCTGTATCATCTCCCCATGGTTTTACATCCAACACGAGACTAGATTTGGCAATTAATGCTGGTTTCTTTGACTTTTTTTCCGCATATGCTTTTAATCTTTCTTCTCTAATTCTCACAGCTTCCGCATCTTCTTCGTCATCCGAACCAAAGAGGTCTACATCATCTTCATTCTTAGCTGTTGTCGTATTACTAACATTACTGCTACTTGAGAGAATAGATGCTTTCTTTTCTCCAGGAAGTACTTTCAAGTCATAGGACTTTATGTGGTTGTACCATCGTAGAACATGCGGATTTGAAGATGTCGGAGTCTTTCCTAGAGCTTCTAAAACTGCTACATCAGCCTGAGTAGGTTGCCACCTTCATACAATGTAATACAATGCTCTATAGTTGACATATTAGGTTACTTTAAATGGTCGTTACTTTAAGTAGAAGATAGGAACGAAATCTGTGACAGACGAGATAATAAAAAAAAAACGACTCGCAATCGTAAGAATATCTATAGTGCAAAACCATAGTCAAAGTTTTACACGAATACAAATAGATAATGATCCTTTTAAACTGTAAATACCTTTGTATGCTGGAAATACAGAAGTTTGACAACATTTAAAAACACAGAAACTAAACACTAAGAAAAAAATTAATCGGACATATTAAGCATAAAACAATGAAAGAGATCACACTAAGTGATATTGATACTATTACATTCGAGAGTATACTTTGTCAAACTGTTATGCAGAAGAGAAAGCAAAAAAAGATGTGCGGCTTTAAAATGCCGACAAGTGGAACACGTGTACTGCGATAAAATCCTATAATGATAAAAGTAGACTTACCCTTCGATATAGCTGTGATCCGCTAAGTAAGAATTTAAATCTTTAACACCCTTATCAGTTTTGAGATCACCAACAGCCATCGCGAAAATTTAGGTAACTAGAAAGTACTTGATAGAAGCCGACAGTAACGAAGCACTTTACTTGCTTACCGGAAGAGAAAGCTACACGCGGTGAAAAGTTGATGATCCGTTGCGTCGATGCAAGGTGACGTCATTCCGGTACATTATTCTTGGGAAATAAAAAAGTAACTACACGCATAGTGACTACTTAAAAATCTACCACAATTAACGTATGTAGTAAAGTCTGATGAAATGAATTATCTATCAAAATTTAATTGTCCACTTTTTTGGTTTCATTATCTCATTAATATTTCATTGTTTATTACTGTTAAGAAATGTATTGTACTGAGACTTTGCACGTATTATATGCTTTTCTCAACGTTATTGCATTTTGCTATAACAATATTTAATTTGTTCGTTTCTTTATGAAATATATCTACGATTCATTTTCGATAATATATTCAAGATGTTGTGTCTATTCATTATATCGGTTCAAAATATGTATTTAAATGTATCCGTGTGCATTTCCTACGTAAATATTTGTATAAGACATTTGTAATTACGCGATTAATTTATTCTTAGCAAAGTTTATAAAAAGTGTGTTCAAAAATAAACCGTTACTGTAAGAGCTGTCCAATGTTTAAAATTAAGTAAGAGTAGAGTCCTATTTCGGATCATTTGCGTCGTCCGTTTGCTCTAGGCATTCTTTAGAGTTTGGGAGGAATTAGGGCGACGAAACATTGTTTTGGTAATTGTTGCCCAGATACAGTTAATTTTATCATTCTGAAACAGTAGTGTTTCATTGTATAAATTCGTGTCACTGTATTATCTGCTTTTTTCGAGAAATCTAGATCTATCCGTTGACGTAGAATTATATAGGTTAGTACAACCGACTCAATGATCAAAGCTTCAACTATGACTTTTTCTTACATAACAGCGTAATATCGACGTGTGAAGAGTGTTTGAGCCAAAATGTTACGGCTCCCAGTAATAAGATTGTCTACGGGGTTACAAAATGGTAGGCCCTTTGTCTTGGGATTGCATACAACATCCTCAAAGTTGCAGCAAGAATTAGTTGAAGTGTTCATTGATGATAAGCCTGTCCATGTTCCACCTGGTACAACTGTTCTCCAGGTAAAGTAATCACTTCTACGTTACTTAATAGATTTTAGATAACTGATCATTTTTTTACAATCTTACAAAACTTTACAAAATCACAATAATGGGTTACTACTTCTATTTACATCTAATTGTATTTGTTAGGCAGCTGCAAAAGTTGGAGTAGAAATTCCCAGATTTTGTTATCATGAACGTTTAGCTGTAGCAGGAAATTGTAGGATGTGTCTTGTGGAAATTGAAAAACAGGTCAAGGTATTTGGTATCCTTTTTCATTACTAAAAATCCTATGATTCATGTAATAAAAACCAGTTATTAATTACATCTTTGTGTGAATGTGTTTAGCCTGTTGCTGCTTGTGCCATGCCCGTAATGAAAGGTTGGAGAGTGAAAACTAATTCAGATTTAACTCGTAAAGCCCGTGAAGGTGTTATGGAATTTCTATTGGTGAATCATCCTTTGGATTGTCCTATTTGTGATCAAGGAGGCGAATGTGATTTGCAAGATCAAAGTATGGCATTTGGTAGTGACCGAAGTCGGTTTATCGATATTGATTATAGTGGCAAGAGAGCAGTAGAGGACAAGGATATTGGACCTCTAGTTAAAACAGTTATGACACGTTGCATCCATTGTACAAGATGTATTCGTTTTGCCTCTGAAGTAGCTGGTGTTGACGATTTAGGGACCACAGGTCGTGGAAATGATATGCAAGTATGTTAAGTAGTTGCAAATCTGTTTTTTTTGTAGTCAGTATCGTTGACATATGTTTATGCTAAAATTATTTCTAATTAATTGTAACAGGTTGGAACTTATGTAGAAAAAATGTTCCTGTCAGAGTTATCTGGTAATATCATCGATCTATGTCCTGTCGGTGCATTAACCAGTAAGCCGTATGCTTTCGTTGCTCGTCCGTGGGAAACACGTCGTACAGACAGCATCGATGTTTTAGATGCTGTCGGTAGTAATATAGTGATTTCGCATAGAACAGGTGAAGTTTTGAGAATTCTACCAAGGGTAAACGAAGTTAGTATCGTTTTCCATAATTATTGCTTAAAGAGTACTTATAACTTTTAATTACACAATACTGTGTAGGAAATAAATGAAGAGTGGCTATCCGATAAGGCACGTTTCTCTTACGACGGACTTAAGCGCCAGAGACTCATTACTCCTATGATGAAAATCAATGGAAAATTGGAAGCTGTGGAATGGGAAGATGCTCTAGTAGCAGGTATATCGTAGTTGTACTTTAATCGTAGTTGCACTTCTAAGAAGGATGTACGTATATAGTGTAGCTATGCTTGAATTTTTTAATATATTGTTTAATTTAAACCGTTGTACTCATTTTCAGTTGGCCAAGTTATACAAAATATACCTCCGAATACATGTGCAGCAATCGCTGGAAAACTGGCTGACGCTGAGTCTCTTGTAGCGTTAAAGGATCTGGTAAATAGGCTTGGTGGTGAAACTTTAGCAACGGAGCAAAGTTTTCCAAAACATGGCGCCGGTATTGATATAAGAAGCAATTACTTACTGAATAATACGATCGCTGCAATCGAGGAGGCTGATGTAGTACTGTTAATTGGGACTAATCCGAGGTACGAAGCACCATTGGTAAACACACGTTTAAGGAAAGGATATATTCATGGTGAACAAACTATTGCTTTGATTGGTCCGAAAGTAGATTTAACATATGATTATGAAGTAAGTGCTACAATATGTTACAATACATAGCTACAAATTTGTTATTACTTTGATCTTAACCGTTCTCAAGAACTAAAATTTCACTCGCATTTTAGCATTTGGGTCAATCTCCTGAAATTATAACACAATTAAGAAATGGTACTCATCCATTTTCTAACACCTTGAAAACTGCTAAAAAACCTCTAGTCATTTTGGGTGTCGATCAATTAACCAGGAAAGATGGAGAGAAAATCTTATCTGAAACGCAATTACTAGCGCAATCTTTAGGAGGAAAATCGAAAGTGAGAAAGACTTGTTTTAAAATGGTCATATACATACACAGAGTAATTCTTAGCAAATCTCAAATTTCAAATTCCGCCAGTTTTAGGAATTTCATGATGAATCAATCATCTGAACGGAATGTTTGGAGATTTTTCGAGGGAATACTGTACAATAGATACATTGTATCATTATACTTGTTTCTAGGCTCCTGAAGAATGGAAAGTTCTAAATATCCTACATACGAATGCGTCACAAGTAGCTGCATTGGATGTAGGTTATTCTGCGTCTGTAGAGGAAGTTAAGCAGCTAAAATTAAAAATTCTTTTCTTATTGGGCGCTGATGATGCGAATATAAAGAAAGAAGACTTTGCAGATACCTTTATTGTATACATAGGTACGTGCGAGAATATATTTTGTGCGCAATATTAACTCGCAAAATGTCACTTATTTACGATTAAATTTTTGTAGGTAGCCATGGCGATGAAGGAGCCTCGATTGCGGACGTTATACTTCCTGGAGCTGCATACACCGAGAAAGTTGCGACCTACGTGAATACAGAAGGCCGCGCTCAACAGACTTGTGCCGCAATTACACCACCGGGCATGGCACGTCCGGATTGGAAGATAATACGAGCTCTTTCCGAGGTAACTTTTAACGTCTTTACATATTTACGTAAAACTTTAAAAATTAACCTAATGAAATGCTTCCCCAGATTTGCGGCGTTTGCTTGCCTTATGATAACTTGATGGATGTTAGGTCTAGACTCGAAGAAATGGCACCACATTTAGTTAAATACGGCATCGTGGAAGCAGCTAATTATTTTGTTCAAGCATCGGAATTATCAAAGGTATTTAAATAACAGTTAAATATCAATAAATTACATCGGTAGAAGAAAATTATATCAACATGAACGCTTGCTAATGTAGGAGTCTAGCAAATCTTTGTCCACGGAACCACTGGAAGTTAAACAAAAGGCACTGGATCAGTTTTTCATGACAGATACGGTATCTCGTTCTTCACCTACTATGGCAAAGTGTGTGCAGGCAGTTCTGAGGCAACGAGAGAGTACTTCGTAAACGGTTAATCATAATATGAAAATAGGAACTCATGATAGATGTGTAATAGTACTGAAAAAATATTCCAAATATGGTGCTTTTATTAGGAGCGCGTAAAAATGAAAATATCCCTTGTAACTGCTGCGTTAAATGACGCGGCAGATTTTATTCAACAGAATACAAACATTAACTCCATAGTGATACAGTGAAAATTCAATCTACTTGTCTAATCATTTCATGTATATTATAATGTTCTGTATTGATATATTAATGCTTTCTATTATATTCAACCCATGTTTTTTTTTTAAACAAATTATAAGTTCGCAGCCATTAGCTCGGTATTACCTTCAGGTTGCAATACTTTACCGAAGATAATACCAATTGCCCGGATCTCACCACGAGGAGGTTGCTGCGAGTGGAGACCCAAGGAAGATAGATGGAAACACAAGTTCCATCTATCCAACTTTCACGATAATCTTACAACCAACTTTGATATCTAAATACGCTTATACTATAAATATCGAAATCCCTCGGCGGATGGCTTCTTTCTTAAGTTTATTGCATTAAAATAAATCAAAATAAAGCACAATTAATTAGAATAAATCAAAATAAAACATAGTTAATTAAAACGAATCATAATGAAACTCAAGTAATTAAAATAGATGAAAATAAAACACAGTTAATTAAAATAAATCAAAATGAAACACAGTTAATTAAAATAAATTAAAATAAATCACAATAAAAAAAAAAACGAACCCCTGAGTCGAGTTCGGATAATAGAGAGGACCCCTTGAACCCCCTTGGCCAGTGTCCGCCAGTGGTCAACAATCGTCGGAAGACCTCGACAAGGTCCGCGGACGCGAGTGAACTGAGGATTTTTCATTACGCGCTCGTATTTAGAGGTCACAGCGACCGCGAGCTTGCGCGGACAGGTGCGCAAACATTGAGTGTACTGGAAACTCGAGCGCGCCACAAATTATTTCTCGATTAATTTATTATATCTAATCAGGTAATTGTTATAACAATTACCTCTCTGAGGAATATTGTTAAACATTCTGTCAGCTGTCTTATAAGCAAATTGTTATTGTTTATAACAAATATAAATCGAAATATACAGAAACTTTCAAGATATGAACCGTGTAATGAACTTTTACGTGTAATAAATTTTACTTCATTGCAAACTATTAAACAATGATTATATCTTAATGTTGATGGCAACTGTTAACTAAATAGTAGAGTTTTATGTGAGAATATCGTAAAAATTTGTCGAAAATGGGAATTCTTCGATCGACGGTTGACTGTTTTTGTCCTTGACAATAATTGTTACAGCTTTTGGAATAGAATTTTTGGCTAACATTAATTCGCAAAAAATTATTTTGCACAAATTAAATATTTTTGATAACATCTTCCATTAATTACAAGAACATTGTTAAAATCACAATTGTTTGTAACGGTTGACACTGTACCTCGTCATGCGTACCCCGTTTAGTTTACTTTGAACAACTTATCCAACGTTATGCTGATAGCTTTCGTCTTGACCAAGCATTCAGTTTGAAGCTGAAAGAACGTAGATTAATCTCCTATCATTAACAATAACAATAAACGACTAGAACACTGTTAAAATCGCATTTAATCGCGGAATACCACTATTTTTTCGACCGGTGGCGCCGCCGGTGGCAATTCGTTCAAACTGATAGCCAAATCATACCGACAGGTGAGTGAAAATTCCTAGTGATGGAAAAATGCGAATATCGCAGTAATTAAGCGCTCAAAGTGAACGTCGTTAGTCACAAACTATTCCTGAGGGATTAATGCATCGACCCAATAGTGCAGAACCCCAGAATTAGTAAAATTATTTATGCCTGTATTACCGCAGCCCCTTATGGAACGGCAACCCTAATTACACAGAGTTCGATTGCATTTACACCGCTGAACGGGCATCATTTTCCTCGTCACGCATTAAATTCGAAGTTTTAAGAACGTAGATTAGTCCTTTCTAGCGGCTGTGAACCAGTAATTACAAGAACATTATTAAAATCACATTTATTTGCAACGGTTGACACTGTACCTCGTCATGTGTACCGGGGATAGTTCACTTTGAACAACTTATCCAACGTTATGTTGACAACGTTCGTCTTGACCAAGCACTCAATTTGAAGCTGAAAGAACGTAGATTAATCCCCTGTCATTGACAATAACAATAAATGACTAGAACACTGTTAAAATCGCATTTAATCACGGAATACCACTATTTTTTCGACCGGTGGCGCCAAAGGTGGCAATTCGCTCAAACTGCTAGCCAAATTATACCGACAGGTGAGTGAAAATTCCTAGTGATGGAAAAATGCGAATATCTCAGTAATTAAACGCTCAAAAAGAACGGCGTTAGTCTCAAATTATTCCTAAGGACTTACTGCAACGACCCAATACTGCAGAACCTGAGAATTAGGAAAATTATTTATGCCTTCATTACCGCAGATCCTTATGGAGCAGCAAACCTAATGTCAACAGATTACGGTCGCATTAACATTGCTGAACGGGCATCATTTTTCTTCGTCACGCATTAGATTCGAAGTCCAAAGAACGTTCATTAGTACTCTCTAACGATTGGGATCCAGAAATTACAATGACATTGTTAAAATCACAATTATTTGTAACGGTTGACACTCTTTCTCATCAAGCGTACCCCGGTTAGTTCACTTTGGACAGCACGTACACCGTTATACGGACAGCTTTTGTTTAGCTGAAGCACTCAATTTGTAGCTGAAAGTACGTAGATTAATCTCCTGTCATTGAAAATAACAATAAACGACCAGAACACTGTTAAAATCGCATTTAATTGCGGAATACCACTATTTTTTTGACCGCTGGCGCCACCCGTGGCGAACAGCTGAAACTGCTAGCCAATTATATGGCTAGTAGTTTCAGGGATTCGCCACGGGTGGCGCCACCGTTTAAAAAAATAGTGGTATTCCGCAATTAAATGTGATTTTAACAGTGTTCTGGTCGTTTATTGTTATTTTCAATGACAGGAAATTAATCTACATTCTTTCAGCTTCAAACTGAATGCTTGATCAAGACGTAACTTGTCCATAGAACGTTGGAAGAGCTATTTAAAGTGAACTAAACGGGGTACGCATCGCGAGATAGAGTGTCAACCGTTGCAAACAATTGAGATTTTAACAATGTTCTTGTAATTATTGGTTCCCAGGCGCTAGGGAGTACTTATCTACGTTCTTAAAACTTCAAATTTAAAGCGTGATGAGGAAAAATGATGCCCGTTCAGCAGTGAAAATGCAATCGAAATTTGTTACAATTAGGATTGCCGCTCCATAAGGGTCAGCGTTAATACAGACATAAATAATTTTACTTATTCTGGGGTTCTGGACTATTGGATCGATGTATTAAGTGCTGAGGAACAATTTGAGACCAATGACGTTCATTTTAAGCGCTTAATTACTGAGATATTCGCATTTTTCCATCACTCGGAATTTTCACTCACCTGTCGGTATAATTTGGCTAGCAGTTTGAGCGAATTGCCACCCGTGGCGCCACCGGTCGAAAAAATAGTGGTATTCCGTGATTAAATGCGATTTTAGCAGTGTTCTAGTCGTTTATTGTTATTGTCAATGACAGGGGATTAATCTACGTACTTTCAGCTTTAAATTGAGTGCTCGGTCAAGACCAACGTTGTCAACATAACGTTGGATAAGTTGTTCAAAGTGAACTATCCCCGGTACACATGACGAGGTACAGTGTCAACCGTTGCAAATAAATGTGATTTTAATAATGTTCTTGTAATTACTGGTTCACAGCCGCTAGAAAGGACTAATCTACGTTCTTAAAACTTCGAATTTAATGCGTGACGAGGAAAATGATGCCCGTTCAGCGGTGTAAATGCGATCGAACTCTGTGTAATTAGGGTTGCCGCTCCATAAGGGGCTGCGGTAATACAGGCATAAATAATTTTACTAATTCTGGGGTTCTGCACTATTGGGTCGATGCATTAATCCCTCAGGAATAGTTTGTGACTAACGACGTTCACTTTGAGCGCTTAATTACTGCGATATTCGCATTTTTCCATCACTAGGAATTTTCACTCACCTGTCGGTATGTTTTGGCTAGCAGTTTGAGCGAATTGCCACCGGTGGCGCCACCGGTCGAAAAAATAGTGGTATTCCGCGATTAAATGCGATTTTAACAGTGTTCTAGTCGTTTATTGTTATTGTTAATGATAGGAGATTAATCTACGTTCTTTCAGCTTCAAACTGAATGCTTGGTCAAGACGGAAGCTGTCGGCATAACGTTGGTAGAGTTGTTCAAAGTGAATTAAACGGGGTACGCATAGCGAGATACAGTCTATGCATTCAGTATACCATTGAATATAGCGACTTTAGAGGGAATTCTGATTTCCGTTGTAGTCCACCCAGTTGTGGAGCGTGCTGGCGGTAGGAGCGTGGATCTGGTGGATATTGGTGGATATCTATTTTGACTGTCCGATGTATCTATATTCGCAAGTATTTAAAGAAAGGTGAGTTATTAAAGGTGTTTTTAGATCATCATTTTTCACATTGGAACCGTGGAAGGTGAAAAGTGAATTTAAATGTTGGAAAATTTTGTGAACCGCTAACATGCTGTTGAAAGTGTCACAAAGTTTCATGGTAGTTGCCATTAGGAAGAGGTAACTATTGTTGTATATTTGATTTAAATTAATCGTTTATAATTATAACCTTATACAATTCGTTATTTTGTGAAACTGCGTGTGAATAACGTACGTGGTTTTATGTTATTAAGCGCAAACAACATTTGTTACAGTGCAATGCAAAGGCAGACTGTGTCTTTCTTGAGTAGACGCAGTTTTTCGTCTCAAAAGATTTTTAATCCTAATATAACACGCAAATCAATTGTTACACCGTTTCCTCCACTGACCGAACCTATTCCTAACTTACCTAAGGCAGTTTATGCTACTACAAAAGAGGAACATCAAATCACTAAAGTCACAACTTTGTCCAATGGTCTGAGAGTTGCTTCTGAAAATCGGTTTGGCCAGTTTTGCACAGTTGGTGGTGAGTGTGGAAGACTTTTCAACAAACTTTACCCAATCTTATTCTCTCTGTTACATAGTATTGCTTTACAGTATTACTTGAGTCTGGCCCTAGATATGAAGTTGCATTTCCTAGCGGTATCTCTCATTTTTTAGAAAAATTAGCATTTGGAGTAAGTTTTCTAATATACAGTAGGGAATTGGCATTTGAGGAATAAAAAATTAACAACCTACTTTTGCAGTCAACAAAAACATATGAAAGTAAGGATCAAATAATGCTGGCAATGGAAAAACATGGTGGAATATGCGATTGTCAAGCATCTAGGGATACACTTGTATATGCTGCTTCAGCAGAACGTCAAGGACTGGATACAGTTGTAGAAATACTAGGCGATGTCGCTTTGAGACCGAACATAACACAGGAAGAAGTAAGAAATTCTCATGTATTAAACTGTCTTAAAAATTACACAGTAATATAAAACAGTCTCTGTACATTCAAACTGATTATAAAAAGGTGACAATGTTGATGTTAAGCTGTTATTTCTAGTTAACCACTGCAAAAAAAATGATCCGATTTGAACTGGAATCTTTACTAACAAGGCCAGAACAAGAACCGATACTTATGGATATGATCCATGCAGTAAGTAAAAGAATTGAATTTATGGAGCAATAAAACAGCAGATTAGATAAAGGTCAGAAACTAAGGTTTAAATAAACTTATTTTCCAGGCTGCATATAGAAACAACACACTTGGTCTTCCAAAAATATGCCCAGAAGAAAACATTGACCATATAGATAGGAAGGTATTGTTTGAGTATTTGAAACACCATTTCACACCAAACAGAATGGTTGTAGCTGGAGTAGGTGTGGAACATGAACATCTTGTTTCAGCAGTTCAAAAGTAATGATAAGTAAATGTTTTAGGTATTCGTCAGTATGAATTATAATATCATTACAGCAATTTTGGTCAATTGGAAATCTGTAAATTAGTTTATTTATTTTATGAAGCCTAAGGTATATCATTTTGCTTCAGTGCAAACAGAGATTTTCAAATCAGGATGACGTTCCTACTGTTCTAGACATTTCGTTGAAAAACAAACTATTTGGGAAGAAGAAGAAAGGAAAAAGGAGAGTAACTTGATATCTTCGGAAAAAGAAAGGCTATTAATTGCAGTTGATGCGTCTATTGCTCAATATACCGGAGGCTACATACTAGTAGTTATCTCTTTCAGTCAAACACAAAAGTAACTGACTATATGGGCTAATACTTAAAAATTGAAAACTGTACAATTCTACAGGAGGAATGTAACGTACCCGTATACGCAGGACCAAGCGGTTTACCAGAATTGTCCCACGTAGTAATAGGCTTGGAAGGTTGTTCTCATCAGGATCCCGATTTTGTAGCGATGTGCGTTTTAAATATGATGATGGGTGGAGGTGGCAGCTTTAGCGCCGGTGGACCAGGCAAGGGCATGTACACTCGTTTGTATACAAACGTGCTCAACAGGTGCAGTTTAGAATATATTTCATTGATGTAAGAATAACGTAAGTTAAGACAAAATCACAGTAGAATATCGTACCGCAGATATCATTGGTTATACAGTGCAACTGCATACAATCATGCATACAGTGACACAGGACTTTTTTGTATTCATGCATCTTGTACACCGTCTCACGTCAAGGAAATGGTCGAAGTGATTGTGCACGAAATGGTCGCTATGATTAGTAATATTACAGACAGCGAGCTCGAAGTATGGTTCCATTACTATAAATTTTCATTCGTATATCTTAATGGTTGCATTTATCGATAATTGAAATTTGTTTACTTTTTATAAATCAGAGAGCGAAAAAGCAACTACAGTCTATGTTGCTCATGAATCTAGAACAAAGACCCGTTGTCTTTGAAGATATTGGCAGACAAGTTTTAGCCACTGGATCTAGAAAACGACCGGAGTATTTTATACAAGCAATCGGTGAGTCGAACGCAAACGAAATAAAGTAACGTGTGAACTGTAGAGTTCTTTTATAGACTTTTCTGTTTGACAATATTGGGTAAACTGTAACAGAACTTTTATATTTAGCGATTTGAGGCATATGTAAAATCATTGTGTTCGCTTAATTTCTAAGTAGTACACTAACCCTTGTTTTGTTTTGTAAACCGGTTTCTTTGCATTCAACGAAGGTTTCATGAAAATGATTTCTTGACTTTGAAATCTCCGATGATATGCCTCTATTTAGAACAAAAACGAATTTATCGTAAGATACTTCATTCGACATAGATCAACTGTGGTCTAAAATACTTTTTCAACGGCTTCTAATTTTCGAGATATTTTTGTAGTACGATTAAAATGGAAGATCTTATATATATTTATATTCTGTATCGCAATTGACGCCTTGAGTAGAATATGCAACATGAAACTCTTCATTCGTATTGTTTGTAGATGGAATATCAAAAGACGACATAAGTAATATAGCACGACGTCTACTCAAATCACCTCCTAGTGTAGCAGCTCGAGGAGAAGTGAGAACAGTTCCTTCTATCGGAGATATTCAGACTGGATTGACTGATGAGCAAGGACGATTACCCGGTTCTCGTAACAGACTGTCACTTTTTCGTTAGAAAATAATTTCTCTGAGATTCATATGTTTCTGCTAGGTGATTATTTGAAAATACTGTGTGAATGATGCTCGAAGTATGCTTCTTTATATTGAAATACAAACTAAAGTACAGTTCACCTAATTATCAAAACTGAAAGTTTCATAAGTTTGACTTGTCCAACATAAAAATTATAATTTATTTGTGTTGTGCACTTTATTTGTGAATTCAACCCTGTTGTTAACGTAGCAGGAACATTACGTGTATATACTATTTAGACGATGTATCGTGTGTATTATAATACATGATTGTAAGATCGATGAACGATGTACTACAAAGTGAAATATATGCGGAGCGAATTCGTAAGTAAGAATAAACAACTTTACAGTTTTCAATACAGTTTCATGCCCAAAGCGGTCACGTTTACAATTGTTTAATGAAGAGGTTTTTAAATAAAACGAACTTCAGAATTAACGATTACTGTAATAAAAATAAAAAAATTTTCATCCGACATTCTTTATTTGTGTTCGATTTTCATTGTATGCGTTTTGTTTTCACGCATGAAATAAATATGCGTGGTGGAATTGATCGACATTGAAGTTAAGCTTCAGTTTCTTCCAATGTTTTCAAGAAGGAGGCTTTCTTTTGTGCCACACGATTCTTTCTTTCCGACAGGGATAATTTTGCACGATTCCATCGTTTCTTTACAGGGGCTTCTTTCCTCGCTACCTTCGTGTGTTCCGGATTTGCACGTATCTCTTCGTGGGCACGTTTATAGATACCTTCGATCTGTTAACAGAAACAATTGTTATTGAGTTATTAACAAAAATAATTATGCTAATAATAATGTTACACTGGTCGATGGGGAAAATGCGATTATATACACATTTATCTCGTGTAACCATTGCAGTTGTTTTAGTCCAACTGCGACACTGTCGAGATCATAAAGCCTGACAGTAATTATTAGTTGGACGAATTCAATATACGTGAAGCCGCGAAAACACTTACATTGTCAGCAGCGATGCCATTTTTAATGTAATGCGAAAATTGCCGTTTGAATAGTTGATCATCACTTTCCTCTAACAATTTCATATAATTTGCAACGTGTTGCCCAAAAATGTGTTGCCGATGAACATCGGCATTGAACGATTTCGACTCGCTGTCGTATCCAGGAAATCTCTTGGTGCTAATCATGAAAGGAAAATAAAGAAAGAAAGGTAATTTAATAACGATGCCTAGTTATCTTTTTCACGTTTATTAATTCAATTTTACATTATCAGAGACACGTTTTCTAATCCCTTTTTGTCTATGCAATGATTGGATACTGTATTGTAGAACACAAAACAGTATCACAACTTGCTATGACTCAGATGACGCGCATGTGTCTTAAAATCATCACAACTTTATATACCTGTATTATTTAATATAGTGCTCGCCAGATGTAACTTGGTCGTAAAATCAGTCGGGTGCTAAAGTAAACATTTTATTGCTGTACAATGTTAATTCAGGTGAGATACTGTTGACTTTTTTTTTTATTATTGACTACAGCCTATGAAAAATTAAAGTTCATTCAAATATTCTAAATAAATAGAATTTACAATGACCCTAGTAGTAAATTAACTGTAGTTACAATTAGCAGATACACTTTTCTGTTTTATTGCTAGGATCCCTACCACCTGTAAGTCGCATAAGGTCTCGAGTGCCGCGGTATCAATCGATCCCGTTACTCCATGTGTTAGTTTACGACCACGCTACATTTTGGCGGACTATATATTTTCAATACTCTGTAAAGAATTTTAAATAAAATTTTGTAAACCATACCTGTGTGGAATGTTTAGGCCACCATCGACAGCACCTTTCATGGCACCAAAAACTCTAGCACCTGTGGTAGTTCGCATAAGGCCAGTGTCTAAATAACACCTGAATGCCCCAGGTCCATCATTCAATTCTTCAACATTATATTCGTCACCAGTTACTTCTGTTGTACCAGCATATAATGTGTCTAAGCCCAACTTTTTTAACAGCTACAGAAGAAATATTCAATGATATCAGTTCAACTGCACATGTATGTTATTTTAATAGTTCAATTTTATGTACTTATACTTTCAGAATTAAACAATAGGGAACAATTGTGTTTTCTTCAGTTATGCATCAAAGCGAGCTGAGTGTTTCATCATTGAATAGATGTTGTTTAAGTAAATAGAAATTAATAATATGTAAGAAGCTTACTCTGCGAGCCAAGAGAAGACCAGTGCAATATGCAGAGGCATAATTGGTAAGGCCAACTTTAATACCATACTTTGGAAGTTCATGGCTATAAGCTGCACATACTATTCTGTCCCCTTCAATTCTTGAATATGCCACCTATTGAAACATCTTTATACAATACACTCTGTATCAATAAACAAATATGTTGAAATATGTACAAAAAAAAAACAAATTAAATATATTTACCTGGCATGTTATGTCTTTATTTGATAGACGTACAATTAGTCTATATTTTGGTGTATTGTATTTATTTTTATCCTGAATTGTTAATCGTTTACGGGCATAATAATCAGTCTTTCCCTCACGTCGCCTTTTGAATTTTACTTGATAACGTTTGAAATACTGCTTGTTTTTCACAACTTTTACAAAGCCCTAAAATGTAATAGAAAGAACTTAATACCACAAAATGATATCTATATTTTGCTTTCTACTTATACACAATATTCAGTGCCATAAGGAAAAAATATTTTCATTACTTTGTCAAAGTGAGCTAAGGTAGTCATCATGTGAAATTTCTACTATTGACAACTAAACCTACTAAAAGTTTGTTACATCACCGAGTCGTATAATGCTTATGCGGGTGAAAAAGAATCGGCTGATCGCGATTTATATAGAGCCAAAAATCAAATCCAAGTCTTTTATTTTCCGGGCGACTGGCACAACTAAGCTATCGCCATCTGCGATTCTTTTCTCCCTATCCATGTAACGTACAGAAAGATAACTGCCATCGTGTTGTACAACTTATACTCAGATAAAATTTATATAAATAAATATACTTTGTACTGAACATTACAATATAAGCGTTAATTAGACAATAATAAGCAATAATTAGACTTTGTAATACTACTTCACGGTTACTCTACAAATGTAGGATCCGTTTGCATCTTTGTACACGTTACAAATTGTGCATAATATGTAAGGCATAATAAATAATATAATAGCATTATACATAACGTACAATCATATGATTAAAATATAAGTACATGTACGTTGCAATGAAGAAGAACAAGATTTGTTCACCTTTAATTTACAAGTATAATAATTGTTTGGCTTGGCCATATATCGTAATAACTATTAAAAGAAAAAGTATATTCTTAATGATAAAAAATTGAATCATGAAGAAAATTATAATGATAGAAATATGAAATTTCTACGTGTAGATCAAAATATGTTTCGTGGTCACCATGCGTTCGGACGCTGAACCTTTGTAGAGTTAGACAATCTCTCTTTGAATCCTACTGAATTGCAGTCATCCAACATTTTTAACGTTACTCAATGACTTATTTCGATGACAAAGAATCTTATTTATTGAACTACATGAATCTTGAGCACATTTTACTTACCATTTTTATACAAAATACGGACACAACAGTGCGTGGAACAAAACCTCCCAAGGTTCCACGTCGAAGAAGGAAGTGCCGCCTGGTGCCCTGATGCTTCTGCGTTTTCACGAAAGAGCCATCTATGAATTGGTTTCGATTATCATTAGATACAAATGTCCCTAGCTAGCTCATAATCTCTAGACTAAATTCCAGGAATTGTACCATAAACGAGCGCCAATCACTGACGAGCTTTCTCCATCAATCGTCCGTTCACTTGGCGAGTTTATATTTATGTACTCCAATAGTTAAAATAACGGTAACATCTAATTGTAAGAATACTTTTTGTATATATAACAGAATACGTATGTATATAATATAAAATTTAAATATTGAAGAGGAAACAATTTATTTCCTTCTTATTAAATGTCTCGCAAATTAATATTTTTCAAGTTGTTATTTTACTGAGAGGTTACAAAGTGAAATTATAAAATAATTAAATATAAAAAGTAAAACCACCAGAGTGGGATTCGAATGGGGTCTCCCGACTGTTGCTCACACGTTTAGGTTGCCGGACATCGCGTCGGAAACGTGAATTTTCGGCCCAGTGAGATTCCCGAACAGGGTCTCCAAAGTTTCCTCATTCTTTACGTTGCCGGGTGACAGGTAGTCGGCGGAAACGCTCGACGGCCAGCTCACACAAATAGAAGCAAAGTATGTTTGTGTAGCAGAAAACGTGGTGGTGAAACCAAATTCCACAATTTTGGCATCACTGGGCTGGATATAGGTACACACTTTTTGATCACCTTACTATCTCCGTTATTTTTAGAGATATTAAAAAAGTTTATAAGCGGAAGTTATTGAGTATTGAAACATTTTACTAAAACAATATTACATACACCGCATTTTTTGTGATAAAAATATGAGAGTCAAATACGACACCTTCCTTGCTGGGCGGCGGCAACAGAGGTGAATATTCAGTACACACACATGTATGAGAAATACGTGTGAGCGAGGGGAGTTGCCAATATGCAATAAAAGGGACTCCTTTTAGCCATGGTTGTATGACCGTGAATTTAACGAATGTCTACTATACATACATCCGAATACTGAATCTGATATATTAAAAAATTTGTTGCTTTTTTTTTATTAATTTCTGCACATTTTCATTGTACATTGGGATCATGCTTTGGATGCCGGTACTTTTTATTCCAATTAACATTATGCAATGTCAATAATTGTTATTCGAGCGTGCAGGATAAAAAAGGTGTCTGTCAAAAATTTGTCACAAAATGCACCCTGACTTTAAAAAATTGAAGAAAGAAAATTCATGTGAAAAGAGTCGTCTGACCATAAGAATTCATTTGTAGTACAACATGTGTACCTTTCATCTGCTTTATCAAGTAGCATACATAAAAGACAGAACAAAAACTTCATCTTGAATTTGAAAGTTCACATTCATTTAGTACTTTTTTAATAGCTCCAAATGTGTAAGTTCACTTTTGAAAGCTGTGAATAGGTATCTCTTTTATATCCTGTATAACATACATGATTAAAAACTGCATACTTTCTCAAATTCGTAATTCTTGAGCATCATTCATTCCCCAGTCACTTAAATCCTCATCCCAACCACTGTTTTCTTCGTTCATATCTAGTCCAGTTAATACATGAATGTCAAATACACTTTTTGATGCTGTCTGTGGTTGTTGTATATGCAAGACCTGTGTCTTTTTAATTACAGGCTCCATATCTGTGAAGAAATCATATTCTTCCTTGGTCGAATTTATCAATTTTGAGTTCTTGATATCAAGCTCTGAAATATCAGATAAAATGGTCGGTTTCTTTGAAAACTTAGGGTCAAGTGTGTTAGTGATGTTTACATCTGATGCTGAATTAGCTTCAACTGTTAACGTTGAACTAACGGCCGAAGTATCATTAGACTCGCCAATTGTATCGGAAGATGATGAAATATGATGACGAATATTTCCAGGAACAGTTTCTTGTGTGTCCCAATCAGACCATGTGTATTCTTCCTCTGTTATCAAAGAAACGATCTCCTTTTTATCCTCACCTCCATCTGGCGATGGTCTCTCTGGTAAATCAACTGTGCTCTCGCTATTACCCGCGGCAGCTGCAAATTCAACGATATTTGTAAAAGGCGAAATAATTTGATTATTTTGCCCGTTTTCGGTAATTTTATTTGGCCGACCGTCCGTAAATAATTTTCCTCTGTTTCCACCAACTACAGTGGCCGCGCCGAGGATTGGAACTATATCGGCTAATGCTTTTAAAGTTTCAGATACAAGATGATCATTTGTGTCTTTAATTCCAACAAGCAATTCAGGTAGTACTTGCGATTTTAATTCGTCCACTTGAAATGTGTGAACAAAGGAATTCAAATGTGACAGCAGTACCAAACGTATAGATGCATCTCTTATACAGAACATCTGCAGCAGTTTGGGTACTAAGTATGCTTTGAATGTTGAAACTGTAAACAGATTATTGTCCATATCGTCCTTCCCATCTACAAGCAAATACATCTTGGTAATAATAATTACTAACAATAAGCTCTGCGTTTCTTTAAAAACTTGTTACCTCTTGGTTTTAAGATGAATGGCAAAAGCTTTTCTTGAGCAGTCGAATCTAATAAGACCATTCTTGAGAGTAGCAATCGACCCAGTTGTTCCGCGACAATACTTTCAGGAAATGTTCTTAATTGTGCTATTAAATTTCTGTCATACAATTAGATATTTTTAATATATATCTACAGCTTTGTTCACTTTCATTAATAATATTTACCCAAAAAATATTTCTTTTTCTTGATTACTTTTTAATGGTAATTCCTCTAAAAATGCATGTATTCTCATAAAGTCATGAGTGAAAAAGGGATGTTGGAGAACACTTGATAATTCACTCCTTAAACATGGATCTGAATTCTGTAGATTCTCTTTACAAAACTGCTTAAACTCTAGGAGGCTTGGCACATCTTCTGCAATAATATGAAACATTTACTGTAACAGACATCTGATTAATTATTCAAAGAGTTGCTTACCTGAATTCTTTAATCTAAGAATGTCTTCAGCTAAAATACCAAATGCATATGCATCAATTGCTGTACAATTGTTCGATGAGATAGTTGTATCTTCATCGGATGATACTGCTTTCTCGTATCTATAACTTCTTATTTTCTTTAAATAAGTAGATGTTAATTCTTTGAATTTACATAGACATTCTAATCCACCAAGTTTCCAACATCCTTCAGATGTTACATAGATAACACTTCCACAAATATTGTTGTGTGATGCAAATGCCTTTTCATGAAGGAATACAAGTGCACGTAAAATGCTATACAAACCCATGCATATTTGCAATGTATTTTGTGTTTCTATCATTTGAATCAGAGGTTTAACTTGTTCAGTTGTAAGAAAAAATTTGTTGCCTTTGGACCACGATGAAATATACTTAAGTATACAAGGATGCCTGTATAACATTAGATTCTGAAAAATATATTTATTACTACTACGTATGTTGTTTAGATAGCTAAATCTTATATGTGATTGGTCACATTTGGTCTAATAAAATTTAAGATAATCGATAAACTAATGATAACCTTTGAAGCTTTCTCTAACGGAGAAGGATTTCCGAAATTCGGACTATAATGCAAAGACGGTTCGCTGACAAATAAAGAAACTGTTCGAATACCATGGTCATTCACGCGGGCAGTATAGTGCACCCAAAAGTCTGTTATTTCCACTGATTTCTCGTCAATTTCTAGCCCGTTGCGGGCACTTATTTCATTCCCCATTAACTTTGTTAATCCTCCAAAAGGAAGGAAACCTCTGTTACCAAACAACAATAAAAACCATCAAATTAACAATACGAATGTCATTTTTATTAGAGAGAATTATCAAAATTTTGTTACTTGTTTCACAATCATCGAAACCTGGTACTAGTTCACGAACTCTTAACCATTGTGAATAAGAGTTGAATATTTTTGATAATTTTGCTATGATACACAACACTTATGTAGGTGGGAAACACTACTTCTCCAACAGTTGTTTCGTCATTGTATTTACAGCAGGCGTATATACTTACTGACAGATAGTGTCACACGCACAATTTGCGATTTTAGCGCCGTCAATAACATTTTCAGAAGTAGGTCAAATTTGGTGTAATATTTAAAAAAAAGGTGTATTATTTGTACAATTTTAGCACAATACTGTTATAGAATAATAAAATTTATATTTTCGGGAGGGAAGAATTATAAAATAGTAACAAATTCAAATCAAACGTGTTTCAACGTTTTTCGAATACTTTTTAGTAATACATACTTTTAACAGTAGTTGTTTTATTAAGTGTTAGCAGATACTTCAATAAATTAACTTATTAATTATAAATACGTAAAATTATACATACTTTATAACTTACAGATAGGTAGGAGGGTCTGTCATACACTTATTATTACATATACTTTGAAAATTTTCAAATGGTACCGATTGTATCGTAATATGTATTCATTTTATTATTTTTATAACGCAAATCCTAATAGCTTGTTTTTGCACTGTTCGAAAAGGTAATATTCATTTTTAAAAGAAAATACGCAGCGATACATATGTATTTTGTCAAAAATAATAATGATTATCACCACCCAGATACCACATGACGCCTCGAAGACATCCATTTTACGGCTATTTTAAGCCTAAGGCGTTTTTAATCCGTTTTTAAGACGTTGAGGGCGTTTTGTGCTATCTGGGCATACAACCAACATTCATACATTCAATTTTTGTACTAATCATATGCACACTTTCGCATAAGTATAACATTTATACCATGAGGCATTTCTAAACCACAGAAATCATGAGTCACTGAAAATACTTATTGACAAAACAGTATGTACTTTCTCTATGCTTGAATGTCAAAATATATTACAATTTTATATTAAATCCTTCAATATCATTATTTAGTTACAGTATAATCAGGACAGACCTTAGAGACTGTGCTCAATTCAGTACTTTTCACATGCACTTTAGCAAAAAGATCATGTCGCATACAAGCGATTAGGTATACAAGCAATTCCTGAATAGATTATATTCGAATCTATGATGAAATCTGATTTGGTACATCTTACTTACGCATCTCTCTTTCTTCATTTTGCGTAGTTAATCATTGAATATGCACTTGTAAGAATAATGTTCAATCATTTATGAATGACAATTTCGACAGTAATGATGTTATTCTCCAGGTGATAATATCAATAATAAATACAACAATGATTATAATTGTACAAGAGGTCTTATACAGTGTATGAATATTGTGTAACTGTTATATAAAATTCGCATAGAATTTTGTACTGTACGATAATAACAAAAAGAAAAGGAAGAGAGGAAGGGACGGTAACGACGACGTTAATGATGACGATATAACGATGACACCGACGACGACGACGATGATGACGATGATGACGACGACGACGACGACGACGACAACGAAGACGATTATGATGATGACGACGTCGAAATCGATTGAATATTCTAATCACATTGTACGTAATAAGAATATTAATAAAATATAGTAATAAGAATAAACTGAAATAATATCTTTGAAAATGCAGGTGATACAGATTTCTGTCAAAACAAACCATTAATATATGTAAGTAGGAATACAATTCCGATGGAAAAATATTGCTGTAGTAATAAATAACTTGCAATAATAAAAATAATAGTAGTAGTAGTACTTAATGAAAAAATCCTAATAACAATAACTAAAGCAAGTGTAATAACACCTAATACCTATTGATCAGCGGTTGTGACTCCAATAATTGTAGTAGCAATAACAGCTATACTAATAGTTTATTCAATCTTCCTATTACTACTTTTGCTACAATTAATACTATTTCTATTACTTCTACTGGTATTGCTGCTATAATTACTACTATTACTGCTGATATAGCAATTACTTCTGCTACTACTATTACTACTATTAAGTGTTAGTGTTATGGACGTTCAGAATGCTGACATATGATGTGAAGAAATGAAAGATAGGAAATATATTACTGAAACGTATCCTTATTCTTTTTATTAGCATTAATCTTATTATTAAAAATGTCGTTACTTTTCCCCGAAAATATTACATTTTTTTAAATTATTTGAAACTATCCAAAAAGATGCATATTTGTGTGGCAGTATGTCGAAGGCACCATGTCTTGTGTTTTTTAATTAAAGGTGAGCTACAGTATCATAGTTCGCGTTTAAATATCGTCAAGGCCATTGAAATTCTTTCTGAGTCACGTACGGTAAAAATAAATTATTTAACAAATCATTTTCTGTAACAGTCACATTAAAAAATGGTTAAAACTATTGCCTCCGTATAGTTCGTATCATCTTGACGTTTTTTTTTACGCAATACGTGCATTACTGTTTATATTCAAAGTCGAGAATAACAACCGACAATAATAATTGGCAGTATATCAAATTTTTCATTCCTCATACTTCGATAATATGTTTTTGTATCTAACATCTTCTAAATGAATATTCGTGTTAATTAATGAAACTAGTAAATATGAATTCTTATAAATACTACTGTCTACATTGATTGGTTTAATGATTATAATAGTAGTAATAGTAGCAATAACAATGTTGTTGCCGACAACGACGAAGATGAAGGCGACGACGACGACGGCGGCGGCAACGGCAACGACGGGAATGGTGACGGCTGCAACGACGACAGCAATTGCAACGGCGTTAATTGCAAGAGTAACCATCATAATAATGACACCAATACTAGCATTCATTGTAATGAAATAATAGCGATGATCATGGTAATAGGTGGTAATAGTAGCAGTGACAGTTGTAATGACAATGACAATATCATATTATGTACTGCAATATAGAAATATAGTAGAAATAATAATGATAATGATGATAATAACGATCATATTAAAAATAAAATATAATGATAGTGACAATAATAATAGTTATGATGAGGATGATTATTGGTGATTTGATGATGAATGACGACGACAATAATTGAACCGCAACTAAAGTAGAAAATCTACAATTCTCTTTCTACGACCTGTACCATGAAACACTGTTGCGACCTAATGGAACATTATGCACGGAAAACCGACTTTGTTTCAAATTTTTTCAAGCGATATGATATATTATTACATTTTTAGTTATTGATAGTGTTTCTGAGCGTGTCTAGGTCATGATAACATATTCAGTAACTATAAACAATTGTTGCACTATTTATTTTTCACAAGCTTCGTCATGACCGCACATTATATTAATAAACGATTAATGTACACGAACTTTTTTACTTGTCACACTGTATGAGGGACAACGTCATGCAGATCTATACGACCATCGCATGGGCAATTTGAAATTTCGATATACATAAAACAGTCTTCTTTATCGACGTTTGTTTTTCGTTTCCCCACTTTAATGGTGCTCTACAAAATGTAGCAACGGTCGTGCTATATCTTTGTCGAACTACATTTCCGAAAAATTGGCTTTTACATTATCGTATACCACAGACCGCCGTCGTGTCCATATACAGAAATACGAGTCTTGTGCACATTTATTATCTTCATATTCAATGTAATTAATTGGTAGGGTGATCGATTAACACCAAGAAGCGATACGTTGTGCGTACCAGTCCAACTGTGTTGCTTCTCTGACTTCCATTTCCCATTGAATCGAGCAACGCATTAGAATTCCTTTCGTTTCCAGAGTAATCCGTAGACTGCGTTTAGACAATGTCAAGTATGTCTTTGATGTATCGATTAGGTTTATTTTCTCGAGCTATGTTTTTTTTTCTCTCCATGTTTCTAATGTTCATTGCAGCGTTTCGGGTCGTACGCACTACTTTCTCGAACAAAAAGGGAATGTTCGATGACGTGATTTGTTCGTAGAATTTATGACACGCAACTTCGTAATAATTAATTCGAAGAAGCATTGGCGTGTGTACAATGACAATACCGCCCACTTTTTTTTTCTTCGATGCGCCAAAGTTAAATACTTCTAACTAGATATATAGCCAAGTATCGAATACGTCTCCTGATCGCGCGAGCTTCTTTAAAATGGCAAATACAATATCATTTGGAGCATCGTCTTTTCCATGTACAAAAACAACTTAATCGTTATAATTTACCTTTCAATCGACGTCATGTCATTATGTAATTATAAATAATATTTCTCAAGCGGCAGAATAAACAGCCTGTTTCACATTCACTCATTTTGTTGGTTCACTTCTTCTTTATTGTCATTGTCCTGTTGATTTACGTTTGCTTTAGTGCTTCCTTGTTGAGCACTAGATCCGTTGTCGCTGATTTTATCATTGTGAGAATCCGTTTTCTCGTTCGTATCCATTTTCACGTTCCCTAAAGAACCAAAAAATAAAAACATAAGCGATGTTGCTTCAAGACGCTGTTTAACTTTCAAGATTAATACATCGTAAAGTTGTATCGAAAACGAACCTTGAGTAGAATAGTATTGTTGTTGCATTTTCATGTTACGTTGTTGCTGTTGTTGCTGTTGATGCAAATTCGGTCTGTGACGATTAATTTGAGATTGCGGTGGCTGTTGCTGTTGTTGTGACGGCATGCAATTAGGTTGTTGTTGAGTTGGATTGTTTGGATTTGGGCCGGGTGTAAACGGGACAACTGGTCTCTGAATAGGCGGTGGATATCGTTGTTGCGACGGCTGAATACCGGCGCGTGGTGGCATTCCCATGCCACGTACGTTTTGCTGTAAAACCTGCAATTTCGTTGACGTTGCTAATTTCGTTACAAGGACACACTTACAAATTCTATAATTATATTATAAATATATTGATTCTACGAAATTTAAATATAATTTAGCCTTCGTTTTATTAATAATAGCTTCGAATTAGATAACTGGTTAATGATAATTGAGATAAGCGTAAGAGCGATACATACGTAGTTATTGTAACTGCTTACCAAAGCAGATTGACTAACACCCTGATACTGTTGGTACTTGTGGTGTTGCGTCGGGCTTGGTTGCGGTTGTTGGGACGAAGATTGTTGTTTACAGTTTCTCGATTTAGGGGATGGTATTTGTGGCGCTGTTGTGTGGCAAAGAATTAATATTACCGCACACTCGAAAAATATACATAGCTTTCGAATATAACAAGGAACAGGAATGAAACTTACTGGAACTGAAAACCGACGCAAGAACATCTTGTTGATTTCCCGATGGACTCTTTAATTGTCTAGGTTGTTCCTGTGGTTGATGTTTGCTGAGAAAAGTAGGACCAGCGTTGGCTGGTCCTGGAAGTCCGCCCGTAGGATTGCGAAACTGCTGAGCAGCCGCAGCTGCGGCGATCTGTAAACCGGAACTGGATAAAAAGCCAGAGCCGAAGTTTTGTAGTCCAACGGGTGTGGCGCTACCAGTTGCTAAACTTTGGCTATGCTGACCGAATCCTTGCAGCCCGTAATGGGTGCCGGTTTGTTGCGTAGCGCCTCCCGGTTGATAAAAACCTGTCTGCGAGCCCGGGAATACATCTGAAAGCGTGCATATGGAATCACCGTATAGGATCACTTAAACGATGATATTTTGTTGTACTGCAAAAAGTTAGTCGTGAGACTAGGCATATTTAATATTTACCAGCCGAAGTGGCGCTATAATAGCTATTGGCTGAAGCTTGTACGTTCGGACCGGGTCTCTGCACCAATTGGGAATTGCCCATGTAACTGCCACTTACTCCCAGTACTTGATTTGGATCGTACGGTATGTACGTTAACTGAAGGACGCACAAAAGAAAAAGGTAGAAAGATGAAATATAAAACAATATATAGACATCTTTCGTAGAAAATGCGTTAAATGTTTTTGTACCAACAGTTAGTTAGTCTCGATTAGATCATTAAATACGAAGTCAAACATACTGGATTTGGTTGAGGGGCAGATGGCGCTTGAAAATGTGGAGCTTTCGTTCCAATAGCGCCAATGGGCTGCGACGACGGTTTCACACTTGCCGACATCAAAGAATTCGAAGAGGAACTGATAAGAACTGTATTTGGATTGTTACTGAGCTGTTGATTTTGTCCAAACGGTGGAGCAGCAGCTGCAGTCTACAAAAAGAATGCATGTTATCGTTACAAGCAACCTTTCTCGAAACACTATCCACGAAACAGAATACATTATATTATGCTACTTACGATGCGATACTGAGAAAGATTGCTTTGATACATCTCCGGAGTAGGTGCATTTGGCGCGTGCGGAGGCGGTGGCGGAGGTTGTTGCAAGTAGACGTTTTGCTGGCTAAATGAGTTCTGAAGAGACGGTGCATACGGTGGATACTGAGTGAACGGAGATCGGCTCTGATCCAACTGAAAGGCTCCGTATAGACCTCCTGCCTGAGCCGGAAGTTGACCAGAACCTGTGTTAAACAATACGGCTGGTGGGGAGGGTATAGCAGACATGCTGCCGTATTGCGCAGCTTGTGAGCCTGGGTATTGTGGGAACTCCTGAATGGAAAAAAAAAACAGAAAGAAAAAGAAAACTATGGTTAATCAGGTCACGTGAAAGTACGTTTGGCGAACAATTTCTTTCTTATCAAACATTATGCTATTTTTTTCTTTATTTTCAACAGCAACAAAAAATGCACCTGATAGTTTATGTGAGAGGGTTGTCCTGTGGAGTTGAACGGAGGTGGACTCAACGGTCCTTGCAGACTGACAGGAGGATGACCGATAGGACTCTGACCTGCTCCGATTGGGCTTGGCCCGGGAACTGTCGAACCAGATTGACCGCTACTGCTCCCCGAGGATTGTTGCTGCGGCTTCACCTGCGGGGGAACCAGCTGCGCATCAGGCAAAGAGTCAGCATCTTCCCACAGGGGACATGGTATTTCGTTATTTAATTTTTTTTTTCTATTTACATCACTATCAACTGCCGTTTTAATTGATGATGACCGAATCACGCGGATTTCGGGAAGCAACATTTTCTTCTTTAATCTGCTTCCGAACTGTGGTGAAAATAGTTAGGTTCATCGCTAACTGCGTAAGCTTGACGATACAGAGGGTATATGTAACTTGACAGAGAGAAAGGATAAAAAATATTAGGGGAGAAAAATGTATAATCGAAATGACGGTGACAGAAACGGGGTAACGGTGAAACTGACAAGTTAACGCCTTATTAATGGCAATTAGTGTTATTAGAAACAATATTTGCATCGCGACTACTACCTGCATATGTTATACAACCAAGTGTTACGGAACTGTTTGTGTTAGAAAATTGGCCGTTCTCTGGATTAACCCTCGCCGAACGATACACGAGCCCCGTTGGGACCCCGTTACCGACTCTACTAAGCATTTAAATTTCCGGCCAAGACGTTCGGTACTTGACGACATATTAGGAAAGCGTCCTATTGACGGGACTATCCTCGGTGGATTAAAAACCGTTAGTCGAGATCGGTCGGGCTGATGGTATGAACACGAGTTTGAAATATTTAGGCGACTGAATCAGTATTTGCAAGGGTTAGGAAAGAAACAGATCCAATTCTATGCGCGTCAGCCACTTACCTTTCTGATTTTCACCATGATAACTACTTAAGGGAATTTTTTTTTCGTTTGAATACGCATCAGGAAATTTTCATTTCCGGATAAGGTGACAAAAAAAATATATGAACAAACAAGAAAATATAATTACTCGAAATTCTGTCGAGCATCGAGTCAATTTCTAGTGATGTAATAGCTCAGATACGCATGCATGATAACTATGACAATTAATGTGCGCGAAATGATTTCTCACCTTGCACACGTTCGTCGAAGTGGTTATTTCGTTTTTCATGTTATTTTGATTGTATTGTTGATGAGGACTGTAACTATCGTCGACGTCCGTACTTTCGAACGCTTGCGGGAACGTGTTTGCGCTACTGACGACATTGCCATCCTCGTGCTCTACCACCGTTGGCATCGGTGGCGCGTTCTCCCAGACTTTCTTTACCGATGCGATTTTCAAGTTCAACTCGGCGGTGGAGGGAGAAATGGTATTCTGACCGGTGGCCATATGCATAGACCGAGGCATTCCCAAGCTTTTGTTCTTATCCTCGGTCAGCTGCGAGAGATCCGAATCGAACGTGAAGTCGAGCTTCATGTCGGCGTTATCTTCGTTTTTATTGAAGGACAGAGGCATTTGAATCGGTTCTTGATTCTTGTCTTTCATCAAATCGTTTGGTTTGTTCGAGAACGCGACAGGTAGGCTCTGCTGTTGTTGTTGTTGCTGTTGCTGCTGCTGTTGCATTCCAGCCGTGTTACCGCCATCCTCTTCCATATCACTGCGTTTCTCCACGCGTTGCTGTTGATTCTTTATATGATTCGGAAATTTCGTCTTCACGGCGAGATCGGAAGGAGCCGCCTTCGTGGTCTTCGAGTAATTTGTATTCTCGAATATCAACGTTTGTACCGGAGGCGAGGAAACGTCGGAGACGGAGTTCTTTTCTGAAAGTTGTTCCTTCAAAGACTTGCTGGGTTTCTCGCCGTTCGGCGAATTTCTTTGACTGCTGTTCCCAGAATTCGTTTGCTCGTTGATCTCATGGCCGTGAATATGACCGTGATCGTTTTGCGTTGACATACCGGGTATCAATTGTATATCGGTGACGACCGACGACGGTGAATTCGATCGCAATTGACTGGTCGTGAACGGTTTGTCCCAAGCGTTAACGGACGGTGGAGGAGCTGGTCCACTCGAGGAGTCTTTACCGTAACTGTTACCCGAATTGTTACTTTTATTTGACTCGTTCGACTCGGATGGGCACATCTGTTGTTGTTTCGCTAAACGTTGCTTCTGGAATCTCGGGGCAAGACTTCTCGTTCTGTCGTGTTGCTTCTGTAACATATTTACCGGTTGCGGAATGGTCTGACCCAACAGAGGTGGTATATTTTGCACCTGCTGCAACGAAGAAGACGTTTGCGAACCGCCGCCGCCACCGCCGCCACCACCACCACCGCCGTTTGCCTTACATTTCGAACGGTCACGCTCTCTGTCCTTTTCTTTTTCCCGTTTTATAGGTTTCGTCGTTTCTTCTTTCTGACCATGTCTAGAGTCCTTTACGTTTTTCTTGGAACGAACCTCTTGGAAACCGTCAGAATCAATCTTGTCCTCGACACCGTTCGACCCATCCTCTATGCAATTGCCTGTCTCTATTTCATAATCGACGGTTTTCTTATCCTTTAGCTGGGACTTCTTGTGGATATCGTTCAGGGCCTGGCTAACCAAATTCGGATCGCTCAATTTTATTTCATCTATGCGATTCACCGTGCTATCTTTTGCGGTGGATTTATTCAATATCGTCGCGTTGCTACCGGATGTCTGACTTCTCGAACGTCCGTTCTGAACTTGAGCGGATTGCATCAATGGTGGAATGCTGATCGAGTGATTCTTCTGATTGACAAAACCGAGATTCTGTAACTTTCGCTTTTCCGCGCCTGGCGCCCGTGACGTTGAATTGGAAGACTTCGCGGTTTTCTCACGTTGCTCGCGGTTACCGCCGCCGTGCTCGTTTCTGCGCGAGTGCACGTTTGATCCCATGATATTTTGGTTGCCACCAGAATTAACACGTGTGCCGAATTGTTTACGACTGCTTCGCATCTCCTTATGCTCCTCCACGTGTTCCTCGCTGTTCTCCGAAGTGGTCTCCCAATCCTCGTTCCCTACATCGGACGAGTTTTGTTTCGACACGTTACTATTGCTTCCACGATATCGTAATTCCCGATTGTCTCTTCCCTGCAACAAACAGAATCAAGTTGAATCGAGTCGCGATCAACGACATCCGAATATAGTTTGGCGAGACTAATATCTTCACAGAATAAGAAAAAAAAAAAAAGGTTTCGTTAAGAATCGAATTTCTAACTTTTTCACTTACCCTTCTGCTCCCGCTTCGATTTCTCTTCGAGCGTGGTTCTTCTTTACGACCGTGTACCTTCTGGGGGACAGCATTATTGCTCATATGATTCACGTCCTGTTTATTGCAAACTTGTTGATTCTGTTGGGGCTGCTGCTGCTGCTGCTGCTGCTGGGATTGCTGGATCGGGGACTTAGCACGCTTTCCGGTTATTCCAGCTGTAAGCGCCTGTTGCTTCGCGATTATTTTATCGTCGGTCGACTCGAGCTGCGAGGACACAATGGAATTCGATTCTTTTTCCGCGGCGAGCGCCGTCGGATTCTGACGCACTGTGGTCTGTTTCTCGTCGGCGGTCCGATCGCATGAAAAAGGGCTTTTACTGGACGGTGGCCCGTAATTTTCTATTCGATTCCCGGCACCCGTTGCGCTCCGATGTCGAAAACCGCCACGGCCGCGACGAGAAGGTTCGCCAGACGGGGCGAAGCCTTCGTGGCTCAATTTACCATCGTATCCCCGTTTCTCGGTACGTTGTTGCGACTGCGGATAATCGGTTCGTTTCTCGTCCCGACTGGACACCTCTCGATTCCGTTCTTCTTTTTCCGCTTTTTGACTGGGCTTCGGCGATCTGGCCGATTTCTTCTCGTCCTTTCCCGACTCGGTCGAACAGGATATCTCATCGGCGCTGTTCTCAGAGTCGGTGTGCCCGCACGAGCCACTTCTAGCGGAGGCTGGCCTGCCGGTCGGTTTGGGTCCGCTTCTTCGTCCCCTTGGTTCGGAACCACGCCAAGGTCGTGTGTACATACTGTACGTTCCAGTCCATTGGCGTCCACCTCGGGATTCACGAACTCTCGAATTCGAGCCGCCGCTACTGGTTCGGTTTCGAATACCCTTCTCTCGTTTTTCCTCTTTCATCTGCTGTTCCGTCATATCCTCGTTCAAAACGTCCTCCCTCTTGTCCAAGCTTAATTTCTCGAAATTCTGCTTCAAGTCGTCCGCCTCTTTATCGTTCTTGATCGCCTCCAAGCTTTTCTCTTCTTCCTTCTCGAATGTCGGGGAAACAGCATCGGCCCACGCTTTAGGTGAATTGTCACCCCTTTCCAATGTTCGATTGCTGTCGTTTATACGCTCCACTTTCCAGCTCCATACGTCCGCGTCCTTCTTCGCATCGACGAGCGATTCCTTTGTCTGATCCTTTTTGTCTTGCTCGGAACTCGTTCGTTTCAATTGGGTTAAATTACGTTTCTCACTTTTCAATTCGTCGGCCTCGATTCTTTCTTTAGTCACAGGCCCGAGTGGTTGTCTTCTATCACGTTCTCTTTCCCGAGCGTCCTCGTGATATGTTTCGCGTTTAGTTTCCTCATAATCGGCGACCTCATTCACCCAAGGACTGCAATCACGTAGCTTGTGCGAATCATCCTCGCGCAAAGATGTCTTTGATTCGCGGGAGGTACGACTATCGCGAGAATCCGGTCTTTGTGGACGCTCGTTGCGTTCCACACGATCGTCCCTTTGCGGTTCACGACGATTATCGATTGATCTATCTTGCGGGAGACGTTCTTCTCGCCATTCGGCGCTCTCCGATCGTTCTCTTGGATCTCGATCCCGTTCACGTTCACGGTCGCGATCACGATCACGATCACGATCCCGCTGCTCGCGTTCACGGTCGCGATCACGGTCACGATCGCGATCACGATCCCGTTCACGCTCACGCTCGCGTTCACGTTCGCGATCACGATCGCGATCTCGCTCGCGATCACGGTCGCGGTCTTCGAAAGAATCCTGTTGACGATAATACAGATTTCACTTTAGCACTATACAAACAGAATGGTTATGAATGAGATTTCTATCAATAAATTAAGAATAAAAAAATATTAAATACCTTTCCATAATTATCGTAATCTTTTTTAAGTTTGTTATCTCTTTCTCGAGTCTCCCTTATATCTCTGGTTGCTCGACCATCGCGACCGTCTCTAGTTTCTCTAGTTTCTCGAGTTTCTCTGATATCTCTCACCTCCAGATTGTCTTTTGGATCCCGATCTTTATTTTCGTCGAAATACCGTTCACGTTCCCACGAGTCACGAGAATGTCTATCGTCGTAATCATGATCTCTGTAGTTACGGGCGTACTCGTCATTATAACCGCCAGATTTCCGAGTATCGTACGGTCGATGCGGTGGATGCCGATATCGATCATCACGGAGAAGGGAACCACGGTAATCGCGGGACGGTGGTCGTTCGTCGTCCATTGAAATAGAAATGTCAGAATCCGTTCTGCTACGACGTTGCGGTGGTGCGCTGCCGTGCGACTGCTTCAAGTTGTTATCTACTAAGGCAAATTTCATCGAAATGTTATACGCATTATTATTCAACAGAGTATGTATTAAGGAAGTATTTTTATATTGGTAGCCACTTACTTAAAGAACTGTGATTATGAAGCCATCTGCCAGGATCGTATTGTTGGGAGAATGGAACAGGCTGAGCAGATGATCTTTCGGTATTCGGGGAAATTCGATTGAATCCGGCACCACTTCTCTCCGCCTGCTGCTTTTGAAATCGAGGTGGTAAATTCGTTTGAAAAAGACGGGAAAATGACGGCAAGTGCTCACGATCCCTTGTATCGCGTTGATCGCGATCACGATCTCTTGTATCTCTTTGATCACGATCACGTTCACGATCGCGATCGCGATCGCGATCGCGATCACGTTCACGTTCACGTTCACGTTCACGTTCACGATCGCGATCACGTTCACGCTCGCGATCACGCTCACGATCCCGATCCCGATCACGTTCCCTTTCTCTCTCCCTTTCGCGTTCACTACGCACACTGTCCTGTTGTCTCATGAAACCCGGGCGGTCGACTTGTCGAAAATCTGATATTAACTGATCACGAGAATCTCTGTTGTATTTCGAACCGTCTCGGTTTTCACGTGATTCACGGATCGAGGATTTCTCATCTTTCATCTCGGACGGCACGACGCAAGACCGGTCTCGATCTCTGGTCTCCCTTTCGCGCTCCCAATCGGGTACCGGGATTTGAACGGGTGGAACACTTATTAAACTTTTCGCTTCGTTCGACTGTTTTTCTTTTAATTTTTGCTCGACATCTTGTTGTTTCTTAGCTGCCGCTTGTCTACTTGACTCTTCGTACAGTTTCTCCGCCTCTTCTTTACGTTGTTGTGCACGCTCGGTAACAGATGCCACTTCGACTCTCACTACTCGCCGTTTCTCGTTCCACCCTTCGTCGTCTTCCACACCTGTTTAAAGCGCAAGAAATTTAAATGGGAATAAATAAATACACGTGTGCTGCCGCAATCAGTGTTACACGGAACTGGATCGTGTGACAATAAGGAAATGGCAAGTTGTCACCGCAACCATTAGCATCTCATTTTATAATATTATTCGACGAGGCATGAATGAAGTACTTCGACAGGGAGTAAGCAGGTAGATAAGGCAAGTGTGCAGATAAAATTACTTAACGTTTACCGTACAAGTAACACGTAGTCGCACCGATACTTTTGTAAGTACGAGCTGCCGATTTGTTTCATCGTCGTTTATTCTACAACTTATTTAGAACTTGTCAATGCGCAGATTCAAATCAAAGGTACTTGTTCGCATTGTTCATGCCGACAAATTATTTCGATAGCTTGTACTTACAAAAGTATCGGTTTCGACATTACTTAGGTTTGAGCCTCCTTACTACTGCATTCGCCTAAATGTTCTTACCTCTCAAAGAATGCACAATGTGCAATTGTGACGGACCGCCGTAACTACCAGATCCATTGGATCCACGATAGTCACGTGGTAAGGAGTTCTGAGTCCATGAACGATGAGCCGGTTGATCGCGAGATTCTTTTGGCTCTCGATTATCGTGAATATCACGTGTCTTATCTTCTGCCGAAATTTCTTCAATTTTTTCCTCTATAATATCCTTTTTCTCGTCTTTCTTCAGTGGTTCATTATCGCCTTCGTCATCGCTAAAAGTAAGCTTTTTATTATAATCGATGTCATCTTGTTCTGCCCAACCGGCATCGCGAGAAATGTCATCCATTCGGGTAAGGTCTTCTTCTTTGATAATTGGTCGGGTAACAATTTCTTCCTCTGGAAGGCGTTCGCGTTCACGTTCGCGTTCGCGTTCACGTTCGCGTTCACGTTCGCGTTCGCGTTCTTGTTGACGCTGAGGTGGGGCAGGGAATCGTTCTGCGGGGTAATTAAATCGTGGCCTGGGTCCCGTTGGGCCAGCGTTCGGTGGAAACTGCGGGGGGAATCCACCAGTAAAATTTCCTCTATACATCTGTAATTTTTTTTTTATGTAAACATGTAACAGAAATGGCAAGACTCAGGTTAGACAACCGAAGTCACTACACGTGTGACTTACTAGTTTTGCATAATACTGATAATAACGGGGACTTACAAATGGAGGAATAAGTCCTCTATAGTGATGTAAATTTGGACCGACTTGATGAGAGCCAGAGTTCAAAGCGGTCTGACTGTTCGGGGCACTGTGAGGGCCTGCCTGGGCCATGGCCATGTTGGGAGACTGGACCAAGTTCTGTCGTCCGCCAGATACGTCGGCATGTCCTCCCGATCCAGTGATGTTCAACGGGGGGCCCTGGACTCCCGAAGTGGTCCCACTTCCGGGACCAGCCGTCGCCAACCCTGCACCACTGGCTGTACGACTTCCACCTTGTATCCAACTTCCTTCCGCTAGTAAAGAAACATGTATACATATATATATTATGGTCTTTCACATATCTTGTTTAGTAATATCTACTATGCTACATGTTTCTGTGGGCGCAATATTCTATTTTCAAATGAATAAATTAATTACTTTGTGGTCGTAAGCTTGGCCCGGGTCCGTATTGAGCATTTAATTCTCGATTTGTTTGTTGCTGTTGTTGTAAATGTTGTTGACCTCCCGGTGCACCGCCTAAATATTGGTGAAAAAACTGAACGTGAATAGAAGTGAAATGGAAATAGAATAAATTTAAAACTGAGTTAAGTTTTATACCGTCTCCTGATCTGCTCATTATCGCGCTCCATGATGATTTGATGTTCGCATCGGAACTGTACGAAGCCTGCGAAACGTTTTGTTGTCCTGGCAGTAAAGGATGCAGTGACGCTGTTACAGTTGTCCCCACTACACATTGTGCCGGTGAAGAATTTGACTGACAATGAAAACAGTAATGTCAGTACTTGACATTGTTTTATGAAATGGTACATTCAGTAAATATGTTTAAAGTGTTGATTTGTTAATTTATAACCATAATATATCTCTGCAAGAACTATACTAATATATTTACAGTGGTTGTGTCTGATGAAGTTGAAGCTGTGGTAGTTGTAGCAGTAGTGGTTGTCGTTGTTGTATCTTTGGTAGTAGCCCAACCACTTCCTCCACTTGGTACAAGACTGACGGCTGGATCACTACTACTATGCTCACTTTTCAAACTAGGCAAATTGGCAGGAGGTCGCCGTGCCGAAGGCACCTTTCCAAGACTTTGCATTCCATGTTTGCGTGGTAATGTGTTTTTCTGTTGTTGTTGCTCCAAAGATTCACCCTGTATCCATAGCAAAGCAAATATTAATTTCATTATCTACCAACCTACTAATAAGTGTTATACAATGCTCTGTTGTGATTTAAATCCAATGAAAAAAAGAAAATGTTCATATTTCAAACATAAAAGAGACAACAGAAAAGTATAATAAAATTATACGACTGCATACTCTATATTCTCTGTACAAGCTATTGATGTCTAATGATTGGAACTTGGATTTTCCTTTCTCCCCCTTCGACGCAAGCCCTGACAGAGTAGACATGCTGTCTGCAGGCAACCATTTAGTACCAATCAGACCCAAAGAACGAACCTTTTATCTGAAATCACAATATATATCACAAATTTTGTAAATATTTCTAAGGTAGTAGTATATTTTTGGGTATATATTTTCTCTAATAGATACAGAAAGAAATAATTGAATATAAAAATACATTTTCAATAAGAGCAATGAATAAAATCCTGAATTAAAATAATCATTAGGGAATTGTTATGATGTGCCCTGCTACGTAGTAGAGATTTTATAAAAGGAATACATACAATGAAACCAAAATATGCAACAATGAATGCATGCAATTGAACTAAAATATGACAAACATTAATACTATTGTTGGGGAAATTTATTAAAAAATTATTTAAAAAATCACTTTTGCAATATAGTAACTGAAATGAAAGAAATACAACTAAAATCAATTATACGACAGAGAGTAACGCATCGATGAACTACACAATGAAAAGGTTGACAAGAACGTTCGATGCGGAAAGCAAGCGAGTGAACGAGCGAGCAAGAGCAAAAGGAGGGGTGGGGGGGTAACAGAGAGACAGACAGAGAGAGAGAACAGAAAGACAGCCAGACAGACACAGCAGCAGACAGATAGGCAGGCAGGCAGACAGAGGCAGACAGACAGACAGAAAGACAGAGTAAGAGAGAGAAAGGCTGACAGGAGAGAGTCGGATAGTTTTGTTATGTTGAAAAAAAAATGACAAAGAGGAATGTAAGCAGAAAAAAATAATGAAAAGATTGTAAAAATGGTAGAGCATTATCGTAGAAGGAGTAAAATCTGCTGATTGAGAAAAAAAGGAATAGGCGCAATGTAACGTTCCGACCCAACCCCTCGATCGCGATGTCAAAGTCACGAAAATTCAAAACAAAAAGATTCGTATCGAAACAATCACATATTTGGATAATCACAAACGATTCGTGGAACAGAACGGTTTGTAAACTACGAGAATACACGCCTAACCATATGAAACGGGAAGAAGCACTCGAGGCTGATGCTCACAGGACGAAGTTGTATAGCAAGGTTTCCACGTAGAAAAAAGACTCGGACGAGGAAGCGAATCGAGGAAATAAGAACTTACCTTGGTCCGTCCAAATGGGTTTCTAATTCACAAAAGGGTTAATTCCCAGTTAAACTAATTAATGTTCCGATTGCCGCGGATTACAACAGTTACAAGTGTACCGCGCCTGTGAGACACAGATACTTCTTTTCCACAATTCGTCCAAGATGGCGAATGCGCGACTTTCGGCTCTTCTTCCGCGATCAATACAATTACGTCATACGACCAGAGAGCCGTTTGCACAGACGCGCCACTCGTCTGGATTTTCTTGTCACTGCTATACGATGACTTTCACTACAACTGTATTTCCTTCTTACTGTATATATAAAGTAACTTGTAATTCTCAATTTAAATAACTTTAAATGCGCGTTTTACGCGTTAAATCTACACCACGGTACTCAATATCTTTTTTTACCTAACCGTTACATATGACGAGAAACGAGCGGAACATTCAACAGAAATAAGTGGCGCTGCTTCTATGATTCCTTGCTTAAGACCAAAGTCAAATTGATTACAAATACTTCGAGCTTATTTGCAAATTATGACCTGTATTTTGATTCCTCATTAAAAACACTTAATTTTCTCACAGACGTATATATATTGTAATTTTCTAATTTAGTTGCAGCTTGTTTCGGGACAATATACGGGAAATACATGAAATTCATTTGAAAATAAATGCATACATTTGATTTCGTCGGTACTTCTATGAAATTCAAGATGGCTGTATTTATGGTGCATGCTTCCAATCAAATTTTTTATCCTTACGTGTGGATATATCGTTAGGAGTGTAAAATGTCTATAATAATAAATGACATTTTTCAATTTGAACAAAACAATGGTAGATAATTCCATAAAAAATGGTGAGTAAATATGCATCATTCTTTTTATTATAAGTATGTTTTTTATGCTTATGTTTGATCCTTACAGTTTCAAAACCTATATAAATGACGTTCTTTTTTCAGAGTGTCACTTTGCACACTGATGTCGGTGACATAAAAATAGAATTATTTTGCGAATTATGCCCAAAAACGTGCGAGGTAATTCTTTTCAGTCTGTTTTTGTAATAAACATCACCAGCATGTGTGCAATCCATTAATCTTTCAAGCAATTTATCGTTCTAGAATTTTCTTGCTTTGTGCGCCAGCGACTATTACGATAATTGTTTATTTCACCGTAATATAAAAGGATTTATTGTACAAACGGGGGATCCTACGCAAACCGGTAAAGGTGGAACATCAATATGGAATCGTAAATTTGAAGATGAATTCAAGGAGGAACTGAAACATAACACGAGAGGTCTTGTATCTATGGCTAACAATGGCCCAAATACAAATGGAAGCCAATTTTTTATTACATATGCAGCCCAACCACATTTAGATCTGAAGTATACATTATTTGGAAAGTAATTATATTTTGTCAGAATTTACATTGACATCTACGTAAATAGCACTTGAACTATCATAATTTTTGTTTATTTTCAGGGTAATAGATGGATTAGAGACTCTAGAACAATTAGAAAAATTACCAGTGAACCCAAAGAATTATAAACCACTTACAGAAATCCGAATAAACAGTGTAACTATACATGCAAATCCTTTAGCAGGTTAGATGTAAGTTGATGTTTTAAAATATAAACAAGGATCATTTAAAACTTTTACAATCATGGATTCTGTTCTTTTTCATATATACCCATTAATCTTTTGTTTCGAGGATCAAATGGACTTTCAAGATAAACGTCCACTTTATGACATTTTCCCATTGTTTCGATTTCATAGGTACCAGTCCTTAAAAACTCCTTTGTCACATTTTCCCCATCTGGATGTTTGATGTATCTAACGTCGAACAGAAACAAATACATAATGACTGTAATTACTATAGAGAAACCACCTTATTCCATCTAATATAATTTGATTACCCGCGACCGATAACTCTTCTACAGCTATATCCTTGTTCTGCTCGTCGTAAATAACCAACAACAGAACCGTTTCTGTAAATAGGTTCCAAACCCCACAATGGAGTGGTGCTGTTGTAACAAACAGTACGAATACCGTAACTATCGCACAAGTAACAAATACGAACATACATGTTTTGCAATACACACCGGTCCAGATGAACGTGTATCAGCCTCTTTTTAATTCCGGTTTGCCGTGATCGTTCGACCGCTAATTTTCCCCGATAGTGACCGGTATCGCGACAAGTAAATCCTAATCCAGCTTCAATCGGATTATCGTCCGTCCTAACGTCCGAGCCCCATAGATGATAGCCTGGCGAGTGGAAACACGTTATTGTACGCACATTTGAATGACGGGAACGGTCGTGTTCGTGTACCTTTTTCACAGCTAAGACTGTACAATGCTCTGTATCCGGCGAGTTTCATGTTATACTTTTTGCCGCATTCCATCAAGGCCGTGTAAATTGTTTGACAGGACGATCGTGGAATGTGTATTTCAAAGCCAAGTTCGCCAACGAAACTAATTCTGATCAATCGTGCCAGATGATTCTTAATTTCGACTACTTTCGTCGTTGAAAATTTCAGGGATTTATCCGAAATGTCGTCTTCTATTAACGATTCCACTATCTTTCGGCTGTGCCGTAAATTTCGTATAGTTGATATCTTTTTGTGAATCACCGATCGATGGAAACGTGAATGATTGTACAATACCTGTTAGGGCCCTGGACGGATAAAATTCCAATTTGTTCGGTAACATCATGTAACGATACATCAAAGTCTTTTTCCTCCACGACTTTGTTTATATGGGCCCACGTGTGATATGCTGACGCTCCGCTTGAAACTTGATAGACAAAACAACGATGATAAAAGTTTTATCGAGTTTCTGGTGGTCAAGCGCAACCGTCGAGACCCTAACATAGAAAAAAAAGAGAAGCGTACCAATGTAGAACGCTTTGTCTTTAAAGATCGGATTCACGATTCCGCTTGAACCAGGTTCCATAATTGTAACCGTGCAATCCATTTCTACTCCTCCAGCATGATTAAGCATGCAAGTGTAAATTGTTTTGTTGAAGTCGCAATGTGTGTTCGCTGTGAACAAGTAATCGATTGCTTTCTGTGCCTCTGGCCCGCAGACATAAAATTTCCCAAGATACGACATGTTGAATAAAGCGGCATCGTTTCGACAAGCGAGAGCTTCTGCGCGTATCTAACAGGAACACCATACATTTTTCTTTGTCCACAGTCACTACCAGCTTTGACCGTAACATCTAAAACTTACTGTATCCTCGAAGGGTGAAAATTCGAAACTGTATTCTTTCTCTAATATTGCGCGATATTCGTCTCTCTTGTTTTTCGATATCGTACTAGAGTATCCGCCATAATCGTACGGCATGATTTGAATTTTTTTATTCGAATAAAACCATCCGGGTCGCTCCCAACCTTGGCGTTCTTCCATGATGGCACCCTCTTCGATAAGTATCTGAAATGTACATGAATTCGTTGCGTCAGAAAATGTACGATCTCGTATCATATTATGGAACAGATACAAGAGAGATTCAGGAACGTTAAGAAGCATTGCGTTTACATCGTGAAAAGGATCCGTCTTAAGATTTCTACCGCTTAACGGTTCGTCGTGTGGGAATACAATGCCATAGTTTTTCGCATAGGCCTCGTGAGATCTTTCGGTCATCCACGACAAATTGCTTCTCTGTTCCGGAATAAATCTGTAAAACGACGGATTGAAGGACAGGAAACGCACGATTATTAATATTATCAGTCGAGAAAGAAATCTAGGTAATCTCGAAGAACCGATTGGCAGCGTTATTTCTACCTTCTGATGTCGTAACTGAACATGTAACTATCCGGTCGACCGTTGATTATCCAACGAGAAATTTGTTCTCCGCATCCACTTCCCAGCATCATGCCGGCGCTATTATATCCGCAAGAATAAAATAGTCCGGAACACCGTGGATCCTCGCCTTTTAAACGCGAACACGAAAGTTCAATTTGTAAATATAAGTTCGATACGTGTTTAATGCCATTTTAATCGGCAATGTTTACCCATTATTGGTTTATGATCGGGCGTGAAACTTTCTGGACCGCATACGGTGCTTTTTATTCCGGTTGTGGATAATTTCGGCATCACGCGAACCATGGAATCCAGATGCGTGTCGAAAATATCCCAGTCCAACTCGTACAGGCTGAACGAGAAGTTTTCCGGTGCCTTTTGTATAAACATTAACGAATGTACGTTACGCTCCACTCGGTTGCAATATATCCATTATCATCGTAAGTGATACCAGACTCGATGGAAAAAACTTACGGACTCTAACATCGCAGGATTCGGTTCGTAACCGCCGATCGCGATGGAGTTCCCTTGAATTCGAAAATATAAACTGATGTCCGGGTCTCTGACATTCGGAAGCTGTTGCTCGACACCATCTATCGATTCGGTGACAATGTAAGCATGTTTAATCGGGATCAATGGTATATCCGTGTTCATTGTGCTCGCCACGTTTTTCGACCAAGCACCGGCAGCGACGAGAACAACATCACATTTTATAATTCCATACGGGGTCTCCACGGCGTGAACCTTCTTCTTGCCGTTCGGAACGATGTCGTGCGTTAAAATCTTCACCACGGGACAGTCTTCTATCACCTGGGCAATTAAAAACGTGTCAATGCAAACGGCATGCTCTCGAGCATTTACGGAAACGTCGTCACTAAGGGATGTTCGATTCCGATTCGAATCTTCAGAAGGTCGATTCTCTTGGGTACTGACACATACACTAACGGCCAAAAGTATGGGACCTAATAAAATATAGAGGGATAATTAAAGAAACAGGAAAATATTATTCTATAAAGAATTAATGAACGGTAACGTTTTAAAACTGATGGGAAGTGTATATTGTACATATGTAACGGAATAATGAATTAATGTTTCTCAATCATGAAGTTTGATTTCATACTTTTGGCCGTTAGTGTGTATGGCAGTGACGTGTTACCCCAGAGAATCGAATCGGAATCGAACGTCCCCTGTTGTTACACACAAACCGAGTCTACCGCGATATACACGCGTTTACCTGACAGCCATTGTTCTTCGCCGATTTAACTAATGCGTTTATCAACATAGTCGGGTCAACGACACCGTCTTTCGACGAGTAAACAGCTGCTTGAAACGCGTTCTCGTCGAGCAACGGGAACAAGTTCTTCGCTTCCCTAGGAGAGATCAGATGTGCCCCGATATCGAACGCTTTCGAACCGTCGATTAGTCTCTTATATTCGGCCAGTCTTTCCTGGAACAAGATTCATTAACGGAATATCAAAGGTGAACAAAAAAGCATGCGTTCAATCTCTATATTCACGTTCGAGTGAGCGATGTAAAGTCCCCCGTTGTTTATCCATCCCGGATCTGTACCGGTCTCTCCTTCCAAAGAGCCAAGCACGGACCGCGTGACGTTCAATAATTCTATTTCAACGTCGTTGGGACCACGTATGCTCCATACAAGTCCCGCGGTGTGCCATGTCGTGCCCGATATTAGTTTCGATTTGTCCAGTAACACGGCATTCACACCGCATTTTCCCAAGTGATAGAGCGCGTTGCAACCAGCGCTACCGCCCCCTAAAAATGATTAGGGTGGTTCATTCAGTTGGAAATATATCACACGATAATTGGTCGAACATCCCACAGGTTCATTCTACTTACCAATTATCACAACGTCTGCGTGGTCCGGCAGCTGCTCTATCGTACAGGATGAACTTCTGCTTCTCCTTGTTACCGATCGTGCGCGATCGACGCATGTCTTATACAACTATATGTACGTAGGAAGAATTTGTTGAAAGACGAAACAAACCCTATCGGACTTACGTGAAACTAAATAGAACACCCCGATACTTGTACCTTACGTTTTATTAGATGGAACATGTTGTGTTTCTCTGGTGGACGTCAACACGCCCGCGAACACTTTAACATTATCCTATCGCACCAACGGGGCCCACACTACGGGTACAATTACACCGAGCCCGCGCGCATACTCTCGCTGCTCTACTGGTCTTTCTCTCTATATTTTATCATTCCGTTGACTGCTTTGCTTCTCTACTTGTACTATCAATAATAACTCATTAATCTCCTCGTACGTTTTTTTTTTTAAACATTAATGTATTTATTGCGATGCCGTACAATTGCGATATACGATGCTCTCTCGTATCTTCTTCCGATAATATTTCAGAAGTACGATAATACTCGAGAAAAAATAAATCCGTCGTTTAACGTAAGTGTGTGACTTTCATCGAGGGAAATTAAAATGTTTTTAATGTCGACTCATGGCGGGAGAGAAGAAAAAAACAAAGAGACGTTAAAGAATTTTCAGGCGTGATCGAGTTCAATGGACGCCCAGCGATACAGTGCTATTCACTTGTATTGTTTCTACACGGCTTTTTCTTTACGGGTATGCGGTGGTTGTACAGCGACACAACCAAGAGGACATTTCGATGTTGTTCGTGCGGTTGACTAAGTGAACCGTATCTATGTGCTTGCGTACGTTTATAATCGCAAAACGTAATCGCTATGCACAATATTTAAGCTGCATATTAGCATGTGTACATATATAATATATATATAATACACGATAAAACTTTCCAGTGCAATTTATAATCGAATAGCAAAAGCGATGCGTACCAACGATTCTATTAAGACCGTAAACGTCCATATATGTAGTTTAATAGAAATCTGAATGAATAATAATATACTCGTTTTAAAGTTTTTATTATTTATCTGTAAACCGAAGCATGATCAGTGTCGATACGAAGCAAATGCGCACTTCGCTACCGTAGTTGTTGATAGTAGATTATGTTTACTTGTTTTTACTCGATACGTTATAATATTACATACACCAACGCGCGCATACATACATACACCCACACATTCACACAGAACAGGCAGTCACGCAGCAATTACTTTTATGTACAATACTTAGGTTTCTTTTTATCCGAAATTTATCAACAAAATAAATAATCGCGTATACAAGTTCAATTCTACTTGATCATCAAAATGTGTTCGTACAAGAGATTTCGAGTTTACATTGAAAAAAATCGAATGATCATTCAATTTTAGTAATAAAAAGCAAAAGCGAGGCAACGATAAACTTTAAGACAGACTTTAGAATTCGTCTAGTTTGAACTGATCCTGATCGTGCGTTGCTGATAAAAACGGTATCCGTCGTTGGGCTATTATAATCGAATGCATGACTTGATTAATCGAATCGAATGATCTTTAGTCTAGTCTCCGAAAAAACACAACGTGTAGAGCATAAACGGTTCATTAGAATCGATTGAACCGTAATTGGTAGAACTTCATTTTGGTACGGATAAATTGTTTCGTTGATAAAAGGGAACGTTAGTACTTACGAACGATACGATGTAAGAGTGAAACGTAGATTTATGTATGTATATATAAATATAATCAAATTTCGTATATATAGGATATACGATCACATGACGAGATCCATATATCGACGAAATTCGATCGAGTCTTTATTGAAATAGAGGTCGAACCCGGGTTTCGTTAAAGCGAAGTGAACTCCTCGCTGCCTATACTCTCAACTTCCTCGGTGTCCGAATTGGTAGCAGCTTGGACGCGTGCATACTCGTCGGTGTCGATACTTTTACAGAAATGTATCGCGTATTTCAATTTCTGGCATAGCACCAACTTGCACGAATACCGTGGCATTTTCAAGAGGAAAAAGCACGTGTAACTTTCAGGAAGAAAATGATCAGGCGGATTGTACTTGTCCATCACCTGAGAAAGTAGTTTCGGAAACATTCGTTACAACCATAGCACAAGATTAGATTTTCGTATGACCAAGAGCAAGAAAGAGAATCGGAAACGGTGGTCTTACCTGCAGTACGAAATCTCGTCCCCGGAAGTCGGCGATCGTGCGCGGCAAGCGGGTTCTGCCCCAGACGAATCGAAGGAACAGAGATCTCTCTTGGTTCGAGAATTCTTCCATTACCTCCCAGAACCACTGTATCAGAGGCGCGCTCGTCTCGATGCCTGTGAACAAGAGTGTGTATCAGTCAAGAACTCTTTCACTGATCCGAAGGACTGCCAGTGGCGCAGTCCAATGTATAACCTAGATAAAGAGTCTCGAATTAGGAATAAAAGATAAAAAAAAAGGTACTTCGCCATTTTTAATTGGAATAAACATGGAAATTTCGAATTTTTATAATAAAATAATACTTCTTTTGGAACGAGTAAACACTTGGCGAACAATTGAGGAGTCCAATGCAACAGGGACCTATACCATAAAATGTTCAAGAATCATATTTTTAATAATTTTGGCACCTCTTGATGTTTTTACTGTATTCACGCTCTTAGATACAGCTGTTTTTCACTATGTACCTATACATACCTTTGTAAGTTGCGACGGACTTCAATAAGGTAAGTGGTATGTCCGGGCTACCGCAGACCATCGTTTCCAATTCCGCTCCGCTGAACAACGCGAGGAACGGCACAGGAATGACTTTTGACATTCCCTCGCGAACGGCGGCCACTTGTGTATCGAATTCGTGAAGTCTATAGTTCAAGGCCAATCGTACGTACTCGTGCTTGTTCGCCGGTGTGATCTTCTGATACCTGAAAATCACAGGTATTTCAGGAGACAGATCCCTACGAGTATTCGTGTGTATGTGTGTATGTGTGTGACGCAACAAGTTTGCGTACCTATTCGAAAGAGGTACATCGTGTCCGACTGCGGATGGCGTGGAGAACGGCATCTCGAGGGTCTGGAACACTTTCTCGTCCGGGTCCATGTCCCGGATGCACAGCAAACCGGGTACATAGTCTCTGTCCACCTCGGTTAAATCGGCTGGCGTCAACGAGCTACCGGCGAGCTGTTTCCACACGGGCTCCGCCAGATTCAAGCTTAACGGGCTACCGGTACGTATCGCTATACCCATCACTATCCCGAGGAAACGGAACATGTTCATGTGCAACGGTGAGTCGGCGGTCGGATTCAACAGAAAGCAATCCCTGTTGGTGCCGTTGTCGTCGCGGCCATTCGGGGTCGGTATGAACAACGGTAGAGACCCGTTTTGCAGCTCGTCGCACATCTCCGCTATACTCTCGCTGTAACCACCGCCGCAATCGTCCACGCTCTCTCCTGTTCGCATAGAATGTTAAAACGATCCATTATCCCGTCGATGGTTACACGTTTCATCTGAAACTGCGAACGACGAACGTTTCCATACAACACATACCGACGAATTTCACCTTCCAGACCCTATGCGGAAAGAAGAGGACGTCTTGCGTGAGCAACGACAGCTTCGAGACCATCTGACCGAAGACCGACTTGATACCGTCCGGTCCAGCCAATCCACCCTTGCCACGGGCTCGTTTCACCTGTATCCGATTCAGCTCTATCACCGGCCCGTGTTGCCGATCCCTGACCATCGTCGCTTGCACCACTTTACGAAAGGTCGCCTCTTTGATACTGTACACCAGTATCGGGGCCAGTTTGCTCAGGCTGAGTGAGCCGGTGATCGGGAACATCGGCAAACACGGGCACAGCAGCTCCGCGAAATGATGCAACAATACCAGCCGGTTGTGCAGCACAGGAAACGGTAAATCCTTGACTAGATCGTACTCCATCGGTGTCACGGCGGGCATTTTCGTTTGCGTCGCTTTCGTGGTGCTCCACGCCAATGTGTGCGCGCTACCGCACGCGACACGCGTGATTTTTTCACCTTGAAGCGCCCGTACCAGCCTCGGTCTTTGAAGGGCGCTCGTCGTACCGTCTCCCAGTTGGCCTTCGTCGTTGTCCCCCCAGGTGAACACTTCTCCCTTGTCGGAGCACGCGACACAATGCAACGAGCCGGTCGCTATAGATATGATTTTCTTTCCTTGAAGCGCCGCTACCTTCCGGGGTCTGCGCACATGATCGTCCGTACCGTGACCCAACCGATGATAATCTCCTTTACCCCTGTACAAAGTTGAACCGGTTAGAGATACAGTGTCAGAGAGAAAGTGAACGAGAAGAAACTAAAGTGTAGAATAAGCGATAACGAAAGGAGAAAAGTGATAGATCGATTGGAAGGAGTGCCAGCGTGTATATTACTCTACCATGTATAAATCGCCCCCGATCTCGTCAAAGCCACCGAGAATTGACTGCCGCATTCGACTTTAACGACCCCAAGGCCTGCCAATGACTCGATTTTCACGGGGACCTTGCAGCCGTCGCTACCGCCTCTGCCCAGTTTCCCGTAATCACCGTCGCCCCAACTCCACACGTTGTCGTCGTCGGTGACGCACAGGGTTTGAGCGTCCCCGCTACCGCAAGCGACGTCGATCACTTTGTAATCCTGCAACGCCTCCACCAGTTTCGGCGTCAATTGGTCCTCGCTGTCCCCGTGGCCGAGACGTCCGTAACGGCCTAATCATCAACAAGCGCAACGCGATACAGGGATAACGTGAACGTCTTAATGACAATTTCGCGTCGCCAGGCGGAAGAAAAGGATTCGAATTTTGGGTTACAAGGGGTTGCTTCACCTTTTCCCCAGGTGTACAGCCAACCGGTACTGGTTATCGCCGCGCTGTGGTTGCCGCCGCAGGCTATGTCCACGATCTCGGTGCCCAGTAGCTCGTCGACCAATTTCGGCCGGTCGAACGACGCTCGGTTACCGTGGCCCAATTTCCCGTCGTCCCCCTCGCCCCAGGAGTAGACGTGACCCTCGGAGCTCAACGCAAGACAGTGTTTACCGCCCGAGTTCACCGCGACTTTCTTCACAAACACGTGCTGGATGGACTCCAAAAGTGTAGGCACCATTACGGAATCGGTTCCACCGATCCCGAGACGTCCGACAGCACCGTACCCTACGAAAACAAGTCATGAATTAATGAAAATCGATTACATGGCTTGTATGTTACACATATAAAATTAAATCGCCCAAGGAAATCATCAGAAAAGCAACTAGATCGTTGATTGTTGGGCGATTAATTTTTTATGATCTGTGGTTCGTAATTTTAGTTTGGAATGTATTTTTTGTAAAATATTCCTTCGTTACTTTTTACCCTGTATACATACATATATATTGTGCTCACCAGTCGCATAGACCTTTCCGTCAGCAGTAACGGCGAACAATGTTTGCTCCCCGCCGGTGAGTTGGATCGGCCTTAAAGCGGACAGACTTTCGCATAGAACCGGCAATTTCACCTTGGCACCCTCCAGACCGCCCAACTGGCCCCGATGATTATGCCCCCAGCCGTAAATCGCCCCGGATCCGTCCCACGATAACGTCCAATCTTCCGGTCGACGATTCAACCACTGCAACAGCTGTTCGTCGTGTTCCTGCTTGAACAGCTCGTGGCTCTCGTGCTCGTTGCTGGTACCTTCCCCGTCGGTGCTCATCTCGGCGATCCGTTTGGTAACTTCTAAGCAGAACGCGCGTGGCAATGGTGTACGGTTCACCAGAGCTTTGGCGACCCTTGCGGACAGGCAGTACCTACGGAACCAGGACCATTTGTGTATCTCCGTGCAACACTGCATCCCGTCCAGCTCGATGTCGGAGGCGAGCGCGACCAAGACTTTAAAGAAATCGCTGTGCATCAATTGTTTCCCGCCTCTGACCAACGGGTCTTCGTACGCGTACTGTTTCAGCAACGCTTGCGGCAACGAGCCGAGCAACGAGGAGAGCGCGATCTCCGGTCGTATACCAGGCCCGGTGGTGTACACCACCTGTAACTTTCTGAGGGCCCACATACGTTGCTGGGCGGACAACACGCTCAGCTGACTGCACTGGGCCAACGTGGCAGCCAATCTGGTCGCGACGTTCTTGTCCAGACCGATCAAACTGTTGTCCAATAGGGACTCGGCGAGACCGATCGCCGGCTGCGAAAGAACCGCCCTGTCCGAGATTAGATCGTGAGGCGCCATCACCGGGTACACCGTGAACCGCCATCCCCAACCGTTCAACGATCCGTCCGACGAGAAACGCCATTTCAATTCGTCACCCGGTATTCGAATTTCGCCGGCCCATTCGCTCCACTCTCGACCAGACTTCACCGCCAGCACACGGTTATTGCTGTCCATGAACGCCAACGGATCGTGTCGTCGTTCGGTGGAGCAACGTCTGTCGAACTCCACCCGTAACGCTTCCGCGCCGGGTATTCGCACGTGACCGGTCAACGTGGTACCATCTATGTACGGATGCGGGCTCTCCTGTACCACCGGTTGCGGCATGTTGCTCCTGTTATTCGAATTCGCCACCGTGTCCTCCAGCTCGGTGATGCAGAGTTCCAGTATCATGCTTCGTATCAAATGATTCGTTTTCGCCAGTGCGATCAACACCGACGATATCGTCTCGCGGGCGCCTTTGCAGACACGATTCGCGACCGCCAGCTTCAGTAACTCGACCAGCATTCTGGCGTCCTCCTCGGTCAGTGTGGACGTGAAATCGTCTAGACCCGGGTCCACGGCGCCGATACCATCGCCGACCACTTGAGCGTTCGAGGTCAAGGTCGCCGCGATCACGCTCATCGCGCTGCTTGACATCTTCGAGGCTCGTGACGAGAGACTCGCTGAACTGGACATCGACGGGAACATGGTCAACGGATAATCCTCGGATTCCGGGCTGGTTCTCGGGTTGCTCATCAGATTGACCACTTCGGCGACGTTCGCTGGTGCCTCACCACCCCCTTGAGCGCTATCCCCGACATTTTGGTAGACCGCGTGTCCTCCCCCGTTACCGATATTCGACTCGTTCATCGTTCCTCCGTCCGCCGACGATGTCGCCTCAGCGAGCACGCTGACAGCGCCACCTGTACCGCTGGCAACGCCACCTGCAACACCTGTTCTCAACGTTGAATGACTCTGCAACGAGGTCACCACCGCTACACGCGCCTGTATTATTCGAAGAGCGTTTATCACGTGTTGCAACGCCTGTTGTTTAGCGACGTTACTTTCCAACGACAATATAATACTCGCGAGAGACGGTCGAGTGTTGTTGCTGCGTTGTATACCGGTGATCTTCGCCAGGTCGTCGTCGTCGTCGTCGTAGCTGCCGTTACTGGTCCCAGCAATCCCGCTGCTACTGCCCTCGCCGTTCACGGTGGTGTTCACTGTAGCAGACGTGGTAGCAGACGTGGCAGCACTCGTGCCACCAACAGCAGTAGCAGTAGTGGACGTGGCACCTATAGCCGCGGTGCTGTACGCGTTTTTCGAGCAAGATGGAACAGACAATACCCCCGTATCCGTGACCGTACTCTTGAATCTGAGCAATGTCTGACCAAGAGGATCCTTGCTGGTCGGGAACGCGACCGGTTCCTGATTGTTAGCTGCCGGCTGATCGGTCAGTACCCAGGCGATGCTGTGACTGGAGCCGCAAGACACCCGATTCACTCTTGTGTCGTCCAGCTCGTGCACCAACGACGGTTTCTTGTTCACGATAGTCGAACCGTTTCCCTGCTGTCCGTGATCGTTATCGCCCCAAGCGAACACCTGACCGTTGTCCGTTACCGCGAGACAGTGGAGAGCACCGACCGCGACGTGGACCACCTTCTTCCCGCGTAGTCCCTCGACTAGCGTCGGTTTACGGACGTGATGATCGTTACCGTGACCCAGACGGAAATAATCACCCTTGCCCCAGGTCCACACCTCGCCGTACTTGGTTAACGCCAGGGAGAACTGTGCCCCGCATTCGATCTGCACGACGCTTAATCCAGTCAGACGGTCGATCAGCAATGGTGTATAGCAACCGTCGCTACCGCCACGGCCGAGCTTGCCGAAGTCCCCGTCGCCCCACGAATATACCAATCCGTCAGCGGTTAACGCCATCGTTTGGGCGTCCCTGCTACCGCACGCCACCTGTATCACCCGTTGACAGAGTAACGATTGCACGAGTTTCGGTTTCAGTTGCGTCGACGTGTCGCCGTGGCCTAAACGACCGTACTCGCCCAGGCCCCATGTGTACAGCTCCCCGCTGCTGGTGATTGCGGCTGAATGACCGGAACCGCATGCGATGTCACGGATCCTCTTCGATTTCAACGCCTCGATCAGTCTGGGCTTGTCCAGCGATAAACAATTCCCGTGGCCCAGCTTGCCGTCCTCTCCCTCGCCCCACGAGAATACCTTGCCGTCCTGAGTGAGCGCTAATGCGTGCTTACCGCCCGAATGAACCGCCACCTTTTTGATCACGTACTGGCTGAGAAACGGGATCGGTTTCGGCTCGCCCACGTTGCTGTCGTCGCCCAAACCGAGTCTACCGTTCGTACCTTCTCCACACGCGTACAGTTTACCCTCTTGGCTGACCACGAACAACGTTTTGCTACCACCAGCGATGTGAACTGGCTTTAATTTCGAGAGAACCTCGCTGTACACTGGTAACTTTATCTTCGATCCTTTCAATCCACCCAGTTGATCTTTATCGTTCAATCCCCATACGTAGACGGCCGAATGCTGAGACGCCTCTGTGCCCCGTTGCGTGCACATCTGTTCCTGCACGATCTCCCAGTCGGATGCCAGAAACGAGACCGAGGTGGCCAGTTGATTCTCAAAGATCTTTTTCTTACCAACAATACGTAGACCGTGTATCTTGCAATCGATACCCCCGTTACGACACTGTTTTATCGTGATCTCGATGTACGGATAATACTCCTTGGTGTCGTGCAGCAACAGCACGCTGGTGTCCGTGTGACGCACGCTGATCGTCGCCAGTTCCACCAAACGACTGAACGAATCGCCCACGGACACACCGATCAACGACGGCATGTAACTACCGTCCTGCGGGTTCACCAGTATCTTCAACGAATGAACCAACACGCCCGGGAACATCTCCAAACGTATCCAATGTTTACCCTGCAAACCGAAACTCTGCCAGTATCTGCCGGAATCGAGCAATCTGGTCGCCCAATTCTCGCGCGACGACACGCTCAACGTGCGTATACACTTTGAACAATCGTCGATCAACGATGACTCCGTTAAATCCTGTCTGTGATACCTTCCAGGCTTACCGGCGTACACAGCGGCCGATCCCGGTTCCACGATCCGACTGAATCCGTGTCGATGGCAACGTTTCGTGTAGAAACAGTTCTCGCAAAGATTATAATTCTCGCAGTATTTGCACTTGAACCGAGGCCCCGAGATCGGTAACAGATGGCAGGAATTACAAGAGACCGAGTGATGACAGGACGGTACCCTTTCCATCTCTATCACGCAACCGGTCCAACCGCTCTGCTGAGGGAAATCCACGGACACGTCCTTTCCGTTGTTTATTATACCGGTAACGATCCCCACGCTCTGATGATTCACCGATCCCCATTTATATTTAGGCACGGTCACGGACGCTTTAACTCGGACCTTGTCGCCGATCTTCAACGCAGCTGGTCCCGGTATCGTCGGCGGATGTCCTAGAAGTTCTATATGAATGAACCTCACCCAATACGTACCGCCTTTACGTTGCCAGGCGACCTGAACGTTCAGATCGTGCAAACCTTCGGGATCGATCTTTATCACCTGACCAACGTCCCCGTATTCGACCTCCTCGTAGCTTTTGCAACATCGAACCAACATGCCCGGAGTCAGATTGTCGCGCACGTAGATCGCGTACTCGTCCACCGAGAGAAAGTCCGATCGTTTCATGTAATTAGGCGGCATCAACGACGAGACAACGTCGTGCGTTGACAGTGAATCGTCGATATTCTCGCTGGTCGAGTCCTCCGGATCGGACAACCCGTATACGCTGGATATCGTTTCGCTGTCGCTCAGAGCGGCATCGGGATTCTCCAATAGCCAAGCGACCACACTCTCGGCGGTGATGTAACCGACACCGGTGCTAAGGCTTTTGATCGCGAATTCGACGCTTCGTTTTGGGAAACCCATTTCCGTGAGCTGCGCCACCAATGGGCTCATCGGCGGTGGACTTTTTCGACCGTTGCTTCGGCAGTGTTTCTTCTGACTGGAGGTCAACGACACCAACGAACAATCGGATACAGGTGAATCGGGTTCGGATAGATGACCACCGACACGCTGAACAGGGGAATGGCTCAATTCGGAGGCGAGATACTGCGAGACCGTTAACGCAGCTTCCTCCAGTTCCCTGCGTTTGAAGATAGGCTTCAACGGTTGCGGTCTAGTCGCGCGTACTAACATCTCTTGAAACAATGTCACGCGTTTCTCACGGCAGCCACCGTCCCCGTTGTCTTCGGTGTTGTTCACGTTCACGTTTTCGTTCACGTTCTCGTTCTCGTCCTCGTTCATGTTCTCGTTCGCGTTCTTGTTCAGATTCTCGTTACGATTGTCGTTGTCGTTGTCGACGTTATCGTTACCGTTCAATGTATCGCCGAACCAACGTCCAGCCTGATGGTTCCCTTCCTCGCCGTTGTTAGCCTTCTCCTTATTGTTACCAACAACGTCATCGTCATCGTCATCGTCATCATTATCGTCATCATCGTCCTCGTCGTCGTCGTCGTTCTCGTTGTTGTCGTCATTATTATCAACGTCATCGTCGATCTCGTCGTCGTCCCTCGCGTGGCTACTGTCACCAGCGTCGAGACGGGCACGAAGATGAATGTGTGGACGTCGGCCACGGCTGCATCCACGTCCACAGACGCGTCTGCTGTGTTGTCCTTCGCAATTATTCTCGCCGCTTCTTCGATCTTCGGGGCCACCATTACCAGCAATGACATCGTCGTCATCGTCGTCGTTCATCGTCACCTCGTTCTTCTTCTTGATCGGTTGCCGCAAGATCTTCCTTAATTTCGTCTGATGATCCAGAACGGTTTTGCCGGCGTTCAACGCCGCGAGCTGTTGCTGTTGCGTCCGGAGAACGGATGAGTTCACAGCGCCTGCTATCACGGGCATACCGTTCGGTCGTTTGTCCATCCCACGGTGTCCCAATAACAGATTCGCCCAGGTGGAGAGAAACGTGTCCGGCATCGGCATACGATCCAAACGGAACTTCTCGTCGATACGTTTCACCACAAAGAACGGAACCTTCTTTCGTGTATCGCTGTCGTGCATCTGGACCAGTACCTTGGCGTGTCTCGTGAACTTGCATATTGTACCGATTTGTCCGTCCAGCTCGACCAGACCACCGATCCTCGGTCTGTCGTCAAGGCCACCGATAACGACCAACGCAGCCATCACAGTTTGCTGTATGCTCACGCTATTCTCGCCACCGTTCTCGTTCACCTGTATATGAAACAACGGTCCGTCGCTCAACAGATCCGATGCCAGGGACAATTTCGACGATAGAAACGCGTTCAGGGTACCGTTCCATCGTGGCACGGTGTGCAGATATCTGACCAGCGAGACAAGCTCCTCGACGATCGTCGAACTATAAGAGGCTGTTAACGAGACGCGACATTTGTTCGTGTACGGTTCGGTGGTCGAGCTGAGATCGCAGGTGAGCGCGATCCTACCTATTATACGAAACGTTCTCTCCAGAAACGGTATCGCGTTAGGATTGTCCGTGGACCAGGACGGTAGAACGGTGGTCAGGAATCGTACCGCCATTATCTGCTTCTCCAAGTTCGAGTTATTCTCCTCGGCGATCACGCCCAACAGAAAATCGATCCACGCTTTGGTGCTCAATGATTTACACAGTTCCGGTGAATTCGCGATCGCCCTTAGCAAGCTAAGACTGGCCCAGCTCTCGTGATATTCCTGCAACATTAATGACTCTTTATGTGAATCAGACTTGTGGGCGGTCGCGGTCACGCCTCGTAAAACTGACGCCAGTGTCTTAATGGCGCTCGGTGTCACCTTGTCGGCCACTATACCGCAACAGAGCAACAGAACGCGTAGCAGACTAACCGAGGCGGTTTTCAGACACGTGGTCGGATGTATGTCACCGTACGTTTCCCCTGTTGTTCCCTTCTCCGTTTTCGCGGGATCGAGGGACGTGTCGAGATCATCGGTATCGGTGTCCGGCGGTGTTGGCGGTTCGGCCAATTTCAGATCGTACTTGCCCTCCTTGCCCATACGATACGAGTTCGTGTTCCCGTTTTCCCATTGGACGCGTACCCAACCGTCTACGCCAGGCTCGCAGATCACACGACCCTCTCCGGGTGACGGACCGTCTTGATCACCCCATTTCCAATCTACTCCGCGTACCACGCGTACACCGACCTTCATTAAAGCGGCCAACTCCATACCGGTCAGCTGAACGTTGGGCGGTTTGCTCTTCTCCAATGTGTCCTCGTATATAGCCGTTGTCGCGTCCTTCGACTTGACCTCGTCGGTGGTCTTGGTCCCGGTTCCCGTTGTCGCAGCGGCCACAGCGATCGACGAGGTCGTAGTCCCCGGCACCGTGAGTCCGATTTGTCTGAGCAACGTCAAAACGCTGGACAATGTGCCCGAGTTGATCAACAGACCAATTTCATTCGAGTGCTGATAGTTCGTCAACATGCCCAGAATCGTCAACAGGAATCTAGCCCTGGGCAGTTTCCGCAACCACGTGTACTTTCCTTGATTCAAGCTGCTCTTATCGCTGATCTTCGGTTTGCTCGGCAATTCCGCCTGTACCACGTACGCCCGTAACGCTTTCACCGCCCACGATGTCACCTCCGCCTCGGCCAGAATGATACGGGACTTTTGATACGGTGTTATCGAACGAATGTTGTCCAGGCAATGATTGATCGTCCCCACGCCGAGACGTTTGTTCTCGTGTGTCAAACCCAGCCAACCGTTCAGCAACGTGTATTTCACCGATGTGATCAAGCTGTCCTTCCCGAGCAATCGTTGCATCATCAGGATCCCCTGTTCCCGTAATTTCGCCCGTTGCGTTTGACAGTACATCGCACGACGTAGCGTCTCCACGTCGCCACTGTCCTCCGTGACCACGAAGTTTATTATACTGGCCATCAGTTCGGCGGCGTCGATGTTCAACGGTCGCTGTTTGATCCTCTCGATCATCCGACCGATCGTTTTCCGTGTGCCGTTCTCCGTGGTGTTCTCCAGCTTCAACGGGGAGGCAGGACATGGTCTGGCAGTGGCCTCTTTCGGCGTGGTAGTGGCGGTACTGTCCTCTACGTTTCTACGCACCATGTCCCGTATCACCGTGCGCACAGCCCTCTTGAATCTCGGCACCGTGTGCAACAGTTTAGCGTCTCGTAGCCCCTTGATCTCGTAACTGGTCGCCGATCTGACCTCGTGCAGAAGAAATCGGCATTTCTCTTGGGCGGCAGCGCACACCTCCTTGTAGCTACGGTTCTGTTGCTGTCTGATACGTATCAGATTCCATTTGGTCTGATGCACCGCTCTAATCATGTCGGCCAACGGTCTCGGTAATTTCGCGTGATTACCGTTCCCGGTGGTGGTCTCTTGATCGATCAAACCGATCGCCAGATACCCAAGACCTAGATGCTTTATTATCACCGCCATTAATAGTCGACCGACCTCCTCGACCGGATGATCGCACGTGAACTCGATGTGCGCCAACAGATTGTTCGCCTTCGAGTAACGATCGACGATCGTCAAGAACGTCTGTACCTGGGACTCGGTTTTATGAGTTTCGGCGAGAGCGTACGTGAACGCAGTGACACGATCGTCCTTCTCCTTCTGGGGTTCGTTTCGGATCCGTACAGGAATCGGTGGTTCGGTCGGCGAGTTCGCCGCGGTCGAGGTGTTGCTCCTCGCCTCGCCTTTCTCCTCCTCGTACGGATTCGGCGGTTGCAGCACCTGTAAACCACCCCTGAAGATGTCCACGTTCAACCAGGTGGCGCATTCCTCCTCAGCCGGTTGCAACGGCAAGCTCTGGCGCATTCTGTACGCGTGCAGACCGAACAGAAAGCCCAGGGCGCGTTCGGTGTCCAGCAAAGCGGAACAGACGTCCGTCGCATCGACGGTGATCTCGGCGTTCTCAGGCTCCGAGTGGCAATAATGGCCGACGAAATATGAATCCATCATGGATCGCGGTGGCAGCTGTTGTCCCCGTGTCCATGACGACACACCGTGACTGGAGTAAGGATTTCCAGTGTCCCAACTGAATCCTGTCTTCTCGCAGAGACTACCTTCCGTGGTGGAGTTACCGGTTGTCGCACCAGCCGCCGTCTCGAATCGTACCACGTCCTGTACATCGTACACGTTGTTGTTCACCACCACCCATAAACCACCGTCCCGATTATGATTCTCCAGATCGGCCCAACGGATCACCGACGGCTCGTCCGTGATCGAGACTTTGTTCCCGTGTTGCGGAGCTATGATGCCCGGCCAGGAAAGCTCGTCCGCCTCGTTTCTATCGATCCCCGGCATCAGTTTGTTCAAACGATCCAGCGACTCCAGCATCGGTCCCAGGATCTCGATCCAGTCCATCTGTAGCAACAACATCGGATAATCGACTTGCAATAGGATAAGACAGGTGACCAGTTCAGGGAGCAGTACGTGAACGATGTCGTTCTTAAGAACGGTACAGACGTACACAAATTGCTTGACGCTAGCGTTCGCCAATTCGGCGGCCGATAACGCGATCTCGGTCACGTGCACCGATATCTGTGTAATGTACTTGCTGAACAACGATTCCGAGCCGAGCATCTCCTGATCCCGTAGATTCTCCGTGCGCGATTGATGAACGCACTCGTAGAGCCGTGCGATCAGCAACCGTTGGAACTTCAACAGAAGATTCAGGCTTGGCGAGGCGTCGTTACGCTGTTGCCCTGACGATTCTTCGTTACCGCGAAGAATCTGTTCCTGCTGCTGCTGCTGCAACCGCGACTGCGTTGTACACGTGCCGTTCTTGATCAATTGTTTCACCAGCTGCAACAACGAGATACTGGTGTTATTCTTCTCGGAGCTCAGTTCTTTTGCCTGTTTCACAGAGTCGCTGGATTTGCTAGCGTTCGTCGACGCGTTCATCGCGAGAAACTCCTTTTCGTCGCACAGCTCGCTCATCTCCGCTTTGATCGCGGTTCTAAGCGCCAATTCCAAACCGCCGTCGGCCATCAAACTTGAGACCAGTAGATCGGCCATGAATCGTTGCCCATTCTCTGTTCCGTTCCCATCCTCCGTGTTCCCGTTCGATTTCGACAGAAAGCTCGAGAGGGTCTTCGCCCGTTCGTTCGCGGTCGGCAACAGTATGCTCCAACCGGTTTGAAGAACCGCCTGCGCCGCCTCTTGAATCGTCGCCAGGATCCCGGTGCCGCTCGCTAGCTGCACGCAACGTTGCTTCAACGAATTTAACAACGTTGTCCCGGCAAGCCCTACCGCTTTACCGTCAATGTTGTGCGTGATCATGGTGTGCAGCTGCAAACGGAGCAAATTCAACGCCGCCACCGCCAAACATTCTCGATCCTGGGTGGGCGGCCGCGTGCCTGGCAATCCCTCGCAGGTCTTGCTTAACAGAACGTCCAGAAGCCGAAACGTGTCTTCGCATACGTCCACGACGAAGGCTACTCGGGTCGCGACCGACCAGGCCGAGGTGCACCAAGCGAAACTCTGGTTCGGCCCGCATGCCAATCCTATCACGTTCTTACCGGACAAGGTCAGACAGAGTGTCGGCTCGGCCACGACGCATAGACCAGCTGATCCTCCGTCAACGCTAGCACGTGCAAGCTACCCACGCACAGGTCCTTCACCTTTTTCGTTTTCAACGCCTCGATCACCTTTGGATATCCAACGTGTTCTTCGTTCCCGTGGCCCAAACGATAAGCCTCGCCCTTTCCCCATGTGTACACCTCTCCGTAGGCGGTTAAAGCCGCAGAGAATTGACCGCCGCAATACACTTTCGCGACGTTTATATCCAACAACTTGTCCACGATCTTCGGCGTTTTCGAGCCGTCGCAACCACCTCTGCCCAGCTTCCCGTAATCACCGTCCCCCCATGAAAACACTATGCCGGACGCGGTGACGCACAACGTATGCGAGTCCCCGCTGCCGCACGCCACGTACACGATCATGTGACCGTTCAGACCTGTGACCAACATCGGTACCGTCACGTCCTCCGAATTTCCATGACCCAGTCTACCGTAATTTCCTCGTCCCCAGGTGTACAGTTCGCCGTTCGACGTGAGCGCCGCCGAATATGTGCTGCCGCACGTTATAAAGGTGATGTTCTTGTCGACCAACGCCTCGATTAATTTTGGCTCGTCGTACCAAGTACGATCGCCGTGTCCTAATCGTCCGCCGTCACCGTTTCCCCACGAGTAGACAAGATTCTCTTGCGTCAACGCCAAATAGTGCTTGCCGTCCGAGTGCGAGGCGATCATCGTGACCGGTTTATCCGAGAAACCGTGCACCCTCTGCGGGTATTGCGTCTCCGATCCGTAATACATCATGTACACGTTGCCGCTGATCGACAGAATCATCAGAGCTCGTTCGGTGCAACAGAGCTGCTTGATACCAAGCTCCGCGATCGCGTCGCAATAAAACGGGGACGCGCCGTTTCCGAATTTCACACTGCCCCATGCCAGAACCTCTTGGAACGTTTGATTCTGATTCTTTGGGAAACGATCGGTCACCAACGGCGGCAACAGAGGCGCGGCCAGTCTACTCAGGTTACACATTATGATCACTGCCGCTTTTCGTAAATCAACGGACGTGCTATCGTCCTCGGGTAGCCTCAGGTATTTCAGCAGAACCTCGCACGGACCCGGTGCTACGTTTTCATCCGATCGTCTTGATTTCGATGCCGGGATTGTGTTCAACCGTCTCAATACTGGTATCAACGGCGCCGTGCTTCCAGGCGGCATTACACGATTGTCTTGATGCTTGTGCTTCCCGCTCAGATGAAGTAACAAACAAACAGAGTCCAACAAATTGGACAGGGTGGCCCTTTGCGTAACCAATTCCAGTAGCAAGCAAAGAGCCGTGTGTTGATCCGTCAACGGTACAGGGCACCACGATCTTCCGCTCACTATGTCCCTGGAAAAGAAGTTTACCAATGCTAGAGCACCGCAATTATTTCATCGAGACAACGGCAAATATGGCAAATTCAAAATAGAAACGATTGAGAATTTTACGGTTCTGTACCCTGTGACAACTTGTCGTAAGAATTTTGCCGATCGTTCCACCACTTCCAGCCAAACTTGAGAAACGTTCGTCTCGTCGAAAAGCGTCGCTTCCGGCAACGATTGCAAAGCTTCCAGCGATTCCGAGAGAAGCTCGCTGCAAAACTCGATGTCTTCGCCGGACCTCCAAGCCCGTCTTAAGTAAGCGAATGAAAAATTTAGGGCGGCGCGTGAGCCAACTCGCGCTAAACCCAACGTTGCCTTCTCGTTCGGTCTCATCCTGAAATTATTGTACACATTATTGATCAGAAACATATTAATAAAAGCAACCGTTACACGGTCCATCCAGCTGACTTACTATACAATATGCAATCGCAAACGCGCCACTAAATAATTCGCTCCAAGTAAAAACAAGTACATACATGACATGCCCAACTAGTTCTAATATTCCTATGTCACTTTCGATTACCATACATTTTTTGCAATTTAGTAGTAGGTTTCGATGCTGTCTGAATGTCTTTGGTTTCCTGCGGTTTGTGACGCACGAGGGCCATCAGATAACGGCGTGCTACCACCAGCCGTTGTTTCAATCGTGTCGAGGATAACGTACTGTTTGCGACATCGTGACATAATTTTCTTTGCTCCTCGATCAACGAATCGATACATTCGGTTAAATCTGACAGGGCTGTGAAATTTCATGACTATTACAATCGTTAGAAAAGATACGATAACACAAGTAACCGACAGTTATAGAATAGCTGTTTACATGGTTGAGGACCCCAGAGCCATGAGTTCATTGTGCGTCTAACTGGAGCAGTTCTCTCTGCAAGAGCGTTTGCTCTTGTTGCTTCCTCTTCGTCCAATTTCTGACAAGGTCCACAGTTACAGCCATGTTGTGGACCGCAAATACCATCGCAACATAAACATGACAACACTCTCATATTACAATAATAATGGCCACTTTCACCTACAAACATCGGACAGCTATGAATTACCCTGAATTACTGTTATGTAAAACAGATCACACAGAATTTTAAATCAAATTTCAAATTGTTCTATATATTATTATTGTTATTATTTTTAGTATTATTATTATTCATATACCTTTTTTAGCTGTTATACCCGCCGCATTAATTAGACCATCACTAAAAGAACCTACGATTTCACCATCTCGTATCATTTCGTTCCAAAGTTCGGACAAACCATCGCGATAAAGTAAACGCTTCAAGTCTGTTTTGAGCCATTTTGCATCCAAACGGATCTCTGGCCTTACAATGATATCCAATTGAACACTCATGTTGATTTACCTATTAGCATTAAATTTATAAAACTGGTCATCTCATAATTAACTTCTCGACAGAGAAATACACGACTGAAAAGTCGTACCTTCTGTGTCTAATTATTCCGTTATATTGTTACTCTTCAGAACACATTAACGATAAGACGTTGTCACTCATTCCATGTGTATTGTTTTTCAGATCAGGTTTTAAACCATCATATTTCCAATCGTGTGAATATTTCAAATTAGTTCGGATAAAATTTAATTGTTAAGTAAGTTTCAATGTATTGCGAGGCCGCTTATCATAGGTTAGTTAAAATAATTATAGACAAAATCTTTGGTAGCTCGGTTAAATGTACTTGAGAGCTTGCAGTACATGCATTTCGTCTTGTTCTAAATCAACCTAAATTTTCTAAAATCACTCATTGTTTTTCGATGATATCTTGATGATAGTATATTTGACAAGTAGTAATAACGATCACTGATTTATAAATACTCGAAACTGTCATTGTTACGAATCGAAAATCCGACGATTCCTTGATATTATTCTTTGGAATCACGGCATCCTTTGGCTGAATTTTTGCTGGAAATATGTTGTGTTGAATCTTCACGTTTCTATCGATCGTCAAAAAAACGAGACGACATTCACGAATGGTAAACGAAGTCGCGATAATTGGTGAACGATAACAAACGACGCAAGGAATACATCACTGATTATTCGAATAGATAGTTAATCATAAGATGATTATCAAAGTTTTCATTCGCAATGCCTGTTTACAGAATACACTGCTTACACGAGGATGCGTGCATTAACATCGCACGAGTACTTTGCGACACAATGTACATAATATCGAAGCTGTTGACACTCTTGAAAGTTTGTTGAACTGAAATTTCTGATACGTCGAAAGACGAATATTAATTGAAGGTCTATCACAATGTTCCACGGCGCAAGGTGTTGTTCTATTATACGTCAAATTGGAAAGTATGGTGAGAAATGAAAATAAAAAATATCACTATGCGATAGGTTATATCGTTCATTTTCGGAATGTATAGAATCGCAGCTGTAACTATGAAGCTTACACGTTATTACAAGATTAATTGTACTTGTAGGACAACAAAGATATACTCGATACTCGATAGATACGTTTAGAAGAAATTCGAGTCAATCGCAAATAGAAGAGTTATCATATAAGGCAGCCCTTTGTCGAGCATGCGGACAACCGACGGCGGCAACACATCCTCATCTAATAAAAGATGGGGAAGTTGTACCAGGCATTCAATTTCAGGAGTTTAGAGAAAGACGGAATAAATTAATGGAGAATATCGTCTCGCATGGTTGTGTTGCAAATGCAGGAAAATCGCACATCGTAATTATTCCATCATCATCCAAAGTGTACATGTCAGAGAAAATCCCGTATGTTTTTCGACAAAATACAGACTTTTTATATTTTACTGGTTGTCAAGAACCCGACAGTATTTTGATAATTACAGCAAAGAATGAAAATTTTGAAACCGTGCTGTTTGTAAGACAGCGGAATGAGCATTCTGAATTGTGGGATGGCCCTAGGACCGGAGTTGAAGATGCACTTAGATTGTTTGGTGTTGACTTGGCACTTCCTGTAACAGAGTTTGAACAGTTTTTTATCTCTTTTATAAACGAAAACAAAACAAGCATTATTTGGTATGAGAATATGGATATAGTGCAACCAAATTTACATACAAAGTTACACAAATTAATTAAAGCAGCAAGTAGTCAGAAATTTATTTCCCCTACAAACATAATACACAAAATCAGATTAATTAAATCGCAATCAGAAATTGATTTAATGAAAGAAAGCTGTAAGATTGTTTCAGCAGCTATATCTAGAACTATAGAAATATCAAAACCAAAAATGAGCGAGCATCAACTGTTTGCAACTGTAGACTATGAATGTCGCATGAAGGGTGCAGAGTTCCTAGCATATCCACCAGTTGTGGCATCGGGTAAAAATGCCAATATTATTCACTATATTATTAACAACCAAATCATTCAAGACAAAGATATGGTCTTAATGGATGCAGGTGTGTTTAATACCCTTTGCAGATAGAAACTGTTTTTCTTTAGATAATATACTTCATATTTTATACTTTTAAAATCTTTCTAGGATGTGAATATCATGGTTATTCATCTGATGTAACTAGAACATGGCCAATTAGTGGCACATTCACAGAAGAACAAAGACTTTTGTATGAGATTGTGTTAGACATTCAGAACATATTAATTTGTAAACTGAGAGAAATGCCTACCTTGGATGAATTATTTCGTGATATGTGCTCTTTACTAGGCAAAAGATTGCAAGAAATTGGACTAATACCAAAACATTTAAGCGGAGATAAATTACTTGCTGCTGCATATATTTATTGCCCGCATCATGTAAGCCATTATTTAGGAATGGACGTGCATGACACAGGAAAAATTTCAAGGAACATAAAACTTCAACCAGGAATGATAGTGACTGTAGAACCAGGTATAACGTATTCAAAAACATTCTATTGCTTCATTGTAAATTAGTTTTTTTCCATTTGCAGGTATATATGTAAATCTGACAAACCAATTTGCACCATCTCAATTTCATGGTTTGGGTATACGCGTTGAAGACGATGTTTTAATAACAGAGACTGGTCCAGTAATTTTAACTGAAAGCTGTCCAAAAGGAGTTGCAGAAATAGAAGCTTTAGCAAGTCTGAACCTTTAGTTACTATGGTAACTATCAATTGTTTCTATTGATTCGTTAAATTACTGTTACAGTATGATTCTTCATGTAATTAATATAATTTGATCATTTTGTTTTATTTCAGATTATAGAAATAATACAATAAAAACATTTATGCAGGAGATTGTATGGAATTGTATACATTTCTATGTTATTCGAAAATTTGTTTAAGTGGAAATAATCGGATATTATATACTTGTAGCCAATAAAGAATAACTAAAAGAAACAGTAATACGGTATACACGAAAAGTGCTAGAAACATGAACATTTAAATATGAGATCGTTTACAAATCAGTAAACAAATACCATAATTGTAAATACATAAAATTGCGTATAGTAATAATGAAAAAGCAATAAAGTTACCACACAGTCTTCGTAAAATATCGAACTGATAGATATTTGTTGTATGTATACTAATGTTTCATGTACATTGACACAGTAATTGGACGTAAAATATCGTTATTGTTATTACTGTTATTGTTACTGTTGTTGTATAAATTGAAAAAATATTCGAAACACTATAAGCTCCTTCGTATTTCTCGACTGATGTGAGTATCTTTAAACATCAACAAGATTTCTTAGTTGTATATCAGCTTGCTTTAAAACAATGAAATTCATCAACTGCTTCACACGTAGGCGTGACCAAACGAGGTGATCGTGTAATGCATGTATTTGAGCTGCTGCAAGTGCAGCACTTTCTGGATAGGCAACTGTGGTACAACCAATTCCTAAACATAAAATACGATTAATAGCAGAAGTTTAAACAGATTACTATTCCAATCAAACATGCAATTACAATTTACCTGAAGGTACATTAATCGACGACCATAAATCCTGCGAAATGTTTTCTGGTTTAAAAGGCGGACAATTAATAACAGGCAAAACCGTGTTTCCAGACAGTACTGGACCCAATCCATTGCTTCTCCCTGCTACAGCTATTAGCACCACCTATGAGACAGAAAAGCGACTTGCGATAATTTAGAAATAAACAGTACACACTCATAAATATCAGTCTTTTTATCACTGTTTTGGTGATTGGATGTTTTCACAACATCTACGTTCAAAAGATTTATAGACGGTCGTAGGTTCGAATATGACCGCTGATACATGGAAAATGAAGAATCAACCAATGTCGCTGTTCCGATAGTATTGTTCATGTTTTTGATTAATGTAAACACGCATATTTTTCTACGAAATAAGTTTGTTCTCGTTTGTATAAACTACTATATGGGAAATACGAACTGCTATGATTTTATGTAGACAAGATACAACAAAATGTGTAAACCTTTTACAGTCTTACAATTGAAGCTGCACAAAAAAAACAAATATATAAAATAATTTCAATGTATACCTTTTCAGGAGTACCTTCATACTCTGAAAGAATACGTAATGTTTCTTGGGTTCCTTTGTGTGCACTGCACACACGAAGTTGAACTTTTAAACCTAGAGACTTTGCATGTTCTGCTATTTTTTTACAATGCTTTATGTCAGATGGTGAACCCATTAAAATAACAACCAGACTATTACATGGAGGAATAAGATAGTCCAATTGATCTGCCACCCATTTAAAATTACGTTTTACAGTATCCAAGTCTTCTTGAGTGACAGTAGTTAAATTTCGGTATACCTGAGAGAAATCATGTTATACCATAACAATGAACTACATTGAAACAATCAAAATAATACTGCTCAGTACTTGTTTATCTTTCATCAGCCTTTTATCACCAGATGGCCAAAGTCTCCAAGAGTCACTATCAATTATGTCTGCTACCATAATTTCACCATTTACATCCACACCAAATTCTATCTTCATATCTACAAGAGCGCAGTCTCTAGTTGCCCATGCTCTTTCCAGAATTTCGAACACAGCTACAGTAGTATGTTGCATTATGTCAAATTCATCTTTTCCTATTGTAAGACCATTCAACTTAAAAGCAGCAGAAATAACTTGTTCTTCTGACCATTGAGGATCATGATTAGCATCATCTTTAAAGAATGTTTCTTGCAATGGTGGATTGAATCTATATCCTTCTGGAACCCCTACAAAATGATAAACAAATATATTAATAACCCAAATCTTATTTCATAGAACAAGTTACTAATTTCTATATTATTTTTGTACCTGAATGTCTTTTGAGAAAGCTACCAGTAGCCAATCGTCTAGTAACCCATTCTATTGGAACCATTTCACACTTTCTGGCAATAAAAGTTATATTATTAACCACCTCAACAAATGCAGTTTTTACTCCAGCTTCCTTTAACAATTGAAAAACTTTAGCTGTAGTAGCTGTGCTGATAGCAGCTTTGCCTTCCAAATCATGAGATTTTACACCGTCTCCAGCAGTAATACGATCTTTGCTTTGTAACAGGCACAGAGCAGAATCATTTATAAGTTCAAAGACCTGTTTGGTCTTCCCTTCAATAATCAAATTTCCTCGTTTGTGTTCTGTAAATCATAGATAAAACTTATGAAAAAGATTAAACGCAAAAAAAACGCACGTGTGATTTTTTTCTCTGTACGCGGAAAATTATTTTCTAAAATATGAAACATTGAATTTTTTGTATTAATAAATCATCCTTTACAAGAGCTTTATGTAGTAGAACTATATTTATGAAATTATTGATAGCAATATATTTTGACATCACACGTTAGTGTATAAATATTCGAAAAAAAAATAAATTCGTATTTTCTTACAGCGGTTCCATTACTTCATTTTAAATCATTAATCTTTGTGTTTCGGCTACTTCTCTCTCAAAATAGAATCAAATGTATCGATACCAGGAAAATAAACTGAGATTCTGAACACGCATTACGAATCAAAAGTAAAAATCATTCGAAAGTATTTTATTTATATTTTTAAAAAAACAATCGAATTTTTAGAAAATTTCGAAAAATTTTGAATGAAAGTTGAACACTTAATACTATACATGAAGCGTGAGTATTATCATAGTGATTATTTTATTACTTACCAGTCATGTTTCCTCTAATTCGTTTACCTCGCGAATGCCACCGTCCCTCTTCTTGTAGAATCGAGTCTTGATCGAGGACTTTAACAATCCCCACTTTCAAAATTCTTCTCCGTTTGATTGGTGTAAATATGCATATAAATCATCTTTATATATCGTGTTAAATGGTCTGTAAGTGTGTGAATGGCGTCCGTGATATGGACAGAAATGTTTGGAAGAACATCACAACGAAATACATCTGAATTCAAAAAGTTTGGAAAAATATGTAGGAACTTCGCTAATGATTTGTTCATCTACAGAATAATAATAAATTAATGTTTAGAAATTGTCATGAAAAAACATATTGATCATCAAATTGAAATAAAACAAAAGAAATATATATTAAGTTTACTAGGTACTATGAAGAACAACAATCAACTTTACGAATATCGTTATCGTTATATAATCCTAGATTCATGCGTAATGTGTTTTGCGAAAATATAGACTATGATCAACCCGATCTCCAATGCAAACAAAAAATTCTGATCATAGAAACTAAAACAATAACGGTCGAGTAAGTTTGATATATGTATTCTGTTTCGATATTGAGCAATGAGCTGTGAACATCTTTTTTTAAGCTTCCCTAAATTATATTCACTTTTCAAATTAGCATAAACAAGAGATTGACAAGTTTATAAGTAAGATAATAGCTAAATGAGCTAACTCCCCCAGTCAAAAGCAGGTTTCCATTGGTCTACGCATTCATTCGTGCTGTGGCAGCCAGTCGAGGATCATAATTCATGCGGATCTCTTTCGTGCTGACAGCAGAACATCACGAACGCTCAAACGTTTGACGCACGTGGTATGTAAACGCATGCTTTAAAATCTTTATACATTAATGAAATTCTTTTTAAAACGACTTTCGACTATAATAAAACCATAACTTTACGCGTCAACGTTACAGAGAAGATTTATTCAAAATATTTAAGTTTAAACCCAATAGATATATGTTAATTCCTTTAGATGAATTGGATAGTACACCAAGAATGTCGTTCAACAAGTGGGTACAGCCTTGAATAGAAATTCTATGATACAATCACAAACCGAAGTTATTTAATTTGATTGAACCTTGAATAAGATGGGAAAGTTATTATCATAGTTAGACCTCAATTGCATTCAATTAAGTATACATATATGCGCGTGTATGGTATGTATGAATCAATGCGTGCGTGCATGTTGAGCGTATCGTAGCAAAGGGAACGAATTGTAAGTAAGAAGCGTATCAGGTTCGAAAGAAAAATTACTTGAAAATTACGCTTTTATAGTTAATACTAATAAATATTTAAATTCGTTTGCAATACAAAAAACATAATTTCCTTTTCTTTTTATACACATTTGTTAATGGCTCATTCATATATCAATTGTAGCTGTTGAGAATAAAAGTTTTTGTTGCAACAAGGTTTACAGTATTTTTCCAATACTATAGCAACTTATGAGACTAACTTACAAGTGTTTTCCACACCTAACGATGTCAATGTGATACAATGACGACATCAGTTGCGAAATACTGATTAAGCAAGCATATAGAAAAAAATAAGCTAGTAACATTGAAAGATGAGTTCTATCAGCTCATCAGGGGTCAATAGTTTACAAGAGCATTACTGATTATTCAGCAGAGATCTTGAGGGGGTCTGGTACATGTTTTTCAACATAAGATTAATATTGTTTTTTGTAACTTTTGTGTAATATTGCATCCATTGTAGAGCATAGTTACTAAATTCATAAAAGACATTATGCTTTAATTAAACGTAATAGTGCAAATTGTTTACCAGAAGATTATTATTTTTCACAATGGAAATCAAATTAATGAATGTGTGGTTTACAGATTACAATAAAGATGTCTTGCAACGCGCAAGCAGGATCTTGCACTGCCATTATGTCTATAGAGAGTAACAAGAGCAAGAGGATACACAGCAAAGGAGAGATGAGAGGTCAGCAAATGTCAGGCCTTACTCACGAATGTGGAGTCTTTGGGTGTATTGCTGCTGGTGATTGGCCATCTCAAATCGATGTTGCTCAAGTAATTTGTTTAGGTATATTAAATTGTAAACATACATAGTATTATCTGCTTTTTAAAAAAATCGTCGATTCTGTCTCAGAGGCAATGTATCTCTAGGTTTAGTTGCCCTACAACACAGAGGCCAAGAAAGTGCTGGAATTGTCACTAGTGAGGGTGTTTGTTCAAAGTCCTTTCGTGTTCACAAGGGTATGGGAATGATTAACAACATTTTTAATGACGAAAATATGAAGAAACTCAGCGGAAATCTTGGAATTGGTCATACTAGATACAGCACAAGCGCGGCGAGCGAAGAAGTCAATTGTCAACCATTTGTAGTTCATACCGCACACGGAGCATTGGCGGTAGCTCATAACGGGGAACTAGTTAATACGGAATCGTTGAGGAAGATGGTAACGCTATATATATAAGAACAGCAAGTATAATGCACTTATGCTTTTTTAAATTTATCAGTATAATCCTCTGATTTACTTTTACGCTTAGGTATTAGGTCGTGGAGTTGGCTTATCGACTTATTCGGATTCTGAATTAATTACGCAAGCTCTTTGCTTGAATCCTCCCGAAGGTGAAGTGAATGGTCCAGATTGGCCAGCACGCATAAAGCATCTCATGCAATTAGCGCCATTATCATATTCTTTAGTAATCATGCAAAGAGACAAGATATATGGTGTGAGGGATCCCTATGGAAATCGTCCATTATGTCTTGGGAAAATTGTACCAATTGGTAATCTGGGTATGTCGATATAGAGAGAAATATGTTCTATTTATGTGTTACTCGGTGCATTATTTCGTTATCTGTTGCGAGTAACGTGGTTTACTTTAAATTTTCTCATGTAGCAGGAAATGAGTCAGACGACGACGATGAAGCCGAAGGTTGGGTCATTTCTTCAGAATCATGTGGATTCTTAAGTATCGGAGCACGATATGTGCGTGAGGTATTTCCTGGGGAAATTGTAGAGCTGACACGCGAAGGTATTAAAACTATAGACATTGTCGATAGACCGGACAAAAAGCCACAGGCCTTTTGTATATTTGAGTATGTTTATTTTGCACGCAGCGACAGTATTTTCGAAGGTAAAATATAAGAATTGAAAAGAAGATTGTGTGAAAAAAAACTGTGATATGTGTTGTCAAGTCCTCTTACTTTACTTAACAGGACAAATGGTATACTCTGTCCGCATGCAATGTGGACGAGAACTTGCTCTAGAATCTCCGGTAGAAGCAGACATAGTTAGTTCAGTACCTGAATCAGGAACTGCAGCCGCGCATGGATATGCCAGACAGGTGAATACACTAAATACTATGCGAATGAATAACTTAACTTAAAACTTTTCAAGTTACACAGATCTATATAAATTTTTGAATGGTCCTGAAGAAGTGTTTTCACTTTATAGTCTCAAATACCTTTTGCGGAAGTATTGTGCAAAAACAGATACGTTGGCAGAACATTTATTCAGCCTAGTACACGACTCAGGCAACTTGGTGTAGCAAAAAAGTTTGGAGCTTTGTCAGAAAATGTAAAAGGAAGGAAGCTAATTCTTATTGACGATTCGATCGTTAGAGGAAATACTATTGGACCTATTATCAAATTGCTGCGTGATGCAGGAGCAAAGGAAGTATGTATTATAACAATTTTTAATATCGTGCACGCTTTGTGATACATCTACTTGTGATTGTTTGTCAATTTACGAAAAATAAATGGACTTCTAAATGTATTTTTCTAGGTTCACATTAGAATAGCATCGCCCCCGTTAAAATATCCATGCTATATGGGAATCAACATACCAACAAGGGAAGAATTAATCGCGAATAGATTAGATAACATAAAACTAGCAAAACATGTTGGCGCTGACAGTTTAACGTACCTTTCAGTAGATGGGCTTGTCAAAGCTGTAAGATTTGGTATGGATAATCGAGAAAGCAATTACATTGGTCACTGTACTGCTTGCTTAACTGGAGACTATCCTGACGAGCTTCCCGGTGATTTAAATTGGTGAAAAAATGAAACCGTACTTATACATCTACAGACAACGAATCATACATTATTATACTGCGTATTACGTACGTTGTTTATTTTTACATTAATGTCAAAATTACTTCACAAAATCTACTTTAATGTAACTTAACGCATAGTCACTATACAAGATCAACCATGACTGTACAATTTCAAAAATAATTCAGTATTTAAAAGAACAATGTAGATAAGACATACATAATAATAAAGAAAGCCTGAAAATATTGCGACATGTAGGAGTCATGTTACTATCAAAATTTTATTAAAATTTTCAATTAAATAAAGGGTACCAACAAAGAATTTAATAAATGTTATTCCAATTATGTAGTTATTAGTTATATTTAATTACCACCATCTATATGAGATCATTGCAAGAAATATGGTGAATCATATAGAAAATAAAAAATCAGTAAGTTACAAGTTACAGTTATTGATAAGTACAAGCAATACATACGTAATACATTTAGCCAATGTACATTTGCGTCAATTCTTTTTAGCGTTTGTATGTTCTCCCGCAACCGCTTTCAATTGTTCTGAAATTTCTTTCATCTTTGCTTCTCGTTTCAGCTGTTTCAGACTTTTATTATTAGTTGAGTCTGTTTGATTAACTTCTACTTCAGATTTTTCAGTTACTTCTGTTCCACATATATCGTTTACATTTTCGTTTTCATTTCTAGAAATCTCTAAAGTATTTAAGGTGTCGACAACATTTGATATATCTGGCTCCTCTGATTTTTCTTCTGTGCTTAATAATTTTTCCTCTTTCTTGTCACGTGACTTCCTACCTTTCACCAAAGGTCGAGTCTTTTTATCTTTTATTCTTTGGGTATTACGAGCCTTGCTTACATTCTTCTTTCTATACAACTTAGTTTTATGTGTCTTTACAGATTTATTTGTATCACAACCACCATTTTCTAGCATCGACGATTGTGGATTTAATAATGTTTTGAAATTCTTAAGGCTGCTTTTGTAACCACTTTCAATTCTACTTAAAGTTTCATTCATCATTTCTTTGGAAAAAGTAGGCTTAGAATGAAATTGATCATTGTAGTAACTTGAATTTTCTTCAAATTGAACACAAGTATCTTCAAACTTATTTAAAGTACCAGTGTCTTCTTTATGTTTATACATAGCAAAAGGATTATCTTCGTCGGATTCAGAATTTAACATTATACCCTGAGATTTCTTCTGTTGCCTAATTCTCTGCTTCTCCAAATATTGGTATAGGGCACTTAATCTATTACTTCTCATAGCATTCCAAAAGGAAAGAGCTGAAACATACAAGATATTAAGAAATATAAACTTTATTATAATAATAAATTTCATCAAATCAAAGGACTACTATGGGATCATACCTTCTTCCTGATATTGACATGGTACTCCAGCTTGTTGAAGAGTATTTAAATTTGGAATGCACTGGTAATGTTCTGAATCCCCGAGTACTTCTGTTCTAGATTTTATAAAAATTCGTTGCATCTTTAAAACTTTCCTGGTTTTAGTAAAATATTTAACATTTGGGACAACATCAAAAACAGGATCGTTTGGTATACAATTCTCGTTCTTCTCAAAAAACATATATGTACCGCTAACGTCTTCGTAAGTACCTTCATAAAACTAAAATCATTAATTTATCAATATTGTAGCAGAGAACTTCTATTTGTCCAGTGTATAACACAGTTTAAAATTACCTTTCCATTGATCTGCATTATTGGATGTTCACTGTCTATACCGATCATATCTAATTGCAATTGCTCCTCACTAAACACATTACCGTCCACAAGTCCTTCAAATTCTACATATACAAGGATTTCATCCTCGTCTTCGCACACTTCATCGTCGGATCCCATTTCAATTGTCACTGATTGTGACTTATTATCATACAATTCTTCCTAAAAGTATATTCAATTTGCAAAAAACAACCGACTGAGGGAAAAATTATCCACTCTACTGGTGACAGTGGTGACTGGGACTGTGGGACAATCAGGGACAATACGAGGATCTCTTGCCAAAATAACATATGATAGTGGAGACTTTTTAAACACCTACTGAAATACTGAAACTTATGATTAAAAGTTTTCTTCAGTCGTATCGAATTATCTATGGAATCTCCCTGAATCAAGATTATGCATTAACAATCTATGATTGCGGTGTTTTTAATTAATCTTTAGTTTCATAATACGTAACGATAATTGCAGTGAAATAGACGTGTGATACCATCTACGGTCAAAAGTCTAAACTACTACCCAATTAATACCAAACTCTTATCGCTAGATGACACGTGTAAAAGTCGAAGAAAATAGTGATGGGTCCGCAAATCGTTCAAATGTATTTGGAGTTCTGGCAACCAATAAAAAGTAACGTAATTTACTTTGTATTGTTTTTATTATTATTCACATTATTATAATATATAATATGTACAGAATACTACAATTTATACATATATACATATATACAGAAGTATTCTAACATTCGTTTTACACCCTTTTCCTTAAGCCGCTTGTTGATTTAATTATCCCAGATTTTCAGCTCCTTCATATTTCAGACGATACGAGTTTTCAAACACTTATGATATCCATGTATACCATAATATTCCCATTAGGTGACTGATGAAATTAGTAGGTAACACATATTTGAAGAAGAAATTGCAGTGCCTAAAGAATATCATGTCATGATAACTGATATTTGCAATACAATTGTGTACATGGACTAGCATTAATAATGAAGTAGAATTATTGGTTGTAATATCAAGTATTTCATTAGCTAATCTATTGTTAACAATATTTCACGAGTGGAACAGGTACAAGTAAAAGCATTATAATACTTTATTATGTCTTTTAAAACTTCTTGCACTGACTCTTTTTTGTCAACTGTTGATTTAAATATGTGTTTTTATAAAATACTTTACAAAGTTTTTAATTCAATTGCACATAGTATGTCAACCACAGAATTGAAATGAAAAATACATCAATATGTTAATTCCATTGAAAGTAATTCTACTTATAAAAGATAGGAGGCAAAAGTTGTGTATAAATTCGTGAGGCCTCAGTTCCATCCTCATCCTCGCTCTTCGGCGAGAAATATTGTCAATTGGAAAAGAAATAGATTGCAGGAACACAACTTATCCACTGTTTAACAACAACAGTTTGTTAAGTGTTGAATCCTGCAATGTATTTCTTTTCCTGCACAAAATATTTCCTGAGGATACTTTGTAGCATTCACTTTCCAATACTCCAAAGGATTACTCTGCCTATGTACATATGGTTCCTTCATGTAAGAGTCCAGTTCAGCTGCTGGGCCAACCTGTTCTGTGTGATAACAATTGTGTGCACTGACTCTGGTATCGAAATTAGCCCAAAAGCATGTACTTCTTTCAATATTATAATCAGTGTTGAATGATTTATCATCAGTTTCTGTGGGTATTGTACTGTTTCCAATAATCAATTTTTTTGCATTTTCCACACCATTACTCGTCATGAATCCTAGCATTTTGAATCTTGGGTCTAACATACTTGATATGCTATAAACAGAATTACTCTCAATGTCACCAAAATATCTATTCACCATTTCTCGTAATTTCGTGGCTAATACATGTTTGCTTGAATTTAAGAGCACATTTAATTGATTTACAGAGACTAATACTTTTGAAATTGGAACATGTGTTTCAGAACATAATTCTGTAGTTAATAAAAAAAAGGGTTCCAATACTGTCAAACAGTCAATCATCATTTCCCATTCACCCGCGGTTAAAAGTTCGAACGGAACGTCAAAATATGATAATGCTGCTGTTACAGCATGCTTTTGCTCCAGTAATCTTGCAAACATTTCGTATGTGGAATTCCATCGAGTTTCGGTCTCTAAAATTAATTTATTCTTTTCTATACTAAGTGTATTTTGAATTTCAGTTAATTTATCTTTTGCAAAGTAATTCGATTTAAAATGTGATACTATGCAACAACATTTCTGGCGAATAATATTTAAAGGTTCAAATACACTTAAACTTTTTTTAACTACTAAATTTAATATGTGAGCAAAACATGAAATGTTTGTGACACCACTGTCAAAATGTTGAACTGCAGCAAGCATATTTGTATCATTATCAGTGACAATGTATTTTACTTTACTTTCTATGTTCCACTGGCGAAATATTACTTTCAATGTATTTGCTAAAACAGCACCAGTTTGATTTTCACTAACTTTTTCTGTTTGAAGTGTATATGACTTCAAATTGAATTGTTCATTAATAAAATGACATGTAACCGTTAAAAAGCTATCAACATTAATACTTGTCCACATGTCAGTAGTAATGCAAATATCAGATACCTCGTTTAATTCTTGTTGCACCTGCTGTTTCTTTTTTTCGTACGCGTTCTCCACCATCTTCTTTAACAGTTTCCTATTGGGGAGATTATATTCTGGATCCAGATTTTTAGTATAGGCTCGAAAGCCCTCATCCTCCACAATACTAAATGGCTGCAAATCCTTAACGACTACATCAACAAGTGCCTTGTCCAATTTTAATTTCTTGTCATCTGTATCTAAAAACAAATGATTAAAGTTATATGAAATTCCACTATAATTACATTTGACTGCAGTAATTTATGCACATACTTTATTAGACTCAAATAATGTGAATGTACTCTCCTCTTACCAGCATACAGCGGTGCAGGTGGTACATGTAATAACGACAACGGCGACGACAACAAGAACGAAGTTGATGAATTCGGGCCCGTCTCGGATTCTGAATTTTCAAGCCCATGTGCCGTTTTCATATGACGGATCATCGGCGTCGTCGATCTTCCCGCTTTAAACATTTTGTGACATATATTACACATGGAAAGATTATCACTTATAAGTTTAAAATGCTGCCACACCCACGATCGTTTCGACATCTAAAAAAATGTAATTGAAATTTATGTATTACCATAAAACTATTTTTACACATGTACAATTTACTAGCCATTATCGTAGTCCTCCCAGAGATATAGCGTGTTTATAAATTAACACATCGAGTGGCGGCACCGATTGATGCCGAGCTGAGCTCCATTTCTTTCCTTATTTCTTAAATCGCTGTTCCGACGCTCGGAACATGTTTACTCGACCGCTCATCTGAGTTCACATCACATTATATATGTACGAACATTCCACTGACTAAATGTAACGAACTTTTTTGAAATGATATGGTAGTAGCGAACAGCGTGAATTGTAGTGAACGTGTTAATGTCAGTTAATGTTGGTATTGCTTTTATCGAATGTGTACATATGCATACTTTATGATTATCTAATAGTTTCTGCATTAAACAATATAGATTAAACAATGGTGAGACATAATAATCAGTTACCAGAAAATCTTCCACAATTGCAAAATCTTATTAAACGAGATCCAGAGTCTTACAAGGAAGAGGTTAGTTTTCTGATACAATATCATGAGTGCACGTGTGGTTTTGATTATTCAAAATAATTATTTATTTAAATGCAAACATTGCCATTACATTTTTATGTTTCTTGCAGTTTCTTCAACAGCATCAACATTACAAATCCATTTTGGAAGTGTTTCGTTTAATACCTAATAAATTTAATAAGAGTCTCGATGAAATAGTCATCTTCCTGGCACAGGTGAATTTTTTTTATTAATTATTTTCATTATTTTCTTATACTGTAAGATTTCCAGAAATAAGAGATATTATTTCTCTTACAGGTATGATAAACAAATTCTATGAAAAAAAGTGTATGGATAGTTTCTTCTTATAGCATTATTGTAATTGGTAATTATTAAAAAGTTCCTAAGGATACTAATCATGGAGAAATACTTGGAATATCTTAAGGGTAGAATTATATGTCGAAATAATGTTATTAAACAGCTGTATTCTTTAATTGGTTATTTGGATGAACCAATGCCTTATAGCATATTTGTGTATGGTCATGTAGCAACTGGAAAATCTTTAGTAGTGCAAAATATGCTTTCCTTTTTAAAATATAATACTGCCATTATTAATTGTATTGAACATGTGAATAGCAAGCACATATTCAATTACATATTAAATGATTTATCTTCAAACTCAAATAAGATTGCAGTCAGTGCTAAACTGCAACACAAATGCGATAACATTGTAGATTTTGTAACAAATCTTAGAGAAATTTCCATGAATGATACTCGTCCGATTATGATTGTGTTTGATAAATGCGAAAAACTGAGAGACATTGATTCCAATTTGCTACCTATGTTTTCAAGATTGCAAGAATTATCAAAAATTAATGTTTGCGTAATATTTATAAGTGAATTAGTATGGGAAAAGTTTCGTGTAAAAATCGGTAGTTACGAACCGATTAAAATTCATTTTTCTCAGTACATGCAAAACGAATTTTCTAAAATATTACTTAAATACAAGTCATGCAATTACGAAGATACATTTTACAAAAACTATGTAAATTTATTTCTCTCTGTGTTTCTACGATTCTGTCGAGATCTTAATGAACTTCGTTACATGGCCAAGATAAATTTTTCTAAGTACATACAACCTATCGAAACAGATGAATCTAAAAAGGATGATACTGCCATGCTGTGGAGGAACATTTCCACTGTTTTCAAAACAAATTTAGAACTTATTTATCTACGAGTTTCATCAGAAGATTTTTCAAAACATAGCCAATTATCCAAAGAAATTGAATCGACAACAAAATTGGCATTAAGTTTTGAGTTACCGTATTATGCAAAGTACATATTAATTGCTTCGTATCTTGCGTCATATAATCCTGCCAAAGAAGACAAACATCTCTTTATGAAACAAAAGGTTAAGAGAAAAAGAAAAAATGTTGTCAAGAAAACGGCGTCAAAATTTGGTGTTAACTGCGGCCCGCACAACTTTCCAATTTCTAGAATGCTTGCTATTTTTTGTACGATTCTTGACGAGAAAGTTGATATAAATGCCAGTTTACTGGCTCAGATTCCATCAATGTGTCAACTTGGGTTATTAAGTTTTGTAGGAAATTATAGTTTGGATGAATCGAAACTTAAGTGTTGCGTATCCTACGATTTTATTCTCGTAATAGCTAAAACTGTTGGATTTACCATACAGAACTACATACACAGTTTCACGCACTAAACACTCTACATTTTTCGCGAAACATATTACTGTATAAGCAAATTATCAGTGTGCAGAGTTTTTCTTTTGTATCTACTGATTTATGTTTAACGAATAAAGAGTTTTATAATATGTAAATACATTGTTTTTTGTAGAGTTAAGACACCGCTAGTACAGACAACTATTGCTGATTCATTAAAACATAGTTTAATTACATTTTCGTTATTTTAATACAGGTGGCCCACTGTTATCCAAATATTCTAGAATCGTTTCCTCAGGAAATCATTGATGTATTGCAAACCTACAATACAGTACTTGACAATGAAATGCGATTAGTAAGTATGCTACATAACAAACAACTACTGCATTGAAGTAATGGTTTCTGAGTTATAATACTGAATTAATCGGTCATTTTTTTATAGACATTTTGCAAAGCATTGATTCAACTCCGTAATAAATCTCTTTTGGAACCGACTGTACTTCTGAGTCTATTCTTTCAACTTTTGAGGTGTCAGAATAAAAATTTGAGGCAATTTCTGGAGACACATATTATTGCTGATATTAAAAATATCAATGCTAAACAGAAGAATGCGAAAATTAACACAACTTTACAAAATTTTATGTTTTCAATGTTGAAAGATTCTAATGTCAGAGCCGCAAAAATGTCTGCGGATATTATGGTAGAATTATACAAAAAAAATATTTGGAATGACGCAAAAACTGTTAATGTCCTGGCAACGGGATGTTTCGCCAAAACGACTAAAGTTATGGTCACTTGTTTAAAATTTTTTTTGGGAACCAGTATAGCAGAAAGTGAACATGACGATAGCGATAGCGATAGCGAACCGAATATCAAAGAAATTATAATGGCTAATAAAGTAAACAAGAAGACAAAGAAACGTGAGAAACAATTAACAAAAGCAAAACAATTATTAGCGGTAAGTCGATTACTATCATAAAACCCTTGGTGCCATTGTGATCATTGAAACTTATAATGTGTATTCAATTTTCGAATATTTTAGAAGTCTAAGAAGAAAGCATCAAAAGCACCAGTATATAATTTTTCGGCATTACATTTGATTCATGATCCGCAAGGTTTTGCAGAGAAACTGTTTAAGCAGTTAGAAAAGAATAACGACAGATTTGAAATTAAACTGTTAACTTTGGACGTAATTTCTAGGCTCATCGGTCTACACAATTTATTTCTACTAAATTTTTATCCTTATCTTCAAAGATTTCTGCAACCACATCAAAGAGGTGAATTTTCAATTAATCAAAAAATGATCTTTACGATTAAATAAAATTTAATGATTTGTTATCTTTAATTACTGTAGAGGTAACGAAACTTTTGCAATTTGTTGCTCAATCCTGTCATGAACTCGTACCACCTGATGTATTGGAACCCGTGGTGAAAACTTTAGCAAACAATTTCGTTACGGAACGAAATTCCGCCGATGTTATGGCTATTGGGTATGTAATTTCACAGCTCCATGGCCATTCTAGAAACGAATTATTGTCATAGTGCGTTATTGATTCAGTATAAAATTCTAAATTGCAGCTTGAATGCCATTCGAGAAATATGCACACGATGTCCTCTGGTTATGAATGCAGATTTATTACAAGATTTAGCGCGATATAAGCTATACAGAGAACGTAGTGTGATGATGGCTGCGCGTTCATTAATCGGTTTATTCAGAAACACAATGCCAGAGTTACTCCACAAAAATGACAGGGGTCGGCCCACAGAAACAACTGTGTCTTTAGAAACGCCAAAATATGGACATGTATCTGCTAACGATTTTATACCAGGAGCTGAAATTTTGATAGACAATAATTCTTCTGAAAACCAAAGAAATTTTGAAATAGATAGTGAAAATGACGTAAGTAACAACTTGTTTACAAGTAATAATATTGTAATTAACAAAATCTTGATTGTAGGACAACGACGATGAATGGATCGATGTAAATCACAGTAGTGATAATGAAGGTGATAATGATAACGATAGTTATAAGCGTGTTGATAACGACAATGACGATGAGGATAACGATGACGACGACGACGATGACGACGACGATAACGATGACGATGACGATAATGACAACTATGGTGAGGAAACATCAGTTACTGCAGATACCAAAAACGATAATAAAGATTTGGTGTTAGGTAGTACCAGTATCAAATCTGATACAGAAATAAATAGTAGGAATGATAAAAATACAGATAAAGAGGGCAAGGCAGAGAACGATAGTGTCGTTCGGAATAAGGAAAACCCAAAAAGGAAAAAAAAGGGTCGTTCAATGAAGAAATTAGAACGAAAACGATTAAAGCTGAAGACAAAAGAAAATTCAAGATCGGTGGAAAAAGAAATTATAACTGCCGAGAAGAAGGAAAAGGCATCCCTAATATCTACCGAACGTTTATTAACCGATCAGGATTTTATGACAATAGATATGGCATTAGCAAAGCAACAAGTAACATACGCTAAACGCGGCCTAAAACGATCTCACGCAAACGATACTGAACGTGGAGATTTTGTTAAATTGGCAGACATCGAGAATATATACAAGAAACGGAAACACGATAAAGAAGCTCGTATTGAATCCGTTAAGGTTTGTTGTAGTACAACATGTAGAACATTAAATTATATTGATCCTTTCACATTCACTAGTGACCGACACCGAACTTTTCGTTTACGATTTGTTAGACACGGGTAACCGACATTTTAATGTAGCATAATGCAATTGACGTGGACGAAAAGTCAGCTAAAATACCCTCAGCAGTGTATTTGTTAATTATTTTCGTAATTACGGTTATACCCTGGAAATCATTAGTACAAGTTAATTCCTTTTATTTTCAGAAAGGACAAGAGGGCAGAGAAAGATTTGGCTACAAAGATGGACGACAGAATCCACTCTGTAGTACAACGAATCGTGAAAAAAAGAAAACAAAAGCTTTCCAAATGTTGAAACATAAGGTGAAAGGAAAAGTGAAACGTTCTTTTAAAGAAAAGCAAATTGCTTTAAGGAATCATTTATTGAAACAGAAGAGAATGAAATGATTACAGATGTACAAATGGTTATGTGCATTACACAAGATGCATGGATATCTGGTATTCATTGCATATACAGAGAAAATATGTATACAAATTATATTATTGGTACATTGTTAAGATGTATGAACATGATTTATTAAATGTAGAAATTTGTTATACCTGTTTCATGCAGATTTTATAATTATTTAGATCCCAAAATGTTCCTATTTTATTGAATACATAAAAATCGTGGTATACAGTAGCATTACAGTTACTTAATAGTAAATTTTCCTTATTTCCCCATCAAAGAGATCAACAGATATTGATTACGAATCGAAAAATATTTATATCTTTTTGATAGAATACGAAATAAAGTGAAACAATGTTCCACGAGCACGCAATTTAAACAAAATTTCAAATTGTTTAAACAACACTGACGCTATCTGGCGACAATAGCTTACGACTAGTTAGCGTGTAATAGCTTTTTCGGACCAGATTTAGCATTATTAAAAGATTAATAGTAAAGAAAAACACCACAGTCGACAATTGCTAATGAACAAATTCGATTCAGGGAAATTCAATATACAATCTGACATCATTTGAAAAAATATTGAAATATCTTAAATCACACGATTTTTCTGTATGTACTTTTAAAATGCATTGCGTTACCATCAAATATTACCACGTAGGTACATGTGGTGTATACATTGTATGTCAGTGTTCTGTCATGTTCTGTCGTTGACTTTTCGGTGGGGGCAGCGTGATTACAATTTGATCTGAATTGACATGCGTTCCTGTGAATTGACTAGTTTTCGTCGAAAATTGTTTGCAACCTATGTATAGAATTAAATGCCGGCAAGTGCATCAGTTTTGTTTTCATTTGAAATATTAAATTATTAATGTATCTACCGGACTAATAGTGCTGTAGGTTATCACAGATCCCCAAAAAATATTTCACGCTTGGTGAAACATGTTGATAAATCAAGATCCACAGTGGAGTGGCGATACAGCGTCTGAAATTCAGATGTTTCCAGATCTTGAATTAATGGGTATGGTATATTATATACAATATACCCTTTTCAGATGAATTAATTTTACAGGAATTTAAGTAAGGTTACTTTCATATGTTTTTGTTTGCAAAGCGTCAAATCCAGAAAATTCAAATTATAAAAATTACTATGTCATATTCGATTTATCTAGTTTTTCTGTTGTTGTCTAATTACAATATTGTAAGTGGTTGACATAATGTCTTAATGATAATTGTTATTGTTTTTGTTGTGTCTCTTTCTTATTTTCTGTCATTTTTCATTGTTTCGAAAAAAGTTACAACTTAAAGGAAGAATTCATATTCTTTCTTGTATCTTTTTGCAGATGACGATTATTCACCTCTTCCGGATGATTTGTTACAGTCTTTAAGTTCTGAATTAGGTGTTCCACTTTTCTTGGAAAATGAAATATCTATGGAAGCAGAAAATGACTTCAATCATCAAATCACAAATGATATTTCTTTAGGGGAACCTGCACTTTGTTTTGAAGATTTTGACATGCAACAAAATTCAGGTAAAACTGGAACACATTCTACATTAACAAACTGATGCTTGATTATAAAATTATACATGTACTAATCTTGTGTCATTTTTAATCACAGATTCAAATTTAAGTAACAATGTAAAAATGGAAATTAAGTTGGAACCTGTAAGTCCTTATGTGCAATTGCCATTGTCTCCTGCACTAAGTCATTCAGAGTCTAGTAGATCTGAAGTAGATGCTGACTCTGTTAATTTCTTATGCAATTTTAAGGTATACCTGTTACGTCAAAACTAATTTTATTGATAATTTTTAGTAATTAAATATTCTGTGCATTGATCTATTATAGTCGACTCCAGAGACACCACCAATTTCACCACCTCAAAATAGTTCACCATCCATGTCTCCAGAACCCCTATTAAATACAACTGTTGCAAGACAAGTAAGACTTATGCCTCTTAAATCTCAGGATGAAAAGTGCAAAAAATTTATCATTTCCAAAGCAAATTCAACCAAACATATTCAAGTTCAGCCAAAAAAGATTAATGTGCAGTCTGTAACCGATGGTAAAACAATATTCTGTTACAAGTAATTTCATAACATTTTTTTATGAAATTATGCTATATACTTATATTTGTGTACCTTATACTTTCTAGAACAGCCCCAGAATGCTATATTATTGAGCACGCAAAATTTTGTCGCGCTCGCGCAAGAAGTTAAGCAGAACTATACGTCGTATCCTTTCATGACTCATTTATTGCCAACCAATGAAAATATTAAAGCTCAAAATTCGGTACAGGTTTCACCAGTACAAATAAAAGCAGAAGCAAGTATGGTACAAATACCGCAAGAAAACACTATGAATACTGCTGATGTTTACATGTCAGGAAGAGAATCCACTGTCGGTGTCGGTGATGCGTCTTTGATTTTTAGAAATGATACGACTGGCCGTACCTCTATAGTTGTGAAGAAAGACTCATCTGGCTGTAGACCAATAGTAATTAAAACAGAAAATTCAAGTTATGCTCCAATCGTTATTAAAAACGAAACTCAAGATGCTAATTTCACTGGACGACAAGAAAATGAAATAAAGGCATTGAAAAGGCAACAAAGAATGATAAAAAACAGGGAGTCCGCTTGCCTTTCGCGAAAAAAGAAGAAAGAGTATGTAACTGCGTTGGAAAAACAAATTTCTGACTTGCAGGAAGAAAATAAGCAATTGAAAATGGTGAGAATTTTTGTACAATCATTTATTTATTATACTCTGGCCGTTCTGAGAACGAGGAAATTTGTAGAGTGTATGATAAATGGAAAAAAACTAGGCTTTCATTCTCAGAACAGTCTAACATTTAAGTAACTCATGGTTAGGGTAGGTCATTTAACCAAGTTGCATTTGTATTAGGAGAATTCAAACTTGAAGCAGAAACTCTCAACGTTAGAGAATACAATGGGTACTAATAACAAACTTGGGAGTACAATTCTCGCTGCAAAGAAGAAGAATGTTGCTATTCTTTTGGGAATGGTGTTTATGGTATCCTTTAATGTCAATACTTTTAGGTAAATTGTCAAGGACGTTTATGATTGTGTTATTAAAATTGATAAATGTTTCTAATCTACAATTATTCACACCATGTTAAAGCCGTTTTTATTTCTTATAACAGTGTCCTCTCGAAAAGCAATCAGTTGAATGTATTACCTGTGGACGTCTCTACTAATAAACAGTATACACGACAAGGAAGAACATTGCTCTGGACACCTACCGATGAAATCCAGGAAGAGGATGAAGAAAGCTTCCGTAAAAACACATCAATGCCTCAACCTATGTGTCCAATGTACATAAATAAAAGCGAATCGATTCGGTTAGATTACGAATTAAGACGATGGATCGGTGGTGAATCTGATCAAGATAATTGGACTACACCGAAAAATGCAAAGTTTGATGCAAAATTTATGGGTGAACTTTTATCTTCGCCATACGCAGTACAGAAAAAGACTAAAGATAAATATAATTTGCCACGAAGGAGCAAATCCGAAATACTTCGAAAGACAACAGGCTCTTCGATATCAAATGCGGTCGAAGTCTTTTCGCCGACGTTAAAAGAGCATGCTTCGTTATTCGAAGCTCTAGGCAGAAGAGAAGATACGTTTTACGTTGTTTGGTTCAGCGGAGAGCATTTGCTTTTACCAGCTTCGAGGAAAAACAGTACGGGCAGACCAAGAATGTCGTTGGTTCTTCCTGCCCTGCCTATGAACGGTAACTGATATTCTGTAAAAAGATAGTCCATTAGGATAGAAAAGTCTGTATGGGTAAGATATCATTCGATTTATTCTTTTTGCAGAAACTTTTTCAACGCCTGCCAATCATATAACTATGATGCAAATTGATTGTGAAGTAACAAATACGCAATTGTTGCATTTACAACAATCGGTTATACCTAATCATTTAAAAAACAATCATAGGCCTGGAAATGATACACATCAAACTCATGCGACTAATGATGTATCTGATAATGTAACAGACGATACAACTAAAAATTACAAACCGTATTTTATTAAGGAGTCTGATCAGAAGGATTTCCACAAAAAGAATTTGAAAGATACTTATCTGGATAAAAATAGCGATGATTATAATAAGACACCCGCTTATATTTTAAAGCAGAAATTTGTTTCGGAATTTAATTTGGAAGAGGTAAAAACTGACATGTTGAGAAGTTCGCGGAAAACGGAATCACAGGAGAACAAAAATAAGACTGTCCTTAGTACATGAACCATTTGTGTTCATCGTTTTTTTTCTGTTTTATAATGTACAAGAATACGAAAGATACTGCTCGCTGGTCTACACTATCGTATGTAATGGAAGGTACATGGAAGTAGTTAATAACATTATTGCATAAATCGTAAGGCACAACGGATTCAACGTAAAAATCATCTTTTGAAAAGTCAATGGTAAGAATGTTTATAATATACACATTTGCATAAAGAATAACAAGTGTGAGTATATAAATGCAAATATATTTAAGCACAATTAGTAATTTGTAGATAAATAATATATTTAATACTGTGAATTATATACGTTAAAATAGAACTTTATTAAAAGGTATCCAAGTAAAACGTCACGGGAAAAGTGTGAAAGATTTAATGAATTAATTTCATACACTGTGACCATGATTTTTCTCCGCAATAAGTACGCATATTTAGATCTAACTTTTCAACAAATAGAAATGTTTGGTACATACCTAAATTTTATGTATGCACGAAACGAATTTGTCAGTGTTGAATGTGACGTATTTATAATTATTACACGATAAAAGTAAAAGAACTAGCAAGGGACAAACTAATCTTAAAATGGAACATTTCGTTATAATCGGTACCAACACAATGCAAAATTAATAATAAATAAATAAGTTTATTTATCTTTCGCATCTGCAATATGTGTAAACCTTTAAAAAGAACAGGAAACTAGGAGTATTTATTTTAAAACCGGTGTAGAACCACCAAGGTACACTCTGAGATCTGTTATTGTGGACTGTATTAATTTAGCTTTGATAAATGGTTTTCCGAGTCTTTGATGCGCCGTATACCGATGACATCCACCGAAGGAGTAATAATAGTCACCACCTGTAATAAAGAAAAGTGGCATTACACAGGATGGAACTGAAATACAATTTTACTTAGATTTAATGGAAATAAAGTATGTTGAAAATCACGTTAACCTTCACTGCCTTTAATCCATAGAATATCGATCGGTGGTACAGACGATTCCGACTTGAAATCTTGTAGTGTGTTCATTAAACTTTTAACCTTTTCCTCGTCGACGACGGGAGATATAGGTCTGATAATGACATCCATCGGAACGTCGTATATTTCAGCATTTTTATCGGAATGAACACTTGTGGAAGTACCGTTATTCATCTCGAAAACTGGATTTGAGAACTAAAAAATGAACATCAAGGGAGAAAAAGAAACGATCAAAACAGAAACAATAAAGTTCTTAAATAGCACGTGAAAGTGTTACAATATAATGTAATCTTGCGATGAATCATCAAGGAAACGGGCGGGAGCTGTTATGCCTTACAGTTTCAGGAATGGCAAGAGAGGGGATACAATATCAAAGCAGGTGGAGAATATGATGATTACTTGAATATCTGTAATCTGTAAGTTGTACAGATATTTTTGAATGACATAAGGTGAAAATGAAATTATCAATACCTTTTAAAGATAATATCATACTTTTTGTACTGGTTGATTGGCTAAGAACAAAATAATGGATTTTGCCAAATTTGTGTATGCATGGGCTTGAATACTGTCTGGAGCAGACAACACAATTGGTTTGCCAGTGTCACAACTTTCTGCAATGTCTTTGGAAAGAGGTACTGTTTGCAAGACTTGTATATCTGAAGAAAAATATGAAAAGCTATAGTGGTGTATCAACATGTATAAATGTTAACAAACTTAATACCAAGTTCTTTAGCCATAGTTTTAACTCCACTGCCATAAAGAGTTATTTCATTGTTGCACTTGGGACACATCAGGCTGTTCATGTTTTCTACAATTCCAGCAATTGGAACATTCAATCGTTTAAACATATTGGCTCCCCTTCTAGTGACATCCAAAGCTGCCTTCTGAGGTGTAGTTACTAACAGTGCTCCGGTAATTGGGAGATTCTGTATTAATGAAAGATGTGTATCTCCTGTTCCTGGTGGAGTATCAATAACAAGATAATCCAAGGGATCCCATGCTACTTGGTATAAAAGTTTTTCGATTGCACTCATAACCATCAAGCCTCTCCAAATTACAGGAGATTTATCGTCAATTAATAAGCCCATAGACATGCTATATATGAGAGAAAATATAATAGCGATAACTATGGGTTCACGAAAAATACAAAACAAGATTTTTACCATTTCACCCCATAATTTACAACTGGTTCTATGAGATTGGCCTTATTAACTACAGGAGATTGTTGTACATTCATCATTAAGGGTACAGATGGTCCAAATATGTCGGCATCAAGTAAACCGACAGACTTTTGTGGTTCAAGAATTTTTAGAGCAGTTGTTAAATTCACTGCGGTTGTAGATTTTCCAACACCTCCCTTCCCCGAAGAAACAACAACGATCTGTTTAACGCCTTTTAAGGGTCTTTGTTTCGGAAGACCGCGTGTCATTATCTCTTTTCGTTTCGTTTCGATTTCCTTTTGCTTCCGTTCATCGAGACGCATAGTGTGACTCTGCAACGAAATAAATGTGTTTATGCGTTAGACACTGCGTTACTACTCGTACTACAATACGTATCGACTCTGCCACGTGCGTTTTAAGCAATTAAGTGACATTAACTTGTCGAACTGAATGGAGCATATCATAGATAATATAAAAAGGTGCACGTACTAATGTCAGCGAACGGTAAATATTTGCTTTCCCATAATTACATCGAAGATGTGCGAAACATTTGTTAAAGGCTAAAACTAACGGCAACATTCTAGATACCACCAATAATGTACATACGTACGGATGTGCGATGTTGGATGTGTGTATATACACACATACATACTTAGTGCTGCATATATGCATACATGTATGTAGCATGTACCTATAGAATTGTTTGACGACACTGGCAGTTTCTAACCTGACATTTCGAATAGCGTAATTGTTAATTCGTTTGAAGTCATGTTCTTGAAGGACATTTCGTAGGATCTTTAAAAATGTACTTGTAGTTCAATTTTCGACATTTCAATGTTTCATGTACGTGTATTTTAACACAGTACATTTTTATTAGTTTTGTTTGCAGCGATTGAAAATTTTGATGTTTTCCACTGAAAGTGACCGAGATGTTTTACGCGAGGGCGGTACAGTTTTTCGTTACCGTGAAGCACATATTAGAAATGTGATTGATCTTACGCCTCTTTTTAATATAATTATGTTAATGTAAGTCCTTATGTTGCTTTCGACCAAGCTTGATGATTAACATCCAATTCGTACAACTCTCGGATCTATATACTGGTGGATACGAATTTTCTGTTTCTTGAACTATCTTCGTAACGAATTTATTATCGTTACGCTACCGTTAACCTAGATTTTCAATTGTAATACATACATATCGACTTTCATGTATCGAATAAATCACATTACGTGAAACGTTCGACAAAGTTTAGTTTTGTCAAAGGTTTCTGTGTTTATGCGTTTCCGTCGGTGTAATCGTTCAATTCGTTTAAATTACATTAATTTGATACAAAATTCATAATACAAACAAAAATATACGTATTATAGTTGTTCTACTTGATCGATTCGATTCATAATTTGATCAATCAATATAGTATTATTTAATGTCTTTCACGCGTTAAAACAACAAAAGAGTTGTGTGTTATGAGTAAACTGACTAGTAAATAGAAGGAAAAGGAAATCGGGAATTAAAATTCAGTGTATCGTGTTGAAAGCTGTGTAATCTGACAAAATTATGAAGTTTGCATGTGACGGTGTATTTAATGTAATATGTATTTTTCGTGAACAAACATTCTTCTCTATAAACACGTATGTATTTCTTGTTATTGCGATCAGTTTCATATCATTAGATCTTATACAGTTGAATTTCTAAATAGTGTGTATCAAGTGTAACACAATGTAAGGTTAAGTTCTTATTTACACAGATAAAACGTACCGTATTAACAAGTCAAGGTGCACGGAATATGGGCCTAAACGCAGCCGTACAAGCTTTAAAGTAAGTAAACAAATAAGCAATAGTATTTAAAGCTTGGTGGAAATATATGTTTAGGTGTTGGCAGAGATTTATTCGAGTCCTGTGTTTATTAGAAAAGCTGAGCCACTAAAGGATAAAGTTCAACGTTGTAAAGACCTTTTAAATGATAGCGATGCATGGGTATGTCAGCAACAATTACAGAAGATCTATCAACAAGTTCTTATATTGGATCTGGAATATGCATTGGATAGAAAGGTGGAGCAGGAACTTTGGAATCTGGGATTTAAGAATTACATAGCAACTTTGCAATTACAAGCAAAGGATAGAAAGAATCCAAAACGAGGAGAATCGCAGGCTTTGCTTAGTTGGTGCTTGGAAGCAGCCAGTGGTTTTTATTTGACATTACTACAAGAAATTTGTACAGCATTTGATCTGGATTTACCATTCAGAAGGTAACTGGATGAAATCAGTTTTTTAGAGATTGAAATTCAATAGATACATGTAATTTTTTGAAATAACAAATTTTATATGATATGCGTTTGTTAGGAAGGGCTATGTTTATGGATGTACGTCACCATGGAAAGCTGTTGAGAATCTGTCAGTGCCTCACAAATCTTCGTGTTTCTATGCATGCCAGTATTGTCTTGTACATTTAGGGGATATTGCCCGCTATAGAAACGAGAGTAAGCAAGCGGAACTCTTCTACAGACATGCTGTGTCATTGTCACCATCCAGCGGACAACCATATAACCAGCTGGCCCTTTTGGAAGCATCGCGTGGCAACAAATTAGGAACCGTGTTTCATTATACGCGGTCCGTTGCTGTGAAACATCCGTTTCCTGTCGCTACAACAAATCTGGCAAAAACCCTATCTTCCGCTTTAAACGACACCACGATAAGCATTGAAGGAAAAACTAAATTATCTTCCCAGGAGTACATAGCAGTCTTCTTAAAACTACATGGTATTATTCACAATCTTGGAAACCTGACGGTCGCATCGACGTACACGAAATTGTTGACGGAAACATTGACAGCTTTGGTGGCAACGGAAAGTTTCAGCTCCTGGATGCTCGTACAAATGTTTGTAATTAATTTGTATGCCTTGGAACATGCAACAAGTGTAGTCGTGGGTAGCACTGAACCATTGAGAAACGAACAATTAACGTTCGATGAAAGAATAGCTCGAGATTGTATTTTAGATCTCATAGCAGGAAGTCTGTCCGCGTTGTTGTTGCCCGTCTACACTATTAAGAATTCTATCGTCGAGTACTTCGCTTTGCCTTCTATAAAACTGTGCCTTGATTGGATTCACACAAAGCCCACAGTTTTGGAAGAAGTTGCGTTCACATCGAGACTTCAAATCTGGCCCAGCCTTTGTGTACTATTAAATGCCTTACAGAATTGTGTGGTCGATTTCCCTTACGATCAGTATGTTAAGGTACCACTGCCAGAAGATCGTGATTTACAAGGCTTCTTACCGTTGGAGAAAAGTTTCGAGTGTTTGAAATTTACGAGCACCGATTTAGAAGGTGACGTGGAGGCTTCCAATAAATTACGCGCGGTCCGTATTTTACGTTTGGGTCACTCGTTGGCACAGTATAGAATCAATGGTTCCGCGTTGATTGCTATTGCGGTAGGAGGAGACACCGGTGACAACAAATTCAGTTCATTGAGCGAAGGGAACGGACCGAGTAACGAGTTGATGAAAGAACTGGAAGAACTTAGTTTGAACAAAGAAAGACCGTTTGTCGTATCGGCTAGTCCGGTTCTCTCGGAATCTGCCAGTAGTAAAGGTTCCACCGATGTTGACACGTTATTGGAGAATACTTTGGACAAGAGAATAGGTATACTGAAGCCTCAGGGTTCGTTGGAACGTAGTAAGGATTCGTTGACCGCCAATACGGAATGTAACAATTTTGAAGTTAATGTGATGGTACCTGCATCAAGAAAACCACGACAGAATATAGCGATGCAAGCTATTATGCGTCGCGCCGAAACTGAACAGAAACAAGTTACATTCAAGAATGTATCTCCGTTGGTCGTCGAGGAGGAAAATGAAAAAAAAGTTAAGGCGAGTTCAACGTCACCGGCGAAGAGTGTGCCTGCAGGAAACAAGAATACCCCAATTATTGGAGAAACATCGAAGCCGGGCAATGTACCTATCGTATCCACGAGTTCATTGACCACTGTTCATAATCGGTTACCGTTGATGCCTTTTCCAATGACTACCGTACAAAATCCGATTGTTTCCCCGTCGAATCAAGCTAAACCAGTGAAACAACAACTCGCTGTCTCGCAACCAACGCAAATAAATCTTCTTCCTACGAAAGAGCAACAAACTTCTGGGAACGTACCCACGATACCACCGGGTATATCACAGTGCGTCGGGATGGTTTGTTATCAGGGTCCATCTTTCAGTGCACAAAGTCCACAATTTGCGAAAAATTATATGGCAAATCACATGGGAAGTCTATCGAACTATCCGATTCAAGGACATTTCACCAGTTCAGGACAACAATCGATGGCCCAGAATGTTAGTTTACAACAACACGTTTCGAATCAAAGCAGACCTTTGCATCAGAGAATGCAGGTTCACAGTATACCCCAGAGCTCGTTGATACATCAAAATGTTGGACATCTTCAATCGTCCGGCCAACAGAATATAGTGCCAACGGTGGCGCGTAACATTAATTCTCAACAGGCTGGAAATGTTGCTCTACAGCAGAATATAAGTATGCAACAGCAGAGTCATGCTTTGGACGTGCAACAGCAAAACCTAAACATGGCCGTGCAACAGCAAAATGTTGGTAAACCCAGTCTTAGATCGAACACGGTACCATTACATAATCCAGTTAGTTTAAATAGTTCAGCCATTGCGAATGCTTCTACGTTATCGACGTTAAATACATATCAGAAGAATCTTCATCAAATCGCTTCTGCGGTACCGTCGAACGTACCGAGTCTACCGGGTAGTTCGTTGAGTCCGACCACCACTTCAAGCTTTCCATTTAATTTTAATCAAAGCGACATTGCTCACAATGTTTTCGGCCAAGTGCCGCAGAAACAATTATCATCGTCGTCCTCGATGTACAATAAAAGTCCGGATGTTCTAGAATTTTCGTTTCCCAATCAGATGGGCATGTCGAAGAGTCAATCTCAGCTCGCAAACAATTATCCATTGTTTCATAATTACGAGTCTGCAAACTTCAGTTTGTGGAAAGACGGTCAGCAATCGCAGCTGTCAGTACCTTGCTGGAGCACAAATAGCGGGGGTACACAGTTGCACGGCAAAGATGCAACGGTCGTCGAGAATTTTCGTAATTGGGAGGACACAATCAGTCCCGGAAACACAATTTCACAAATTCCATTGAAAACTTCTAATTACCAGCCTGATTCGCAACATAACAAACATTTCGGTGGCGCAAATAACTTCGAGCATTCCGGGTCTCTGGATGTATGTATTTATTTGTACATCAAAATCCAATGTATCGCTATTGTAAAACAATTCCTGGGGATCTGGTTCGCAAGCCTGTAATGTTTCGAATCAAGATCAAACAAAAACTCGACTCAGTCAGCAGTCTTTGTGGTCTGGACCTGGTCCGTCTCCTCTGGAACGACTTCTGGAACAACAAAAATCATTACGCGAAGGAGGTACCTGAAGGAAAGCAATACAGATATTCTATCGAAATACATTGGAAAAGGAATTACTCAATTTGCGGATTCAGCTAACGAAGGGAGTCTAGCAAAACAACATACCACAATAAATATCGATCGTTCGACGAGAATGTAAAATTTGTTACAATGCAACAGCTGCTGAGAGGTTTTGTAGCCGCTTAGGAATTCGTTTAAATAAAACGAATAACACATACGTCCAAAGCGTTATGAAATACGCTCTAGAAATACATAGGTATCAATTACTTACGTTACTTATTGCGCGCATGGTAGAAAATGAAAATATTCTAATGGTGCGTGTCGCACTATCGAGTGTTTCAGAATAGTCATTTTAAATTTATTAATGCGCATTTCATGGAAATATTTCGAATCATTTGAAAGAACGGAAGTATTGAACGGTGAACTAATTCGTTGTCAATGAACCACGTATCAAAGATGAGCGGTACATAGATTCCATTAAGCAAACAACTTGTGAAAGCTGTGTAAATGTACATTGCGAAAGGTAGAGATGTTCTGGTCAATCGGCCAATTTAATGTTTACATTCTTCGTAACAAAATCAAAATGACTTTATTGTTTTTTTTAGACATGACGTAAACGTAAAAACACAATTTCCTTTGTACACATGCGTTAGACGCAGTCGTAATCGTTATTCTACATTTTGTATCGTATTACATTCAGCTATGCTATTGCGTATTTCGGTTTTTGACTTCCGAACATACGCACACAATTACGTTCGTCGATTTATTTTACGACAGTTATGTACTACTCTTCGACTTAGATAACATTTCATAATTTATATAAAGAAAAACCTTCCCTGATGTAAACATGCGAAGTAGTTTGTTCTTTACGACGACAAAGTTAAAAGTAGAACAATTTTCAAGACCGACCATGTAAACAATTCTTCAGATTTAAATAAATTGAACGATGTGAAATACAGCGTCTGCGAAAGAACTCAGTGTAACACGTGCACAGCAACAATAATTTTACCCGAGAGATTGAAATTATAGGTTTGTTTATTTGCAAATACACGATGTTAAAAGTTTAACAACAATTGTGTCCGAATTCAATCATATTAGATTTATATTTGTTTATTCTTATTATTTAATACTGTCTTATAAAATAAAGATTCGTTCCGTTTGACAATCAACGTACCTACACGAATAATCAGTCAGTAATGGGAATTTGTCGTGAAATATTGATAAATTTCGCTTGGTAAGCAACGTATTAAAATAATGTAATAATCATATTAGATATGAGAATAACGTAATTATATAAACAAAATGGTAATTTACAGCATATATCACTTTTTAATTATAGGTAAAACTGTAATTGGCTATTAGAACTTGTTGAAAGAAACAAAGAACTTTTAACAGACACATATCATGGAAATAATTTCGTTTTGTAACATTTAATTCTTTGGTTTGTCAAGTAATAATTCCATTTACGGCTATACAGTCTTTTAAGTAGCTGACATCTCAAAAGGTTAGCGCGCTAACTACTCAGAATGTTATTGCATTTGTCACAATATATTAACTTTGTTACAGTTTTGTGTTCATACCACAACTTACTTAATATAATTTTAATATTTTTAGGCAACTGTGAATTTGAACTAGATGGTTGTATATCATTCTTTCTATAACGTGTTCTTTAACCGATTTTTATGTACAGTTTCAAAACATGCTGCATAAGTCTTAACATATTTGTAGGATCCGACGTTATTATATTTTATTTCGCTACGTCACAGGTACATTCCCTTACCAAGAAGGTACAGTTGAAATTGTTCCCCTTTATCATAGGTTGCATTACACTGCATTGAATACAGAAGTCATAGTTGGTTGCTTGGGATGGTTGGCGTAACTTCACCTGTTGTGAGTATAGAACAATCATTATATATTCTTTGCTGTTTAGTAACTATTATAATGAAAATCTTAAGCCACTCTTATTATAAGTAGCATTACCACTCCATGGCGCTGGAAACGGAGTGTACCAACTCCAACTGTGAAATCATAATGAAGTAGGACAGGTGAATCCAAACTGGATATTTGTTGCACGCTACATTTTAAACGGCCGTTGCTGCGTATAGTGTAATTTAAAAAAACCAAGCCTCTGTCTTTTACTAAAAATACAAAGTCAAAATCGTTTGGCAATGTAGCTGTCATTATTGTAGATCTTATAGGAAAAATTTGAGACAGCTGATGTCCCTGAAATATTTCAGAATCAAATGAGAAACTGAAGTGCTTAAGTTTTTATAATATATAAAGGTTTTAATACCTCTGAAAAATTATCCGTGTGACATTGCCTCAAATGTGTTTCTAGATTATTGTATGTACCTTTAAATTTACATATACCGATTGAACACCAATAAGTATGTTTAGCGTATGTTCTTTGTACTATATCTTCTGTCTGTGTACATCTGTGGTATACAGTACAATGTTTAACTGCTTCAAAATCTGTTTGAACTGAAGCATATACAGTGTTTTTAGTTTTATCAAATGTTTGCTTTACAGTTTCTATTTCCTGTTCTATAGAGAGCTGAAAATGAAAAATATAGTAATGTAAAATAATCCATGAAAGCTTTGTATTATTATAATACTGCAAATAGTAGTTTTCACTAATTGTATGATAATGATGTTGTTTTAATACAAATACAAAAACTCAGTTACAACTGTGTGTCTATGAATAAAAACTTGTGTAAAAGTTTTCAGCAACTGCTAGTTTTAAATATGTAAGTATTGTCATGACTAAATCATAAAACTCTCAATTACACAGGTATAATAATGTATACTTTATAAATATTTGTACACTTTAATGCTAGTAAGTTCAAACTGATATCGTAAAAAGAAACATTTGAAATACTAAACCTTTATGTCATTTAGTTTAATAACTAAATCTTCCGCAACAAAATTTCTTGTTTGTACAAATTCTTGTTTGCACATAGGACAAATATTCAAAGTTTTTCTACAAAAAGTGCAAATATGATGCCCTATTATGCACTGCACAATCAAAGTCTTTGGTATCTCCAAACATACAGAACACTGAAGTAACTCTTCTAATATGTAGTACCACTGTTGCAAACATGAACAACAATAGAGTATATTATTGCTAACAAATTAAATATTATACATACATATATTAAACAATTTCTTAAGTAATTAATATTACATGTGATGCAAATGTGTTAAAAAAAATGGAATATGCAAAGCTTAGAGAATATACATACATAAGTTCTCATACATAATTCAAATAAAATTATGATTTGATTATATGTGTAAAGAACCAATATTTTCATCATTTTTAATAGTCAAGCAGTAAACAGTATGTATATATATACCTTCGCTTCTTCCATTTCTCTGCTTGGAAGTTTTATTTTACGTTGTACCGCGGGACGCTAAATCGTGAAATTCGAAATGTACACATGTACACCGCCAAACAACGTAACCATAGTACAATTTATTCATACAGAAGCGAAACCTGCATCGTAAAATTTATAATTTACATGTGATCTCAGAATTTGGTGACCTTGAAATGTTACTTAAAGATGGCATTGCCATTAAATGAATTGTAAAAGTTGGAATTGGTTGGAATGGATATGGATTTCCTAATTTGTAACACATGGCGAATGTCAAATCCCAATTTATTTCTACTTTATGGATATCCTATTCTGTTTACCAAAGAATAGATAATCTAGATATAATATTGGCTATGTAGCACTGTGTAGTTCCATCTTTTTCTAAACTGCAATGTCGCCAGTGTCGCCTATTGTTATGTCTACCAATGTCTACAGTAGACAGTCTACTGAATCAGTACCACTGATTACTGATTATTACTGATCTACTCTTTGTGTTTATGTCATTACTTTCAATTACTTTCCTCTATCTACTTATAGCTGAGATTAAAAACTTTTATGCACTTGTATTTTGAATTGCAACAGAGCGATGCTCATGACGATGATATTGTGCTAAATTATAAATGTTCAAGAAATTTTTAAATTCAAACAAGTTTATTATTGTACATACTTCATAACGTCTCCTGGTAGTCAGGAGTGGAATAGACTACAAAAGAGTAACAAATGTTGGAAGCTATTTTGTATACAATGGCAGGTTTTGGAAGATTCAAACTATACATAGATTCAGGAAACTTTTTACGTGTGAGGTAAAACAATCATCTGCTTCATAGTATTGTTGTAGTTGAAATAAATATTTCCGTAAGAAAATATTTTGTAAGTTATAATATAACCCCTTAATAAAAGTTGAATAATCCTTGCACGTGCGTGTAAATCTTTATTTTATTAATGGTGTTATATCTTTTACTTATTATACTTTGATTCATTATTGTAGCATTTGTAACAGCAGTTTGTACTTCAGCTATGATGCTGTGTTCCAGTGTGCACTTTCTTTGTGACGTGCTGTATTAGCCAACTGAATGCCTCTTTTTATTGTTTTAGAAGCTGTTTAGGAAAATTCTATCAAAATGCTTTAAAATATACAACAAAAGAAAACGAACTTCCACCAAAGCCAAAGAGACCAGTATCATGTTTTATTATGTATTTAAACAGTGTCAGGTCAAAGTTAAAAGAAGAAAATCCTGACCTGAAAGCTATTCACTTAGCGCAGAAAGCTTCTCAAGCATGGGCTCAGTTAAATCCAAATTATAAAGAACATCTCAGAAACGAATACATACAAAACTATGAAACATACGTTGTGAAAGTAAAAGAGTATGAAAATTCATTAACCGAGGAACAAAAGAAGCTGTTAAAAGAAAGTAAAACTAGATATAAGTTGGCAAACAGAGGATTGGATGTTAAAGAGGTAAGTATAATTACATATTAGATTCTTCACTGACTAATGTTCTTATTTTTATCGATTGACTGAAGACAGATTTAATTACAGAAATTGAAAACATTTCAAAAGCCAAAAAGACCAATGACTTCATTTTTTATATATGTGAAGTCAAAGCAGAACGAGCGAAAACCAAACATAACACAACGGGTATAATTCTTAATATTCATCTTTATTCTTAACGTTGTTGTGCATGGTATAAGTCACTTGATACTAATGGTTGTTTAAAAAAACTAGAAGATTGAGATGAATTTTTTTCACTACAGAGTGTGGTACAACTGGATAAGAGGTGATTCCTGTACTCTGCACACAAAGATGCATTGAAAGGGTAGAATAAACATTTCTAGAAAACCAAACCTGGAAATTTTCAAGTTTTTGTACATAGAATCATCTCCTGTCAAGCAATGCTTTTGTAAACTGCATATTCATAACACACTCTACTATTCTTTTTTTCATGATTTTATCACTTTGTGCTAATAATGACAAAATGTATTCAAATCTATAGAATTGGTAGTTTGTATAATTTATTTCTTGATGTTTTATTAGGTTTGGATGAAAGATGTAGCAGAACAATGGTATGCTATGTCGGATATAGAGAGAGCGAAGTATAATACTGAGGCATCAGGATTAAAGAAACAGTACAACCAAGAGTTGCTCAAGTGGGAAAAGGAAATGATAGAGTTAGGTCACCTAGATATTGTTCGAGTTGAGACAGGAGGTACGAAAGTTAAGCATTGACATAATTTATATTGACATCTTCCTTCTGTACACGATTAATCAGTAATACATTTATATTGACAACCATAAACGTTATTGAATCATCACTATGTTTTGTATGGGAAAATTAAGGAATATGGAAGTTTTCCTGAGGTTATGAACTAACTTAAAATGTCTAACTTAATCACTTAAATCATTCATGAAGCTACTAGTGTACACATCAGTTTCATAAAAATGTTAAAGAGTTATATTCGATGTATTGCCATGTATCTTTATTTTCTATAAAACCTTTACAAAATTCCCCCGAATAAGCGTGTTTTGTGTACTTCTGCTTGACTTAGTATTCTAAAATATCGATCTTGCGTAAACAATGAAAAAAGGCATAATGCATTAGACTGAAACTAAAAATGTATACAGCCAAATCTTCCACTACCAGATGGAGCAGCGTTACAAACTTTTTAACTCGATAAGTCACTTCGGGTTTAATATTACATAAGATCAAAGCGGTGCACAAAAGACTACCGCCTTCTGTCTCCCGTGTATTTGTACAGCCGTACAAACGACCCAGCATCATCAGAAGGCATGGCATAACGATTGTCTGAAATATTTAATCATGTATTATCAAAGATATATGCTGCAGAAAAAATGTATAATACTGTATACTATACTGGATTTACACTGTAAAAATGCATGATTACCTCTCCAAATAAGTAATCCAATTCTAAAACAAGTAATATGTTAAGAATAAAAGCTAGTAGCATATAATATGTACGATTTATTAGCAATATAGGTGGCAGAAGTTTCATTCGAGCAAGAGTATTATGAACATTCTTGGCTTCTGTTCTTATGTCATTACATTTATCTTTTGGAGAGGTCAATATACCATTCCGAATATCATCAGACTCAAGAATATCTGCATTCTTAATTCGATCATCTGTATTTGTACAGAAAAGTAATAGTTGCAGATGTTGCATATAAGCCTCATGTGATTTTATATTACCTTACCTGATATTGTACCATTTATGTCTGGTTGTAATGTATCCTCTTGCATGTTTCTATAGATAAACGAGGTTTGACTAGATGTATCTAAGTATAAAGTTGAAGGCATGATATAACAATTGGTTGCTAACAATATGCCATGTAATTAATACAAGCCAATCTTTTCTAAACTAGTGCCAATTCTAGTTTCCCTAATTTTAAGGTATTTAAAACATTCGAGACACACTTATTATTACAAAACTATCCTCAGTAGTCAGTAATGTTTACCGTTTGTATACAACCCACATGTAAAGGTATCAGTTAAAGGGGTATGATATTGTATGACGCATATGCTGGATCATTGATCTCGAATGTGTTAAGATTTGGCATGTTGATAACTGTATGATTTTGATTAACTTCTTAGTCAATTTGTAAAAATATTGAAATGTCTTGACATTAATATTCTTTTGGTAAAGATATTCATCTAATTTTGTTTTTATACTGATCTCATAACCAAATCTAATATTGTTTACCTTCCAATTTTGTATCACCATTTAGGCCAGTGATTTTTAACAAACGTTTTTCTGAATTCTCTAAAATTCGCTTTCTTCTTGCATCTCGCTTAGCTTTCATGCCTTCCATATTTTTCATTGTATTCCAGCCAGACGTTGGAAGTTAAATTTGTATATTTTCCTAAATAAAAGTAACTCGTTAGTTTTATTATTTAACTAGTACGTTTATAACAGAAAGATGAAGGGAATGTAAAATTACTTTTGAAATCTAGAAGACCGAATTTTTGTGTACAATATTTTGGTTTATCATGTTACAATATATTCGTAACCGCGTGTATAGTTGAGTAAAATTCTACGTTATAATGGTAACGTGAAATAAACGTAACCAGCAAACAGCAACTGTTCATATAATAATATTAATTTTTCTATTCGTACTCGTTCATTTCATGACTTTCTTGATTCTTTAAACGCATGAACAAATCAACTGGATTGCGAAGGTATCGTGCATAACAATTTAACATTTTTGAAATTATTCTGGATTGAATTGCAACGTGTTGCAATTTCACAGTAGTGCGTAACTGCGAATCATCGAATTGACGGTTGAACAGTGGTGTTGATCGTGTTGATGACAGATGTTGAGTTGTAATTCAGTTTCTTTTCTACGATATGATGTTTAGTTGATACGTTATGTTCGTTAAACTTTAGACGACACGAGAAGACTACCGTTCAAACAGATCCAGAATAGGTAATCTTAGCGAAAGTGTATTATTTGAGTAAATATTGGTAAATATGTTCATGCACAATGCAAAGTAAAAGATATGACATAAACGTAACTTAAGGTACGTATCGCAAAAGATCGTTGTCGTTGTTCGCCGTATCGTATATGCATGCGATTGTGTGCGATGAAAACGCGGCGTATATTTAAGGCATTCTAGCAAGTACGCTTGCATTTTTGATGAAATCCGGCTGGGCTTCGCGGCTTTTTGGCGGGTTAAAGGTTTTGTCAGTATTTTACTTGTTATTTGAAAGATTTAACAAAACGTGAGGATGGGAGATAAAGACGGCGGTAAGTGTAAAATACATTATATCGTTTCTCTGTTAACTTTCTTGATAGCTTTTTCTATTTAAAACTATCGGACGTTCGTTCAAAGGACGCTTTCTGTGCCATGGTAAACAAGATTGCATTTCGCAAGAATTTTCGATAGATTTATTTCTGTTAGACAGTAACATTTATTTCCCAACGTCGTTGAGTTCGACATCTTGATGTCTAATTGAGATCGAAAGGACATGAAAGAACTGTTTTTGTGTCGTGAAATAGAATATGTAAGAAGCGAGATCTTTACTCGTTGACCGGCAGGTTATATCACTGCAAAGAGTAGAACGTTTTTGCCGGTCGAAAGTTTAGTTTTCTCGCTGATCTTTCATTCTGTGTTACGTCGAAAATGTCATTTTATCGGGCATTTTTCACAATCCTGTAAGAAGTAATCTTCTGACTGTATAACAAAGCAGTCACGGATCTATTTTGTCTATTGAACTCTTCTATCCGTCGTGATAGTCATTTATGCATCGCACGTGTTTCGTTAATGCGTTCTACGCCGGTTCCAGAAACATTCGACGATGCCGTGGAGGAAAGAGTTATCAACGAAGAATACAAAATATGGAAGAAAAATACTCCCTTTTTATACGACCTCGTGATGACACACGCTCTCGAATGGCCTTCCCTGACTGCTCAATGGCTGCCCGACGTAACCAGACCAGAGGGAAAAGATTACTCTGTGCACCGTCTTATTTTGGGTACACATACCTCAGATGAGCAGAATCATTTGCTCATCGCTAGCGTTCAATTGCCAAACGAAGATGCTCAGTTTGACGCGTCGCATTACGACAATGAGAAAGGTGAATTTGGTGGATTTGGGTCGGTTAGCGGGAAGATAGAGATCGAAATAAAGATAAATCATGAAGGAGAAGTAAACAGGGCACGGTACATGCCGCAAAATCCTTGTGTTATCGCCACCAAGACACCTTCCAGCGACGTTCTCGTCTTCGATTACACAAAACATCCTAGTAAACCGGATCCGAATGGCGAGTGTCAACCTGACCTGAGGTAAGCGAGAAGAAGAACGTACCTGTCCGAATAAGAATCGTGAGCCTAAAAATTCTTCTAAATGTTTGATTGGTTGTCGCTGATAGACTGAGGGGACATCAGAAGGAAGGCTACGGCCTGTCGTGGAATCCCAACCTCAACGGATATTTGTTAAGCGCGTCCGATGATCACACGATCTGTTTGTGGGACATTAACGCGCCGCCGAAAGAAAATCGTGTTATAGACGCGAAAACGATATTCACCGGCCACACCGCTGTCGTCGAAGATGTGGCATGGCATTTGTTGCACGAATCTTTGTTCGGCTCGGTGGCGGACGACCAGAAGTTAATGATTTGGGACACAAGGTAACGACGCGTTATCATCTACGATACGAATAAATCTGAATAATATTATGCTATATTAGTTGTAAACAATGTGCATTCTTTTTCGTAGGTGTAACAATACAAGCAAACCAAGTCATACGGTCGATGCTCATACCGCGGAAGTGAATTGTTTAAGTTTCAATCCATACTCAGAGTTCATCCTCGCGACCGGAAGCGCTGATAAAACGGTAGCACTCTGGGATCTGAGAAATCTGAAGCTGAAACTCCATTCTTTCGAGTCTCATAAGGACGAAATCTTTCAAGTTCAGTGGTCGCCGCATAACGAAACTATACTGGCAAGTAGCGGTACGGATAGGCGTCTGCATGTATGGGATCTCAGTAAGATTGGCGAAGAACAGTCCAGCGAAGATGCCGAAGACGGTCCACCCGAGTTGCTGGTACATCGATTATACGACATTCGTTTCTGTCTGTCTGCCTCTCTCTCTCTCACTCTCTGTAGATCAGTTGCATACTGGCACGTGCCTGCCGACAGCTTTGCACTGTCAATGATAGCAATTCATTTGTTTTGTATATTGCAGTTTATACACGGTGGCCATACCGCCAAAATCAGCGATTTTTCATGGAATCCAAACGAACCGTGGGTCATATGTTCAGTGTCGGAAGATAATATAATGCAGGTGTGGCAAATGGCAGAAAACATTTACAACGACGAAGAACCGGACACGCCTGCGAGCGAACTCGAAGCTGGTGCTTCATAATGCGTAAGAACTAATCAATTAAATTATTTGATCATGAAACTTTCCAAGGATCCATGCGGTCTCACCCACGTGAAATCGATCATTCGTGCTCTAGTGTAAGGAAGACGTTAATATGAATTTGTACGTTAAAACGAAAAGAACATCAGGAAGCAATAATGTCTATTTTTACTACCGATCTTGACGCCCGTTTATACATACACTCTAAGATCGTTAAGGTACAGATTGGAGAAGGCTTCTCCGAACGCAGCTGCAATTCCTCCGCATTCGTTGGGCTCGTCTAATTCCATCAGGCTGTTCCCTGCTGAAATATACACACGTGATGGTAGACAAGAGCGTGTCTCAGTTGATGCTCTATGCCTTTGGCGTCCCGTATTGTAGGTATTAAAAAATTAATCGTGGTCTCGCGATCGCGTTAAATTCGACTGTTTTCAATAAAGGATAAACGACACATCGGAATTTTCAATGGAAAATAAATATGCGAGGAAGGTACTTGGTTCCACTAACAACGAAACGAAGTTATTACTTCCCTGTTATCATTTCTTATACCGCGTACGCGCATCCTTTCAATGTGTACAGACGATCAAAGCAGCGATCCTGCGTCTGGCTAAATCCGCGTCGTCACACGAGCCAATCGAGAATTATCGATGATGTCTCGACGATGTTTCTTTTTTTTTTTCTCTCCTGCACTCGTCATCGTATCTCGTCTCGCGGTCCTTATCGACAAATTCCGTCGAGAATCATCTACAAGTGAAAGTAAGTTAAGGTAAAAACTCGGTGAAAAGAAGAGACGAAAAGTGGTCGTGTATCTGACACGCTTGTGATGTGAATACTTTTTATCATTTTCCCTGCATTTGTATCGTAGATACAGATGGCTTTGGATGTGTTTCAATACTTTAAATAATAAAATCGACCGTACGTATACGTGACTTTTCTTTATTGTTTTTCCCCATATTAGTTTCTCCACATTTTTTTCTTTTATTTCTTTTTCAGTAAATACAATAGCATCGACGCCCAGATTGGAAAGAAGCTGAAACGATATTTTGGCACTTGGTACAGAACGACGCGAGTAAATAAAGATATTACTCGTGAACGGTGGTCGTGTGTCTTCGTAAGAAACTTTGTTCCCAGAGTCCATTAAACAATTATACGGCCGTGTTCGATAGCTCGTTATAGATCTCGTCGAGCAACGAATGTTCGCAAACGGTGTCCGGTCTATGCAGCGACAAAGTGTCGACATCGACGATGTCGTCCAAGCTCGTGACTCTGAAAATGGTGGGTCGGGGATGGAGTAGGGGGTGGGAAAAAGTGAATATATTAATTCAAACGGTGAACAATGCTCACTAGAATCGTATCGAATTAATCGGACCGTTGGGTGGCATTACCAAAATCTGCGTGTTAAATACACGTCGTTTATAGAGCGCGATCTCTGCCTGTTGTGCATGCAAAAGGAACGTTTAGCAAAAATCGATAAAAAAAATATAGGCAGACACGGAAATCGAATCTCCGATTCCGGCCACGGAATCATCCCCGTTACCTTTTGTTCACGTTTTGTCGTTTAATGCCGTCGAGTAAGTTTGCGATCGACGGTGTTAACGTTGGTCGGAATATCTGTGCGTGCGTGCGAGAGAGAGAGAACAAAAAAACAGACAAACGAGAGTAACGGATCAGAATATTCAAAGGAATACACATTTGTGCCGGTGATTATTGAGTGTAAATTATGAAAATGGTCTAAATTAAAAAAAAAATTGAACGTATCACTTGTTTGGTGTTACATCGACTTACGTTACAATAATATGAAAGCATTTTTGCAGAATATTTAATCGACTTAGACCACTTTCATAATCACCGGCGTAAATTTATAAGGACTATAAAAAAAAAAAGAAAGAATCCTCACCGTGACTGGAGCGCTGCGCATTTCACGAAGATCGATGTTTCTGAACAGATCGTGAACGAGAAGCTCTTCAATGTTTTTTCGCCGATTACACGGTTCAGCGAACAGAAATTTCAATAACTCGATCACCTGTGTGCGTGCGTGAACGGTTTTCATTAGCGTTATAAAAATAGAGTAGAATAAAGTACATATAAACAGAAGAAACGAAAGAGAGATATAGAGAGATACAGATGGAAAGAAAAAGAAAAAAAACGAAAGAAAGAATTTTCGGTAGAGAAAGAGAGAGAGAGAGAGAGAGAGAGAGAGAGAGAGAGAGAGAGAGAGAGAGAGAGAGAGAGATATATAGAAGAGAAAAAATAGAGATTTGTACTTGTGGATACATTTCAAGATCCGAGAGATGCATGGAATTCGGTTTAAACGATCGTAATTCGTAACCAGCGCACATTTCAAATAGCATATGACCTAGAAAGGAGATTCGACGCAGCGTCAGATTATGTTTGGTCAAGTAATAATCGGCGATGATTTTTTTTTCTTCTTTGTAACGGTATCGATCGTGAGATCGGGTCAAGATTTGATATTACCGAACGATATCATGTCGACAGAGGTGGTCTGCGAGACACGCGATGTGATCACAGGATGTATACGGCTGGTGAAACCGAGAAGGGTGTTCTCGAGGCCCGCGAGCCTCGCGACACCGTTCTGCACGAGTACGTTCCCCGAGTGTAGATGCATCACCATCGGGAATTCCCGTTCCTTCAAAAAGATCAACGCCTCTAACACTTGGCGTCCCATTTGTTGTATCTGCGGCAACGGGAGTCCTTTGCCTCGTGAACCGTACTTTTGGCCCCAATCCTCGTTCCAGCCGGTTCTCTCTATCTGTTGGGTATATAGCGAAGGATGGAGTTATATTTTACATACCAGATATATACAGGGTAAGTCGATAAGAACTACTATCTGAAATAACTCGTTACTTATTGGTTGGTATTAGAAAACGTTTTAATGAATTATGTAGCATTTTAGGGGACGCAACTGATGAATACAATTTGATTTCTTTTACCTCTTTTCTTTTTTAGATTTTAAGGTGACCTTGAGTTTTATCAGAGTCAATGTATCTTTTTTTTTAAATACCATCATGCTAATGGTCGCTGAATTCGTCCTTCCATCGACAACAAGGTGGTATTATGAAAAAGGATAGAGTTCAATGGGTCTACTGCCACACCATTACTTCCATACTCACCCCGTATATCAAGTCCTTCAGGCTGCCCTGGCTGATCGGTTGAACAACGATCACGTAATTCTCGTCTTCGTACTCGAGGAAATCAATGTCGAACACGGGGCATATGTACGGATGCTGCAAGGCCAAGAACAGGTCGTTCAGAATATTCTTTGTCAGTGGTGAGACAGTCAACGGGCAATTTCTGTTCAACGGGGCCAACGTGATCAACCGATCGGTCTTCAGGGAAGTGTCCCTCACCGCGAACCAATGTTTGTCCACTCTCGAGCCTGAAACATCGCGCGAAAACGGAATGATCTTGTCCAACATCTATGGATGTATACGTACGTACGTGTCTCTCTGTGTGTGTGTGTATAGGGTGCATTGTGAACAATAATGTCGCGTCGGGTAAGAGAAAAGTGGGTTCTAAGAGGTTCGGGGGTGGGGATCGAGAGCTTACCGAGATTATTCAGCTGCTTCACCAGACTATAGCGCGGCGTTCTTCGGATGTAAGCTTGGCAAATTGATAAAGCACGGTCTCGTGATCTTTTCTCCATCTCCATGTACTCGCCAACGTCCTCGCAGACCGACGGCCCGTGGTCCAATGCCGTGTAACTATGCCTCCCATTTCTGTCCACGGACATACCGGGTTAAAATTCGATCAGATTTTTCGGATTTTCCGATCCGATTGTTAGAGTCGTCCTATTACTATCGTCTACAAGTTTTTTCTTATTTTTCCTTTGACTCTCTGTCCTTCAGGCAATTTGTCGCGCTATCGTTTCGACGGTTCGCGCGCGGACCCCGTATGCTCAATTCGAAAAAATAGAAGAATCAACGGAAAATTAAAAACAAAAAAAAAAAGAAAAAAAAGGTGGAGAACAATACCTGACGAGTGTGTTTGAGTCGCCGCTCGACGCTGCGATACGACGGCGTTCAGCAGCGATATCTCGTACGGACGAACGGTTTCTCGAGGGATGCCAATAATGAAATAGATTCTCGAACCAACGACTACAAACTGGATCGGTTTCGTTGACGTTGCCAGCGAGTAGCCATCCTTCCCTACGAGCGCAAGCCAAGGGTTTCATCCAATAAGATCACGAATCACGGATTAATCCCGATATATCGTCGATGTAATTCGCAATCTGCCACCCCCACCCCCAGCAAACTTTTGCTTGTCCCTAGAATCGCGTCTCAATTCCATTGAGAATGTTTTCGCAATATCAAATGGGTATCGTGTCACGGACACAGTTCCTAATCAGAACCAAATTCCTGATCCAGTTTAGTACATGTTGAATTTTATACGTAAAATTCGTGTGTAATGCGGATATATATGATTTAGGTGATCAGATAATTGCTCCCTTTGCACTTATTACTTTAATAGTTAAATTACAAATTTAGTTCTATTTACTATTTCTGCACTTCTGTTAATATCAAATTAAAGGATGAAACCTAGATTTATTAGAAGAACAACAATTCTATTGATTTTGGTTAATTTTTCCACTTATACGTTAAGAAAAACGCGGCGTTAGTTATTCTTAAGTGATCAGAAACTGGGTTCGTAACGGTAGGTGTTCGTTTATCGGTGACGGATGGGTGGTATGGGAGAAAGCGAATACGAAATGAAACGAGACGAGACAAAAGGAAACGTCACCGGAGCGAACGTTGCCGTGTCGTAGGTATTCGTTTTCCTCGAAGTCGCAAATTTTGCGACAAGTTTCTGTGTCGGTCGTCGAGACCGTTCGTTGCCATCGATCGAAGACTCACAGGGGTTCGGAGATCAGCTTACTTATCGCCCGTGAAGACTGAGAGGTTCATTCTCGGTTCATTTAGACGGTATGGCGCGTGTACGTAAAATGTTTGTAAATAAACACGGTCGAGTATCGTGTGTCTGTGTGTTTGTGTACGAATATATGGCGTTGTGCAGTTTCACAGAATTCTCCGGGAGCTCGATCGATGACAACGAACGAATCCCTGTATTTCGATCAAGGAACATCGGCTACTACTGGAAAGGCATGTGCTAAAAAAAAAAACAAGAAATTAGGAAAAGGAATGGCCCAGCTGGCAACACGAATCCTATCCAGCTATCGTTGTCTAAAATCGGTTATCTCGGCTAGTATACAGGGTGGACCACGAAACGTGATCAGCTTATTCTACTGCTAACTGTTCGATCGAAAATCGTTTCGTCTAATATAACATAATTCAAAGAGAGGGTTAAGATGGTTGCACTAAATTTTTTGTCAACCCTTTTTCCCGTAGTTTTCAAGGTCATCTTCGGATTTTTTTATACACGAACCTATAATTTAAAAAAAAAAAAACATTTGTTATGGTGCTAATTGAGTTTGGCTTAGTATGCGCTAAAAGATGGGCGTAAAAAAATTACAAGTTTCTCTACAAAAAACAACCGAAGATGACCTTGAAAACTTTGGAAAAATAAGGTTGATAAAAACTTTGGTACAATCACCTTAAAGTTCTCTTTTTCTTATACTTAGGCTTTTTACTTTTTTTCTTTTCTTAATCACCTGACGTCAGTTTCTTTGCAACCTCGTGCGGCGGACACGCGATTGAACAATATTTTGGCTAGATTGTCGATTTTATTGGTCAGCTGATAGCCCTTCTCATCGTCGCTGTCCTCGTCCTCGATGCTTGCGCTCCTTCCGCGACGTAGCGTCCCACGAGCGGACACCATAGCCTCGGAGTCCAGCTCGATGGCGCTCTGGGTTCGACGGTTAACAGCGCGACGTTTTCGCCGCGTACGCGGACGTTCCTGCCAGAACCGATCGTGCCCGGTGACATCCGATTCCTTGTGATCGTCATCGCGTTTGTTCAGGTTCTGATAAAGATTGAACATGTTTTTCTCGTCTCGGGTACGTGATCCTGGAATACGCAATCCTATCCCCCCCCCCCTAATCGTCCGAAGAAGAAGAAACCTTCTGGTTGCTCCCCTTGTTTTCCGGAGTTGTGCTTCCGGAACTTACTTGTCGCACAGAACTTCCGGGCTAGGCGCACAGGTTCTGCGTGCCCTTTCGACGAACGGCTGCTGAAAGGAAAACTTTACACCTTACCCTCTCCTCCCTTTAGTCATCTTTCTCTCAGGCGTCTGTTTACGGTGACAGTGAAACGTCGAATGAGTCTGTGGCATGCATTGATACCCGTTTTTATTGGACGTTTGTCGCGCCGGATCCTGGTACAATGCCTACGCCTTGCGTCCACATATCAATGGTCCAGTTCACGTAGTTTTCTTCCTTTTTTTTTTATTCTTTCGATCGTTCGTTCCGTTGCCCTCCTTTCGGTGCCCGTCTATTATATCAACGAAAGTGAAACGCGACCGCGCGTAAACGTGTAACCACCAGCAGCATTCAACCGACGGTTCCTTGTGTCATATTGCCCTCGGTGGAAGAAGCTGCCGAAATATCAGCTACCCTTTCGGGTCTAGGCGATCTGATAGGCTGTGTGTGTACGGGGAAAAAAGTACGATATAGGGATAAATAAAAATTTGGGGCTTAGAATGCTAGAGTGCGTTGATCGGCACAATGACACTACGAGACGAACATATATGCGCGCGCGCGCGCCACCCACGCCAACGCGACCACCTAACCGCCTGACCCGACCGAACCACCGACGAACACTGGGGGCCACCGCCGTCACTCTGTGACTCTCGTTGCCGTCGCCTGGAACCCAGCCCGGCCTGACACACATTTCCCGCATTGCTGCTGGTTCAGCGGCCGATATACATACATATACACACATAGAGTCCGCCTGTCCCTGCGCAATCACGATCCGCCGCCGTATCCCCTCTACGCGACCCTTTGCACCTTTTTCGAATCTCTCTCTCACTGTCCCTTGGCCGTTCAACGTCTCCGACGACTTTTTACGGATTCATCTCTACCGTGACCCCATGTTGCACGAGCGATCACTACTCTCTCCTTTATCCGAACGAGAACACGGAGAACGAATGTCGTGGCAGCGGCTATCGTTTAGGGGTAAAGAAATTCCAATAAATATGCGAACGGAATAAAGTTCGAGTTGTGGTCGTGTTGATTATAACATCGTATCTAATCGTTCACGAACGATAAAGCTTACTAGAGAACGTTTTTTTTTCAGGGCATTCAGGGCAAAGTAGCAGAAAGCAATTCGTTGTAGGAAAGCGTGAAGATCTGTGTGGTGCCCACACAAAAATAGTTCCAACTATGGGCGAGATACAGACTATATAGTCGTTTCTGTAATTTCGTTTTACAAAGGTCTCGTCGAGTCTTACGACGTAACCGTCCGAAGAAAATATGAATCCAATTAGATTTGGCGAAAACTAGGCCAACGGAACGCGTTTCAGATTCCTCCGACCCCAACGTTGAACTCGAAGACCGTACTCGAACTTTAATCTCGCATCGCAGTTTTACGGCTGCTCTCAGGGTCGTTTGAAAAGTGAAAAAAAAAAAATAAAAAACAAAAATTTAAGAAAGAATCTAGAGAGAATGTTGTGTTCGAACTAGCTACAGCGGTGATATTCAATTTTGGTTTACTCTTTCCGTTCGGTGAACAATAATATTTACAATGTAATAAGTCGGGGTGGTATCCATTCAGTTCCACTCTGGGGTTAGTTGAATTTGTTCGTCTTTTCCCGTGCGATCAGCGCTTTGTACTGTAACGGCCAACTGTTTATTGCTCTTCCATTGTAGATCTACAAGTAAATGGTATATGCGTTAAACGAAACGACCTCGGTACGAAATTATTAAGTAATTATCTCGATGTGTTAGAGGCACGCAACAGTACCGCAGATCTTACCTGTGATACAAATTCCAAGGCTGTGCGTCGGGAAAATTCATGTTCTGCACGAACTCCCCATTTATATTCAATTTTTGGCGCATCGTTTTGTTCGACAACTGTCTTATCGATATATTTTTGTGCGACGAACACCTTTGAAAAAAAGAAACCGAATACGTTTTGCATAAATAAACAGTTAACGATTTGTTACTCATGGTAACCCAGCCTATGTATTTTTACCTCAGTTACCATATGTCTCACATTACCAAAGTACGAATGATTCTGACCTTCTGTACAATTAATACCCAAATTTTCAAGAAACTTCCACAGAGATTCTGAAACATACAGCAACAAATGGAAAGTCACTTCTACCGAGTATATCTATCAACGACATTGTTAATTACCTTCGGTACAAAACTCCTCACTCATAAAGATGTGAGTGAGCACCAAAAATAACAATACTTGTTGACTGCCTTTGGTTCCCACTGGAGAAACATGAGGCAATGTGTTCCTTATCTCATTTATCAGCATGTATTTGCTACCTTCTAATTCCACTAGTTGATACCCAAATATCTGTTGATCGAAATATTTGTATGCAGAACATTTTAGATAATACATAAAATAAAAGTCTGTTTATACCTTCGATAGAAGATCTCTTGCTTTAGTCATTACACGATGAAAGTTTTTCCCTTGGCCTCCAAACACACTCTTGATTATACGTGCTTTATTCATAATATTTTTTCCCCTGTCTAATATGAAAAGGTATCTTATTAAGCTGTTTACAAGTTGATTTTCTTCTTCAGAAACTATACGATCTGGTGGAGAGTCTCGCAATCTTTCATCATAGCACGTTGTTCTTTCCCCAGGAGATTCCCTTCGAACAACACGTGACGACGAAGCATTTCTTGTGCTCGTGCTTGCAACAGGCTGCGACAGACTCGTAAAGTTGCTGCGTCCTTTGCTGACGCGTGATTGCGACAAACATCTGTCATTCAAGAAGTTAGATTTGTTTTTTCGTGGTAATCCTACCATTCAAAAGACACATTAGAACATCACTTCGTATGCTTGTAAAGAATGAGAAGAGTGGAGAAGAGCATTTGTTACTTACCCATTTTATGAAATAAACAAAGGAAAGATATGTAGTGTATTCACAAGAATTCGCCAAGTGAACGTACACAAACGCTCGTGGCGCCATTTGTAGCAACTCGCTCCAATCGGTACAGTAGATAAATCACCTCACATCGTGACCCAAGGAATCTGTAGAATTCTGTCACATGCATCCAGAGCTCAAGCCCCCTTACTTTTCAGTGCAATATAATATGTACATATATATTCTGTCACTTATCTATAAGATAACTTATTCTAAATGCATTGTTAATGGACATTTTAATAATGTTACTTTTTCCACGTTCCTTTTTATATCCTTTTTATTTGATAACGTGATATAAAAATCTTAATACATACGCACAATCATTTACCTTCTGACAATTGGTGAATTTTTATATATAACTTATTTATTTAGAATAATTTTACTTATTGGGAGTAATTAAATAATTAACTTCAACCTAACTAGAGCTCAGCTAGTCAAACTTTCTCCAAAAAAAAAGTTTTTATTCATTATTTAACTGGTAATATCTGTCAGATTGTATTTCATAAACTTTGGCGCCATTGTCAAATTGGCGGGATATATTTATTATAGATGGCGTTCGAGAACCATTGGAGAATTGAAAACTTCGGCAGAAGACGACAGCAAAGTTAATATTTTTCATCTAAAACGAATTGGAATATCATATTTTCGGTGATAGTGTGTGCCTCTTTGTTTCCCTTTCATGATAGTCATTCCCTCCTGAATTAATCTCGGGTGCATATAAGACAAATGTATTGAAATATAATTTGGCGGTAAATATTCTATTTCGTTCAAATAGAACGTGGGCGAACAGAGAGGCGACCAATCCTCACATTCTTCACCAACCGACGCACCAATCACAGGCCTCATACATACCCGAGTCAACCAATGATAGCCAGTCAGCAGCCTAACGGTCATTCGTCTCAGGGGAGCTGGACTGATTAGACGTGTAGTGATCTGGCTCGTGGCGAAGTAAGTATTATTACTTTTCACTTTAACTTCTTTATGTTATTAGTATCTTCGGTAGCACTCTATCGTTACTTTCGTTAATATCTATACAATTCACTCTAAATAATCGTAAATTATCTCGTTATTTCTGGATAAAGTGAACTGGTTTCACGATTTCTGTTCTCCCCCGGTACCAATTAGTATTTACGCAGTTTTTGTTTAATTTGCAATCTTTAGCAACACTCCTCGAGTCAGTAATTGTTTTGTTGTGATTCAGTCATTGTTAATTTAGTATAATTACTTGGTATTAACGTTTATTTTCTGTTTTAGAATTCTGGCTAGAAAGGACGCGCCAACGATGCCAATCCCATTAGACGCAATTTGGAGGGAAATAGGTGAATTCTGGTGATGTATTACAACAAAATAGTTTATATTCCACTAGATATTTTGATTTTAGTACACTTTTATTGTTTTGACCGTAAACTTGATCGCGATTTTCTGATTAACTGTGCTGAAAGCAAACAAGAATTTTTTCGAGAAATATTTCGTGTTCAAACACGCAATTGAAGTATGCAATATGGCTTCTTTTTTGACCATTAGGAAATTTAAACGGGAATGTTCCAGAAGTTTCAATTCGAAATACTCGTAGTTTACTGCATCTCGGTCGCGAAATTGTTTGAATTTTAATAATTTTTCGAGTTTATCATTACGATGTCACCGTATTTGTATTTATATACGGTTTCGGGTGTAAGTTTAATTATACATATAGTAGCTGCGTAGTTTACGATGCTCAACGAAGCTTTAATACTTGCAACGATTTTCTCAATATTCATAAAATTCGGTACGCGATGTAGACAGAAATAAAGAACATTCTTAAACTCTAACAACAAATGTCTTTAATATAATATATTAATAACAAATATATATCAGTAATGAATATAATATATTGAAACATTTGAGAATTATTTTGGAATATTTTTTTACATTAATGTAGTAAAATTACATTAATGTAAAAATACGGTACATTTGCGTAGTTAAATTCATATTTGAATATTTATCGTTGAATGACAGTATTTTCATGATATAAACACTTGGTAGTATATAAAAATAAAAAGGATAAGCCGGTGCACGTGCGCCGTATTGTATTTCTTTTCCCCCCTTTTTTTTCCACAGTATTTGGTGGCCGCGTGCAAGGCGGTCGAGTCGAGTCAGTGTTTGTTTACATCGAAGTTTTTTCTGTTTATGCGGAGCGAACTGGCACCGATTAGGATCTCACCGGAGATGTGTTATGGTCCTCGCGGAACTAGAGTCAGTGTTGTTGCGTACAATCTCATATTATTTTCAGAGTTTCGGGACACTCTTTGCTTTGTGTGTCGCGAAAGTAGAATCATTTGTTCGCCGGTTAGGATTTTCGGTCGCGATAGTTTTTTATTTTCATTTTTTTTCTACTTGAAAATGCTCGTTCGCGAAAGTAGAGTCAGTGCATCACTGAAGTGGATGTTTTTGGGCGAAGCTCTACAAATAGAGATTGTAAGTATCCTTATATTTTATTACTTACACTCTTTAACTGAAACAGCTAGAATTTTGAGAAGAGGTTATAACGAGTTCTGTTCCTTTTTTTTCAGATTTATCAGATGCTGCATGAATGTCCACTACAGTGGATGTCCTCGGACGAAGCTACACCGTTTTTTGAGATTCTTCGAGTGTCATAGGGAGTTCTTCAGTCATCGGGTGAGTGCATGTTTTTATTCCTCCAGTCCCCAATCATGTCGTAGGACAATTGGTCCGAAACGGCACGGGCGACTGGTTGTATACGTGCTTTTGGCGAGTACAGTGAACACGGATATGCAATCCTACGATTGCATATCCGCGAGTAGTAACATGCATGTGTTGTGTTTCTTAGTTAGGTTATGGTCTTCTTGTACGCCGCGTTTATTATTAGTAATATAATTCATAACTATTTTGTATTAAAAGAGTATGAGTTGAATATTTTATGTTCGGCTTAAAGGCGAACATCATACAGACGAAATCACATTGGTTATGATGTACTTTCTTTAAGTGTTCAATTTAACACGAGATATTAATCTTTGATATTTCAATAGAGATCATTCTATTGCTTAAACAGTTGTTATTTTTTCATGAATTGAGTATATATTGAGAACGTGGTAGTATGTTATTTAGTTCGCTAGAAAATGCAGTAATGTGATGATGATATGTGCAATAATTTTAGTATAGTCATTTTAATACAATCGTTTGATATCATTTACGAATGTAGAACGAAATACGATCTATGTAAGGAAAATTGCAGAATATAGAAAATACAATGTATTCACAATAG